TCACAGATGGCCTTCCAGGCGTCCGCGGCGGAATCGAGACCGATGATGGTGAGCTTGAGCGTCTCGGAATAGTGGAGTAGAGGAGCGTCTTCACTTTCTCCGTGTGCTGAGCATGACTATCGCAAGCGAGCTCCCAGGAGTAGTACTCCTTCTGGAACTTCTTAGCCGCATCCGCGTCGTAGGACTTCGACTTGGGGTCAGCCTCGGCGGGCCGTGACGGTTTGACCGGCACGGAAGCTCGACCATCTATGTAGCGTAACAGACCCTTGCCGGTGATGGCCGACCGAAGCTCGGCCTTCCAGGTGACGAAGTTCTCCCCTTCGCTTTGCAGCTTCGGGAGGTGGGTATAGAGCTTGTCGTCGGATGAGTCCATGGCAGAAAGGTTGTACGCGGAAGATGAGGTCGAGGCAGGGCTCATAACCTCTCAACGAGGCTTCGGAGCGGCGAGTGACAGAGCGGGAGCAAGAGCTAGAATGTACGCAGTACAGTTAGCTTCACACTGCGTAGGGATAACGAGCAGGTCTATTCATGTACCTAGAATGTACGCAGTACAGTTACTGAGGTACAATGAGCAACAATTAACTTAACGAGAGAATGAATCAACGTACGCTTCACACTGCGTAGGGATAACGAGCAGGTGAAGCGACGGATTTGCGAACGCGATGCTTAAGTGAGCGACGGCGGGCCGGAGGCCAAGAATATGATAAGAAGGACCATGTGGGCGCACCGGGCGCCTTCGCGATGCGAGGGGTATCATCAGTGCTTTGCACCGATTGGATCTGGAGATCCGAACCTAGACCTTCGACAGTTCAGTGGTGATTGCAATCTATGAACTGCTCCAAGGGCACCCCCCATAATATCTCCGTGGATGGCAAATGTCAGCCTAAGCATCGATCCGCACGGCGGACAACTGCTTGAACCGGGCAGGGCAGCTTCTTGTACGCGTTCCCTCGAGAATCCGAGAACGATCACGTTCGTCTGGTGTGTATCCGACTCATTCGTCCGAGGTTTGGAACACAGTTTCGCGATATTCGCGATAGGCAGCGTCCGGAAGCAGGATACCTCGTTTTTCCGTACGAGGAAGGAAGTTGCATAGGTCGGGAACGGGGTCCAGGGCGGTATCGTCAACGAAGACGTCATGAACCTCAAATATCGCGACTTTCGTAAGAGACGGGAAGAGCACCGTCGACGACAGAATCTTGTCATATAGTTCCCACTGAGGAGCTTCGTCCTCTTCAGGGTAGTCCATGTCGACATCAAACCCAATAGTTTCGATGAGGGGAGAGCTGAACGCCCGGAGAAGTGTAGCAAACCACGCTGGTTGGTCAATGCAGGCGCTCAGTAATTCGACAACGCGCAGTCGAGATTTTTTGGCAGTCAATAGACAATCCAAAAGTCTATCTGTGTAAGATCAGCAGAGAGAAACCTCGTGAGGCGACAACACGCACCCATGACCTCTAATTCCGAAGCATAGATCTCGAGTTGCAACCTCTGCAATGTGACATCGGCATCGGTTAGAACCTTGCGCAGAACTTCGACTTCGTCCATCGTCTCCACATCGAGAATGAGCCGTTCCAATTGACGGAGCTGGAAGGGTTCCAAGATGTGGGATGCTCCTGAGGGTAATACAAGGCCGTGGATCTCTAGTGTACGAAGCGAGCTTGCAATCATCTCTTTCCCCGTGAACTCCATCCCACGTTCGAATTGACATGTCTCCATCGAGAGCTTCATCAGGCAAGGCGATCCACGTAGCAATGCCACCAAGGGGTCGTAAGAGCGAAAGATGCATTCGTCCAGCTCCAGCGTTCGTAGAGTTGAGCTTGACCACACGAGAGCAGGTTCTGTTGGCCACACCATGTCATAAGCGCGCAGCGTGCGCAACCTCGTACATGCCGCGAGGAAGTCCATCAAGTGCCGAGCATTCCCAACCTCTCCATTGATCTCGAGCGTACGAACAGCTTCCGCCACGCGCTCCGAGCTCGTCAGCGCTTCTTGCAATCCTCGAAGGTGCTCCGAGCCGTCGTAGTCGTTCATTTCGACTCTATGGAAAAGGCGACGCTGAGCGGGACGTATGAGCGACTTGGACACAAGAGAGACGGCTTTGAGCGTATCAAAGTCGTCTATCTCGTCGATTATAATATCCAGCAGCTCGAGAGGGAGACGCATGTTATATGTAGGTACCGAATGTCAAGTACGTGTTCGAGAGAGTCGGGCAGAAAACTGGTCCTGGCCCGAAGTTAGGGACATTTCCCTAAAAGGAAAGCTCTCGGGTATGCTTTGTGTCCGCTCCCGTCGGCGGCCGCGTCCAAACACACTGAGCACACCAGGACCGTAACACGCGGTACAGGTACTACCACATGGTAAGGTAGACCTCATGCGCGTCCGACCCCATAGCACGCGACACGCGTGACATTAGACGTAATAGGTGCAAAAATTCAAATAACTCTCAATTAGACTAGCTCTCACCGAAAGTGTTACCGGCATTTTATAGATGTCTGCTGTACATAGATAGGACCGTTTACAATTACTGATGAGAGTGCGAACTGCGAAAGGAGAGAAGGTGCGCGAGAGTGTGAGGCATGACTGTGACACAGTGTGACCAATCCCTGAACCTCATTGAGGCGCGCTGCCGCTGCAAGACAGTTGGGTGACTGGAGGCATGGAAACTAGTAGACATCATACTGAGTACGGTAAGATGGATATACTGCTGGCGACATACATTTTCTGTTCTCCTCCGTGCTGATAGCTCCAACGTGGCGGCGACAAGGTTGTGCGTGCTGGCCGAGGTTACACTTACGCAAACGGCCCTTCTTGTAGGGCATAACGTCAAGTCGTGATCCCCGACATGCCACAGAGCTCAATGGATGTCAGATAGTCAATACAGCGGAGCCGGTTTTGTGACGGCGGCGGAAAGGAGAAACCTCCAAGTTGCACGGCTTGGCACTGAGGGCAGTCCATCACATGCCTTGGTCTTGTTTTCATCTCTCCTCCCGAGGATCTTATTCTTGCGTTTCGAAAGCAGCAGTCAAACTTCGGCACAGTACATTATCGTAGAACCCCAGTTGCATCTCGAACGAAAGCTACTCAGACCGGGAGACAATCAACTTTTCGCTCGTATTACGTCTAATGTCACGCGTGTCGCGTGCTATGGGGTCGGACGCGCATGAGGTCTACCTTACTAGTGCTAGATGTCTTCCTCCTTGCTTCATCTGCCGGACAGCGCAGCTGTGCTGTAGCTTATGAAAATCTGCTCGGGGAGATGATGTTGGTGCTATAGAGCTGTACGTGAGGGGCTCTGCACTGGGAAGCCTCTGTCAAAAGCTATGATATCGACAATCGTTTCCCAGCGCTGTGGCATACCGCTAAATATCAGCGGGATTGTTACACCCTCACTCGGCTTCTTTCCTGGATGTCCTCTCAACATCGCAAGAGTGTACGTTTGCCTATGCCAACGCGGTGGCGCGCGGGTCCCCGTCGCACACCACTCGCCTTCTCGAGCTTGCCGCCCGAGATCTGGACGCGCGTCGCCCTCTGCCTCGATCGCCAGTCCGTCATCAACCTAGCGTCCAGCTCTCGCTTCGCGTACTACCTTTGCCAACCGGCGCTCTACCACACACTGACCGTCCTTCATCCTGGCGACCCCAACTACAAAGAATACGAGGTCTTGAAGCGCGGTCATCTGGGCCATGTTCGGTGCTTGCGCGTCAGAGCGGATGTGGTTCCGGATACATATGTCAACGAGATCGTCAAGGTGAGAGGCGCGCTGCGGTCCATACTATACAAGAACCCCGATCGAAGTGATGTTGCATACACAGGTCCTACCACTCGTACCAGGCGTGTGCGATCTCGAACTGAAAGGCGCTATCCATATGGACTCCTTTCCCGACCTTCAAGACCTCTTTAGTCGAAAAGTGTGCTCGCTGAAACTTGCAATCTACTTTGAGACCCAAGTCACCCTTGACGTGAGAGGTCGCCTCTATATGCCTATATGCTTTGACGGCTGATCAAACGCCAGTTCTCCGCTTTCAGACACCTTCGCGTCCTGGACCTGACAATTTGTTGTCGGAGCATTCACACGTATTGGGCCGAGCCGCCGAGCGTAGAGCTCCCGCCGCATCTCTCCGACCACCTGCCTCTCCTGACCACGCTCTCGTTCACGCTAGGCCGAAGACGACGGCGCTTGAGCAGCGTGCACGGCCGCGCGTTCCTGGCCTCTGCACATTTCCCGATCCTTTCCTCGTTCTCCTTGTACATCTACGACCGCAAGATAACTTGGGACCTCGACGAGCTGCGCGCGCTCGATACGTTCCTCCGCATACACGGCGCCGGTCTTCGGGAGCTCGCCCTGCCTTGCTGGCACCTAACTCGCGGCCCTTCGGCGGTCGCCCTGAAGACGAGCATCGCCGCGTCGCTGTCGCGCGCACCCCTGCGGCGGCTCGTGACGAGCTACCCGACCGCGCGCCAGCTCGTCGCCGCAGGCACGTCGTCGGTCAGCCTCGAAGAGCTGACGGTCGTTTTTTCTCCGCTGTTGGATAACTTGTTTTCCGAGACCATGGCGATATGGCCGCCCGCGCCGCACCTCAAGAAGCTCGCATTTTGCGTGGGGAACGAGGACCGGGTCGACTGGGAGTCCCTCGCGCGCGCCTACCCCGAGTTGGAGTACCTCAGCGTCGACTGGACTCACGCGGTGAGCTTAAATCTATGATTACCTAGGGAGTGTTGTTATAGCGGCCTTCTGACAAGATGGGATACGTTTGACAGGGCTACGACTGCGACCAGGGCAAGTATAGAAAGCTACCGCGCGGCTTCCCGGGGTCGTGCCCGAAACTGAAGTGGGTGTTGCTTTACACCCATAGCTGGAAAAAAGAGAAGCGATATAGGGTTCGACGGAACGTGTCGACGGGAACCTGGTGGATGTCCAGACTCGCCGCCGGTGCTCATTTTCCTAGCGACGAGCAGCGACATGCGGGTATGACTGAGCCGACTGAGATGGATTGATACCTCTCGACAATACCTTGATACCTCTCGACAATACTTTGTAGTTTAGATGTTTTCACAAACTCTTTGTACTCATGATCCGCTGCCTGAACATCACGAGGCCCTCGGCCAGATTTTTACTGCCAACGGTTCGTGATGCTATGAGATTGCACGGAGATGGTTATATGACTGCGTAGATTCGAAAGACGGCGACTCGTAACTCTAATTATCTAGATAGATAAACAGGAAGAGAGTCCAACGATCAGGGAGAGTAGCTGGAAGGAATATGCGCGACGAGGAGACGAGGAAAAAAAAAAAAGATGCGGCGACGTGGGGAAAGATAGAGAATATGTAACACTTTGCTGACTGCGCTGGTTTTGCCACTATACGCGGGCATTTGCAGATCAGACCTGAGTCCGTGGATGAAGAGATTACAGTTTCGAACGGGGATCGTGGAGGGGGGGTGGGTTATCTCGGGCCTATTTGACCGAGATGCCCGAGGAGAACGGCCGTCGTGCATTTCGGGGTGGTGGCGTCGAGCGCTCAGCCCGAGAAGTCGTGAAGAGCCGTTGGTAGGTCGTTGGACTGCTTAGTGAGGGCGCGATAGATATGAGTGGGAAGGGTCAACCGTCCCGCAGGTGCGGAGGAGGAAGGGGAGAGAGAGAAGGGGGCGCGGTGTCGAACCGGCTTCTTCGGTATAGAGTGGTAGAATCTGTAGCAGGCCGCCGACATGAGCCACGACCGCGCCCTTCGTGGGTGGAGAGAACGAAAAAGGAACGTACGCGGAAGCGGGGGCTCACATCGCCATCGCGGTCGGCGCCTCCACCTCCGCCGGCGTCCCGGGCGGCGGGGTGTGCACGCGGTGCGGGACGAAGGTCCGTACGAACTCAAACTGGGGGCCCGTCTCCGGACTGTGCGGGTACCGATCGCACTTCGCGACCGTCTTCCACTCGCGCGCGATCATCTCGAGCGCCTCCGCGCCGTCCCGCGCGATCCCGCGCTCCACGAGCCAGCACCCGACGACCATGCCCGTCCTGCCTATCCCCCCCCTGCAGTGCACGGCCGCGATCCGGCCCCTCGCTTCGTTGTCGCGCAGGACGCGGAGTATGCCGCACATGTACTCGACGGAGGAGGGCAGGGAGCGGTCGTGGATGGGGAAGTTGTGGTATTCGAGCGTGGAGGGGTCGATGCGGAGGTGCGAGGCGCGGGAGGCGAGCGCGGCGCCGGCGTACGGCTGGAGCTCGCCCGGGTCGGTGAGGTCGATGAAGGTGCGCACGCCGGCGGCGAGGAGCGCGTCGAGCTTGGGCGGGACGAGGCGGCACCCGGGCGCCCAGGGGTACTCGCACGCGAGGAGGAGGGGCGTCGCCCAGTAGGAGTTGGGGATGGGCCGGGGGCAGGAGGCGGTGAGCGGCGAGGGGCGGGCGGCGGGCGAGAGCGCGTTGAGCGCGTTTTGGGAGGCGGAGATGTCGCCGGAGGAGAGCGAGCCGGACATGAGCGTCGTGCGCAGAGTGGCGAGGGTGCGGCGTAGGTTGATCGTGAGGAGGAAGGCGAGCGCGGTGCGGGCGTAGAGCAGCGTGGCGGTCAGGAGCCAGTAAGACTTGTTGAGGTCGAGGGCGGTCGGCGTGAGCTGCGGCTGCAAGAGGCCGGCGAGTTTGGATCTGGCATGGACGGTGAGCCGTGTGGTCGATATCATGGTGATAGCGGGAGGAGGAGGAGGAGGAGGACGTGCGGCTTACCTCGGGGCGGAAGGGATATAAAGGAGTCAGGGATGTGGAGAAGAGGAAGGGGCGGGCGAGGCGTGGTTACCGCGTTGTAAATTGCCCTCCACAGCTTGGCGCCACACCTCCTGCCTCGACGGTCCTTCGGCCACTCATCGGGACCCTATACCGCTATAATATTCTCTACCGTATTTTCCTGAACGACTGCTAGGCCGATTATGTCAAGCCTCCAATGAACTCGGACATCCAGACTGTGCGGGGCTCCGTCTGCTTTTCACGTTCATCTACCGCGTCTGAATCCGAGTCATTGGACAAGCGTTTCATATGAGTGTGGACTGCGCCGGTATCTCTGCTCGAACCCAGACGGAGAGGCCTTATCAGCGACTCGTTCCATGTTCTGACTGGCCAGGTAAAGGAACGCGGAAGGAACGCATCGGATTTGAGGAACGTGGATCTGCTGTTCGCAGCCTCTCTTGGCCCTTTCAGTCGTCGTCGCCTCCTCCGACATTCGACATAGCCCACCGCCAGGCTATATCGATGGGCACGACCACATCGTCGTAGCAAGGAACAAAGGAGGAACAACACATCAAGCAGCCAGATGAAACTTCTTGTCCCAGCGAACACGCGCCGGAGGACGACGTCGTGTACGCGTAAAACGCGGCAGGCCGGGTGCTTTCTCACCACGTCTCCTCTTCCTGCCCTACAATTTCGAACCATCGATACGATGCGCCATTACGTGTCGGAGAGCAGGACGCAGAACTGGGGGCACGTTCGTGTCCCCGAGCGCTCGGCCTTTGCCGATCGCTGTTTCGTCGGCATTCTGTGCGATCTATGGCTCTCACTAGGTTGCTTGTCACTGTAATTAAGTAGTCTGTCTTTACTGTGCATACAAAGATTACGGGCTGGTGCCCTATTACTCGATCCGGGCGTATGCTACCCGTGAGGGCGTGTGCTGAGTGCTGGTAGGTACGGGCGAATGCCCCCGAAGGGGGCGTTCCGGTCTGGGAAACCTGCGGGGTGTGTGAGCCGCGAGGGCGGGCAGGGTCAATCATGAGGCGTGGTGGGTGGGAACATCTTACCCAACCCTGAAGACCTCGCTTACACCCTGTGCTCGGTTCCCGGACCCCAAAAGGGACTTGCCAATGGGTTGCGCTCTGCCAAACGCTGGTTCTCTTTACATACAACTTTTTCTGTGCTAATCCTTTTTTGCTCTTGACCGCTCTCTCCTTCTGCCTCTTTCTTTGGGGAGACTGATCCGCGGTGGTGCCAGCACCGCGGTCCGCAGCCCTATAAGAGGACGGTGTTGGAAATTTTTCTTTCTTTCCCCCTCCTTTCTTTTAACCATGTCTTCCCACTCTCGAGTCGCTCGTTCCTCTCCTCTGTACTGGCCTCTCCCCCCCGAGGGCCTTGTCATCCCTCCTGGTGAAGTGTTCTACGCCGAACATCTCTCGGCTCGTGTGGTGCCCCACTATATTCGTTTGGACGACCCTCGCTGTCGAGTTATGCATTATGATTGTGCGCCCCAGTGTTGTTTGACTTACTGAGGCTGACTCTCTTGGTTCCTATAGTTGTCACGGGCGAGCCGTACGGTGGCCTGCGTCCGCTGCGGGCCCTTTATCCTCTCCCCGCTCTCCCCGGTGCCGGGGAACCGGCGCTATCAGAGCCTCCCGCGCGCTCTACTACCGGCCCGGGGCTCGCGGGTGTCATTTGTGTCTGCCCGGACCTTCCCGGGCTGACCTATTACTGGCGCCTGCTGTGTCGTTACCTGGGCATTCGAATCCCGTGCTCGGGCTGCTCTTTGTTTTGCCACGTGTGCCCGTGCTGCCGTCACACGTGACTGTGTGCGTCCTTATCTTTTGTTGTCGGCCGTTGCGCGTGCTGACTACCGATGTTTGCGGCAGGGTTCTGACCATTGTGCTCTGCGCGGGTCTAGCTGGGTGGGTGGGTCGGCAAATTTGCGTTACGGCGGCTCTCGTGAGCTCGCCAAGTGATGGAAAACCTATGGCGCGCGATGCGGGTGGCGAAGAAAGGATTGCACCGCCACCGCAACGCACGCTCTCCATAGACTCAGTTCTTGCGTCTCGCTCGTTCCTCCCGTCGCCTCAGAACAACTATCTATGGCTCTCACTAGGTTGCTTGTCACTGTAATTAAGTAGTCTGTCTTTACTGTGCATACAAAGATTACGGGCTGGTGCCCTATTACTCGATCCGGGTGTATGCTACCCGTGAGGGCGTGTGCTGAGTGCTGGTAGGTACGGGCGAATGCCCCCGAAGGGGGCGTTCCGGTCTGGGAAACCTGCGGGGTGTGTGAGCCGCGAAACCCACTGTGGTAGGAGTGCTGCGACGCGACGCGCGAGCGACCCCCGCTGGAAAAGGAGCTGTGCTCACCCGTCACCGAACCGGAGGCATGGCATACCGTACGAACTCGGCTTGAAGTGCCGGTCTTGCTTGCATGTAGGGCGCCAAGATCTCCGCGTGCTTCCGTAGGTACCCTAGGAAGGCCTCGCTTCCCCAACGCCCTTTGGTCTTTACGACCTCAAAGGGAACACCTCGTAGGAGGTACTCGAGGGTTCCGCCGATTCGGATCCCGTGCCCTTGGAGAGGTGCTCTGCCCGCAGCCTCGCAGGCGGAGCGAATGCGCCCTAGAAATGCCTTCCTGGTCAAAGGCCATACTTGCCCGTTGCGCGACCGGTATGCGAAAACGTGCTCGCCTTCGCCGACGTCATTGACCTGGAGGTGGTGTGCCAGCGCGGCTACGGGGTCCGTCGGTCCGTCTTGCTGTGCCCAGTGGATCTGTTCGCCGTTGTGCGAGCACTTCGTCCGGGGCAGGTTCAGGGTCTGCTGGCGCAACATGTTCCGGTCTTCGGCACTCCCGAGGTCGGATCGTCTGGGGTGCGCGGTCGGCTTGTAGTCCTTTCGGTTGGGTACTGTGAGCTCTCCTACCCGCGCGCACGCATAGAATGCGACTGTCAAGCAGGCATACACCGCGGCGTCATAACCCTGTTGAAGGTCTAGCTGCTCGCGGATGGCGCAGATGATGTCGATTGTGTAGGGCTCGCGCTTCTTTCGTTTCGAAGCGGCCGGTGTCAGGCGAACCGAGGCCCGCAGCATGGACTGCATGGCTGCGTCGTCCATATCCCAGGCCACGCCGTGGATGAGGTGCCACGCGCGGACGCCATAGAAGTAGTTCACGATGGTGGATCCCGCGTATATGCCTGCCAGTGCGGCGAGGAAGGCCAGCATGAGGGTGGCCGACGCTGGCGCTCGCTGATCTTCCGCTAGCTGGCGCTCATCGCAAAATGCATGGAAAGCGACTAGGCCCGCGCCGTAGGTCTCGGCAGTCGACGGCGCCAGTGCTTGTGCCATTACCTCCCGCACTCGGTCGAGGTCTCTTTGCTCCAAGCCGGTTGGCTCGCCGTTACTGTCGAATCTGGTCCGTCCTCCTGCGGGTATCCAACGCGTTAGTCGCTGTCCTGATGGGCACGCCGGACGGACGCTGGCCTGTGTCGAGGTTTGCGCCCCGGCTGGAGTCGTGACTTCTCTACCAATCGGCGAAGTTTGCCGCGGCGAACTGCTCGTTACGCCATTCGAGATCTGCCTGCGCAACCGAGTTGCGCCTGATGTCGATGCTGCCCCAGAGCTTTGGGAGCGGTTCCTTTGCCGCGCCGCTGCGCTGGGCTTCGATTTCGCGCTGCGTGAAGGGTTCTGTGCAATCGATGATGAGACCCTCGAGGGCCTCAGGTATGGGTATAGGGGGGAGTAGTTGGCTGAAAGCCGGGTAGACACCTCTCGATGGTCCGTCCGCGGGATTGTTAGCGCTGGTGACGTACCTTGTGTGAAAGGTAAGTCGAGCATCGTTGGCCGCAGTGTGTATTCGCTTGAAGACGGTGTTGATATGCCGGTTGCGGCTTCGACCGTTCCACCAGCCCTCGACGACCCCTCGGTTGTCGCCGTGCACCTTGACGTGCTTGGCCTCGGCGTCGTCGAGTTTGATGATGGTGCGAACGAGGAGCTCGAACCCGACTGCTTCTGCCCAGCCGATCTCCCGGCCGCCGGCGTCCCATCCTGGGAGGAGCCTCCAGGCGCGCCAACGGCCTCTGACCACCACTCCGATGCCCACGCTGGAGCTCGCGTCGGAATAACCTCCGGAGTCCAGTAGTTCGACGGGACCTGGTATGCGGCGGCTGAGGGTGGGGCGCTGGAGGGTGTTTGTCCACCACTCGAGAGCAGCCATAGTACCCTTGGGTGGGGTACGTGGCTGGAAAGGACGGTCACCGAAAACGCCGAGCAAGGCCTCCAGTTCGGTGAGGTAGGCCCGTCCTTCTGGTACGACCAAAGAGGCGTGCAGAAGCTTGCCGTAGAGCTTCTGCACATCGTCCAAGGCGTGGGTCCGTCGCACGCTCCAATCGCGAATGGCCTGCACGTACTTGAGTCGCTTCTTCTCGCCCAGCGCAACAGTCGCTGACTTGAGGTCCCAGTCGAGCCCTGTAAACGGCGCTGAGTCTGCAAATGGGTGGTCCTTGTCGAGTCCCCAAGGCCAACCCAGCTCGTCAGATATGCGGTCGACGTCACACATTGCGTAACAGAATTCCGCGTCCGCCGGCGAGTGCTCGGACGCTTGCGCGAGGTCCTGGAGCGGGAACGCCATATCGTCGTCGAACTCTTCAATCCGACCATCGGGGATTTCGGCGCCTCCGTACCATAGACGACTCCGGTCATGACGTGCACCGCCGCTCGCTGCGATGCTGCGTCTCCAGCCCTCCCGTCGGAGGTTGTATTCCTCCAGGAACTCCCGTCGGATCCGCGAGAACAGGAAATCGTCCACCCACTTCGATGCAGGGCCGATGCCGTTGGCCCTTGCGATGTCGGCAAATGTGTCTGCTGCTGCGCCGAAGATACCGCAGCCGGAGCGTAAACCGAAACAGTCGCACGTATCGACCGCGAACTCGTCGCCTTCGCTGACTCGCACCACCAAACCCGACCATTGCTCTGGTTTGATCGGGATCGTTCGGTATGCCTCCGCGACATCCCGGCACGCGATCTGCGACCCTGGAGGGAGACGAGCCAGCGACAGCGCGACGGCGGTGAAAGTACCCCATGTGCATGGGTATAGCGTAGCGTCGATGGCGGCATTGATGGACGTGATGCCCTCCCGGGGATGTCATGGGAAAGAGAGGTTCTGGATGAGGCGAAACTTCGCCGGGTTGTTGGGCTTCGGGATGATGGACATCGGCGACGTCTGGAAAGGGCCCAATACGCCCTCGATGACGGCCTTCGTGAACGGGCCGAGGTACCTGCCTTTCTCGAGTTCTTTCTGTACACTGCGCTGAAACTCTGCCTGCTGATTGGAGATGGATACATGATTAGGTGGGGTAAAAGTAAGGACAGGGGGGCGGATGCCTGCATCAAAACCGTGGCGGATGGAATCTGTGACGTCTGGGTATTTGCGCTGGAGGCCGTGTGCCTGGAGCTGATGGCGCCAAGCGTCTGGCCGCAGCGGTGTGAGCGCGCTACTGGCCCTCTGCAAGAGCGCAGTCGCGAGCGCCGTGGCTGGATTTTCCGCACCCAGAGCAGGTGTGCCGGTATGCGTCGGTGTGCGAGTGACGCTTGCACCCGTGGACCTGGAAGTCGATGCAGAGTACCTTGTTGCTCGGGTCGACGAGCTGCCCTCTTCCGTCTCGCGAAGCATACACCTTGGTCTTTCCGTCCCAGAGGAGTTGCGCTCTGCACGTTCGCACGTCGTGCGGGTGACGCCCGAGGCAGAGGGCACATGGTGTACGGGCGTTGACACCGGTTCCCTGGCAAAAAACCTGCTGTCGCCCGCTGCGATCCCTTTCGCCTCCGTTGCGCTCCCCTCCTCCCGTCGGGTATGGGGCCGCCTGTTGCGAACCGCGCCTCCTCTCGGGCCGATCTGGCCCGCCTGCAGAGACGGGAGCGGCTCTCCTCATGCTGTGGCATGCCGATTGCGGAACGTCGTGTGACGATTCGGAGAGCGGCGCGTTGGATTTGCGTGCGATCGTTCGTCCCCGTCAGTGGGCAGGGGTGACGCAGAGGTACGATAGTGATCGCCCGGATGATGGGGACGTCCGCATTGGCGTGACGCCCGGTGCGCGACGATGATCGGGTTTCGGGAGTTGCCCAGTTGTTGACGCGAGTGAAGCGCGCGTTGCATAGTGATGCGGTTCCGTATATGCGTGCGCGATCGTGTTGCGGATTGCGAATCGGATGCGGAGGAGGTGGGGGTGGGGGGGGTTTTATGGCGGAAGGGATTGCTGTTAGCGTGCTGTGTTTCTAAAGTGGGGGAAAAAGGGAAGGACATACGCGTTGTTGATGCTGCTGACTTGCGTGTTGAGGTATCGCTGCGTTATGCGCTGCAGCCGGTCGTTGTTGAAGACCGAAGGGTCGAAAACCTCGGCGGGATTGCGATCGTATCGGAAATGCCAGAGCTGACGGACCTCCTCCTGGTAGAGGAGGAGGCAGGGGTCGCCGTGCGGGCCCTCATAACGGCTTGGGTGGTTGTCGATCGCAAAGAAGAAATCGACGAAATCTTGCACGATGTTCTTGGGCCATCCGACCTTGGCCATGTCCTCGAGTAGGCCCGTTTTGGCGATGGAGAGTTCCCTCCACGTGAGATCTCTGTCGGGCACGCAAAACCGCGCGAGCCGATTTGGTGCCGATTGCCGCAGGGCGCCCCCCTCGCCTTCCCAGGCCACGATTAGAACTTCGTCGCTGGTCCTGCAGGCGTCTTCTGCGGCCCTGCGCCGTCCCTCGACTCCGAAGTACCACAGTTCGACGTACTGATATGCCTTGAGCTTTTTCAGAGCCTTGATGTCCGTGAGGGGGGCGGATTCCTGGCCGACCATATGACCTTTGGTGTACGTCGGTATCTTTGGTCGGTTCTTCGCGGCCTCCCTCTCTTCTTCGGCTTTCTCCGTCGCCTCGCGGTCCAACCTTTCCTGTTCCGCAAGCTGCGCGGCTTCCTGGTCCGCCGCTATCTGCCGATCCCACGCCGCCTTCTCCAGATTGATGTCGGCGGTCCACGCGTCGAGCAGCGTTTGCGCCGCCTGTTCGTCCGTTAGGCCGTCTTGATTCACCAGGGACCGCCTGCATGCTGCGAAGGCTGCTCCGGCGAAATTGGGGGCGACCTGTTCGTGAGGGTTGGCTGTAATACGTGGCATTATCTTCTGCAGATACTGAAGGTTATCAGCGATTGTTGATTATGGTTCCGAATGATTATGGGGAATAAAATATATTTCTTTGCTCCAAATTTGCGTTACGGCGGCTCTCGTGAGCTCGCCAAGTGATGGAAAACCTATGGCGCGCGATGCGGGTGGCGAAGAAAGGATTGCACCGCCACCGCAACGCACGCTCTCCATAGACTCAGTTCTTGCGTCTCGCTCGTTCCTCCCGTCGCCTCAGAACAACTATCTTCCCCCACCACCGACTATGTCTTGACCCTCGCATTCCTCGTAATATTGGGGAGGGGGGGGGGTGAGATATGGCGGCGAATCTTAAACGTCAATCCGGACGAACTCGGGTCGTGATCCCGAGGGAGTGCAACAATCGTGTTTTTTTGCGTCTAAGCTCCAGGTCGTCTCTGCTCTTACGGTAGGTTGATTTCCCGTGTTCTCAGATCTGTGCGCTCGATTTCGTCAAGATGGGACATCGTCTCTGTGGATCGTCAAGCCGATCAGGAGCGATCGAGTGCGTTCACGTTCGTCGACGGGTCCGAGTGTTTCGCTCAGATGCCGCGCTGTGCACGTACATCGTGCAAGTTCACGATTATCTCCGCACGACACGAGAGTTCGTCATCAGCGATATCATTCCATGACAGCTTGTCGACCGCTGTGATGTTCCCGAACATCGCAGCCTATGGGTCCTGACACGGTGAATGTTCTCCGATCGGTTACCGACCCACGAATATCATGATGGTGCGTCCCGGTAAAGGGAGAATCACCTCATTGTACAGGGAACGTGATTCGCATTGACATTGTGAGGTGATGCAACAAATACACAATCGCGGCATGTCCGTGGCAACAACGCAATATCTGGTACAGCGTAAAATGTTCATTGGAATAGCGTTCAATGAGTATGCAGGGCTTTCGATCAATTCCGTGATGTCAAGGTGAGCAGATACGACAACACCCCATCACCGTTCTTTTCCTCTTGAATTCCGTTCTCCATTCTCCAGCTTCCAGCCGTCCAACCGAATCTTCAGCATATCGTCCCATACGCCAGCTGTCGTGGTACCCAAGGATTTGCCGTCAGAGCCTGAGGAACTTCGTGATGCAGTCGAACCAGTGCCCAAGCAGTCGCCATCGCGCATCGGGGTCCGTCCGACTTCACGATCCAGGCCGGAACGGCGGCATGTCCTCCTGATAAGCCATCGGCGATATCTGCGCGAGCCAGTACGACGACAGAGCATCCTGGTAGAACAACGATGCGGTCCCTTCCTTCGCCCGCATGTACGCACGGTAACCCGTTTCGTCGGTCGCGTGCCCAGGTAACATGGCGTCGAATACAGGACCGGAGAATGCGGCAGCGTTGACCGCGGCGTATGCGTCCAGGTCAGCATCGGAGGGACCATGAGAACCGGGGGTAAAGATGTACTGAGTAGCGGCAGACATCGAGACGAGTCGTTCCACGATTCAAATAGCGTCCAAGACGACCACGGCGATGTTGGGGGACCGACTCGTCCGCCGGAGTCGGACGTCGAACACGGAGAGCATGAAACCCTAAACCCAGACCGAGGTCGAGTCTGTGAGGAGAATCAGGACCATCTCGTATCCGGCAAACATTCGAATGCGAACAGGTGTACGAGTTCCACTTGTTTAATACAGACTGCCGAAAGGGTAGACATTATCGTGTAAAAGGGCTGCATTTGACTCTACGTAGCCGTTATTCGAGCACTGTGATCTGTTATAAGTTTGACATGCACATTCAGCGCCTCCTGAGGGTTGAGCGTGGACATGGCTTCGAGGATTACTATCAAATTAGCATATGTCCAGTAACGCAGGCAGATAATACGTACTGACATCCCACACGGAGGGGCCAATGAAGACTTCGTAAAGTGCAAGCACAAACCTGGTGACGGTGAGCCATATGAACTGCAGTGCAATATTGGCTAGCTCTTCGAAAGCGTGAAGGAGTTGTTCAAGCGCGCTCTGATGACAACATATAGTCAGAGCACAGCAATACAGGGGACGTGAACGTGAAGAAGCGGACCATGTAATCATCCGCCGGCGGTAGATCGACCAGTTTATCGCCGCTGACAGTCGCCAAACGGAACGTCAACGGCTCTTGAGCCGGCAGTGGCAGAAAGCAGCTTTGATTCCTGTCAATATTGACGGGCGCATGCGGGCAAACGTGAACATCGATGACCTCCTGGCGCTTCAGTGATTGTGTCACTGGCCGATCGATTAGATGCGGAGGAACACGGCAGGAAAGGTATGAAGAGTACCTTTGTCCCAGTTCTTGTTCGTGAGAAGCGTCGTTCGCGGTATTTGCTTGCCTCTTGTGACAGTAAAATGTACGTCGGGTAGCCCCATAGCCATGGTAGGTGACGGTGGAAGTGTCGGCATGGGCGGACACAACTTGGCCATCAGCGCTTCGATATGGATTGTCTGCACTCGGATCCTTTCCCGGACCATATCACGGGCCTCCTGTATTGCCACAATGATTGTAAGTGTACGAGGAGCCGTGCAGAGCTACGTATACACGCACTTCGTAGGTGGTCAACGGCGGGAGCCATAGATCCTCTCCATCTTCGAATCGAACTCGGATGTCGCTGCGGGTGCCTCGTTGCGCCCTTCGCCTCTTCGGAGCCTTGACCCGGAACTTCGAGGAGAGTCGCGCGAGCGCCGGGAGGGCGTTGACAATTCTTAGCGTGGCCTTGATGGCCTGACCAATCGTGTGCCCGTGTTCCGCCCGTCCAGAGAATGTGCTGTCCGTGCCGGTAACGAAAGAGAGCGCGTCCATGTCAACGAGCTCCCGCAGGTTGTGTGGCACCGAGTGTTCATCCATGGTGGGGCCGGGAAGATAGCTGAGGACAAGCTGCTAATCCCGCTTTTGTAGGCGTTCTCGCTGTGCTACAGGGCATTGTATATGCTGTAGAGTACTGCACAGCAAGCTATTCATATGGCTATCTGGAGCTTGTGGAGACCGTGAATCCTGCGCATTTTCCTGCGCCACGCCTCATTGAGCCCATGAAGTGAGTACATACATTGACTTCCTGTCCAATGACCAGGATTCCGTATGCCACATCTCGATGGGTTGTATATTGCACAGAGGAATTCTCAACCTCCGCTATGACAATAATCTTGCCTTAGCATGAACTCCGTCGGCCCGTCAGGCCCGGCGGGTACGCCGTCATCGCGCAGTGCGGAGACGCAACTTCGCTTGGACCATCGCGATGGCCAACCTCGACCCCCTTTCCAACGTTGCCTCGTCTCTCTCTCGCGAGTCTCTCATACCCGACGTGGTCCCGTCTTCCTTTTCTCCCTCTCTCCTCTTTTCCGTGGTGTGGCCGACAGGGCAAGAAGCGCTCCTGGGTAACGAACTCCCGCTCGCGGATGTGCAGGATGAGCCGAGCGTACAGCTCATGCCGATGAATCTACCCTCGGAGCAGGCTGATAACAGCGGCGAAGGGAAGGAGAGCGATGGCGAGACGACATACACGCTTGCGATGCTCGATCCGGACGCCCCTAGCAGGGCAGAGCCGCTGTACAAGTCGTTCCGGCATTGGGTGGTGCGCACGTTGTGGTTTCTTTCATGCACGAGCACAGGACTGACACGCGTATTAGATCACAGGACTTAAGTTGACCTCGTCATCGGACGGCAATGCGGACGCGATGCACTCAAGGCCGGCGACAACACCCTACCGCCCTCCAGGGCCACGTCCCGGATCGGGCGTGCACAGATATAGTAGCTCCTTCCTACCTTCTTCATTCGATAGACTTCTGAGTGCTCGACCCCGCCAGCTTTCCTCCTCTTTGAAGAGCCGCCGTCATTCGGCGGGGTTCCCGAGGGTTCACCGGAGTACGGTGCGACCCTCGAGGAGCGCAGGAGCTGGGACGCCGTAGCTTTTGGCGAGAGGTACGGACTGAAGCTAGTTGGCGCAAACTTCATGCTTGTGAGGAGCGTGGACCAGTGAAGTGGCGGGCAAAGCACGTTGCGGGCCACAAGACGATATATTGCTAGCATTCACGACATGTACGGCTACGGAATGAATGATGTTGTACGATATCCGCTACGCCACAGCGACACCTGCGCGTGGCTAGGAGATGATGAAGGAAGGTGAGGTCTTTCTACATGTGCGCCTTGAGGCCAGTGCCTGAAAATTTGGGGGCCCGGTTCAGAAACTCTGAGAAGCATGAACATCCGAGACAGGGCCGTGAGTACCAGCGATACTTGAGGATCAGATGAACGACATCCTCCTGACGATCCCATTCATTCTTTCCACCCACCAAGTCATGGAGCCAATTCCCGAGCACGCGCAGAATTGATGTCCGGTCAGCTCCATCCATGGCGAACAGAACGCGGAGACGCGCGAACAGCTTCTCCTCCAGCGAACCGGCAGAAGCGCCCTCGCCAGGGGTGTATTTGACGAATCGGAGCTTCGGTAGGAGGCAATCGGAATCGGCGCCGGTGTGGTAACGGACCATACACTCGTCCGGGAACAGGGTCTGGACCAGCGTGTCGTGTAGCGCGCTCGAACAGTTGGTGAGCGTGAGCGTCTTAAGAGACTTGCAGTCGGCGAAGAAGGCGGCAACGGCACCCGGCGACGCGTGAACGTTGGCCAACTCGAGGTGGTGCAGATCGGTCGTGAAGCAACTATAGTTTGGCACGTATCCGGCGGCGTCGGGAAGCGGTGGCTGGCAGAGACGGTGAAACAGCTCGGACGCATCGTTCAGCGCTCCGGCGGGGTCCATGTTACTAAGCTTGAGGGTCCTGATCTTCGGCGCGTCCAGGATAGATAGGAATTCCAGCGTTTCGGAGTAGGAGTGATACTCGAGAGTTAACGTATGCAAGCGAGGAAGCGAGGTTGCGCCGGCCCAGGGGAAACGCTCTTGTGACGATATTCCGGTAATATGTAGCTCCTTCAGATACCTGAAGTCGCACTTGTGAAGCTCGAGGTAAATCTGTGTGGCGGTCCGGTTCATGCAGACGATGGGCGGCACCACAGGCTAGAAACGTGCCATGACAATCAACGCCGAATTCGCAAATCCGTTGCTCCAAGGATGTGGCTGACGTACCTCTTCCCTGTTGACATTGAAAGGAACATGTGCTTCCGGGACAGGCGCTGCCATCCTTGGGGACGCTCGACTGGTAAAACAGTGGCAAAAGAACCGGCAGCGCCGGTTTGGAACAACGCGCTCAAGAACGCAATGGCGAGGCGACGGTATACAAGAACTGATGACGAAAGTTGTTGAGTTTGAGATTGAAGGAACCGGGATGCGATCGACACCGAAAACTTACCTCGAGTCCTCATAAATATATCCTCTCGAGTCCCGAGTGTGGCTTGCGGCTCCAGCTAATTTGAGTGGCCGTTCGAGTACGAAAAAGCCACCACGGTGAGGCCATGTCCTGCTGTTTCTGTGGCTTTGTGAGTCATCGATGGCTTTCAAACACGACACTGTCGTGTGCTCACTGTTGATACTTTTTCAAGTAGGAATCTACAGGCGGGCGCGACAGACGGAGGCGAGCAGCGAGGCGGAAGCAGAACTATCCGGCCAAACCCGGTTTGTCGTGTTGAAGGCACCCTATCGGAGTTCGTTACCTGCATCACGGCTGCACATCCGTGTGGTGGGTCATTGATGCAGTTCGTGCCGTTCCATGGCAATAGGCGTGCCGACAAGAGAGTACAGCAGATATTGATGAACGTCGTTCGGGAGTTGACTACCTATCCAAATTTTCAGCGTTAACGTCCTAAGGCGAAAGGTGGGGTCGGAGGCGCATTTTGACCAGAAGAGGCCGCTTTAGTGAACAATAATGAAGGAGGAGAGCGCGTTGTTGTGCCAGGCCACACGGGTGGCGCAACAACAACAAGCTATCGAAAACACGCCGGTACTTCTCTCCTGTTGCCACTATTGCCATACAAGCTACATCCTTGGCGATGATCAAACAATTGTTATTCTCCTCGAATCTTGCAACACTGAGACTCCGACATAAAGCCAGAACTCGCAAGCTGTCCCGAAAGCGACAGCCTCGCTTTACAAGGCGACATCGCTATCGGTATAAATCCTCGCATCGGAACCGCTTTGCCAGCCAAATTCTCCGCCATGCCACCATCACCTCGCAAATCAGTCAAATCCTTCCGGAAACTCTTTCACGGGAGCCAGCACAACACGCTCAGTCTCCGTGGTTTACCGTCAGAGATATGGAGCAACGTCGCCTTCTTTCTGGACCGTAGATCCGTCATCAACTTAGCACTTACATGCCAGTTTGCGTACTACGCCTGCGAGCCAGCGCTCTATCGTACTCTGACTATTCTCCATCCCGGCGACCCGAACTATCATGAAGACGAGCTCCTGGAACGCGGCCATCTGGGCCATGTCCGGCGGCTTCGGGTCAAACCTGATGTCGTTCCGGATATGCATATTAGAGAACTCGCTAAGGTACGGTAATCTCCATATGTGAGGCGTGTGCTCTGAGCTCTGTATCAGGTTCTTCCACTCATCCCCGGGATGCGCGACCTCGAACTGGAAGGATCTGTTCATATAGACTCTCTCGGGGACCTAGAACACCTTTTGAACGACAGAAGGGAGAGGATACGCTCCCTCAAACTCTCGGTGAAGACCACATCTGACGCTGTGATGAACGTAAGTAAGGTGTTGTGTCTTTGTCAGGCACTGGGCTGAATATTCTGCAGTTCGCTATCTTCAAACACCTTCGTGTGCTGGACTTGACAGCATGTACTGGCAATTCCTGGTTCCTCGACCCACTGCAGAACCTCCTGGATCCACGAGATACAGAAGTAGAGCCAAATCTTCCTTCTGATCTTTCCGACTCTTTGCCGCTCTTGACGTCATTATCGCTCACAGTCGGGCGACAGTTCTATCGGCCTGTACGTGTACGCGTCGGAGCATTCCTGGCCGCCGCACGTTTTCAGTTCTTGACCTCGTTCGCCCTCTGGATCTGGGACTGTAAACTGTGCTGGGACCACGACGAACTGCACGCGCTTGATTCCTTCTTGAAGGTTCACCGGCAACAGTTGACCGACATTACCTTGCCATGTTGGCAGCTCAAGTGCCCGTCTTGCGACTTTCCTCGAAAGGGGATCACCGCTTGGCTCTCATTGGCACCTGTTCGGCAGCTCGTGATGGGCTACAGATTCTCTCGCGAACTTGCTCTTTCTGGCGCTTCTCTGATGAGCCTCGAGCAGTTGACTATTCGTGCTGGCTGGGCAGGTGGTCCCTACTGCTGGGAGGTGATGTCGGTGTGGCCGGACGCGCCGAGCCTCAAAATGCTCACTGTCAGCATCGAGGGCAGCGACGAACTCGATTGGTTGGCAATTTCCGAAGCATATCCTGCGTTGGAGTACCTTTGCGTAGACTGGACGCATGCTGTGAGTAATCCACGATAAGGATCCTCATTGACTCCAGCAATGACTCACCGATTTATGACACTATGCAGATAAGCAACTATAAGGTCAAGCAGAGGAAGATGCCCTTCTACTTCCCGAAGATATGCCCGAAGCTCAAGTGGGTGCGGATCCATGCCAAACGCCTGGCGGACGAAGTTCGTTTACGGGTTCATCGTAATCACAGCTCTGGTGCATGGTGGGTGTCAAAGCTGAGCTCCGATTCTTGGTTTCCTTCGGACGATCGGCTAGAGACCAGGGCTGTACTGTTCTAGATTCTACGCTCAGATTTGACCTTGGAGACGTAGTATACATACTTAACAAATTCTGAAGATGGTACTTGGCCAGCGTACAAAAGATATGCGATGTACGGCGTTCGGCGCAATCGGCGCCGTTCGGATGACACGTGCAAGCCAGTTGGCACGGAAGCCGAACTGCGGCCGCTTGTTCCCCTTGTTCGAAGCTCCTGGGATGAACGACTTGCAACCGAAAGAGATGTCTTTCTGACTTCTAGAGCGTCTTATGTTACTTGGTCCCGCATTCTTGCATCTTCAGAGAGCGGCACTCCGTTTTCCTGTGGTTCTACGAGTGAGATGTTCCGCTGTGTGCATCACAGGATTGGTCGTCTGACGCTGGCGAATGGAGACGATTCGCATCCTCTCTCGTCACTGGCTACTCCTAGTTTGCTCAGGAAGAGGACGCGCAAACGTGATGGTTCGGCATCCGATCTAGGAAAATGACGCACATTTAATAGGACTTCCACACTGGGCGCGTCTGTGCCATATATCTCGGCAGATGTACACAGGACGCCGCACTTTTCGCCCGCTAACACGCCGCATACGACATGCCTAGTCTTATCTACGCTTTGCTGCTCTTCCTGATTGCAGCTCCGTCGATAGCCAACCCTGTTGGCCGCGCAACTGCGCCAGCTGTCGTTCTCGACAAGGGAACGTTCATTGGCGTCGACAAGGGACTCAATTTTCAGTTTTTAGGTCTTCCTTTTACGCAACCTGTGTATGTTCTATCTACACAATGCTCAGTTATGCGCACTCGGAGATTTTCTGACCCATCAACGTAGATCCGGAAAGGCTCGACTGCACTTACCTCAGCTTAATCTGCCTTATACCGGTGTCCATGATGCAACGACGTTCGGTCCCGGGTGCCTACAGCAAGCTACCCCAACGCCGACCCTTGTTCCTGGGTCCAACTCAAGCGCACCACCGCCTCCGACGGACGAAGAGTGTACGTCCAGATCGCTTGCTAGTATAAAGATGCGGCATTTTATGCGATAGCCCAAGGCCTCACAATCAATGTTATAACTCCTGCTTCATCTCACCCCAATTCAAAGTTCCCGGTTGCCGTGGTGCGTGTTGTGTTCAGTGCTTCGTTTCTTTCTACACATTCTGTTTGAACCGCCAGTGGATATACGGAGGTACCCTATTTTCTCTTCCAATTGCACTTCCTCGGCTGATATGTATATCGTTAGGTGGGTTCGAAACTGGGATGTCCTCAAGGTGAGAATTTCGGCGAGCAAGCTGGATGTTCATGACGAGATATCGATAGCTCCGACGGAGGAATGATTGTCAACCGATCAATCGAGCTATCCGAACCAGTGGTATATGTTAGCATGAACTACCGTCTGAATGGTGCGTGATGCCTTGTTATTCATCCAAGGCAGAGGAGGACTTCATCGGGACGTATTTCCCCATTGTCCATAGGTTTCGGTTTCCTTTCCAGTAGAGAGGTGAGAGACGCCGGATTGGGAAACCTTGGGCTTCACGATCGTGCGTGCATTGTGAATAAAATCTCTATTTGCGAGTACTCATAGGCACAACAGAACGTGAGGCGTTACGCTGGATTCAGAAGTATATCAGGGCTTTTGGTGAGTCGTTGTATGCTGTTCTCCAAATGTTCGACGATGATAAATCGCTTTTCTTCTAGGAGGGTAACTCTTACTATATACGCTACCACGCCTGGGACTAACGATACCACCGTAGTGATCCTGCTAAGGTGACGATGTGGGGATCTCAGGAGCGTGTTGCGTCTTGATTCAGCTGACATGGGCTGTGGTTAGATGGGGAGAATCTGCCGGTGCGATATCGGTCGGCTCCCAGATGATGACGAATGGCGGCAATACCGAGGGTCTATTCCGCGGCGCTTTCATGGAGTCGGGCTCACCCAATCAGCTAGCGAGTGACATCACGGCAGGACAGGTATCCTATGATCATATTATAGCCGATACCGGCTGCGCTAGCTCCTCCGATACATTGGAATGCTTGCGAACCGTACCCGCGGCAGTTCTACTGGACGCCATCAACAAGACACCGAATATATTCAGCCCTGCACAGGTTAGCGATACGAAGCAGTACAGCTCCCGAAAGTTAATATATCAACAGGCACTAAATCTCACTTGGGAACCGCGCGTAGATGGGGTGTTCTTCACTGAATCGGGGGTCAACCTGGTTGCGAAAGGCAGCGTTGCTGATGTGCCGATAGTCAGCGGTAAGTAAATTACTTTTGATCTTGCGGTGTGCCCCCGTAGTGACCTGTTATTGTTGAGGTGATTGCGATGACGAGGTGAGCATGCCTCCATCATGAGCTGTATAGTGTACTTCTCTGAGACGAAGTACAGGGTACAATATTCAGCGTGGTCCTTACAAACATTACGTAAGTAGTTAGCTGTCAGGACATTGCGCGATATTCAAGGGTATACAAAGGACGGATGAGGAGGCTTTGGACTTCATTTCGACCAACTTCTTCCCCGCTGCCACTGTGAGTCGGATGAAAAGGCTTCTTGACCTGTACCCGCAGGATCCCGCGGCAGGGTCTCCATTCGACACGGGTGACCAGAATGCCCTCACCCCCCAGTACAAACGCCTTGCTGCACTGCAGGCGAGTTGCCCACTCAGTCAGCAAGTACCCGGTTCTAACTCGATCGCATAGGGAGACATAACCTTCCAAGCTCCTCGTCGGTTCCTCTTCGAAAAACGTGTGACGAAACAACCCGTATATTCATTCTGTGAGCAAGAATTGGCGGTTCGCTTGCTCTTGCCTAAACTGGGTAACGTCCCTCTTGCAGTGAGCAAACGTGGCAAGTCGACGCCCTTCGTCGGAGCGTTCCACTCTAGCGATCTTCAGAATGTATACGGCGGCGGGGAGCTCACCGACTACCTCGTTCATTTCGTCAACAATCTGGACCCGAATGGGCTTCTCGTGACTGGGAAAAGGTTTTACTGGCCTCGATACGATCTCACACATCGACAACTACTCACGCTGCTCGACGCACCTCTTCCTGCCTTGGAATTGACCGCAGACACTTACAGGGAGGATGCGATGAAATTTGTGGCGGATTTGATCACCGAGAGGGAGCAGGCCATATAAGCCATAGGGCATGAAATGTCTCATTATGCTCTCGCGCAAAAGCACACAAGTACAACCTAGCATCATAGGATAACTACAAAGACCGCTGTATCACAAGACATCATACGCCGCTAGCATTCTTCTGCCAATACGGTTGACCTGCCCGGTTCTCAGAAGGAGATCCGAGTACCCACGCAGTATTGAAATATGTTACACAGTGAAGGAACAGCATCATGATCTTCTGAATCTACCACGTCCGAATGATCATGCACTTTAGTACGTGGAGACCCCCTACGACTGCTGGTTCCGCTTGCGTAGAACGTGCGGCTCTACCTGTGGCCACATGATGAGCGCCTTCCACAGTTGCCGCCACGATATTGGATTTCCCTAACATGCCCAATTAGTTGGCTGCTCTGCATCTGATTAGACAGCGGAGGAATCGCTTACCGCTTCCTTGCGCAATACGCAGAAGCTCCCGTTGATGTCGTTGTAGTTGAACGGCTCGATTTCCACCCAGCCCTTGACCACCTCGTGGCGCCGGTCGTACCCACCCACACGGAACTTGAGCAGCGGCGCCTCGTCCGGAGGTGGATCGCCCTGTATATCACGTATCTTCAATGAATGCGTGATCAAAGGGGGAAACAGACGCGCACCGGCTTGGGGGAGGGAACTTTGCACTTGAGTCCGATACCGATAACCGCGTCGTGCAAAAGCGGCATGAGCTGCGGCGGCCGGAGTGACGAGTAGAACCGCGTGAGATGAGGGGTGTATCGTTTCCCGGTCTGGGTTTGGCTCTGGATGACGTTTTATCAGTTGACGGAGAAGAGAGACAAGGAAGAGTTGGAGAGGTGACTGACGAAAAGCATGAGCGTCTGGGTGAACTGAGACAGGTGCGTTGCGGTGCCCATTATCTGGTCGCCGTCTTCGTCGACCATGTTCTCGTCCTGGGGGGACGTAGCCGCGGAGGGCGTGGCAATCTCGAGGTCGCCGGTCGCGCGGAGGGACTCGGTGAGGCACTCAGCGAGCTGAGCGGCACTTTTTCCAGCAAGTTGGCTGGGCCTGAGCAGAATGAGGAGTGAGTAGTGAGAATGGTATGGAGCCAAGAAACGAGAGCTCACCGTGTACACCACTCGTGACACGCGACGTCGTCCAAAGTCATACGTCGGTTCGGGTTGATCGTAAGCATCCCTCTAATCAATGCTGAGCATGGAATATACCATGAGTACATGAATGTGTGCACTGATCACGAAGCGTTGAAGGTACATACAAAGGACCGTCTCCCCGAGCTTGTTCCATGGTGCCTCGGTGAATATTGAGCCCTTGACATAGCTGCGAAATTCGCGACTCTTCTTCGTCGGCTCATCCCATGGAGTATCTAGCACAGCAGCGAGCAATGAGCATGCAGCGAGCACATGATAGGATGTGCCAGACTCACTGCCTACGAGGAGCGTGAAGAGGATGACACCAATACCCCACACGTCGATTGGCTCAGCTGAGTACGGTTCATCGGAGTTCAACTAGCGCGCCGAAAGATGTCAGCGTCTGTTCGCAGAACGAGTCCTGATCAACGAAGCACGCACTTCTGGCGCGACGTATGGCAGTGATCCACATCGTTCGCTGAGTAACCTCACTTTCTTTTTGCCTGAACATACATTAACGAGCATTTCGCATATAAAAGCGACGAAGTATGAAAACAACAGACGGACCTGTCGCTTTGTCTACGATACTGAATACGGAGCACAGGCCGAAGTCGGATATCTTCAAGGTACCGGCAGCGTCGAGCATGATATTCTCTGGTTTGAGGTCCCGGTGGCATATTCCCAGCGAGTGAATGTACGCCTGACGAGTTGAGGGACATGAGGAAAGCAATAGAGGAACAGATGAGGGGAAGCACTGACGACGCCTGCGAGCAGCTGACTGAAGTAGTAATGTGCGACGTCTTCACCGACTCCCACGTCAGGGGCTGGGATACACTGGTCAGTATGTTAACATTGGACTGAATGGTGAAGACCTGTTTACCTATTTTGTCGAAGAGGTCTCCTCCCGCTGCGAGTTCAAGGAGCATGTAGATGCCTGGGACGTACGGGCTCGGCCTGCATGATAGGCAAAGTTAGACATAAATATGACGAGAGGTACGCTCAATCGATGGTTAGATGTCGAGATCCAATGCACGTACTTTCCCTTGTCGTCCTCGATAATGAGTGCATCGATGAATTCAAGAACGTTGTCATGTTTCAGCGCAGAGTGGACACGCATCTCTTTGTCGAGAGTCTTCCTGTCATGTTCGGTCGTCTGTTGTGGCCAGAGTTACATGGATGAGTGTGTGATCGGTGATAAGAATGTACGGACGTTACTTGAGGTGTGAGGTAAACAACTTTGCATGCTGCGATTCGGCGATCTTCTATGTTGACGGCTCGATATACACTAAACTGAGCCATCAGAGTGGTTGAGAGTTACACTGTTGTGTAGATAGGCGCACGTAGAGAATGCCCCTCCACCGATTTGCTCTATCAATTGGTATCCTGGATAGGAGTGCAATCAAAGTTAATGCGATGCAGGTTATGATAGATGTCTCACCAATGACTTTGGGAAACTTTCGTTGCGACATGACTGTGTCCAATCCAAGATGATACTGTTCTCCCTTGTTGTGGAGGCGATTCCACTATGATACAGAGCGTTTGCCAGCCGCGCGTTACGGCCGTTGAGAGGACAAAGCAAGAGACGTCACGTAATTTAGACGCGCGGTACGCGGTCTCGTGATCGTCCCACGGTTGCGCTCGCTTCGGCCCACAGTGACATCGGACCGGCATCCACGGCGTGGCTGTGCTACACGTGGCCCACCGGTCCTTGCCGAGTAGTGAAGGTCCGAATCGCAGTGCAGGGATTCGCCGGCTTGGGGCAATTGCTTTGGGCTTGACTGCTTCATTCACCCCCCACCCCCCCTCGATACCCTCTGGTTTGACCGGACAAGATATCGCCCGAGTCTAGGATACTAGATCATTCCTTGGTTGATAAATCGGATTTACGGGGCTATCAACGATTCCTCGGGATCGAATTTGTAAGCTTCGTTCTATTGCTTGACTCATGCAGAAGGGTACGCCCCATATTTAGTTTCATCTTATGACCTATGAGGCCATCGGTTTCGTGAATCATTCTCAAAACTCCCTTGGATCTGACCACGCTCATGTTATAGCTTGTTCCCTCTCTTTCGACATATTGACCCCTCACACGACCGTCTACGAAGCGTCGCAGAGCTGTGAATGATTGCTCAGCATGCCCGTCGATAATAGTGAACCCGTTAACGAGGGCTCGTCCTCGTCGACCAACTACCTCAAGGACAGACGCTTCAAGCTCAGCAGGTATGTCCCATCTTATCTCATCCGCCTCACCACCGCGCCTACGCTAAATTGGGCTGCAGGGCATGCGATCGATGTCGGTAAGCCTACGGGCCGCGCGCGCCACATTCACTGTATACCGAAGCGGCCGTGCTCACCGGATCTTGCTTCTTCGCTCCAATCGTAGTCGGCGCAGGATCAAGTGCGACGAAGGTCACCCCTGTCAGGCCTGCCTCACCTCCAGCTCGGACTGCACCTTCGAAGAGCCGGGTAAACGCACGCACCCGCACAAGTCCAAGTGAGTGACCCCCCGCATGGCACCGATCGTCCCATGTGACCTTTCTGGGCCCTGCATACTAAACAAACCTTGTGCTCCTTCAGGCGGACAGCGACGCTTGAGGACCGCATGCGGCACCTCGAGACGCTCATCCACGCCATCCCACCCACGGTGTTCGCCGCAGCAAATGGGTCCTTGAACGGCGGTCAACTGTCCGTCGACTCGCCCACCTCACCAACCATGCCCGCGCCCTTCAACGGGCTCCCTGGCGCCCTCGCCGCGCAGCAGCTCCCGCTTGGCGTTCCCCCGCCCTCCCTGAGCTCGTTCCCACTCATGAACCCCGGAGGACACTTTACCCACCTCGGGCCGAACAGGCCTCCCAGCCTTTTCGGCGGCCAAGGCGACTCCCCGATGGGTGGCCAGATGGATATCGAAGAGGGCATGACGCGCATGTCGATCAACCCGTCATACCTTTATCTCGACCAGGAAGGCTACACGCGATGGCAGGGCGAGATGTCTGGACTTCCGCTGCTCGACTTGCTGGTCGACCGGCACTCGATCGACATCAAGGAAGAGGCCGATCGCGAGCCGGCGCGGACAATATCAGCCGCAGCCAATCCCACTTCGCACACGTCCCCCGCGGTCCTCGAGCCGTCGCCCTCTCGACGAACATCGAGATCGTCCACGACGAAGGGTTCAGATATCAACCCAGAGGCGCTGTGGAAGACAATCACGAACATCATCGTCCCAGAACTGATGGACAGGTAGGCAACGTTTCGTCGTTTGCCCGTTCTTTACCTCACGCATGAAAGCCTCGTCCAATGCTATCTATCGACATCGTACTACCTGATGCCGTTCCTACACGTCCCGACTTTCCTTGCTGTAAGTACTCTCATGTCTGGGGATATTCTGGTGGCTAAATGCCCTCATCATCCAGGATTACGGCAACCCACAAAAATGGGGCGAACCGGGATTTGCCTCCTTCATCGTCGCTCTGTGCTGCCTTTCCTCGCGGCACATCGATGACCCACGCGTGCGCGCCGACCCGAACGATGGCGTCTCCGCCGGCTCGCAGTGGTTTGACCTCTTTCTTCGGCTTCGGGCGCTGCCCTCCGCCGACCGGCCGACACTCTACACCATCCAAGGCGTTCTTGTCGCGGGCGTGTACGCCGTCGGAGCCGGCAAGCTCTCCAAGGCGTTCGCGCTTCTGTCCGAGGCGATCACGCTCTCAGTCGACGCCGGCATCCATCGCTGCGCCGACGCGTACGACTACTTTGACCCGATCGAGGAGGAAGTCCGCAAGCGCACGTTCTGGTGCGTCTATCTTTGGGACAAGCAGGCGAGCGCGCACTTCGGCCGCCCGCCCATGATCCGCCTCCGCGACTGCGACGTGCGCGAGCCGGCGGTCGTCGACGACGAGTTCCTCACGAACGAGGGATCAACGCCACAACCTGGAAGGCCCGAGACGGAAAGCAGGATGTTCGCGTTTGTGTGCACTATCCGGTTGTTCGTCGTCCTTGAGTCGGTCGTCGACGCTCCGCCGTCGCGATACTTTGGCGAGAGCTCGGCGTTTCTTACGCGTGCCACGGGGATCCTGTCTGGGTTCAGGAGGCACAAGGAGCTGAGGGAGGAGGAGGCGCTGTTGGACGAGGTTTGCTCGATGATACCGCCGTATTGGAAGCATTCGCCCGAGACGATGGCGAGCGAGGATGTGCTAAGGGTGACGCAAGCGGAGCGGTTGCACTGCATGGAGCAGTACGTGAGGATGCTGATACACCGCCATCGGTTCTCGGAATTGGTCGCCGATCGGACGAGGACGGGGACGGAGGAGCAGAGCGAGGCGGAGTGTGAGGCGATTAGATCGGCGCATGCGTGCGCTTTGCAGATTGTCGCGGCGCATCTGCATATTGGTCTGAAGGGGATGATGACGTGGTGTATGTATCCATTTGGCATCTGGTTAACCAGGGAGCTGACGCTCTTCTTTAGATGGTGTCCACGTCATCCATCAACTCACGCAGGCTGGAAGAACGCTCACCGCTGTCGTGCTCAACAGCGAAGCGGAGTCGTTGCGTGCGTTAAAACCTCCGTCCTTGGACGCTTTGCGATCCTGCGTTGGCCTTCTCCGCCGTTTCTCGGGTCGTTACGTTTGCGGAATGCGATCCAGTGATATGATGGAAGAATTTTGTCGACGTGAGTGATCCGTTTCGTCGACGAGCCCGACGGTTGTCTGACCCGGATCATGCAGTTACCCAAATACCCTTGGACACGCCCGCCCGGCTGGACGATCAAAGGCGGAGTCGTACCCCATGGATGAAACCTGTCCGGAAGAAGACGCGCTCTGCTGCACGTTCGCCAGGCAGCTCGACCGACTCCCCTTCGCAACAGGCGCCGAGTCCGGAGGGCTTCTCCCCGGACATCTTCCTCGACATGGCTGGCAGCGCGAGTCCTTCGGCATCCGCTGCGTTCCCCATGGGCATGCCGCCGGCATCAGTCCCTTCACCTGCCGGCATGCTCGACGGATTCGGACGCATTCAGAGCTCTACGGGATCCCCGTTCATGGACGGCGGCACGGGCGCTGGGATGATGGGCACCGGGCCCGAGCAGCTCGGGATGTCGTCCGCGGAGATACTTGCGTTGTTCAACGATGGCGGCGTGGATGTGTCGACGTTTTTCCCGTCACCCGGTCCGGTGCCGACGAGCTTGAATGGCAACGGGCGACATAGGTCAAATTCGTACGCGAATGGCGCCTTGGGGATGACAAACTCGATGGGTTTGTGATTTTTTTTTCGGGTATCTGTTGGACATGGCTATTCCTCCGGTGCCTCTGTCGTTGCTGCTGCTGCTCTGTATTGTTGCGATCGTTGTACCATATGATCGAAGAAAGCATCTTTACCTCGACACCTCCTTCAGTGGCTGTGCCCTCGAAATTATTGTCTTGCCTGCTAATTGTTCTGGCAATCGACCATCACCACCAGCTCGACGCTTTGCAGCTCCTGGGACCTTATAAGACAAAATCTACTATTGTATATGTTGACCGAAACTAAGATTGATCACGCTATGCTCTGGGACAGCGACACGGATACATCATGTCATACAATACGTCAGCAACGATCTCGCACAGCGTAACCAGGTGCCTGGCATCAGCGTGTCCTAGAAGCTCCGCAACAATACAAGTCTCATATGTGCCATCGCCAGGAGCAGCCATGTGCTGGGACTAGAGATCACAATAGGCTCGACGATAATGCATATAAGCACAGATCCTCCAGTGTGAGCTTTCTCAACCGTCGACTGGCTCGTCTTTGCTTATCCGTATCGTGCAGCATCTTCCTTTCCACTCGCCGAATTGCCGCATCTGCCCATTCCCCTTCGAATCCACGAATCATGAACATGTTCGCAACCCCAATCTCACAGCAAGGTTTCACGCGCCAGGAGCAGCATGCCTACCCAAGCGAGAAAAGCATGTCCGACGTGTCGACAGTTCTAGTCGTGAGTCTTCATGTTTACGCTGAGAGAAATCCGTCTAACCGTTGGACAGACGACCTGCACCCCGCACGACAAGCTACGCGCCGCGATCCGACAGGCTTCAGAGGCCAAACTGGGCGAAATTCGCGTCACTAGCGAAAACATAGTGTACAATCTGGAAATCCTTTCCGGATCGATGACACGACTCGTCGTAGACGGAGACGGCGCTGGATCATTTCGCGGGCCCCAATTCAACCTCCCGAAGCTGGAAAGCTTGACCCTCGAGTACCGCGACGTCTCCCAGGCGATCGAGATGCTGTCCCTCCTCTGCATGCCTGCGCTCACAGAGCTGCGGCTGACGCACATCTCGAACAGTCGTTACGAGGGCGAGCCGCAAGCCGATTCAGCGGCTTTGTTCGGGTATTTGTGGAGCAACAGCCTCTGCGACCTGCGTCTCGGATACCCCTCCGTCTCACTTCCTTCCATCGTCTATCTCGTGCTGGACCGCGTCCATTCCGAGCCCTCCGATTTTGGCGCCTTCCTCTCGCGACTCGGGTCCCTGAAGTTTATGGACCTGAACGAATGCTCCCCCGCCCTGCTCGAGCCACTCGTCACTGCAATCCTCCCCGACAACGCACTCATCAATCACGACGGCCTGGACTACGATACGTGGATGGATTGCTTGCCGATGCCCGAGCTCGTCGACATCGAGTGCAGCGACGATTGCAGCGATGGATGGCTTGCAGAGTTGCTGATCGCGCGGGTGCGGGGACTCCTCCTCAAGTGCGGACGGGGAGCGGAGATCGGTCGCGAGGACCTCTTGCGGAGCTTGGCACAGGTCTCGCATCGCGCTTTGTGTCTGGCGTCGGGTGTTTGGAGTCCAGAACCTCGCGTGGAGGGCGACGAAGATCCTATTCAGTTCATCCTACACAATCGGCCAGGCTCCAAGGTCCACTCGGACGCAGAGTGAAGTGTAACGGAACCCCCGTGGATGATAGTACTACTTAGAGGGTGCACCAACGTAATTGCCGCGGTACTTAGTAGATATATACCAATATTATATCAATAGTAATGCACATGTCATAGTACGAGTCAAAGCCTGCGCTCACTCCTCAGGCCGCGGGAATGAAGGTTGCTCCATCCGCGCTACCAGTCCTATTTTCACCCACTGTTCTTACCAGTGATGTGAGTTTTTCCCTCGCGCGATCGAACGCGTGCGTCCTTCGTAATACCTTGAAACTCTAGCACCGGATCATGGTTGCAACGTTACCGTTTCCCACTGTCCATATCGAACTGCAGCCGCACGAAAGCCTGGCATATCTGCGGCCACGTTCTCTTGGCTCAGATAACCCTAACGGAACCGACAGCAGCGAGTGGCATACATTCGTATTACCAATTTACCGCCACTGTCTTGTTCAGTTCGCAGTGGGGGTTCTGCGGATACACTGGATAAATTTCCCGTGCGGTTCAGTCAAAAGACCACCCTCCGGTGAAAGAATCCTTGCTCAGGGGAGCAAACAACTGGAAAAGACCCGGAGAAAGCTCCAAGGTTCCAAACGGACACTCGATGCACTGAAGTTTCCACGTATGCCGCAGTGCAAGAGCAGATCAGTCAGTGTGAATCAGCGAGTGACGATGGTTGCTGTACCGACCTCGTCTACGATCTCCGCCGTGACCGTCTGCCCCAGAGCCGTGATAGTGATATTCTGGAAGCAATGTGCTCCCTTGGCCCATTGCTATATGTCGCAGGGGCAGATTAGGTCAGGTCAAGGTGAGGTCAATGCGCAGAGGATCGTACATCGCGATTCAGCGCTGCGACCTGTAAGGCGGACCTCATTAAACGCAGACACGATGGAGATAAGTCGCCAACAGTAACTCACCAAGTCTTTGGGACCACTGGTCGCACCACATGCGCCTACATTACATCGGATCAATCTCGTGCACGCAGTCATGAGCAAGGTTTGCAGCTCACCAATGCCGGGTTCAAAGAAGGTGAATCGTTGGTTCTGGAATTGTTGGGCCAAAACAGCCGTAGAACTCGGAAATCATCAGCGTCAATACACCAAAGCGTCATAGGTCCAAGGACGTACGCAGTGGCACCGATAATTGCGGCCAAGAGTTTAGACTGCATGATGGATGGCCGACTGTTGTACCAGGAGGTTCGACCTAGGAAAGATGGAGAGTCAGAAGAGGGTTCCTTACATAGTCCTCTGTAATAACGTATGGACCTAAGCTCATCCAAATCTCTGTGATACTAAGCAGGTTTAGTAGCCGGCCAGCCCCGTTCGTTGCAGATCACACGACAATAGGTATGTGCTTACGAAGATCTCCGCGTAGAACTTCGTTCATCAGATACCAAGCCGCTGAAGAGCATGCGCTAGTTGAATGCACCGGAGAACTAACATACTATCGTAAGCATACGGAGTACGCGGATGTGTAGACCCTCGCTACTCACGGCGGAAACGCGGTCATGACACGACAGCCGTCGACAGAGACCCGTATCTGGAGTAACATACGCATTCAGTGGCATTAATATAAATGAGCAAGGAGAAAGTTTCTCTCGGCGAGTTCTTGGCAAGAAGGAATAGTTTTGACGAACATGTCGGAGAGAGCCAGCGCAGCCGAAACTTACCGCTAAACGCAGTGACAACACACCTCTTATTCCGGTTACTAAGATGCATTCAAAATCCCGTACATATCGCGTAAAGCGCGAGGATGCCGGGGTACGTTGCACATGTATCCGAGAACATCGTGGTGGGCTGCAGCAAGTAATCCAAGTCCGTCGAACGTTGCAGAATCGTTGGTTACCGCAACACAATTTTTTTTGATAGAGAGTCCCATAGCTTTCCAAGAGAGAGATTCAGCGCACGCAACAGACTTCCGGTGCGATGGTGGGTGCGATGACAACTACCATGGCCTGCCAGCATCCAGAGGACGAAGGACGAAACTCGGTACCGCAGGGTCTGAAAGTGCACGTGATTATAAAGGAGCTCCGCGATCGGCGGCGTCGCGCGTCCGTTTTTTTCTTCACTGTTTGCCATCGCACTGGATCAATCGTCTCGCTATGTTTCCGGAATAAAGCAACGAAAAGCGACAAGAAGAGGAAATCTACAATGTGCTTCATTTCATCTTAAGCCCCTAGAAGATCTATGACATTCAGGATTATGGGCCATACTAGGACACGACTGCCGTAAACCGCCATGTTGGGCCATGACGAGCGCCTCGTTGGTTCCTGATATCCAATCCTGAAGATCTTTCGCATTGATCAAGGAGGTGGCACTGGCACCATGACTCACACAGAGTTCGCTCATACAGGGTTTCACTGGGCGGTCTCGGAAGCTCGATCGCGCATTGAGGCAGGGCCAATTGAAACCGAACAGCATTGCTTAGCTCATGCAACAATTAGACGCGCATTGTACAGGGAAATTGCTGGGACAATGCATGAGAATCGAGCTATTATGCTGCCGGACAGGGCGACGCACAGCATGCATGTGGGCCTCATCAAAGAGGCGCCCACACATCTTTCCCTATCGATGTGAACTGTGGCGCGCCCTGTTTCCGGTCCCCGAACAGAGTCTGAACGTCCGAAACGAGCGCGTTACACGTGCCGGCGACGCGATCGGGACAGCATCGGTTGTCGCAGCGTGCCCGGGACGTACTCACGAACCTCTACACGTGTAAGATTGTATATAACTCTGTCTCCTGTGGCTCCTATGGGCTCCTCGCCAACCGCACCTTCAGCGGTCTGGACCAGCATAATTGTGCTGTGCGTAACGCGCCGTCCTATTCCATTGGTTCTCTCGCTGACTCCAATTGCTATGCAAGGTCGTCATGAACACTCAACATCGGATGCTGCCCCTCGCTCTCCCTCAACGTTCACGACTCTCCATGCATGGTTACCTCCGTCTGTTTGGATGTGCCTCTTCTCCCGTACAGAAACTCCCCAACGAGATTCTCGGTCTCGTCTTCACGTCCTCTGCGCCAGCAGAACCGCATGATACCTCGAACTCCCTGCGGGCTGCCGTCACGCTATCCCATGTCTGCCGCCACTGGCGACGACTGGCGCTCTCTCGTTCCGAGCTCTGGTCCTCAATATACCTCCACTTGCCTCTCAGCGACGCACAAGTGGACCGCGCCGGCGCATGTCTCCTACGCTCGCGCACACGACCTCTCAACGTCGTGATGGACCTGGCAGATCTGTCCGACGACGAGGACGAGGATCCGCACGGTATCACACAGGAACAGATGGAAACGCTCTGCCGCGTCTTACTCCCGCACGCATCACGGTGGCGTCGTATCAAGCTCGTGACGGACGACTGGGCGCCAATGCATCTCTTCCTCCGACATCTTATCTCCATCCGCTCGCTCCCACTGCTCGAAACGGTCGAGCTTCGACGATGCAACGAGGGCCTCGCGCTCGACGGCGCAGCCTTCTCTCCAGATACGGTCTCATTGAGAGAGCCGGTCGCGCTCTTCGACGAATCGCAAACAGGGTTGGAAGCTTCCCGCGCGCTGCGGAGTCTACAGCTATTTGGCGTACATGTGAACTGGCGGTCGCTCGACGTCAGGGGCTTGAGAGAGCTCCAGCTGATGTACATCCCTCACGAGTTCCGTCCCTCCCGCGACGACCTCGTCCACATACTGGACAGCTGCTCCGCCTCCTTGGAGGTCTTGTCCATATTGTGCGGCGTATCCTCGCCCCCCTCATCGCCCAAGGAACGGCGCCAGGTCACTCTTCCTCACCTGAAGCACTTGACCGTCGGTTATCTGAATGCTGCTCAAGCAGTGCAGATATTCTCGTTGCTATCTGCGCCCGCTGCGATCCGCCTCGGTCTCGTCGACGTCACCGCCACGCTGGAGCACGGCGTGGCTATATCTGACTCGGCCGAGCTGTTCGACCACCTGAGCCAAGATAGCACCAGCAGCTCTTCCGACAAGGAGGAGCAGTCGGCACCCTTCCCCCTTCCGTCCATCCGCGCCCTCGACCTGCACTTCATCCACTCCTCCCCCGCTGCGTTCGGCGCCTTCCTCGCGCGCTGCATGAGCCTCGAGCACCTCGCCATCGAGGCCTGCTCGGACGTGCTGCTGGATGCGCTCGCCTCGGTCATCCACGGTCCGCTAGGAGAGGAAGTTGGTACGGTCGTTACCAAAGCCGAAGAAGACTCGGGTGTTTCCGAGAGAGAACGCAGCGCGGCGTGCGGCGTGGCGTGCCCCCTGCTTAGCACCATCGACTGCTTCGACTGCGACGATACGGCGGAGACGTTGACGGACTTGCTGTCCTCTCGGGTGAAGGGGGACCTGCCGGGTGACGTGTCCTAATCTCGCTAGGTCGCAGCCGTTCCGCGTCGCGAGGGGAATTCGTGCTCCCCTGCACAACGTAGAGAAAAAAGCCGTTCTGAATAACCTCAGGCTCAAGAGCCATCATGCAGTCTTTTGCTTCGGTTTTACGAGAATCCATCATGATCGATACCATGCCCCAAAGTCACTTACTGCTTTCCATCATCATTGCTGTCCCATCGCTTTTTTTTTCTTAACCAAATCGCATATCGCATTGATACCAGTTCATAAGCAACGATATATTAGTCGCATAGTAGCACATCGTCGATCGCTCCACCTCAAATCATAATATCTCGGCTAGTCGGTCGTTGCCGATGCAGCTAACCGCGCATTGTTTCACGCTCTTGTGGGTCCTCCCAAATTGAGCCCCTTCGCCAGCAAGTTACGCACCAGATAGACCGCCGTTTCCGCGAGGATGACCAGCGTGCCTTCGCCAGCGAACACCAAGTTGGCGGAGGTGGTGTTCAGGAAGAACTTGCCCAGCAGCGTGCCTTCAGCGTCCCAAACCTGGACAACAACAGACGAGAGAATCAGTGCCTGCAACCAAAGCGAGAGAAAAAAATCTCGGGAAATCGATACATACTTGGACGCCGTCGCCGCACCCTGCGTACACGTTCCCTTTGCTGTCCACCTGCACCCCGTCCGCCACCCCCGTATCCACGTAGGCGAACACGCGGCGGTTCAGGAACGCCCCCGTTTTCTCGTCGACGTCGAATTGGTACCTGCATTCCACAAGCGGATCGTCATCGACAGCCGTTCGGAGAGCAGCTCTCGGCGCGACCAGGGGCGGAAACGCTTACAACGTGGCCGGCTCCGTCCCGTTGTTCCCCAAAAAGCCGGAAACCACCCCCGTGTCCGCTCTGCGGGTCCCATCCAATATGGATCATCAGCTACACGAGGCGGAGAGATTCAATTGCTTGCTGACATATATGCGGTCTTGCCGTCCTTTGTGAACGCTATGCCATTGCACTTGTCAAAGCCGTCCGCGACGACACGGACGGCGCTCGTCACCGGATCGAACCGGTAAATCTGGTTTGGCAGGGCAGGTAAGGGTCGGAAATGGTTTAGCCAGCCGTACCTTCAGATCGCGAAATAGGTCAGTGATACGATAGCAAAGCCAGACCTTAGTGCGAGTACATACGTGACGTCGGTGAAGAAATATTTGCCGCTCTTCGGGTGGATCTTGATATCGTTCAGGGAGTTGAACTGACGACCGAAGAAGTTGTCCAGGAGGACAGTCGTGTTAAACGGCGGGCTCGGGTTGACGAGAACGATGGAAGAAGCCGCAGGCCCTCTGCCGGACGTGATCAGCAGCAGGTTACCGCCCACTGGACCTGTACCACCGTTCGTCATCTGGACAGAATCGGGAAGGTCGAGCTACGAAAGTCCACATAAGAGGTAACCACGTTGACCATGTAGCACATTGACGTACTTTCGTGAAGGTAACATTCACTTCCTCAGCACCCGCGTCCAGCGCCGCCTCGGCTTCCGTGAGGTTGATCTTCGAGTATTGGCTGTTATGGTTCAGATCACTCATCCCCAACGCGCCACCGTCATTGCTGGCAAAGAATATTTCGTTGGTCTCCTCTATCCAGATGGGCGCCTCGTGGGCGAACGCGAAGTCCGATCGCGAGGCTATCTTGTGGATCGACGCGTTGGATCCAAGGATATCGTAGAAGCCGGGGTCGATGACTTGGAAGAACGGGGCAGCGGTGTTGGTCGGATTGAAGGTCGCGAAGGCGTCCGTGCGGAACAACGACGAATCATTTTGCGGGAGGACAGCGAACGAGCTCGGAAGGACCTCCTAGGGTCGAATAGTGCGTGAGCTTGAATACCTTCAGGATGCGTTCGCAGCACTCACAACGGCCTGAGCTGGTTTCCTAGATACGGCACCGGCAAGTAAGGTGCCTTGCTTGGCGTTCAGCAAAGCCAGAGCGATGGTCAGCAGCGCAGCGAGAGATGCCAAAGCCATGGTGAACGACCTCGGAAGCGATTGATGCTACGACGTGTATATGAGGACTCGGACTGTCTTGGCTAGCGATAGGCAGCTCATCATAAGCGAAAGGGCGCCATACGGATGTCGTCAGCCGAGAACCGTTCGTATGATCTCGATCATGCGACTGCTACGAGGCAATGGAAGCCTTCCTGTTCTTTACTCGTGACCACGCTAAGTGGTGGTGCCAGGCTGAAAGAATGCTGAGCTTGTGTAAGAATGTCCATAGGAGGTTATTGAGTACGGGATATGCAGCCACGGTGGGGACAACACAGTCATTCGTGAAGCCAGGTGTGTGGGGAGATTTGGCAACCTCGCTTCGCGCTTCTGATGACAATATGTCGAGGCGCACGGAACAATATATGATCTCGACTGTTTGACATATGAACACGATGGTCAAGTCGAAACACGGTCCGACTCGCACCGAGAGTCGATTCTTGGCAGGCAATGTTGTGCGTAATGTTTTGCGCCTACAGCGCAGGAAAAGAACAACAAGCGACTTCCAGATTTGATTCGACATTTCTTTCTAAAAGTCCCAGATGCAAGAAACAAAACGGTGAAGATAATAGATAGCAGATATGATAGCACAGCACTGCATGGAAGGATGAAGGACAAAATAAGGAACAGCATGGATTGAGAGTAGTGAACAAAGGAATGGAAAGGACGACTACGAGGGATGCTATATCGCCCTCGGTGTCCATGATTGATAGCTAGCTGGGCGCACGTGGCCGTGCGGCGCGGGCGACCGATCCTCCTCCCGATCATAGTCATCCGACCAATCCTCGCCCTGGGAGGTGTAGCCTTCCTGCGCTGTCGCGTACGTCCCCTGCGTCCACTCGCTCGCGCGTGACAGGTCGGTCCGGTCCGGTGGCGGACTCCGCAACGGGTCGTGGTCGTGCGAGGGCAGGCCGCTCGCGTGCTGGAAGTGCACCGCGTGAGGGGCGGCGCCCGAGGCCGGCGAGCCGGGGACTTGCAGCAACGTGGGCGACATCGGGTGCGGCGTTGTCGGCGTAGGCGTGAGCGGTTCTTCGTCGAATGCGGCAGGGCGCGTTGGTACGCTGGTGCGTATGGGATGCAGGCTGACGCCAGAACTGGGGGTTCTGGGGGACTGCACGGCAGGAGAGAACACGGTTGGGGGCATGGGTGAGGGAGGAGGGATCTGGGAAGATGAGTAGTAGGATGGTGCAGGAGATACAGAGGTGGGCAATGGAGAGCGGGTTGGCGGGTACGGGCTAAGCCCACCATCGGGACGCGCTGGGGCGGTGACATACTGCGCTTCAGCCTCTCCGTCGTGGGTATGAGCTTGCTCGGGAGCGTGCGGGCTGTCGAAGTAGGGCGTGGACGCCATCGGGGTGCTAGACGGGGATGGCGACATCGTCGGCGGACTGCGCATCTCCACCGGTTCGTAACCGTCGTCTCCACCCATCTCCGACTCTGCGCGGAAATGCACGTTTTTGTACATTGGTACCGCCTCGGGGTCGGCCCTCGTCCGATCACGATGATGTTTGATGCCCAGACGGTCCTTCAGGTCACCCTTGACCCACATCTCTCGGACGATGTCGCGGTCGAGGGGCATGTACGCGGAGGAGACAAACTTGACGAGGTATCGAGGAGCTGCCGGCGGCATGAGCGGAGGTTAAGACACGAAGAAATGGAACCTTACTGAGTGCTAGAACCACGGAAATGACTATTGTCGCCCAGAACGTGATGCCGCCGTAGAGGATGGCCACTTCATCGTTGAAGTCAGGCGTGTCAAAGAATGAGTATATGGCTATCCAAGCGACCATGATGAGGGACGAGCCGAACACGACCACCCAGGTGATTATGGTCCAACTGTAGTAACAAAAGAATCAGCTACAATACATAAAACATCGTGGAAAGAACTTACTAATGGGTATTCAAGCCGACGTAGAAATTAGCCGCGAAAATGGCAGCCACTGATACCGTAGTACCGAAATCGGACAGCGAGTCCATGGCCTTCCCATTCCAGGATACCGCTGGACCCAGAACCCACGTGAAGTACCCGATGAAGTACACTACCGCGGATTGATACAGGCCATCCAGCATGTAAAGCCAGAACTTCGTCCGAGTGTACTCCAATCCGCGTATGCCACGAACATAGAGCTGGGGGAATGCCAACGCGGCTTTGGCGTTGATATCCTGGTCGAATGCTATACGGAATGCATGTGAGTAAGCTGATAAGGCTATATGGCCCTCTACTTACCGCCCATGGCAATGACGGGTAACGAGGTGAAGACCAAGTTACAGAGCAGGATGAAGGTATACTGGTAGAGGTAGGTGGAGTCGAAGCTGGAGGTAACGCAATCATTAGCATTCAATGGGTTCTACAAGGTCTACAAGGAGGGTCTAAGTCACCTGTTCCAAGGGAGATACCAGAACATGGCAAACGTCCAAATTACGTTCTGTAACGCAGGTCAGCACGTGGTGTTCCAACGATACGACCAATGTCCGACCTTGTAAAAGAAGTTGCTATGCATGTCTGCAATCCGCTGGTATGACCAACGGCCATGTACGATTAGCAGCTTGGTCAAGAACCGGAACTGGCCAAATGCGTAATCGGCCGACATGGCTGCTTGCGAGCCTTCGAGACCGAACAGACCGCATCCAATATTCGCCTCCTGGATCATGGCCACGTCATTGGCGCCATCGCCAATCGAAAGCGTCATCGCTTCACGACCTTCCTTGACCTAGAAGCACGCGATGAGTGACGAATAAAGTACAGATCAAAGGGAGGAAGACCGACCATCTTGACGGTCAGTGCTTTCTGGGCCGGCGAGACACGACAACAGACGACAGTTTCGCATTGCGTTGCGAGGTTAAGGAACAGAGGCTTCACCGACGTATCAAATGCATGACGCAGGGTATCTCCATCAATGACCACGGCGAAGGAGGCCTTAGCGTTGGGCATGAAGCCACGATGGCGAGGATCCAGCGACGGTGGGCCGAGGACGGAGGCGATCTTGTTCAAACCAGCCTCGATCTGCGTTCGAGCCCCGTGCAATGACTCTGCGGACAAGATCATAATGTCCATAGTACTCTTCAGCAGGTTGCAACTGAAGCCTGGGCGCAGCTTTAGTCTTAGCTTTCACTGGTGATCCGAGCAAATACTAACCGATTTCGATGGCCGTCTGCACCTTGTCACCAGTCAAGATCCACAACTTGATTCCTGCGCTGTGGAGCGTCTCAATTGCCTCCGGCACGCCTTCTTGCAGCTTGTCCTCTAACGCCGTCGCACCCAAGATCAGCAAATCCTTCTCCACCAGGTCGTTCGCCTTGTCGATCTCCTCGTCTCGATCCTTGATAGCCGCGCTAGCTTCGTCGTACTTCCGGCTCCAGTCAAAGTACTCTGCCTCAGACATGTACCGGTAGGCAATGCACAGCGTCCGCAAGCCGCCGTTGGCGAACGCCTCCATGTCCTTCGACGTTCGCTCCTTCAGCTCCGGGTCGTGGTCCGCGGCAAGGCGCTCGTAGATCACACTATCTGCGCCCTTGCAATACAATACGATCTTGCCCTCCGGGTTGCGCACGACGACACTCATCCTTTTCCTCGTGGAATTAAACTCGAGCACCTTCAGCGGAACGTAGCGCTCGTGCTGGCCCATCACCTCGATGTCAATCGCATCCTTTGTACGCTGGAGGAAGGGAAACCCAACATCGCGTGCAGCCGCAACAAGCGCAGCCTCGTCAGGGCTTTCTGCTTTGTAATTGACGAGAAACGGCTTCGTTTGCGGCTCGGGCTTGTTCGCCAGGACGGAGTGGCACACCGCAAGCGCGCGGAAGAATGCGATGCAGTGACTTCTCTGTTCCCTGGTCCGGTCCGTGAGATCCTCGGCAAGGTTGGGCGCAACGAGGGTGAGCTTGTCGAGCTGCATGTACCGGTTCTTAAACGCGCGGTTCATCTTGTCTACCATGCCCTTCTTCATCCGCACCATCTTTTCCTTGTGCTCTTCTGGGTCACCGGACGCCTCGCCCTTGCGCTTCTCAGCACCCCGCTGCGCCTCTGTGATGTTCTCTCCGTAGACGATACCCCGGATTGAGCACTTCTGGAACTCCATCACGTTCTGCGTGAGTGTGCCAGTCTTGTCGCTGAACACGTATTCAATCTGGCCCAGGTCGTCACAGATGTTCCATGTCTTGGGAACGCAGGCAGTGTCGAACGGCTCGTAGTACATGTCGACATCCTGTGAGATGAGATACGCTTGGATAGTCTTGACGATCTCGATGGAGATGTACAGCGATATGGGAACGATGTTCTGGAAGGCGATGAGGCTAGCACTGCAGGAAAGATTCAGTACGGCTGCGATTCAAACTGGTGGGATCACTCACACGAAGGTAACCAACGCATTGACGACGTGGCTGTCCGTAGCGTCAGCGTGTTGTTCAAAGAAATGTGCGCTAGTGTTCCCTTTCCCGTCCATAATCCCGCTACCCACCGCGGCGAAGGCGCACATGCCGATCAGTACGATAAAGTTCATCACAACGTTGAAGTTCGTCTCCTTTTCGATCTTCGAACGCTTCGACGGCGTCTCGCCGCCGTTGAGCATGATCTTCGTGTCCGCGCCGGTGAACGCAACGAGCCCAATTATCCACGCCGTGTTGCGGACCGTGCATCCACGGAGCAGCAGCTCGTTGATCGTTACCGCCTCGCGCTTCTCTTCTCCACTCGGACTTGCCGGATCGCGGTATCTGAGCTGCCCATTGTACAGATACAAGTTCGCGTGCGGCGGTTCCGAGTCCAACACGAAGCTCGCACGCTCGATATCCTCCTCGCTCCGTATCGCGGCGGTAGCCTTCAGGGCGCGCCTCGGCTTCAAGTTGGTCTCGCCATCGAGGTTCTTCGTCTCGAGATAGCACATCCCGTCCGCATCGGACGTGGCGAGCACAATGATGTCGGCCGGGACCTGCTCATCATCGCGCAAGAGCACGATGTCGCCCACCTCCAGCTTCTTCCAAAGCGTGCGCTCCCAGATGGCGGTCCCAGAAGAGCGTTTGTTCAGGTCGAGCACGCCCCACTGGTTGGATGGGCGCGAGCGAACGGAGTCGGCACCAGTGCCACGGAGCGTATTCCCGGCCAGTTGCGTTGACGAGCCGTCGTCCGCGATGCCCATACTGACGAGCGCCGTGCTGGACATCGACATAGACGCATCTGCCGTCATGGCGAGCCCGGGCGGATACGAGTGCTCGTCAATGCTCTGGATATCTTCCAACTTCCCTCCGAGCGTCACACGCGAGTCGTTCCCGCGCACGGTGTCCATCGTGCTCCGCCCGTCGTCCTCGCCGCCCGCGCGCTCAAGCACGATGCGCTCCCGACCCGCCTCGGCGTCTTTCTCGCGCAGGCGCCGCACGCCCTTCGTCACACGTCCCGGTTTGTTCAGCCCCAGCAGCTTTTCCCACCATTCGCGCGGGTCCGTAGGTTGGTTAACGTTGCGAAAGGAGCCGCCGAGCTTAGTCGCGGCAGAAGTGTTGACCTCCTCGTCGAGCGACGCGCGACGGTAATCTTCGATACCGTCTTTAATGGCGGTCACTGTCAGGATGAAGACCAAGGGCAGCATGGATATTTGTGGAGAGGCAGCACCAAATATTGGGAAAGCTGCCAGAATTCGTCAGTATACTGAATATATGCGCATATAATCACGATAATGTAGATGCGGGGAACTGAGGAGCATAAGTGACGGGAAGGCTCACCTTGGGCGACAGCCATAACCAGGAAAAATATGTTCGCCGCGCGATAGAATTGCTCGAAGAGATTCTTCGGGACGAACGTTACGATCGTGTATTTGCTCGTGCGGACCTTGTTCCGCACGTACCGCTCCACGGGCTCGCCATGCGCGTCCACCTCCATCGCCGTCAGCGGCATGTTCACGTACACGTTTCGCCGCTTGCCCGGTATCACGCCCGGCTTTAGCGCAGAGGCGGCGCTCTCAGCCTCGGACGCCTGCTTTCTATCCCGCCGAAAGAAGCGGCTCCGCTTGCGCTTCACGTTCTTCCGCCGCGCCGCGCGCTGCTCCTCGTTGCGGTTGCTCTCCGCAATGGTACTGGCCGCGGTGCGCACCGTGCGCAGGCGCAGCTCCGGGTCGATGTTCTGCATCACATCCTGCTCCTCGTCGGTGTCGGGCTCGTCGACCGCGCTCGGTTGTCGCTTCATGGTGGCAGTTGTCCTAGTGAGATATGTCGTCCTCTAGGGTCTATGGGTATCGAGGAGAAGGTGGCCGAGGTCGCCGAACTGTCGTTCGCGTGGATGATGTGCTCCTGGTGGTTGATAATCCAAGGAATATCAAGAAATAACTTAACAGAAGAAGAGGAGGGCAAGAATATGACCAGCAGGGCTCGTTGAAAGGACGAAGAGGATGAGGTGGAAGTGCTCGGGCGGCGTAAAGGTCAGCGCTCGGCGCGGCAGCACCCAAGCATCAAAGGATGCTAGGCGTGGGAATATCGTGGACGCCCGAAATGGCAGGCGGCTTACATGCGCATCTCAACCTCCTAGAGCGGTCGCGGATTGGCTCCGTCCGTCACTGCTCTGCATTCTCAACGGGGCAACTTCGATAATAATGGGTCTGAATACCGCAAGCTACCGTTATACACGCGGCCTATTCCTCGAGGTGGTACACGACATCGAGCAAGTGTTTAGCATATCGCCGCCGCAGTCTTTCATCTCGAGGCAGTGCACGAGCTGTGCTCCATCCAGAGACATTCTGCTACCCAACAAATCCCAGAGATCTCGCAGAGCACGTCTCAGAGTAATCCAATCAGCACGCACAGCATATTGGAGATCTCACCGAACGCCCGGGACGCTATCATATGTTTTCGGAGACGCCCACCTATGTCGTCTACCTATCCTTGCGACACGGTTGCGGAGGATATCACGCAGTATTCACGTTCCGATAATGCCGCCGCTGCTGACATTCCACGGCGACAGGCACTTCGGCGCCACGACGCGCGTCAGTGATACCAGGTACACATACTATAAGACACCGGCTCCTCGTCAACCCCGTCGAGTCGTCAGTCACAGATGCGTAACGGCTTCGGCAGTACTTACTTATGGGCGGTTGACAACCCTGCCGAGTGATGAGTATACTCATTTGTACCTATTCTGCGGTACCTTACGGGCATTTCGGGAATCGTCCCTCGTAAGCATCGACCATCTACTCCCGGACAATGGCCGACTCAATGGTGCGAGGGAATGTCGTGTCCAATCTGGCCGGAATCTCCGTACGAGAGGTGATAGAGTTTCATCGGCGGCGACCAGTGAACCGGTGATCTGGCTATACGTGCTAATATTGGATATACTCGATTTTTGGTTCGTTCGGTTCGTTCGTCGTTATTCACTTTTCATTGAGTCTTTGCGATCAGCATGCTCGATCGATTTTCTCAACGTCTAATTCGAACGAATGGGACCGAACGAATTAAATTTCAGCATCTCCATTCGCAGGCTTGTCCGTGCGAGTCGGGCGGAAAGATACCCCGCAGCCACGGTGAATCGTCCCGAACATTCCTCATCGTTCACGGATCAAAGTCAAAAACACGGTATATTGCCAAATTTGTTATTTCCTCAACTAGACGATGCCCACAACGACAGAAACAAGCCGTCACTTTCCACCGCTACCGCCGTCGATACTCTTGGTTCATTGCGGACGTTGGCGCGGTTGTTGATGCAGCCTACCGTATGTTCTTAGCTTGTGCGCTTGGTCCGCTAGGAGTCGGAGCAAGGCTAGCAAGATCGAATGACATCGGAGGGATCCTAACGGCTCCTGCGGGGGGGAGGCGACTGCTTTCGCCAGAGGGCTCTTGGATCGTGACAGGCGTATCAACGGGGATACCGGGCCCGCCCAAGTAGCTTGACCACTGCAATATCATAAAAAAACGTCGTCAGTGTTGATTTCTAACGTAGATTAGCCATGCGAAAATACGCTTACGCTGAGTCCACCCTGGTCGTTGTCCTTGAGAAGCTGGTGCGCGAGCTTGAGGACCGGTGCGAGCTCGTTGGTGGTCTTCCCTGCGTAGGAGCCCCGACTCCACGCTTGGAGCTCGGGGAGATTCTTGACGTCCTCAGCTGCCGTCTCGGCCATGATCCGGGCCTTCAATCCAGCACACTGAGCGTCCATGGCGAGGAACGCAATGCGCGCCGCGAGGTCCATAATCCACATGCCTTGAGACGGATCGCCGGTGCCGATCCGGGCACTGACTCTGGAGGCATCGGTCAACGCCTTGGTGACAAACGTGTCGCGATCGGGGAGATAGCGAAACGGCGGGGACGGGAGGGTCGTCGAAGACGACATGTCGGTGGTGCGTATGGGAGAGACTTGAGATCGCAAGAGGATATGTGAGAGCTGGATGCCGATATGCCCCCCCAGAAGCTCCCTGTATTTATACGCCGTAGACAATGCGGATATAAGAGGTTGCGCCTTGCCCATAGCATTGTGGATCTCCGGTCGATAATAGCTATCCTTGCGAGTGGCATTGCGTGGACTGCAATACTAACAGTCCTCGGACGCCATTGTGCTGACAATGTGAGCTTTAAGGCGGCTTCATCAATCTGCAAGGAAAAAACATTACTCTTGGTGTGATCCTGATGTTAAACAACGGTAGCTCGGCCAGCTCTTGTTTGTGACGCAACGGACAATGGACAGAAAATGCGCAACGCATGCCAGGTGTCACAGTGTCCTAGTATCGTGAAGAGGGGCCATCAGACAAATATTAGGGTCGTTGATTGAAGCCAGCCACCACAGGGCCAACGGGGCTCACAGTGAGCATGGTGAGAGAGCGTCACCGAAAGTAGTAAGACAGTTGTAGTCTTAGCGGGTACATTCTAGAGCTCGAACGACGTGCGCGTTTATCCATCCTGCTGCTAAGTAGAGGAGCGCAGAAGCAGAGAGATGAGATCATACAGTGACGACGGACAAAAGACAACGTGAGCCACTATCCGAGTCGCATGACGCCATTGGTCCCATGCGTTTGGTGCGTCGGCACCGCATTAACATCAACTGCCACCAACATCTTTGCAGATCACTACCATCCCAAAGCAAAGGCGGCACTTACCTCACGCAACGCCTTCATATCGCAAGGGTTCAGTTTGGTGATTCAATTCCGAGGATCGTACAGATAACACGAGGCGTATGTTATGATACTGGCCCAAATCTCGGGAACCCAATGGCGGATCGAGAGCGATGATGATGGGCCCGCCTGTGCCTCGCTAGGACATGTCAGAGCGGGTTGAGGCACCGGAGTTCTGGTGCGCAGACGGGAAAAGATCCTCCCTGTTGGTTTGGGGAGCCACTCGGCGCAAGTTCTCCACTAGCAGGCCTCGCAGCGATGGGTGGCCAAGGCTAGACGATGGCGGTTGCGACCCTTCAGCAAGTAGGTAGGCTCCCGGAGGCAGTTCGTCAGAAACAGTTGATACCACAGACACGACCTTTCGTTCTGAAGGGATTCGCAGAGGCGTTGGGGTATCTAGCGGTGGGAATGACCAGGCTTGCACTGGCTCAGAAGTCGATATTTTGTGCGGCTTCTGCCTTGTGGCTGCTCCCAGGATCGCGCGTTTGAGAAGCGGGGGAGCTCGATTCAATCCTTTTGGTCTCCGAACACGAGGGTGATTGATTATACCGGGTTCTCGTACTTCCGTGGACGGCGAGGGCGGAGGGAAGGCGGTTTGGGGTACGCCGACGTTGACGGGAGCACCAGTATGACCTAAGTATCTGGACCACTGATTATCACAGACAAGATAGTTAGGATTAGACGGCGACTAGGAACAATACAAGTCTCCTTACGTCGCGAATGCCGGCATATATATCGGTGAGAATTCTATGCGCGGTCTTCACAGCACACGCAAGATCGCGGCAGTTCCGAGCCCCAGGACTGCCGATGAGGCTCCATGACTGGTAGTCGGGCATCTTCATTATCTCGGGAATTAGGTGGGCATACACGTATCTGTCGTCTTGACCATTCTCCAGAATGCGGCTCTTGAGGAGTGAGTTTCGCGCATCCAGGGCGAGGAACACGATGATTGTAGCGAGTTCCACAAAGCTGGAAAGTCCACTGCTGGGGTCGATAAGCTTGCTGACTTGTCGTACCTCGTTGACCGCCTGAAAGAAGCAATATGCGTCCGGAATGTAGCTCCATGGCATAGCAGGGGAAATCGGTGCCTCTAAATAGTCAACGCGCGTGTGATTATCCGAAGTATTCATGGTCGGTATCGGACGGTGCGCGCTTTCGCTAGAAGCCATGGTAGTAGAGAATCGAAGGAGCGCTCTCAGGTAGAGTACGAGTGTTTTGCGTGAAGACGAAGCCTTTATCTATATGTGCAGGACAAAGCCCGGATCGGGTTCTCCAGCTGAGGGCGCCTTGCTTGGGACATTGCAACACTATTGCATCGGCTTTGTCTCGCAAACAGACAATTCGTGTGCGCTCGATAGCTTTGCTGTGCGAGATGAACGGCGCGAATCATCGAGCGCTTGGACATTCCACTTGACTCTCGAGCATTACTTGAGAGCGGTAGTCATCCAGCAAGGCGAAGCGCGGAAACGATAGCTCTCCTCCGTGCCCCCAGTTCTCACCGATGACGTCACCGGACAAAGCACAGCACACAATGCCACAACGAAACTCGAGTTCCGTGCAAGTCGGCGACTCGGGCAGCCACGGTTTGTTCGGCGCTACATGATATGGGCTCGACGGAGAGACCCTGCAGGGCGCAAAGCTCCGGCACGGAATGAGAAGTTGCTTTGTCTGCAGCACTGCGCCGAAGTTTGATCGATTGACCGGGAGTCGCGGAGGAAGATGTGCAGTCAATCCTAGCCAATCGAATAGCTCCAAGAGCACAGCCTCGCGATCGGCCCATCGGCCCCTCGGCCCCGCGCGTAGTCCTTCTTATCCCTTTATAAATGGAATCACGCGGGTAGGACAGAGACATGCATATGGTCAACGCATACGAGAACTAGTCATTAGGGTACAGGTGGGTGCAACAGCGAGTAACAACATCAGCGTCCTTACGACGGGATACAGCACAACAACAACTCTAGATAGACTCCACAAATCAAAGCCGCCAGACAAAGATAAATACCCAAAGCGCATTAACTTCTACAGGTCACGTTGCAAGAACTCCCGTGCTTTCGGTGTGTGGCCGATCTCGGGGTCGTACATAGAGTCGTTATCGTGAACGACTTCCTCGTCGACTTTGACCTGCATCGAGTTGAGGTGGATGCTGTTATGGCGTGCCGCGGTCGCTGATAGCATCGTGCGGGCGGTGGCCCCGCCCTGGTAGGTGCTCGCCGGATTGCTGTACGCGGAGGGTTGCGATCCCCTTGTGGCAGATTTTAGGACGCCTCGGAGGATGATGAGGTCGGGCGCGATACACTATGCAAATCCCGTCAGGCAAGTCATTCGCAGAAATCGCAAACGCGGGACATACCACAGCTTGTGTTAGTATTGGCCATGCCAATGCGTTAGCGAGTAGGCTGTTGTTGCGCGCGAAGAAGCAGATAAAGAGGATCTCAAGAGCGGCATAAGTCGCGGCGGACTCGACGACGATCTCGGTTACGGAAAGATAGTGCGCGCCATGACCGGCGCCGAACGTGCGCCGAAGCTCTCGAGTATGCCATACCAAGCGGCCGCCGATGAGGAGGGTGAGGAGGATATTGACTGTGGTACGGACCATGAGATCATAGCACCAGCGGAGCGGGAGGCAAAAAAAATGGATTACTCACGAGCGGCGGCACCGCCAAACCATGACGAGATGAGAGCCAAGTTGAACCATAGCGATGTCAATGACGGAACACACATGAGAGGGAAACCGAGGCCTAGTAGGGGTCAGACTTAGCGAAGTGAAAGACGTCTCGAACGCTTACCCATGAGGTACAGGTACATGAGCGAAGGAAGGATCATAACCCAGTAATTCTTATTCCACACTATCCAGCAACGATGAAGCTTCGAAGAAAGACCTACTTAGATCCGCAATCGTCATGGATACTACGAATCGCTCACCAGGAACCCATCCGCGAACATCTCTGAGAAGAAATACGCCGCGTTCGAGAGGACGATCCAGCTGGTAGTCTGCCCAACATCCTCGTACCAGCTGTTTACCCCGCCTGGATAATTACGGTTGTCCACAAACATGAGTTCCAGGAGTTTGGTAGACGCCGCGAACACGGTCGACCCGGTCCCTAGTAGGACCGTAATAAGCAGAAACAGGAACATGTTCGTCCGCTTGGCGATTTTGCGCTGCAGTACGAAGTAGGCCGTGATGCAGTAAATGCAAACGTGAATGCCTGGTATATACCATGAGGTCAGCATGGAGTCTCATGGGAAGTCGTATTGTACTGCACCATAGAATAGGCCATAGATGACCGAGGCATGGATCCAGAAGCGGTCATCCCCGATCTGACTGTCCGTCTCGTTACCGGCAATTGGCCCATAGTCGGCGGCTGGCATCGCGAGAGCTGCGCGTCGAACCCAGAGATTGAGCAGGGGCGTTGTGAAGTGCCAACCCTTGAGGACTAAGCACGTCCAGTTCACGAGTCGCAAAGGCCGGAGTGCACCGACTTACAAGACCGCGATGGTCTCTGAGGAAGGAGCGTGAGATGGGTTCTGAAGAGGTTAGATGTCGGATGCTGCGTAGGGAGTCATGCACTGCGAGAGTGGCGATGACACGGAGACGAGCGACGAGAGCGGGGAAGAGGGGGAGGAAATGAAGAAATGAGGAGCTCTCATATGCGCTGCACCGGCGAGGCGATATACTCCGGGTGAGATCCCGTTTCTGGCCCACCTGACGGCGCAGTATAGCGTGGAACCGGATAACGGTCGAGGGACCGTGACAACGGTAAAGCCCAGGTGGAAATTTGCGCTCGTGAAGCTGTGAATCGACCAAAGTTCCTGGCGTCCATCCCCATCAGATTCGCGACTTCGTGGCGCTTAGATAAACTGATCGGGAGCAGAGCCACAAACCCGATGTGTCCCATCATCAACAAGCGATAGAGAGTATCATCTGTATATAACAAGTCGGTCACGGTTTCGGTAGAACGTTAACTTAATCCCTATGCTTAGCCCGAGCGGTACGGGAATGACGAGCATGTGGGGCTTCTTCCCGAAAGCACGAGGAGCGCCTGGGAGCACGCCGATAAGTAGTCGTCTGTAATCAGCCTGCAATTGGCGATCAAATTCGACGTGGAAAATCAGAATTTCCGGGATTGGCCTCGCCCGACGCCGAGCATGCTCTCGTCAAGTGTAAAATATGCGATTAATACTTAGGGGCCGTTGGTTCCCGACAAAACCGCAGAGAAGTACTCGCGTGTGATCCAGGGGTAATCAGATCAATCGTTGAAAATTCAATTCAGCTCCCGAACGGATGCTGCGTTTCATCGTGGGGTGTCATCTTCTGCATCGTGAGTACATGAAGCCCGATATACCCTTGCACAGCAGCGGGGAGCTGGCAGCCGTTGCCGCCGAGGTATGCTCGTATAGAAAGTCGAAGCAACCTCATAGGAACTTAACTGAGTCAACATGGCAGCGTATCTTCTTACGCAAAGGCACCTAGTGACAGCACGCGGCCCGTACCTGATCCCCACGTCGCAAGAGGCAAGGCTAGCAGGTCGTCTTTGGTGGCGCATCAGGTAGGTAGGTAGGTAGTATTAACCGGCGCGGTCCCAATACCGGAACAGCCGGGCCCCAGGGCTCGCACTAGTGGCGAGCCGGGACGCATCAGTATCTCGGGATTACCCGAACTCTTGGCCACACGGCCGTCCCCCAACAGCCCGAAAAGTGCAGAGCGTCGACAGTCCAGATATACTCTGAAGCGAGTTCGAATACAGTAAACGTACTACTACCTACCCCAAACCTTCAGCAGTGCCTCAAGAGGATCATAATATATTCGGCGATACAAAGCGGTACAATAGGAGGTGGCTAAGTATCAGTGTTAGGCAGGCGAAACGTTAACCTTGCTGTTATCGATCTGTTCAGAGCATAAATATGCAACGTAGTCCGCACGCCCGTCACGACAGCGGCGGAGCGTACGTACAGATAAGCATGCCAGATGCCGTCCATCCCCTGGATTGGGTCCGGCGGCTGGCCCCAGCCTCCCATGCCTACCCTCCTAAATACTGACATGCATACCTCGGATGTTTACAACTTTACTTTAGAACGTGCTTCGAGGTCATTGTCGGCGCCGGCGGAATCATTAATAGCGATGGCTCAGCACGGCGGACTTCTCTGGCATAGCCCTCGTTGGGAGGCGAAGCGCGGATGACGTTGACTCACCGGACCACGTCCAGGGTCGTCCATATGCGGAGGATGTTCACAGTAAATATAGTTCAAGTAGCCGCAGCTAAGTATACAGGGTAAGTATAGCAGGTAGCCACGATTGTATTGTCACCTACATCCGAGCACTTGATCATCATAAGCACTCAGAATAGTTGTTATCTGGAAGTAAAGCGTGTACAACGCAAACAGTATATCCCCGTAGGGATCAAGCGCGGATGACGTTGACTCACCGGACCACGTCCAGGGTCGTCCATATGCGGAGAATGTTCACAGTAAATATAGTTCAAGTAGCCGGAGCTAAGTACACAGTGTTGTAGCGGATAGCCACTATTGTATTGGCACCTACATCCGAGCACTTGATCATCATAAGCACTCAGAATAATCAACATCTGGAAGTAAAGCGTGTACAACGCACATAGTATATCCCCGTAGGGACCGAGCGCATCGTACTCGTCAATACCCATCCGTTCAGTAGAGTACTTTACAATAGCGACCGTTCCGTTCTGCATGATGGAGTTTGCTCCGCGTTTCATACGGCGGTCTCTTCCGTCATGGGCGCATCGGCTCCGACTTCTTCGGCGCTTTTCGAAGGTCTCATCGAAGGTCTTCAGTAATACGTGGGTGTTTGCGCTGGCGTGCGTAGGATGTCAGCCACGAGGTACGTTCAATCGCGCTTGCGTACCCATCGATACATTTAAGCGTCCAGGCTCGACCTGCCGCCGGCATGCCTCGGAAGCATCGAGGTCGATCCTCGTCAATTGTCGGTCGCTTCCACCTCTTTAGTTCGAGCTTCTACTATACCAAGGCAAAAGAACCTGTTGGGAGTTCGCTATGAGGTCGCGTGTGATCTGGAGGCTTGGCCGGGATAAGAATTCGCACGCAGCATGGCGATGTGACCTTCCTTTTAGGAAGATCAGCGAGGGAAAGATGGGGGCGCCATGTAGGTAGGTAGGTAGGTATATTTCCGGCGCGGTCCCAATAGCGGAACACATGAACGTGCAACCGCGAACTGATAACCACGTATAGACTGTATGAGCGGGTAAGAAAAGCTCGAGCAGCAGCTACCAAACCGCGGCACCGTTCGAAGCTCTCCCACACAGGTTCAGAATATTCTGGCGTAACGCAAATGCAGCGACTTCAGTACTGATGGAAAGCGAGGTAATACCTCCCCCCGTTCGTACACGCACCAGGTACGAGCGGGCCCAACGGGCCCTCGCTCGGCCAAGTTTCGGCCCTGGGCGTCCGGCGCCTGGGCATCGATCAATATGTACCATGCCCACTGTTGCTGCGGTATCTTCCAAGCCTAAGGCGGGAACGTCAACGCGGGCCCTGGCACCCCGGTTCCCGCCCCTCGAGTCTTCACACCGACACCCATCAGAAGGGAAACGGATATACGGTCTCGCAGTAAGACAGATAGCGCAGGGCGGGTGGGTCATATTTGCAAACGACTGAGTATGCATACAGGATTGAATCTTGCCAGACCTCTGAGTAGTTGGTTCGCCGCACTGTGGGACGGGAGAAGGGCGCGGTGCATGATCTTGGTGGGCTCAGGCCTGTGATTCGGCCCTGAACGGGTATGGGGGTTTCCACGGGAAGGAGCGCAGGGCATGAATAGCGACGGGGTTTCCTTAGGTCTCCAACGAAGACGCACTCCTGCACAGGATCAACGGGGGAGCCTGAGGAAGCGCAGAGCCGCGGGAAGAGACGTCTCACGTGGTTGCAGCAGCGCTGTCCAGTGCCGCTCGCTCCTTCGCTGCTGCTTCATGATAGGGCTAGAGAATGGTTCAATGACCGCATGACCGTATGGGTTATGTGGACGCACCAGCTTTTCTTCCTCGGATAGCGCCTTCCAAGCCGCGCTAACCTTCTGCGCGAATTTGCCGCCGGTTTTGACCCCGGATTGCCGTTGTTGAGTGGCCCAGTCTGAGTAAAACCTAAAGCGACGTCAGTCGCAAGCCATGCCGGACTTCTTCGGGACAAGATAGAAGGTGGGGCTTGGTCAGATCTTGAACACCTACCTCATATACGCCGTCATCGGGTAATGTTGTGCCGCACCCGACCTGCGAAACTTGGTCTTTCCCCTCCTCTCCCGTTTCTTGTTGAGCTCGCGAATCAAGACAGGATCAGCATTCTTCCTCCATTCCGCTTTACTGACGAAATAGCGCTCGAGGAGCTTCGCATATTGATCCCTATATACCTGCATGAGAGAGCGGCGCAAAGTCAACATTAGGATGCGCAAAGATGGCACGTACTTAGAAACCTGCTTACCTGTTTCTCGTCATCCGCCAGCGCATGCCACCGCGCGGCAGCTTCCCGCATGGCCTCCCGTGTCCGCTCGATGGACCCCTTCGTATTGCGCTGCACGACATACGGGGTCGCAAATAGGTAAAACGAAGAGGGAGGCTTGCGTGGAGGCCCGTCCCTCTTGATATACGCGATAGGGGCTGAAAGCGAAACGCGTTCATGGCCTGATCCAGGCTCGCACCGTCTACGAGGTGAAGGACCGACGCACGCTTCGCGAGGTATTTTTTGCTTTTGCTGCCTTTAGGCCGGCCGGGCGGTCTCTTGGGCGTCTGCGTCTCTGAGGGCTCCGCGTTACCTGCGGCTTCAGCTCTGATTCGCATGGGCAGCAATGAGACGGCTGTTCGGCAGAAAGTCCTGCGTATCGTCGGAGTTGGTTGCACGAGCTGCAAGGGCACAAAGCCATGTGCTTTATTCATGTATAATGAAGCTAAGCGAGGACATGATGTAGGCAGCGTGAACATTCTGTAGCGCGATGTGAACGCGGGCGGCGGACGGTGAAAGGTCGCGCAAGCCCTGACCCATGTCTCACGCGCCGGTACCGGTCGCCTTCGAACGCCTCGCGAGTGGAACTTGGCGAGCTTTCACCAGAGATGTACTTCGATTTCAACGTTCCAATACGACCGCCTCCATCGACTGGTCAAGCACAACAATCGAAGAAGGCGAAGGGAAAACAATCACAACAAGCCTCAACCAGCCAACAAGCGCCGAATGTCGTCTTTCCTCCAGGGCAGCTCGCCTCGATTGAGAAGCGTATAGATCTTCTAGTCCATAGTCCGTATGCCTCGCGATGTCAACGAGCCTAATTGGACTTCTCACTGGTGAAGGGCAGTGGGATACACGGTTCTCGCTCTCACCCAGACGCTGTACAAGAAGCTGGATCAGAAGAGTCATGTCAATATTCTGGATCCACTCCTTGCTCAAATGCAAAAACGCAAAGGAATCGTGTTCTTGAAGCGATTGACGATTGTCCTAGATGAAGACAGCGAGAAGGGCTTCGGACTCGTACGTACAACAGCTTGTTCTTCATACCCAGAAGTGTTCAACCCCGTTTTCTATGCCCATAGACGAACGCAAACATCCCTCTCCTCTCCTCCTACGACATCCTTGCTCTCACTCCGACGACCAGTACGACCCTCTCGCTCGCTTGCCTCACACATTCGCAACCCTCGAACCTCACCACGCACATTATCTCCCTCCCGCTGACGCTTCCTCGTCTTCCCTATCACCTAAAGCACACCCTTGTCCGGACGGCGCTGCGTAACGGCGCAGTGTTTGAGATTTGCTATGCCGGTGCCCTGGGAGAGAGCATGGACCTAGACGGGAGCGGGGCGGCTGGAGGGTCCGACGGCGGGGCAGGTGTCAAGAGGAACTGGTGGGCGGGAGCGAGGGAGGTTGCTCGAGTGACGAAGGGAAAGGGGTTCATTGTGAGCAGCGGCGCGTATAGCGAAGCGAGCATGCGGGCGCCTCGAGATGTCGGCAATCTGTGAGTCATTTGTCGCGGAAACATTTGTTCCCCTGTACGCAAGTTGATGCAAATACCTTGGCTATAGGATCGCGCTCCTGGGATTGGCTCAAGATGCGGCGCACGACGCGTCTACCAAAACTTGCAAGTCGCTCGTCCTTCGCGCGCGTACGCAGTATTTTGCTACACCCTTGCCGATCTTTGTTAAGCTTCGTCCGTTCGCTCTGCAGAAACTCGTAAGACGTATCGGGCAATCCTATCGGAGCCGAAGCTCGTTATCCCATCTCAAACGACGGTACCTTCAAGCAAGCCCGCGCAGGCGCCATTATCGACCGTTCAGGGCAATACTGCACCCGACACTGCCGAGCCGGAGGATGTCTCATTAAGCAGTACAGATGTTGACGCTCCACCCGCCTCTCGCAAACGCTCGCGCAACGGCGATGTTCCTCCGCACGCGATCGAACCGGTACAGGTTCCTGTCACAGCCGGCCTTGATACATCGACGGTAACAAATGCGCAGGCGGCTGAGGACAACGTTCCTGGAGGAGCAGATGAAGAAGGACGCAACAAAAAGAAACGAAAACAGAAATGACCAAATCGCGGGAAGCGAACTGCCCTGAGGAGGATGGTGGAACTGCATCTGCGCTTTGAGGACGTGTATATTCGCGCGCACAAAGAGTTGCTGAGTCCTGATTGGGAAACTCGGACCGCATCTGTCAGCCGTAAATGTTGTCAAGCCTGATCCCGGTTCTCCGACCTCAGTGTGTCTCATATGTGTGACTTCTTGAACGAGGTGTAGGAAGGAACAGCCTGCCAATTCTGCTATGACGCAGCGGATGAGACATTCGGAAGCGAACTCAACACCGACGCGAGGCCTTTCGACACAACCCAACTGGCAAAGTGCGTGTTCATGTCCCGTTAGCGCATCCTCTTGAGGCTCGCAAACATCCGAGGCTAAGTTGGAGCGAAAACTGAGCGAGTGGGCCTGAACACGTGTGTACGAGATCGTGTTGATAGCCGAAGTGTTAAGCGGCGTACCTACAGGCGCCTACAGGGCGCGCCTAATCATGCTCGGGCCGAGTTTGGGTGCTAGTGCTTTGACATTCCGCGCCGATCTCTAGGGCTCGCAGCGGCGCCTCGCGTCGCTCTGTCTCACTCGGAGCAGGGCGCAAAGTCAACCTCCTTATAATGCTGCCCGATATCTTTGCCATGGCTCATCAGCTTGCCTTGTTTACCCTCCTTGGTTATGGCGACTCGGGAGGTGTGTTCAATCTCCGGGCTCCCGGATGAGCTCCTGGGCGATATATTCCTGCTCGCCGTCCAGGCGTTGGACGACACAGACGAATATGCACCTCTTCCTCACGGATTCACCTCTTTCGAGGATGAAGTTCTCGCCTCGATCATTAGCGTGAGCCGTTTGTGGCGGAATGTCGCAATGAACACCCCGTCTCTCTGGACGAGGACTTATGTGACTCGATACGATGTCATTCCCGATCCGGTTACCGAGGCCAGACAGCTGGACCTGAGCATGGTCGTGCGTAATCTCGCGCGTTCGCAGCAGATGCCATTCGACGTCCTCATCGACTGTCGCGATCCGGAGTGGGACTTCTCAGAGCCAGAAGACGTGTGAGCATAAACCTATTATATTTCATGCCTTCCCCACTCACCTCTATCATAGGGACTCCTCCGAGGATGATGATCCCATGTATGAGCATCCGTTCCCGCGCGCAGTTCTGGCTCCTCTGCTCGACCTCCTAGAATGCAACATAGATCGCTTGCGGTCCGTTGCAATGCTCTCTGATACATACGGACCACTGCATGATGTCCTGGCTCGCCTCGCCTCGGTGCAATCGAAGCTGCTCCCGCACTTTTCGTCCCTTTTCCTAGCCCGATGCAATGACATTCCTGCGCACGAGTTATCGTTCAAGCCCGCTGCATTATTCCTACCGTTGGATCGCGCACATGTCCCGTTCCATGGCTGCACGTTACCGAAACTGAAGAGCTTGGTGCTGTGCGGCGTGCACACCAACTGGTGGAACCTCCCGGACATCCTATCAGGGTCAACATTGCGCCATCTCGAACTTTCCTTCCATTGCGCAGAAGCGCGCCCATCGGAGGCTGCTCTCCGGAGGATTCTCTACGCATGTCCAGGTTTGAAAACCCTCACGATGCGCGTGTCAGGGATCGCCGTACCCGAGGCTCGTGTGCAACGCGACACTCCCCGCGACCCACCCCTTCTACTGCCTCAACTCAAATGGCTCGCACTCTCTTACGCGACGCGTGCTGACCTCCGCGTCTTCCTTCGGCTGTTTAGTCAAATGGAGACGAAGATCCGGCGTCTTACTCTCGAGGGCGCTCCGCCCCCTTCGTACGAAACGGTCGACGTCTCGGATATCTTGACGTTCTGGATGGCCGGTGTGACGCCAGCATCGCCGAAACCTACGCCCACATTCCCATATCTCACTCGCCTGTCCCTCCTACGAGTCTCATCATCCTACCACTCTCTTGCGCGGGTGTTGATGACGCATCCGAGGATACGCCAGGTCGATGTCGCAGGTAGCGGCTTTGCTCTCCCCGTCGCCGAGGTTCTGTGGTCGCCGCTCCTGTACGGACGCGCGAGCTGTTCCTACCCATGCCCATCTCTCAGGCGGTTCCGTGTGCCGGATGGCTGCGACTTTCAGCATGATGAGCTTCTGCGGCTCATCTTCATGCGAAGCAGAGAAGACGTGACGGTAGAGTTTTCGCGAGACGAGTTTCACGAACCGACGGATTTATGGCCGAGCGATGGTTTGGTGACTGATATTGCGTGCAAGGAGAACGGAGAAGAGGAGGATTCTGGCCAGGTAACCATACCTGACCTCCCGTCTGATCATGAAATGGACAGAGTGCTGGACAATCTACGTACTTACAAGTTACCCTCTATAAGTCGCGAGCGTAAATAGATATTACTATTGAACCGTGTGACACTGGTTATGCCGTACTTAAATATCCACGGATGTCCGCGGATAACCCTCTACTGACCGTGGCAAGTAAGTTTCATAAACATCCCACGGTCAGAAGTGGTCAATTCATTAGTGCCCATGTATATATCCTCTGGCTTCCTGCTGTGTCCCCGCAATTATTCATGCCACACCTATTTTGTGTACACATGCACGCTGATATAGATACATTCGAGCAAACTGCAAGGGGAGGCGGAACGCGGCGCTTGGCGCCACCCTACTCACGTGTATTGAGTACGTACATTGGGTCATAACTTGCTCTTTATGGACCTGAATTGGAGCAAATTGGCTTTTGATGGTCCGTGCACCCGTGAAACAAAACCTAACCCGAGGAGCACAGACAACCGTCAGTAGCCGAATTGGCCTTTCGCACCCAACGACCACGATCGTCGGCGCGCTCTTGAATATTTTCCTTGTCGTTCTACGCTCCCAACATGTTTTCTCTGGTGGGGAGTAGGCTTTTTGTACCTTTGCTAACGCGCAATGCGTTGTTGACGCGTGTGGCGCCGTTATCGACGCTGCAACATACGGTCCGTCGGACGTTCTTGACGACCGCGACGCTTTGGGAGCCGGCGAAGAAGGCGGAGCCAAAGACGGCGGGGCGCAAGAAGACGACGACCACGACCAAGTCTACGACTAAGACTAAGCCGAAGGCGAAGAAGGCGGCTCCCAAGAAGAAAGTTGCGTCCAAGGCCGTCGCGAAGAAACCCAAGGCAAGAAAGGTCAAGCCGGCGAAGAAGGTGCCGGTGTATAAACGTACGTTTGTCAGGCATGACCGATGTTGCGATCTGCTTTTGACGTGTTTCTACAGCGAGCATGATTCGCGACGGTCCGCCGAAGCGCCCTCCCAGCCCGTTCATACTCTTCAGCTTGAAATACCGAGCTGGCATGGATCTCAAGGGGGACAGGCAGAAGGTCATTCAGTCGTCCAAGGACGCCGGTGCTGCATGGAGAGCATTGACGGAGCACGAGAAGCAGGTTCCTAGCCGCGAATTGCTCCCTTATCGTCGGCTTACCCTTCGTGTTCCAGGCCTTCGTCGATGAGAATCAAGCGTTGCAGCCGGCTTACCGCGAAAAGCTCGCCGAATACACCAAGAACGCGGATATCACAATCATCAAAGCGTTGAACAAGAAGCGCGTGGAAGCTGGAAAGCCTAGAATCCGCATACACAAGGCGCACCCCAAGCCGATGACCTCGTTCTTACGGTACGACATGACTGTTGTCTCTTTCCATTTCTTGCTCACCTGACGGGTTGGGGCCACTCAGGTTCTATCAGGAGCAGCTGGCGAAACGGTCGCCCGACATGCCCGTGAAAGAGGTGACGCGCGCGGCAGCCCAGACTTGGAAGACCATGACCGAAGCTGAGAAGAAGGTACGTTCTCGTGTCGTCGTGGCAAGATCTCGTTCATCTCACTGCGCTCTTGTTCGTCCAGCCGTACGCCGACGCGTGGTTACAGGAGAAGGAAGCGCGTGCGAAGTAACCTGTGGTCCACAGAATATGCTATGTCCTTATTTCCACCTGATGTTTGCTCCCTATATTCGTCGTTCGTTCTTAATAACATCAGTGCGCGGTCGATTGAGAAACGCATCGTTCCTCGCTTACGCGTGTGCTCGACAGATCAGCCTGGGGTTGTGACCGGAGGTGATCTCCGCACATGTTGCCTGCCAGCTGCGTTCAGATTTTGACTGGTTGACGTCTGTCATCTCGGTGACAAGTTCGAGCCTAAGGATGCCCGAGAGCGTTTCGCCGACTCTGTTTGGACACTCATACCACATTGCTACAGCGCGCGGTTCGCCGCGATGTATTCGATTCCGGACGACCCGTGGGCGGGAATACAACCTATCTTCAACATACTAGATTTCAGCGATGTTCTGCCGCCGTTCGACCCTCAGCCGCTGTCCGACCCTCAGCCGCCGTCCAACCCTCAGCCGCCGTCCGACCCTCAGCCGCCGTCCGACCCGGGCTTGCCATTCGACTCTCATGCGGGTTTCTTGAACGCGATGCGGATCGTGGTGCGCATGGCGTTCCTAGGGCCACGCGAGCTGCTCGTGCTAAGCCATGTCAATAAGTGAGTTTTCGAAGCTGCACTAGTCAAGATGTCGCTCTGACTATCTCGTCGCCTCTAGGAACCTGCGCGAGCTCTGTACAGACGACCGCCTCTATGAGAAATGGTTTCTTGTGTGTGTTCCGTCCCTGTCAGATGGGTACTCCGCCGAACTGATCACGATCGGCTTCAGCTGCTGATGGACGGCCAGCTGAAGATCGAACTTCAGCGGGCACAAGTATCCTCGCTCTCGTATACGAAGCGGTGCGTCAATTGGATTTCGTTGAACGTGTCAGTGACCGGCCATTTGCAAGGCATTTCGTGCATCTCGCGATGAAGCTGCATTGCATCGAGTGCAAGGACGCGTACTCCGGACATGTCTACGTGCTGTCGATGCGGGTGCGTGCTGCGCGCCATGTAGGCATCTGCTATTAACACGTTGCGTTCGTGATCTAGCGCATCTGCTTGAAGTGTCTCGTCGCCCTAGATCGCTACACGTGCATTACGTCGTCAAAAGCAAACAGGTGAGCGATTCCCATGTCGCCTGCAAGAGCTTGTTATGCCGACTTGCATTCATCCAGGAAGTATACGCTCTCCGAGAAGAACCTCAGCGAGTCGACCGTGGTCATCTTGTACGCCTCTCCTCCATTGTGCTCGTTCACCGGCGTCTAAGGCTTAGCTTAGCACCGCGGGTCAGGCTCGAAACGCAGCCAAGATCCTTTGCGAGGAAGTGGTCCGGGAGAAGTATGAATTAGCTCATTGTCTGTCCGAGCCTGGCTGACGCCATCCACAGGGCTAAGGAAAAATATAGCCTGTCTGACCGCGGACTGGAGGTGATGCTAGTAACGAAGGCGAAGCGCCAGCAAGACGACTACGAGCAGCGCCTAGCCGACTACGAGGCAGCCCGCGAGGCACACGACGCCCTCATCCGCGAAGGTCGTGAAGAGGAGGCCGCGAAGTTCATGAGCCGCATCGGTGCAGACCCGCCGAAGCTGCGCGTCGTGAAAGGAAATCCGGACGACCTCACCCATCGCATGTCCGCTACGCTGCCTGTCGGGTGAGTCTAACGTTCACGTGTTGCACCCTGGGTAACAGCGGATTGACGCATCCCACGCCCTCATGAAGGTGGTTGCGCGTCGATGCGGACGGCAATGTCTTCCACGACAAAGTGCGGACCTGCGCGATCTGCAAGCTGATCAAGGACTTCGAACACGAGGCGCGCAAACCCACGGCCTCCCCGGTTGCCTCCAGCAGTCGCCAGGCCTCCCAGGCGGAGCCGGCCGATACCATCCTCTCCTGGGTGAAAGACGTCTTCCCGGCCTCGGACTATAACGAGCACGTCCGGAAGGACCACGTCGCCCCGCTCAGCGGGGAGTGCCAGCCGTGGTGCGCAAGCTTCTTCATGGAGGAGAGAATCTCCCGCCCGCTGGTCGCGATTCAGCCAGGCGCGCCCAGCCTGGAGGTAGGGGATAAGGCCGGCGCGGTGGAGTGGATCGGCGGTGACTGCCAGCTCTGCATGAACCGCAGTGCTATGCGGCGCTTGGGCCTCGTTCATCCTCTTTGAGGCGGCGTTGGTATCAAGACCGGCATGGAGAGCGACGTTCCTGTACTACCTCGGCGCTAACGCCAGCCTCACACTAGCTACAACATGTTATGTAAACCCTTTCATGTCCGTTCCTGTGAAGCAACTATGAAGCGTCCTCAACCACTGCTAGTCATCCGTTAGACTTCGATTGCCGACGGCCACGTAGGTAGGTAGGTAGGTAGGTATATTTCCGGCGCGGTCCCAATAGCGGAACAACCGGTTGCCGCACCGCACGTCAATACGCACGGCTTGGCGCACACAGTGCATCCACGGCCCCCGTGAGCTGCTATACACGCTATGCGGCACTTGGGGTGCGAGCTTCGTGGCTGAACGACTGGCAGTAATCGCTTCCGCGGATCATTCACGGAGGCGCGTTGCCAGTCCGGCCCTGGTCTAACGGTTTACTCCCATCGTTCTTCTTTCTATTATGGCCTCATTGCATCATGCGAATAACATATAAAATGGCAAACGGGTCCGGCAAACGATGTACGTTGGCGTGATCGTTCGCTCTCACCACCATGTTCAAGCTGCAGACGCTCCTCGTTGCCTCGACATGTCTACTGTTGGATGGCGCGCTGTCGCTCGCCCAGTCCAACCTGCCTGACCTGGTGTGTTGCCCGGTCCTTGCAACGCGCTTGAGACAGGGTCAGTGATCAACTTCACGTAGGGTACTGGAGTGTTTGAAGTGAGCACGCGTATCTTGATCGATGCTCCACTGGAAACCGTATGGAACACGATACTCGACTTCCCTCGGTACCCGGACTGGAACCCTTTCTCTCGGTAGGCTCTAGGGTTCCGCCGTCATTTATTTGGCCTGAGAATCGCATCAGGTCACAGGTGGTTTGCGATGATCTCTTCGTCCCTCTCGCCAACCAGTAGGTACATCTTTTCCTCGTCTGAGGAAGGGTTCGCTGACCCGTGCCAAGAACTGCGTTCGAGGGCGCCAGGATCATCATCAATGTACAGATTCCGCCATTGACCCCTCCCGTCAACCGTTCAACGCCGTCGAACCTGCTCCACACGCAGATCTCATTCGAGAACATCACGCACTTGCAGCCTGATCTGCACCGCGTCGCCTGGAAGCAGATCGACATCCCAGACATCGCGGTGAATGCGACTCGGTGGCAGGCGGTACGTGCTCTCCCCATGGCTGTCAGGGTACGAAGCTGAGTCAATAGAGATAGGTTAGCACGGTGGGTAACCAGACGTTGTACGAGAGTGCGGAGGTATACGGTGGAGGATTGGCCGGAGCGGTGGAGCTCCTGTACGGCACGGGTTTGCAGGAGGCATTCGACGCGCAGGGTGTTGCGTTGAAGGCGCTTCTCGAGGGCACTTCATGATCAGATCCGAGGAGCGATAGTTTTATGTTCCCGTGCTGAAGAATCGGTCCGTCGACTGTGTTCCTAACGACCTTGCGGGGCGTGTCAGAATGAGGGTGAGATGTGGCGAGGCGTCCCCAGAAGTCCGATTGCATCTAGCTATATATACAGAGTGCTGCAGATACGCGACCTGTGCCCGATATCAGGACGCCGTCACTTCAGGAAGAGGAGTGGTGGACTGACCCGACATTTCACGCGGACGTCTTCAGCAACTGCGCAACCCGTGCCTCTACATCGCTAGGCGACAGCCCATCCAGCTCGACATGTTTCTCCACTCCCTTCTCTACGTGCGCATAGAAGTTGTCGTGAGCTTGTCGCATATGACCGCAGTTGCACAGGAGGCTTACCAAACCGCGCGAAGAACCTTGCCGGAGTGCCCGACGCCTCTCGGATGAGTACGGGCAGGTCAGGGTTTGCTTTCTTTATTGCTGGGTACGCAGACTGAATAAATTGCCTGCTCGTATACGAAGTATATGCACGGTCAGTGCCCCGGAGACAGAGAGGCCCCTTCGAGGGTCACTGACCGGGTCCCCTCGGAGCCTGGTCCCGACTGGGAGCAGAGAATACGAAGTTCACGAATCGCGGGAGAGAGTGCCCTTGCAAAAGCAGACATAGTCGCTAAGATGCCAGTAAATGCGAACAGCCCAGCGTTGTCGTCGTCGACAACACAACCGCGAGCCTATCGGCGCCAGCGGCCACGTGACACGCATATAACTTGCTCGTTGTGCACGACGGGCTCGGTCTCCTTTGAGCTCTGTCCTCGGGGAAATGAATTACACGTCATGCATCATGTTCAAGCCTGATACTATATACTCTGGTCGTGATGCGTAACACCTAGAGACATACGACGTCCTGCATTATCAACATTGGACGGCGAGCTACTTTGTTGACTCGCACAACAGCTTGTGCCCCGCCTTCCAGTCCTTCCTCTGGCACTCAGGTGAGCAGTAGCGCACCTTCTTACACCTGCTACAAATGAGTAGCCTCGGCTTTCCAGGCCCTTGACATGCTATGCAAGCGTCATCCCTAGTACCCCGAGCGTCCTGCAACGCTCCTGCGCGCATGACGCTGACGGGTTCCACGTACGGCATCGCGTACAGAGGAGAGATTGCGACCCGTGTGGCGTGTCGCAGTAGAGCTCGCAGGTTGTCCTGGCTCTGGAGGCCCTTGGGAAGGTGACGATCTCGTCCGCAGTTGCAAATGGTCGGCCCGCCCGGTTCGTCGCTCAACGGAATTCGACCGCTGGCAATGTACTCGCAATTCGGTCCGTGCTCCCACGTCCTGCACCGTTCCACGAGCGCAGGAAGCATCTTCCTCCACATCACCTCTTCCGCACGCGACGTGTGGATCCTTGTCGTAACGCTTCCGGGATGGCGGGTGAAAACACCATAAGCCCGCAACACGCCCGCCGCGTTTTCGCGATTCACAGGGAGGATAGCGCCGTCTATTACGACAGTGAACGCGGCCGAGTCAATCCGGATCCGATCGACGAAAACGAACATGTAGAGATTTCCGACCTCGGAATCGGCAATTGCGAAGACGCGGCGCTTCGGCCCTTTCATGCCGCAGTACTCAGCGAAGAACGAATTGATGGTCGTCTTCACCTCTCCAAGCACCTCGGACGCTACGGCCTCTGTCTTTGGCGAAGACTCAGAGGCGCGCTCGCGGTTGGATAGCTGTACGGCAAGGAGCTGCTCGAGCCATGGCATCAACATCTTCCGATTGGACACGTCCAGGGTGGTCAAACGATCCAAGGCGATTTGATGAACGCTCCATGAGGTCCTTCCGGCGACGGGAAACGGGTTCAAAGCATATCCACCTCCACCTAATGCGCCACAAGGAGGAACCACGACCTATACCGTGCGTGGTCAGCGTCGGTCTGGGATGAGCAGTTCGAACTAACCTCTACGTAGCGGGACTTTCTTGCTACACGCAATCTCATCTTGGACCCATCCACGGGATACGGAAACTTGATGGAAAAATCGGACACCCCGACGGAAATCATCATCGTGCAGGGCGATTGCTGTTTTGCGGCCACGATAGCACCATTCCCCAGCGCTTGACCCACGCCTACGTCCGAGATAGGTATATGTCCCGTCAGCTTTTTGACCTCGTTCTGTTCCATTCCGACGATGATGCTGTACGAAGACGCCCTCCGAGTGTGATCGCGAGCGCTGACTGCAACCTTCTCCAGTTCGTTCGTGCAATTGGGCCGGTTCCGGAGGACCCTCACGTGCGTACTGTCGTTCACAGGGGCGCTAAACAGTTCAAGTTCTATACCGAGGGACTTCACGAACTTGACGCTGATGATAGGGTTGGGCTTTAGGCAGAGCGCTACGGTGAGGCCCGCAGCCACGACTATCCACGTCGGCGCCCAAAACGTGAATACGACATGGGAAGCATCCTTCAGTCCTCTCGGATCTTCAGCGATGACCGCGCAATGCTGTCCACCCGGAGAGTCGACGATCCTTCCTGGGACTGCGTTAATAGCCAAGAAGGCGTTCACGTACATCCCGGACCAAAGCTGCACCATGATTGTCGGCGAGGAGTCGCCAAGCTCGATCAATGGCAGCAACGCTGACCTCGGGACTGTGAGGGCGATACATACGACTGGCCCGACATCTTTCCAATCCTTAAACAAGCTCATGGGCGGGTGCGACATGGCCAATTCGCGCCATCGTGAGGTCAAAGGGTCGACCGTGTAGAGGCCGAAGAGATGTAGTTGAAGGCAGAGTTCCTGGTAAGAGGAAGAACGAATCCACCAGTGGGGATCGCGTTCAACTAAATTCAATAGCGACCCGAAGACGTCCCCCCAGGTGCCGTCCTGGATGATGAGTCGTCGACGTAGCAATGCTAACAACGTGACAAAGGAGTGGCGCCCGTAGTGATCTCTATGCAGACGCTCGAGCGCCAAGCGGGAGCGGGCGGCCATGATACTGGTCAGGCATTCATTATCGAACATATTCGTGTAGACCTCGAAAAGAAGTTGGGCGAGGGGGATCACACTAAAACACGGAGTGGGAATCTCGGCGTTGGACATGTCCCCGTGCGCAGGGTTAACCCAAACCAGGCGTTCGTGGAACTGGCTTGTGCGATTTTGTGTCTCCGTCCGAAGCATCTCTCCAAACTCATGGACAAGCAACTCGTGTGCACAGGACTGGGTCGAGAACCCCGTCAGGCAGGGGCGGGGAGAAAGGCCCACCAAGAGAGCCATAGCTGTGATATCGACTCCTAAAGCGTTGCGAAGCCCGACGCTTGGTTCGTCAGAATGCTGGAGGAGAGTCTCTGTGTATAGTACTGCCTTGCTACCACTGTCTTCCTTCATGAGCGGTTGCGTGACTGTAAGGACGTTGACGAGGCCCAAATGGTCATTTAAGTTAGACGAGTCGATAACGTCGAATTTGCAGGGGAAAGCGGGAGAGGACGGTGTCGAAGAGCGATCGGCAAGCAAGATCTCCGGGGCGCCCCATTGGTCGACGGGCAGAGCGGGAAGATGATCACCGTGTCGTGAGCAGTGATCGAGTGCACGACAGAAGAACAAGGCGTCTCCGGTGTAAAATCGAAGATTAAGGGAGGAGATGTTCGTGTCGAGCCTCGTCTTGAAGGCATCACCCCATGACTTGAATTGCGCCAACATGAAGGCCCGCACATCGCCCTTCTTCCACGAGGTGTACTGTGACTCAGACACTGGCGCGAATGCGTCGAAGATGTGGAAACCTTGAGCAGGAAACGTGCCGTAATGGACATTCATGACCTCTCCCGAGCGACAGTAAACGAACAGAGGGTTTATGTTCGTCGCCGCGTTGACGTCCACAGCAGCCTGGAATGTTGTCCCCGTCTTACAGAACCGCTCGTGACGCTTCCATATGACTGGCGCGGCTTCCCCGAACAAAGGGCCTGCAGAGCGAACCGCGGATATGCTTATGCCGGTGTCGAGTATGCCTTTAAACCCTTTACGCAGCGCCTCTAGTCGAACCGCGTCCACTTGCGCGAACTTGGAATAGAGACACCATAGACGATGAAGCTCCGAGAGCGTGTGGGACGAAACCATATGCATGTACCGTCCATACTTCGATTTCGACCACGTCTCCATGTCCGTCGAAGCATCCGCAAGTTGGGTGCTTAAACGTCCAAGGAGCTGGAAGGACTTGTCGTCGATGAATATGTGATAGAAGCAATCGAAAGCTACGTCGGAAGCCGTTCCCTCAGCAATCAGCGAGAACAGAACGATGTTGCGCGCTAGAGCAGACAACCGTGGTTCAATATCCGTTCTCGTGGATCGCGGCGAGTCTAAACGCACCCAATATCGCTGGTTCGTGATCACAACAAGTGAAATCTAGCACCCTATCGACTTGCGTTTCCGTTTTCAGATCGGCGTAGAGCGTATAGAGGATGTTACGCGCATCTCCACAACCGAGGAGAAGCACGTCCGCCGCCAGCCCTGGTGGGAGGTCTTGCGTCAAGCAAACGGCGGGCGTGTTCCCCACGGGATAGAAAAATAGCTTTGTGGGCCAGAACAGGTTGTGCGACATGACCATGGGGACTTGGTTGCGTGAATTGCAGGTGGCTGCAATGCGAACGGTGACCGTCGTTCAGTCGCTATATGACTGGTAAGCATTGCGCCGCCGCGTTATGGACATTCCAACACGTTGCCCTATGGAAGGAGGGTTAGATTGCTTCGAAGCGTGATCTGCGTACGTACAAAATACCAATCAAGTTCGTCTTGGTTGTACCCTTGCTCGCGGAAGTATGAGGGTGGCCGTGAATCCGGTATCCTACGCGTTGACGCCCTATCAGGTAACTCGTCGTCTATGACGGATTCCACGTGTTGGTTTCACGTACGTTATACCGCTCATCTTCTTGGCTCGTTGTAACAAACGCATCCGAATCAACTGGTAGGAACATTTCGAACGAGCATGGCCATGATTTGCACTCGCGAGCGTGATCTTCGAGCCTGACTGAAGGTAACTCCAAGAACTCATTGACGGCGAGGTTTGAGAGATATGTTTCTCATCTTTCCCATCATACCCACAGATTCACGACGGGGCCGGAATGGTTCTGGATGTAGGAATTCGTTTATAGAAGCAACCTGCTTCTCTCTTCTCTCTTAAGCGGCAATATGCTGCTCACGGGAATGGCCTTGCGTTTGGAGATCCTGCTCAATTGACGCCTTCATGTAACGACGATCTAGTCTCCCCATGCTTCATAACGACGATCGCCGGATAAGCTTCGTAAAGAAACGCAAGCGTCGCATCCTCTCGCCTCATGCGTGCCAGGCCGCCGCTGCCAACATCGAGTCAACCAGATCCTGAGTTTACCTCTGAGCGACGCACGACGTTAGCCGGTGGTCCAAACGAGGGATGATTAACCCGTAATCTCCTGCAATGCTTACCGGAGTCCATGCCACGGGATCCACAAATCCCGTTCATCTGCAACTGCGTGTCCCAGATCTACGGTCTTACGGGAAATGCGGAACAAACTATCCTCATAGATATTGTGGGCTCTTTGGGCATATCGAGGGACTCCAGCTCAGCGCGGTCGCTGTCGCCGTTAAGGTGGTCAACGACCGCGCCATCCGTCGGCGAGACAAAATTCACGTGACATGCACAGGAGATTTCGTGGTCGACGTCGCCCTCGACGAACGAACTTTCACGATCATGCGCGCAATCTTCCGCTCAAGCTCGGAGGATCCCATCCCTCTAATCGTGAGCTGAATGACACGCGGCGCTCGACATGCGGCGCTCGACATTCTCGGCATTGCGTACAATTGTGTATACCGTACTACCTGCAGAATTGCTTGTGTCCCGCCTTCCAATCCTTCCTCTGGCACTCAGACGAGCAATAGCGCACCTTCTTGCACCTGCCACAGCTCAGCAAAGTCGGCTTCCATGGACCACCGCAAGCTTTGCAGGAATTCAGGTCGTTTTGAATGCTCGCAGACAGACCCTGTTCAGGCGCTGCACGGCCGGTGACGGGCTCCACGTATGGCATCGCGAAGAGCAAGGGGATGGCGACCCTCGTCGCATACGGTAGGAGAGCCTTCAGGTCGTCCTGGCCGCGCAAGCCTTCGGGCAGGTGGTGCCCGCGCCCGCAGCTGCAGAGTGTGTGGCCGACCAGTTCGTCGCTGAGCGGGATACATCCTGCGGCGATATACTCGCAATCTGCGCCGTGGTCCCATGTCCTACATCTCTCTACGAGCGCAGGGAGCATCTTCTTCCACAACAGCGCTTCCGCATTGGACATCCCGATCGACAACATGCTTCCTGCGGGATGGCTGTCGGGGCGTCTAAGCCGGGCATTCGCTCGCGCAACCACGTTTGCGTTGTCGGGATCTAAGGGGAGGACGGCACCGTCAATCACCACGGTGAACGATGCGGAGTCCAGCCAGATCCGATCGACGAAGATCAGCATGTATATGCCCAGCCCCTCGTTCTGAGCAAACCCGAACACGCTGACCCTAGGGCCGCGCATGCCAGCGAACCCTGCGAAGAGTGAGTTGAGGGTTTCCTTAACGTCCCCGAGGATACCCGGGGAAGCGGCGTCCGCCTTGGGCCGTTCGACCAGGGCGCGCTCGTGATCTGATAGCTGCAGGGTCAGAAGTGGATCCATCCACTTCGCTATCATCGCCATTTTAGTGACGTCCAGCATGCTCAGTCGTTCCAGAGCCACGTGATGGACGCTCCATGGGTCCCCCTCGACGATTGGGAACGGGCTCAACGCATATCCGCCTTTGTCAACTGGACCAGAAGGACGGACCACAACCTAGAGTCGATATTCAGCTAGCAGCCGTGTCTAGTTCAGGCACAACTTGCCTCGACGTAGTGCGATTTACGAGCCACGCGGAGCCTCTGACGCGATCCATCGACCGGATACGGATACCTCAGGGAATACCGTGCATCTCCGATGGATATCGCCATTGTACAGGGTGCCTTTTGTGTGGCGGTCACTATAGCGCCCTCGGCGAGAGCTTGACACGCGGCTGCGTCCGATAAAGGTATTTTCCCCGTCAGGTGATTCACTTCAAAGTTTCGTCCTAGGTCAACCGTGACGCTGTACGGAGACGCGCTCCGGCGGGGGCCTCGGACGTCGGTTGCTATCTTCTCCAACTCGTTGGTGCAGTTCGGCCTGTTTCGTAGCACCCGTACGTGCGCCTTGTCGGTGACCGAGGCGCTGAATATTTCGAGGTTCAATCCGAGGGTCGCCCGGAACTTCATAGATGCGGGGATCGTCGGTTTCAGGGCCAACGCGACGGTGACGCCTGCGGACGCGACGATCCATGTCGGCGCCAAGAACGTGAAGACGACGTTGAGTGCTTCTTTCACGCTTTTCACATCTTCAGCCACGAAAACTGGGTCCTGGCCATCCGGCGAGTCGACCAACTGTCCAGGCGCTGCGTTGACGTACATGAAAGTGTTCATGCCTCCTCCGGCCTGGAGTCACGTCACGACACTTGGTGATGACTCATTGACCGATATCAGGGAGCGTAAATACGATCTCGGGGCGGTGAGCGCAACGCATACGACCGGACCGACATGGTCCCATCCTTCGAACAGATGCGTAGGCGGAGGGGACAGAACAAAGTTTCGCCAGTCCGAGGTGAGAGGCGGGAAGGTGTAGAGGCCAAAGAGGTGGAGATAGAGGTATAACTCCTGGTAGAAGGTGGACCGTACCATGGCGCTGGGATCTCGTTTGACAATGTCCAGAAACGATTCCATAGTGTCCTTCCAGGCGCCACCCTCAATATTGAGTCGCTGCTTTATGAGGTTCAGGAACATGACAAAGGAATGGCGGTTGTACTGGTCCTGGCTTAGACGTTCGAGCGCCCAAGGGGAAGAACGGGCGGCCCTGAGACTATCCAAGCTTTCGTTGTCGAACATGTTCGTGTAGATTCCAAACAAGAACTTCCCCAGGGAATCAGCCTCATAAGTAGGGGGAGGAGATTCGGCCGTGGACGCGTCCCCCTGCGCTGGGTTGACCCACGCCAGTCGTTCGTGCCATTGGCGTGTACGTCCTTCCTCGGAGACTATTGAATGAGCTCGCAACTCGTGCACACATGACTGAGTCGAGAATCCTGTCAGCCACGGACGTGGAGCAAGTCCTATGAGGAGGGCCATGGCGTCAACACTGGCGCATAGAGAGTTGCGGAGGTCAGCGCCCGGTTCGTCGGTGTTCTGGATGAGGGTTTCCGTGTACAGAATCGCTTTGCGACCCCCATCTTCGTTCATGAGAGGTCGAGTGACTGTGATGATGTTGAGAAGGCCCAAATGGTCGGTCAAATTGGAGCAATCGATGACGTCGAACCTGGAGGGGAATGCGCGAGGGTATATGGACGAAGAGCATCCATCAAGTACAAGTTCCCCAGAACTCCAGAGACCAACGGGTAAGGCGGGGGTGCTATCGCCGGTCCGGGCGCGATATTCGAGTGCACGACAAAACAGTAGGGCATCTCCTGTGTAAAATCGAAGGAACAACTTCGAAGATGTTTTGTCCTGGACCCTCGCCCTGAACGAATCACTCCAGCATCGAAACTGTGCTAGTATTGAGGCCCGCACGTCGCCCTTCTCCCAGGAGATGTTCGGAGATGGTGAGACTGGCGCGAAGGCATCGAATAGGTGAAACCCCTGGGGAGGGAACGTGCCGTAGTGGGGATTAATGGTCTCTCCCTGGCGGGAATACGCGAAAAGGGGGTTCACGTTCTTCGCTCCATCGAGGGCTTCATTTGACGAAAATGTAGTTCCCGTCTTCCAAAACTGCGCTTCCATCTCCCATACAGCTTCCGCAGCCTCCATGAACACGGGGCCCGCAGAGCGGAGCGCGGACATGTTGACGCCAGACTCTTGGCGTCGAGCCAAGTTCTTGAAATCGCGGCGAAGTGTCGCAATCCGGCTTGAGTCAAGGCGCACGAACCCCGCATAGAGACTCCACAAGTGGTGGAGTTCTGACAGCGTGTGCGATGCAAGGATGTGCATGTACGATCCATACTCTGATTTTGACCACGCCTCCATACTCGTCGAAGCATCCGCGAGTTGGCGGCTTCGACGTGCAAGGAGATCGACAGACTGATCATCGATGAATATATGGTAGAAGATATTGAAGATGAAATCGGACTCCTTCCCGTCGGTGATGAGGGTGAAGAGCACGATGTTGCGAGCTGAAGTACACGCATTATTAGATGTACTCAATTGCAACGGTATAGGGGTGGACATCGTACCCAATATGGCTGGCTCGTGATCACAACAGGTGATATCGAGCTGTCTGTCACCTTGACTGTCGGGTTTAAGATCCGCGAACAGTGTGTAGAGTATGTTCCGGGGATCACCACAGCCTAGGAGAAGCACGTCCGCCGCCTGCCCTGGAGGAAGATCTTGCGTGAGGCAGATGGCGGCTGTGTTCCCAACAGGATAGAAGAAAAGCTTCGTCGGCCAGAGGAGGTTGGTCGACATCGTTGCGGCAGGATGAGCACACCAGCGACGGGCACCAGAGCAGCAACGACGCGGAAGTTTGAGTTACATGCGCTGGCAATATCCGTCGGATGCCACGCTGGCACGAGGTCTGGCCTCATGGCCATTCCAAGCATGCAACTTGCAAAGCATAGCAGCTTCACTCCGTGAATTGGTCTGTTTGCATGCGCATATGTAAGTACTGCACACGTACCCTCTGCCGCAGAACTCACCAGTGGCCCCCTGACTTTAGCACACGTTATGGAGTTTGCACATGTCTGAACGATAAGAAAGGGGTTGATCAGCAAAATACGTAGAGGGAGCCGTGAAGAGAGATTTCTACCATCCTCACTGCCGTTGCTTGGTCTTTGTCGTTGCCGTCGTCGTTGTCGTCGAGGCCGCGGCCCAACGGCGAGTTGGGGCACGTGACGTACAACTTGGCACATCAGTGTTTGTGTTGAAGACATTGATGGTGCCCAGCTCTCTAACATCCGACAATCCCTCCCAAAATCTGCAACAATGTAGCTATCAATTTATAATGGTATGCTACTTAAGAGCAAGAATATTTCCATCGGTTACAACCCGGCTGAGTGAAATTCGCGTAGAGGGACCAAAGGCGGTGAAGTTCAGAGAGCGTGTGCGACGAAAGGACGTGCATGTACGATCTGTACTCCGATTGGATCCACGTCTCAATGCTTGCCGAGGCATCCGCAAGCTGGCGGCTGACATGCAACAGAAGTTCGAAGGGATTATCGTTTAGGTATACATGGTGACGACGTTCGAGTCGGTCCCATTTGCGAGTAGGGTAAAAAGTACGATGTTGCGGGCTGCATGGCATTTGTCGTCACATCCGCGTTCATGGAATCGTGCTGGAATAAGCGTACCTATGATAGCTGGTTCAGAATCGCAGCAACTTATATCGAGCGGTCTATCATCCTGCACGTCCGTTCTCGGATCGGCGTACAGCGTGTAGAGTATATTGAGCGGATCACCACAGCTGAGAAGGAGGATGTCTGCCGCCTGCCCCAGGGGTAGATCTTGAGTCAAGCAGAATGCGGCTGTCATCCCAATAGGAAAGAAGGGTGCTTTCAGGGGCCATACTAGACTGTGCGACATTGAGGTGAGGGTTGAGGATACTGGAAACAAGTAGTTGCCACGAGAAGATTGAGCTGTGAGCATTATAAGGTCACGGGCAAGAAGTCGAGGAAGAACATGCAGGTACGTTCCGTCTTCTCCCTAGCGCACAGTTACTTCGGAATTAATAGGGCCCTTAGCAACGATTAAACGTCTAGAGTCTATGCGCATCGTCTGCAACTCGCTCAATTAGCAATGATAAGGGTCAATTTGAGAGTGTATGAAGAGAAAAGCAGTTCAGAGAGCTCACAGGTTCAAAACTGGTCGAGCTGTCTGTACAAGTAAATCTCAAGGCTATGGGCGCCAGCAAAGCGCCAGTTTATGGCGGGTCGAGCAAAGCGAGATATTCTAGAGACCCATCAAACATCTCCTTCAGCATTTGTACGAGATCTTGCTTTCGAGCCATACCTCAGTGCAAAGCAAAGGCAGGGAATAGAGGCAAGGGATAGGTAAATGTAGAAAAGTCGACGTTACGTTACATGAACGCGACCTGGATGGCGCGGGGACACAGAGACCGGAAGCCGCGTGTTTCTTACGTAATACGTACCTCAACTTGGTCTCGACGACGACCGCTGGGCAACACGCTCGACAGCGCGGACGCTCCGTAAACCCCTACTCACGATGTCTGGTCACGATGAAGAGTCGCGGAGGGATAGGCTGCCGTCGTTCGCCGAGGTCCTCTCGCGGCGAACGCGACCTCCTGTTGATCTTTTCATGTTCTAGTGTGTACACAACAATCTCATAACTTTTCACACTCAACTAACGCCATTCTAGCCTCTTTCTTCAGCGAGAAGGAGCGGAAGACATCCTGGACTTTTGGCTCGACGTGCAGCAGCACGAGAATCTGTGCCGTGCCTACTTCAAGGACGTGCGCAAGACCGGGCGGTCGATCAAGGAGGACTGGCCGCAATACTGGGAGTACGCGCGCCGACGTGGATCGATATACGGAACGATTGTGGGGATGAGTAACGCCGGTCTTCAGACGAAGCGAAGTACGGCGAGCACGGGCGAGATGCTGAGCGACCAGGAGAAGCACGGGCTCGCGCAGGCAGGGGAGAAGGGAGCGACCAGCCCCGACCCGCGTTCGACGACGTCTCCCGCAACGGCTGTCGGCAGCGAGTTTGAGCCCGCGAGGAGCACGACGCCATGGTCGCTCGGCGCGCGTACCCCAACCCTCTTCAATCGGCGCGCCTCACGCGCACCCACTATTCTCCCCCGTGACGGCGCCGTCACGAAACAGCAGCTGATCAAATCGGCGGAATACATCTTCTACCGCTACCTCACGCCGTCCAACACGGTTAACTCGACGGAGAACCACGAGATCTACCTCCCCCCCGCACTTCGCATCCACGCGTTCCCGCTCTCCAGCGGCGCGGAGCCCAAGACCGACGCGGAGGAGGCCGTGCTGGCGCAGATTCCGGATATGTTCCACGCGCAAAAGGAGTATTGCTTTAGGGCGATGGAGCAAGACGCGTTTCCCAGGTTCCTGAGGGCGAAGGCGTTTGGAAATCTGACCCCGGTATCGGCACTCGTCCGGCTGGTGGTCGGCCTCATCGTGCTGTGGATTGGGTTCGCGGTGGCGTTCTCGCTCGTCTTCCTTGATGTGAAGCCCAAGTCCGTGCGCTTCTACGTGAGTTCATCCCATCCGTTCGTACAGGTAACGTTGCTGACCTCTTATTGCAGCTTTTCATCCCTTTCACCCTCTCCGTCCTATTCCTAATCTCACATCAGTACGAACTCGACCCTCTTCTCGTCTTCCTCAATCGGTCGGAATCCACCCCATTCAGAACCCTCGCCATCAAGGAGTCCTACGTCAAGAAGCTCCTCCTCGGTCGTGCTATCTGGGTCACCGTCCTGGTGGGCATCATCGCGACCGCCTTGACCCTCATATTCTGGGCCGTGCCGGGCCATCGTCTCTGAGCCATCGCACGCGTCATCTTGGTGTCATCTTGAAAGGCCGAATGTAATACTTCACGGGGCGGCGGTGGATGGTAATGGAGGGCGTCGGACGGTCTCGCAGCTCATCGAACATCTTATTTTCCCAGTCTCTTTTGGCTCCCTCGAATTCCAGCGCTTGATCCCACTCATGTCGTTCCTTCCACTCCTTGTTGATTATGTCTCCTCGTCACCTTCTGGATCTATATACCTAGGTTGATACCCTCGCTTCATGTTTGCTATCGCAGCTAATAAATTATAGTCAATATTGGACTCGTTTGAGTCGGACGTTGGCATTGGCCGATGCCGGAAGACTCCGGTGGCGTGCAGGCCTGCGGCTGCGCACGCAACTCGACTTGACTTGTGCCACTACCTCAGCCTTCTTTAATCAGTACACCTATCAGCATTAAGGCGATATTTGGATGTAAAAACTGTCAACTAGCTCACGAGATGAGAGCGAGCCTTTTCAACGACCGTACACCTGCTACTAAGACGTCGCGTCCGGAGAGCAAGTGCTGCGGTTCTCCTCAGGACGCTGCGCCGTAGGCGTATCATCATGAGATCCTGGTCCCATATCTGTGCCACTTTGCGGGTTATGTCCGCTAGCCACGGGGCTCATGCCTAGGTTCGGTCGTGTCCGGTCACAGGCCTCTTCTCGGGTGCACCAACGGATCATAAAGGCCTTGTCGGGCACAGCACAAGATCCCGTAAGTGTTTTGTGCGTAAATTATGCGCCCAACTTATAAGACCGGCAGTTCCATGCTAGACATCCACAGCGATAAATAAGAGTTACCTCCTCGCAGCCGTCCACCATCATGAGCATCCAACAACCCCCTTCTCTTGACGAGCTCCCTTCGTATTCCCATGTGAACCCGACCTCCTCCAGCCCGACCTTGCGCGCGCAGAAGTACCCGCTCAGCCGTGGCGACGCCTCACCCTGGCTCACGCTCACGCTGGTCTCGCCTGCCGCACTGACAACCAAGAGTAGCTTGCCGGTGTACGTTGATGGGCTTCCAGTCGGCGGGTCCGTCAAACTCGACTTGACGAAGGAAGACGCGATTGAGGCGGTCCACGTTACGGTAACATCCCCTGACTCTCACTGCCTCTATAGTAGCTGACTGACGTTGTTACGAACGTCCCTTGTAGGTCAGCGGCTTTGTGACACGTACAGATATGTACGCGCTCGAGCGCATCCCATTCGTGACGGTCTCCCAGACCGTCTGGGATCGCTCTATGGGCGACCCGCGCGCCCCGTCCTCTGGCCCATACCAGGGTAAACTGTCGGGCAGCCTCGAATGGCCTTTTTCAATCGAGTTGCCCAGGAAGGCGTGGATCTCACTGAAAGATAAGGGCCTGGAGACTCCAAAGGAATATACACTGCCACCTGCATTCCAAAGCAAGATCAGCTTCAAGTGGGCCGTTGCGTATGAAGTGAAGGTGAAAGTGGAGCGACGTTTCTTCCGGCCCAACGACGCGTATGTTCTCTGTCATTTGGATGACAATCCTCTAACGCTCGTTGGTGATGTATCAGTATGCCGGTGGCCGTTGGGTATGTTCCTGTCGTGAAACCGGGTATTGCGTCCCCACTCCGTCAGCTGGCGTACCGAGAAGCGTCGCCGGAGCTTGTTGGACCAGATGATGATCCGGAGGGATGGGCGGGGTGCGATCCTGTCGCACTGAAGGGAACATTGTTTGGCGAACGAGAAGTAGAGGTTGTCACGAAGGTTCGCCTATCTCCGCTCAGACGTACTCGCACGATCTAACTTTCCTTCAGCTTTGGATGGCAAAGCCGGTACGGTCCAAGGGATCAGGGTGCTGTACAACCTGCTGATAATGTACTTCCCAAGTTGAGCTATCCCCGCGGTTCCGTCATCCCGCTCTTCCTCGCGCTGGTGTCGTCAGACGAGCAAGCGCTCGATGTTCTCGGCGCGCCGTCCTCACCCGCGGTGGACCTCGTCGTTCATCTCGACTTCGAGTCGAAGAAGATAGCAGGGCGAGACAAGTATTCGGACGACTCGTATCATCATCGAAAGATAACGTGGGCCAGCGCACGTTGGTGGGTGCCCGCTGGCGACCAGAAAAAGGTCGCAGGAAAACGCGCACTGCACGGCGAGCTGCATCTGGCACCTGATCTCGTGCCGAGCTTCGTATTCTCCTCCCTCAGCGTATCCGTGAGTCTGCCCTCTCACATGCTTCTCCTTGACGCTGACGCCCCTACATAGTATCAAGTGGTCATGTATGACTTCGAGGCCACTGGGTTCAAACCCAGGAGCTCCGGGCGCTCCTCAAGTACGACAGAAGGCGGTTTGACAGAACTGGTGGCCCAGACGGTAGAGGTTGGGACAGTCTGGCCGGACGGCCCACGGCCGCGCTCGTTCACGCCCCCAGCGTATGGGCCGCCGAAGAGGCAGGTCGGACTGAACGGGTTTTATCCCTGGGGTGGAGGCAAGCCTTACGAAGAATGAGCGAATTGTCAACATAGATGTCAACCATCGTGTGACCATGTATTCGTCCTTGTTGCACTGAATGCAAGGGGTTGACCCACGTCAGACCGTGATCTATTCACTAGATCCGATGAAGACGAAGAAGTTGAAGATCGAGGCCCTCATTCACGTCTGCATCTTGTAGCACAATGTGACTGCATTGTCATCGGAATTATCATCCTACCAGCGTGGCGATACTGCGGCAAGGCTTATCAAGGTTGGATCCTGCCCGAAGCAACCGAAGCGACCTCACGCGCATGTGGTTGTACGTTCAAACCGGATCAAGTCCCGCCAATGATGACATTCTTATCTTGTCCATCTCCCAGGCCTGTCGGGAATATTACCATAGGATCTTCCGATGCGTCTACGGATGTGTTTCAAGAGCTCGGTCAGTTCCTAATCACGCATCTTATCTACATGCATCTCATCCACGTCCCGCCTCCAGATGATCCAGGGAAAACGATATGCAGAGTGCTCCCATAGTATAACTGTAACGCTCTCTGGAGGGAAACGGACTGCTACAGAGCACCATGGGCGCACCTGAACCAACAATCATCGACGAACTTCCCGCCTACTCCCACATCGACGCAGCAGAACCCACCCTCGCGTCGCACAAATATCACCTAAGTCACGGAGACTCGGCGCCCTGGCTTACTCTCACACTCGTCTCACATGCGGCCCGTGCCAGCCAAGGTTACAACAGCCTACCTGTGTACGTCGTAGGTCAGCCTATGCGCGGGTCGATCGCCCTCGCGCTGCCGAAGGAGGATGCGATTGAGGCGATCCGTGTGATAGTTGAGTGAGATCTCGGTCTCGCGTTGTATCACTACCGTTGAACGAATGTCAGGTCAGTGGATACGTGACGCGCACGGAAACCTACGAGCTCGAGCGCATTCCGTTTGCGAGGGTCGCGCAGACTGTGTGGGATCGCGGTATGGGCGACCCGCGCGGGTCCTCGGCCATGGCCTCAGAGCCATACAAGGGGAAATTGTCGGGCAATTTCGAATGGCCTTTCGCGATCACGTTGCCAAACACGGCGGAGATCTCGCTCAAGGACAAGGACGTCGGGGAGGGTGTTCGCGAATATCCGCTTCCACCCGCGTTCCATGGAAAGGGCAGCTTCAAGTGGGCGGTCGCGTATGAGGTCAAGGTGAAGGTCGAGCGCGCGTTCTTTCGCCCGAACGACAGGTCCGCTCAGGCTGTCCTTGAATGGTACGATTATCGTTGCCTGACGCTTGATCCACGTTGTGCAGTCTGGCGGTGCCGGTCGGGTACGTGCCTGCGGTCAAGCCGGACCCCGCGTCGTACCTACGCCAAACGGCATACGAAGACGCGACCCCCGAACTCATAGGTCCCGATGGAGATCCCGAAGGATGGCAGACGTGCGATCCGGTGGTGACGCAGGGATCACTATTCGGGGAAAGAGAGGTGAAGGTAGTGGCCAAGGTGCGACTGCATCGTGTTCTGGTGGAGGTAATCTGATCATCCTTGTTAGCTGTCGCTGGCGAAGCCGGTAAGGAAATGCTTAGGCAAAGACGTGTTTCCGTTTCCCCTGACACTCTGCGCCAGCTGAGCTATACCCGAGGATCGGTCGTACCTCTCTTCCTCTGGCTCGAGTCCGCCGACGAGCAGGCATTGGATCTTCTTTCCACGCCGTCCGCGCCTGCGGTTGATTTGGTCGTTCACTTCGACTTCCAGTCGAAAACCATCGCCGCGTCGGACAAGTATGAGGACGACTCTTACCACCACCACAAGATGACCTTAGCGACTGCGCGCTGGTGGACGCCGCCTGGAGATCACACGGTTATCAACGGCAAGCGCGTGCTGCAGGGAGAGCTGCACCTGGCACCGGAGCTCGTACCGAGCTTCGTATTCTCGTCCCTAAGCGTTTCTGTACGTGCCCTCTTTTCTTTCTCTCTTCCGTGGCTGTTGAAGCCTGGCATGTCATAGTATTGGATAACGGTGTACAACTTTGAAGCCACTGGGTACAAGTCGCAGAACGACGGTGTGAAGGAGAGCGGCCTCACTGAGCTGCTCGCCCAGAGGGTGGAAGTTGCAACGGTCTGGCCCGATGGTCCGCGCCCCCACTGTTTCACGCCGCCGGCGTACGGTCCGCCAAAGAGGCAGATCGGTCTGGGCGGGTTCTATTGGTGGGGCGGCGACAAACCGTACGAAGCATGACGCGAGTTTGGGCTGATTGGTATATATTCTGTTACTTGGAGCCGGCCTCAGCTTGGTCGATGCGAGGGCGTCAGGAGTTTACCGTGGCGCGATGTACGAGCAGTGTAAGTGTAAGGCAGATCGGATACCTTTTGTATCATCTCCGCGAACCTATGACCACGATCAGACTCATGCTCCACAATTATCGGCATGGGTTCTACACATAATTCGACGGTTTGCATTGCAACGGCTTCGCGTATCTTGCGACGCCGCTGTGTAGTTCCTGAACCGCGCCCAGGTCCTGGCTAGTTCAAGGTTGGGTCGTAGTCGTAGCCAGGTGTCGGATGTACAGTGCGCGTCGATCCGCGGGGCTTTACACTGGGGCGCACCCTCTTTGACTGCTAGAATGCCCTCGCAGTGAGGGAGTCGCGTACTTCGCAGTTCGTCTGCATTAAAACCCGCCCACCCCTCCACAAAAAACCCCAGTAGGGAAAAAACAAAATGGGGGTGGGGGGGAAAAGCATCACACCGAACTGCCCAGCAAGACGTACAACGAGCGGCACACTCGGGCAAAGAGCACGGAGCTTTCGGCAACAGGAAAAGCGTCAACATCGTTGGGCAAACGTATGCAGGAAAACATCGTCGCGCAAGGACAGCCGAGGTGAGGATAGCAGAGGTGACTACCGGTGTCGCGCGCAGTCGCCCATAACCACAGACATTCAGTCGATGACACCGAATGCATAGTCCACAATACATGAGAGGGCTTTGACGATAGTACAGGTGACACGGTTCGCGCTACTCTTCCGCTTCCGCAGTCAGGTCCAGTTCGTCTTCGCTGTCCAGGCTGTCGGTACGGGCGGTATGTTCTTAATTATGAACGCATTGGGTCAAAAAAAAAAACTTCTCGATGGCCTATTGACAGCGTTGCATCGCTTTCAGTCCTTCGCACGGCTATGTCAAGGGAACGAAGCCGTCTTCGGGCGAGCAGCCTGAATCGCTTCTGCGCGTCTCGCTCCATCACGAACTGCTGCCTATCGCTATGCAGCGTTTCCCGCTCGAGAGCCTTCCGATGGCAGTCGAATCTGTCGAGGACACCCTCAAGCTTGGTATTGAAAGGACTGAGCGTGAGCAGCAGCAATGCTGCAGAGTCTGCGTGAATCGGAGTCAACGAGCGGTTTCGCGCCGATGACGGAGAGAACGTACGACGAGGGCGGCCGGACTTGGTTATGAAAGTGCGACGGACGATGCAGCAGATGTCCAGGATGTCGCCGTAGACCTTGGCGAGCGCGTCTTGAACGTGGACGTGGCCTACGTACATCTTGGTGGCGTAATCGTCGAAATAGCGTAGATCGTGCGCGATGCGTTCCAGAACCATGGTGATTGCTTGGAAGTATCTTGGGGCGCGCTGGGCGACCTACGGACAAGGTGAACTTGGGACATGGGCCAGATCTGGGTCCGTACGTACTGCAATGATGAAGCGCAGCCCTCCCCACACGAGTGCCGCGACGTCTGGATGCGAAGAGACGAGCGTATCGACGGTCGCAAAGAACCGTTGCAATCCTTGAAGGATCGCGCCCAAACGTTCGACGCAGCGCCGGGTGCGGCTCCCTGCTTTATGCGCGCGGTCAATGGTTTTGAGGTAGACCACGATGTCTTCGAGCGAGCAGGATCGAAAGCATGCGAGTTCTTCTGGGGTGAACTTGTCGTAGCGTTGCTGAAAGGCGACGAGGAATGGGGCGTTGACTTCGAGATTGGCCATGATATTGGCCATGTCGAGTCGGACGACACCAGCGTACTGGAGGCGAGAGACAATGTGCAGGAGCTATACACAGTTCCCTCCATCTCAATAGCCAGAGCGCTCTCCCATCGATGCTATGATATTTGCCTCTGGTGAGCACAGATATGGGCGCCTGCTCGCAGTGCGCACCTAGTTGCCCGCAAACTGTCGATCAGTGCATAATGAGTTCCATGCCTCAGGCATGTGTTCTAAGCAGCTCCCAGCCACAGCGAGTGGGACAAATGCGAGCCTATACACGCCGCCGTCGAGGCCTCCTCCGCGTTCGAGCTCGCGGAGTTGCTGCACAAGGTTGCGCTTTGCTGGTCAGCGGGCGCTTATTCTTTTGCGTCATGACACGTGCTCAATGTGTTTAAGCGCCCAACTATCCTGGGCCTCTCGCGCGAAGGTGCCATCGTCTCCTCCCGTCGGCCGCCAGGACGCAACTTTCTTCCCCGACCTCCTCCTTACCCTTTGCCGTGCTCGCCACGAGTCCCTATCACCGATAACTTGCAACCACGAATAACCTCGGACGAGATTCGCAGCTCGTCGCAGCTGGAGAACCTGCGGCGCAGCAGCTTGGTCTAGCCGAAGTCGTCATATCCGCGTTGTCTTCGCCCCGCCAGAACCGGGCGCGACTCGGTCGCGAGAGAACAACTTTCCCTCTCTCAGTCGACCACGCATACATCCACCGACTACTTTGGACTCGACAGTCTTGAATCCGCAAGCTTGAGAACACGCGCACCATGGTGATAGGCATCCTCCCCGGCTCCGGCCACGGCCCCGGCTCGGGATCCGCCCTCAACCCCGCGATCCTCACCCTCGCCGGGATCGCGACGTTGGTTGCGACCGTCGTCTCCGCCATCTCCATCTTCCTCCACATCAAGAACTACCGGAAGCCCATCTTGCAACGGTGTGCGGCCTAGCGTCTCACATTTTACCCGGTGGACTGACAGAAAGGGCGGCATTTACAGGATGGTGATCCGGATCATGCTCATGGTCCCGCTGTACGCCATCTCGTCGTTCATCTCGCTGTTCTCCCTCGACGCCGCGTTCTTCATCGACGCCATTCGCGATATCTACGAGGTACGTCAACCTTGCTCCTGTCCGTATCAGCGGACACTGTTGATGGTGGTTTATCAGGCATTCGTCATATATTGCTTCTTCCAACTGCTGCTTGCGTATCTTGGCGGAGAACGTTCGCTGCTCATTTTGTTGCACGGCCGTCCACCGAAGGAAGCCGTCTTCCCCGCCACTCTCTTCATGCGCGAGATCGACGTCAGCGATCCATACACCTTCCTATTCCTCAAACGTGGCATCATCCGTATGTTCGGAATCACATGCTACCCCTCCGGAGAATTAACTTTCATCATCGCAGAATACGTCCAGGTGAAGCCGGTCCTTGCGATCGCCACGCTCATCCTCAAAGCTACCGGGAAATACAACGAGGGCGACCTCCGCGTCGACTCCGGCTACCTCTACATCAGCATCGTCTACAACACGAGCATCTGCCTTAGCCTCTACTGCCTCGCCGTCTTCTGGATGGTCGTCAGCCAGGACCTCAAACCCTTCCGGTAATGCCACTTCACCCCTATTCACCCTTATCTAACCCGCGCTTTCCATTTCTCTCAGACCGATGCCCAAATTCCTCTGCGTCAAGGGCATCCTCTTCTTTTCCTTCTGGCAATCGATCGGCATCTCCGTCCTCGTCAAAGCCGGCTTCATCAAGCGGCTCGGTCCCTACACCGACGCGGAGCACATCTCCCTCGGACTGACCGACACCCTCATCTGCCTCGAGATGCCGCTCTTCGCGATCGCGCACAACTTTGCCTTCTCCTACCACGACTTCGTCGACCTCTCCTTATCCTACGTCGCGCGCATGCCGATGTACTACGCGTTTCGGGACGCGTTCGGCGCGAAGGACGTGCTGGAGGACTCGAAGGCGACGTTGCGCGGGGAAGGGATGGACTACCGCGCGTTCGAGCCGAGCGAGGGGTATATCCATCAGGGCGTCGGCCGGACCAAAAGGATCAGGGCGGGGTTGAGGTATAGCCAGGGCGGGAAGAAGAAGTACTGGCTGCCGAGGACGACGGCCGAGCGCGAGCAGCAACATATAGGTGGGGCGGTGAAGGACGCCGTCGTGGGGCGCGCGCAGGATGAGGAGGTGTACGCGCCGCTGTTGGAGGAGGAGGCGGCGGACGTGGTGCACGACGCGCCGGATATGCAGAGCCCGGGACGGCGCGAGCAGACGGATAGCTTGTGGGTCGATACCGGGCTCCGCCCCAGCTCGCGTGACGACGAGGAAGATGGAGATGGGTTCGAGCTTCCGTTTGGCGACCCGGATCCGGCGGAGGACGAGCTGTTCGAGCACGCGAGGCGGTACCTGTTCGGGGATTATAATTACCCGTGCATTGACGTGTCGTCGGAGAACGCGAAGGCGCGAATATGGGACGAGGAGGAGAGGATATTGAGGGACGAGCGGGGGGCGTATTTTTCGCCGATGAGGGGGCCTGGAGGAACGTATGGGGCGGTCGGCGTGTCGGCGAAGAGGCCCAGGGTGGATTCGGCGACGTCGTCGGCTGCGGCGGGGTCGCCTGTGAATAAGGGCAAGGGGCGGAGCGCGGGGACGCCGAGGGCGGGGACGCCGAAAATCGGGTCGCCGGTCGGTGAGGGTTATGTCGTGGACTATGAGTGGGACCGCGCGGATGCCGGGGACGCGGGGAGCGGCGTGAAGCTGCACTGGACGAAGGCGCGCAAGGCCGTCGATCGGCAACCGGCGCGGACGCGGTCGCCGCGCCCCGTCGTGTCGCGCACGGTGTCCGCTATCTCCGCTTCGGCTTCAGGGTCGGGGTCGGGTGGAAGCGCGGCGCCGTCACCGAAGGACCGCCCTGTGCTGCCGCCAGACGCAGTTGACCTCGTGGTAGAAGATTCGCAGGCGCAGGACGAGGAGATGACGAACGAGCGGAGGAGGGGCGAGCCGGCGCTGCGTGGGTTACGGAAGGTGTACAGGCGTGGGTACATTGTACAAGGAGAGGACGGGCGTGAGCAGCAGGTCGAGGTCGAGGAGGAACGGGACGATGACGACGACGACGACGATGGGGATGGGGGAGGCGGCGGAGGGGAAGAGGGTATGCGGGAAGGGGAGCGATTGCAGGAGACCCCAATCGAGCCTGTGGCGGAGAGAGTGCCGACGCCGGCGGTGGTGCATCGGGGCTTGGAAAGGTTGCCGAGCGATACGTTCGATAATCCGTGGGCGTAAACGCCGTCGCAGAAGGACCTTTTGGTCCTTCGATCTTCTTGTTTCATCGCACCTTTTGGCACTACGTTTCGGACATCATGGTCATACCCATATCAGGTCGTTCATCGCATGTTGCATGTAATACTCCACATTGTGCTTGGCACCATGTATACATAGATAGTACTGCAAGACGCAAATATATATATATATATATATTTGTCGTTGCTCACGCGCAGTTGTTCCAGACTATTGAGAGGCGATAGGGTGGTATGAATCAATTGTTACAACTTGTAGAAATAGGTGACCTCGAAAAACCATATCGTAGTTTCTCGACCGTATGTCCGTCCCCTGTCCCCACCTACCTGCGAACCAAACCTATTTGCCCATTTGTCCCCTGTCCCCTTCCGATTTTCTGCCCGACCACTGATCGTGAGGGGTTCCTAGTCTGACCGTTTGAATGTTCAAATTGGTTTGAGGATCACTTGGTGAACTTCCACAGGCCCGAACTTGTGAGTGGTGTCCCTTGTCCCCAGGGGATCTGGCCGAACTTACGGTCAAAAAACTACAGTACCTCTCACTAGCGATTAGAATATGGGTCGAGCTGTCGTGAGAACTACTTGACAGGAATACATGTTGCGTGCTAAATCAGATAGAAGCGAAGACATCATATACAGCTTGCAGTACAGTGTATGACTGGGGGGGTCCGGACGACGACCGCAATATTGCTGCGATCTCGTAGCAGAGACAATCAGACGCTCATTTTCTGCTCGGGATCGCTTGCGGACTGACGGTTGTACAGTGCGCGGTGTATAAGCAGTAAGCATCGGACATGGTGACACGGACAGACTTCCAGCAACCCTTACAGCCACCTCGCACACGACAGTGTTCTGGAAGATCTCGTAGTCCATAAGAACGGAGTTGAATTTTGACCAACCCGATTATCTAATCAACGCGCCTCCTGCCAAATGAAGAAATGAGGCGTCGGTCGAGAAGTATATGTAAGAACGTATGTTATAATGTATAAATCAGAGCTTGATCGTGCGCTGTCGGGCAGTGCTCCACACATACGCAAGCCCTATTCAAAGTAGAATTTGATTCCTATATTGAGAATTTGCGACTAGAGAGGCGATATCAATACCTCGGGCTCGTCCGCAATGATTTCAGACCATGTGTCGTCCTATGGCGGACTCGGATGCTCGTCCGTCCAGGACACGGGATACAGCGGAGAGTACTAACGGATCGTTGGATGACCGGCTTTTCGTTCCAGAAGCAGTACGTCCATTCCACACGCATCTCTGAGATTAAACATGTTCAACGTGGACGCTGGCGAGAACAGGACGCACATTTTCTAGGTTGTACGCGAGCACGAACCCGACGGTCCCGACCCGACGCCGGATTTCCTGATATGGGGACGTCGCAGCCCGCTTGATCCAGACTCATCCCGCAGGCACGGAATTTGTCAGCACCAGGAAACCAGCCTACGAACCTCCGTAGCACCCTCTGAATATCCGAGTAACAGATCAATATCGGAGTTGCGATGGTTGCGCGCATTAGGATATTGAACTCGCCCGCGGCGCCATAGATATGGTACCGGGGGATGTCGTTCATTGTTAGTTCGGCGGGTTGAACGTCGCGGTGGCTCATCGCGCGCTAGGGGAAGACGCGGAGTGGGAGTTTGACCGAAAACAACATACAGCCGTTTTCAAAATTCTTGAGCGCGGTGCGAAAAACGGGTCGCGCGTCGTGAGCTGACCCTACGTTCGGGTCACCGCCAAATCGTCGCCGTCGCCGGTCTCAACTGCCTTGACAAGCACGAAATATGCCTAAATCCCGCCGTAAAGTGGTGGAGGTCGAGATGTCAGACAAGAAGGACGAAAGTAGCAGCGAGGACGAGCCGGAAATTGTGCCCCCTGGTACGCGATCATAGTCTCTACGTTGCATATTCATGCTCAAACCCGTTTTGGCTGCAGTTGCCTCGTTGCGCATTCGAATCCCTCCGAATGTAGCAGTACGCAATTCTCAAGGTATATTCTGTTAGTTTCTGGTGTATTTGTTGCTGACTGATGCGGGCTAGTTGTACGAGAGGAGGAGGAGAGTTCCGAGGACACGGCATCTCCCATCGAGAAGCATGATGTCCCACCCACTCTCCCAAGCTCCTGTCCAAAGCTCGCATCTCCACACGGAGAAATCTTCGATTTTCCAAGTTCTCCGCAGTACAGCCCAACGGATTTGCTCCCTGGTCCTGAGCCAGATCCGGTGCCATTACCCGCCGTCTCGACCAAATCCACGACCAAATCTTCGGCAAAACTGAAGGGCAAGGGCACGGGTAACCCGCGTTCAAAGCCTGACAACGGTGCCGATGCCGAAATATCGGTCTATTTTCAGGTTAACAAACCTGCGTCCGCACGTCCGCTCCAGAAGAAGGGCCACAAAGCCGAAAAACAAGATTATTACTCTTTCGGCCCGCTAGTCATGTCTGGAAAGTGGACATGGAACATGTTCCTGAGTGGTGCTGCAGAATGTGTGAAGTCGAATCTGTTGACGAACTTCAGGTGCACTCATTTTCGTGGAGATTCCTCGAGCCGTCCACTGCACCCGTGCTTCCGCTTGTCAGCGAGAATGGTTTTGATGCTTTGATCACACAAGCACTCGGTCGACAGCCCGCGAAGCGGTTCCTCACTGTGCGGATGGATATGCCACGCAAGCAGATCGACAGCCTTGTACGTTAGTCATTTCCTCAAACACGAGCTGGTGCTGATATAACGCTCAGCCATGGAACAATTCGAAGTCCAAGCATAATAAAGACAATGCTGACAATGAGTCCTCAAGTGGCAAGGAGCCTGAAGACACGCTACTGGCGCAGGTGAGCCTATATCGTATATTGAACTTGTACTAATAATCTGACAGGGGAAACGTGATGATATTATCAACGAATACGAGAAACAGCTTGCAGTAAAGTATGCACCTGGACTATGCGCAGAGCACCCCAACATTTCATGCTATCATTACCGCCCAGCAAATCTTCACTTTGAGCTCAATCGTATCTCTCGCCTAGTATGGGCAAGTCAAATCGTGAGTGAGCCACTTACCCACATTTGATTGCTGACTTCTGCGAGCAGAAACAGAACAAAGCAACATTTGATCATCCTGTTGTGCCTTCCGCACATTTCTGCGAAGAGAAAGCACTCAAGACTAAGACTCCAGTGAAGATTCCGATTGTAACAGCTCCGACTATGCCCCAGCCGCTATCCGCACCAGAGCAAATGGTACCGCCATACATGCCGCACATGTTACCATACTTTATGCCTCCGTACATGCTCCCGCTGCCAATTATGAATCCGGTTACTCCATCGCCATCGCCAAGCCGCAAGCGTAGCCACGAGGTTCTCCTGGGCTCGTCGCCAGTGAAAGCTACGATAAGCCTCAAAGAATTCTGTGATAAATATGGTCTACCCGAATCAACGAAGGAGCGTCTAGAAGAGATGGAGTTCATGCCTGGGGATAGTCTCAGTGGAGTCCCGGAATCGGAGTGGAAAGCGGTTGGTTTCAAGTTATTTTCTTGGAACCGGGTGGTACGGGCAAACACCGAATACAAGAAGACAGTTAAAAAATAGTCTACTGCATAATGTATCCACTATGCTTGAACCATTGTTCTGCCTTCTCTGCCATGACCGTTGCGCATGCATCCATCAACACTGTGTAAGGGTCCTCAGCATGGCAAAGTTGCCGGTATGAACACCGTAGCCATGCTTTCACTATCGCAGCAGCAGTGAGATCAAACAGTAAGGTCAAGATCAAAAACTTACATGCACTAAAGCTCTCCTCAATTGGATTTAGATCAGGAGAGTAAGGGGGAATGAATATGAGAGAACAACCTAAAGTTAATAATCAGTGCAAAGTAAACAACAAGTTACGAGTTCATTCACACCTTGGGCTTCAGCCAACTCCCTCAAAACCTCACTCTTATGTATGGAACAATTGTCAAGCAGCAAAACACTGCAATCACGGGGGAACGGGTTCATCTGCGGCAGCTGGGAAAGATTCAGTAGTGAACACTGACAAAACACTGCCGGCGTACCACTTCTTCTACGATGAAATCGAAGAATTCGTCACTGTTGACCGACCCCAAAACAGGTCGGGCAGCAATGTAGCCCCGGGTAGATAGAGCAGCTACCAAGCTGTAGCGCTGGCCTCGTGCAAATGGGCTCTTGACCTTAACGGAGACTCCACGAGGTGCACGACCGTATACTCGACAAAGTGTCCTTCCATCCTTGCTGGTTTCATCCACTGCTACGATTTGCTGGGCGACAAGATGCCGCTGCACGTCTTCCTTCCATGCCTCTCGCTGTGCTTCGTCCTGCTCTATCGCAGCCTTCCTAAGCTTTTTGTATGTCAAACCCGCGTCGGCAATAATCCGGTGGACAGTGCTGAGGGACATGTTAACATCGCGAGCAATGGCCAACCATTCTTGTACCTCGTCAAGGTACAGGTCCGGCGCCTCGGAGAGAAGCTGATGCATGTCCCGGCGAGTCTCGGATGTGATCAGCGTAGGGCGGCCCCTCTTTCCAGGTTGGTGTGGGGGATGGAATGCACCGTGGAGGCGTTGGTTGCGGCGCCATCGTCAGAGACTGGCAAGAGAGAAGCCAAGGATGCGACAGATGCTTTCGGGGGCATAGTCATGGTATATAAGCCATAAAGCCCGCTCCTTGATGTCTGAACTGATCTTTTGAAAGGGCATTGGTCGTTACAGCTGATTCGGAAAATCATGTGCTGCACCACTTTTTTGCGCGTTGCATCGTATACGAACCCTACGCTGGGGTTGACATCCGTTTCACCGTGTATGCGCTCGATAGCTCGCTGAATCATGCCTCCGAAACGGTCAAAAGTCTCCAAATCTCGCAGCAGACGGCCCCCCAAGGCTAGGGCAAGTGATCAAGAACCATGCGAGCCGGAGGAAAATGCGAGGTCAGGTATGGAGAGGCTATTGCTGTTCTCGGTCTCCACTGCTATCTATGGGTTTCATACTCTCCTTTCAAGGCTCTCAGAAGCTGTTCATCAAGCTTCCGGCACCCACACTTGCTAAATCCGACCCGAGTACGAGATTCTCCTTGCTCAGAATGACATTGTTGACTGATCATCCATAAAGTCGAGCTGTCCAGTGATAGAGACTCGAGCTCAAGTGACGAGGACCATCAGCACCACGAGGATGTTCTTGTGCAACGTGAAGAGGAGGAGGAGGAGGAAGAAGAAGAGAAGGAGGAGGAAGAGGGGGATCCGTTCTCCGAGTCTCCATTCAATTGGGACCTAGAAGAGACTGGCGGCGCCACGCCATGGCCGAACTCAGAGCTCGAGGTTCCAACCACGCCTATCGCAGCCCGTCGTACGTCTACAACTTTAGGACGTGGTAAACAGCCCCCGGTCCTGCGTGGTGATGATGTAGAAGAGCAGGCATTCAATGTCTACTACGAGATTGTGGTGCCGGCCTCGTCTGGGACACGTGTCAGGGGAAGGTCGCAAAATCCCAAGGAGAAAGAAACCATCCATCACGATGGCCCCGCGGAAATTCCCATGGACTTCTCGTGGGAGGCATTTCTTGCACGAACTGCAGACACGATCGAGGGAGTTGGTTCCGTCGATCAACTCCCAATCTCATCGTTTATGTGGAGATTTGTCAGACTGAAGAATGCTCCCTTCCTCCCACTCAGCAAACCCGAGGGCTATCGAGCAATGCTTGCGCAGTTTGACGGCAAGAAGCCTTCGCAATGTAATATCTTCGTTCGCATGGCAAAGCCAAAGAGAGACAAACCTGATACTCCTGTATGTGAACACATTGATTGCTGTCTATAGTTCTAACGCCTGGATTCCAGACTTGGGCCGCCAAGGCGGACGATAGCAGTTCACCAAGTGACGAAGGTGATGCAGACTTAGACTGGAAGAGCATACTTAGCAGGGGAAGAAAGGATGAACCTATCGAGCATTACGCGCAGAGGATCCTCGAGATATGGCATATTGGAAAGTGCAAAGAACATCCCAAGATCCCATGCTTCTTTGGTCATGAATCACAGCTTCACTTTGACTTGAAGGAGCCGGCACGCCTTGCGTGGGCAGCACAGATTGTATGTGATGCATTCAATCAAGCGGGGTTGTGATCTGACTCAGATTGTACAGGTACAAGGTGAGGCCTCGATTGTATGTCCGAAGATTCCGTCTGCTACATTCAATGTCCGGACTGCCTTGAAGAAGTCTGCTGTATCTGCTGCACCGGAACCATCTACCTCCATGCAGCCATCTACGCCGACGCCAGGTCAACCATACATGTTTCCTTCATTTGCTCCATCTTTCCCGTTCATGCCGATGCCATTCCCATATTCACCTGGCTTTGCGCCCCATTCTAGTTACCCAAGCGGCAGCAGATTTGTGACTCCACAGCTCCGTAACAAGCGATCGTTCGATGATCGGGAATCTTCACCGGTTATGGATCCAGTGTCGCTAGAAGAATTTTGCACAGAGTATCGTCTATCATCAACTATCCGTGATCGGCTTGAGCGGATGGAATTTCAGCCTGGAATGAGTTTGGCGCAGATTACGGAGGATGATTGGAAGGAGAAAGGATTTGAGAAGCTTGGGTGGGGAAGTGTTGTTCGGGCAAACATGAAGTACAAGGAGAAAGCGAATAGCACATAGATCATTATCCGATACGGTAACCACTATGTCTAAACCAGCCTATTGCCTTGTCGGCAGTGACAGCATGAGCACATGCTTCGTGTATATCTAAAATTGGGTCATTGCTGTTGAGAAGATGTCGATAGCTTCTGCGAAGCCATGCCTTCACTGGCATAAAGTTAGCGACTGAGTTGGAGCGACAAAGTGTATTGCACACGCACATGCACTGAAACTCTCTTCAATAGGGTTGAGATCCGGTGAGTATGGTGGGAGAAAGACTAAAAGGCATCCTGCCATAACATCAGGACCACCGTGTGATGAGAGATTGCAACATGAGACACAGACCTTGTCCCTCAACAACACGGCGTAGCGTGTCCATTTTGTGGATCGAGCAGTTGTCGAGGATGAGGACACTCTGGTCTTGTGGATATGGGTTCATGCGCGGAAGCTATGCACTCGTCAGACTACTTCAAATGCATCTCCTGATGTGACGTACCACTTCCTCGACAATGAAGTCAAAGAATTCGTATGCGTTGACGGAGCCCTCCACAACACGTGTCGACACGTATCCCGAGAGGGACAGGGCTGCTACAACACTATATCTTACTCCTCTGGCCAAAGGATTTGTCATCGGAGCTCGATCCCCTTCCTGCGAACGACCGTAAACCCGACACAAAGTCCGCCCATCCTTGCTTGATTCGTCAACCGTGACGATCATCCGCGCACGCAAGTGTTGCTGCACAGTCTGACGCCACGTAGCCCGTTGTTCTTCATCCCTCTCAATGGCAGACTTCTGCAGCTTCTTGTAGGTATAGCCAGAGTCGTTGATGAGGTCATGGATCGCGGTCTTCGAGAGAGCCAATTCGTGGGCAATAGCAAGCCACTGCTGGACTTCGTCAAGATAGAGGTCTGGAGCCTCTATAAGTAGATTCAGGATGTCGGACCGCTGCTCGCCCGTCGTCCGAGAGGGTCGGCCACGAATGGACCGGGGAGGTCGAGCAAGGGAGTCGTATTCCTCGAAATTGTGTTTCCATCGTGTCAAGCTAGCAAGAGACACGCCAATAATGCTACATATTGCTTCGCGTTCGAGTCCCCTGTCAATCAGATGCAAAGCACGTAGTTTGACGTCGTCACTAATCGTTCGGAAGCCCATGGGGAGCGTATCAACGTGTATCGCTGGCGTGTCTGCGCTCTTGACACAGACAACCCCAGCGTAGGGTTCGTACACGACGCAACGCGCAAAAAAGTGGCGCAGCTCATGATTTTCCGAATCAGCTGTAAATATCAGCTCGTAAGTACTCGTCGATGTCGAAGAAGAAAGAGAGGCGGCGATTGTAGCTTCGGTGTACCGGCTGTATCCACGGAACTTCTAGCCATATTTGCTACATTGCTATATATCCACGGTCATCCTATATCGCTAACCCCCTCGAAACCCCTCCTCGGGCTGAACTGCGTCGTAGAAAACCTTCATGTGATTCTACTCAGCGGCTGTGAAATCCGCCTTCAGACTCGGAGTCTGTGAGCGCCAAGCTTGCGCGCCCCTTCATCGCTTCGTCTACTCTCTGTCTCTCCATGTCATCATCGCACAAGCCGCACATCGAGGACGAGGAAGACGTCGACGACCTCGACGGTCAGTGACACCGTCGCAGCCTTGTCCCCTCCATCTGAAGCGCGCACATCGCTCAGACGTCGTCGAACAGTTCGCCACCCCGGCGCCTTCTACTACCGCTGCTAAACCCGCATCGGCAGCGAAGGCGCCCGCGCTCGAGGCGGGAAAGGATAAGGCGGAAGATGACGACGGGCTCGATTCCGACTTTGCGCGCGCGTTCGCGAAGGAGATGGAGTCGTTTATGAAGGATCTCGGTGGGCAGCATCCTGGGGCCACCGGCGTCGCGGGTACGGGGCAGGAGGGAGGCGGGGAGTCGAGCGATGTAGAAAAGGAGCGGCTCATGGCTGCCTGGGAAGCGATGCTGGTCGAGGGCATGAACGGCATGAGCGAGGGCGCGCCCACCGGTACCGTCCCCGCGGAAGACAACGACTTCCAGAAGACGATCCGGGAGACGATGGACAAGATGAAGCAGAGCGAGGAGGCGCTGAAGGAGGCCGACAACGCGCCGCCGCCGGACTCGCTCGAGGCGCTCCTGGCGCAGCTCAAGCTCGACGGCGAGAACGGCGAGACGGAGGAGGACTTCCAGAGCATATTGGAGAGCATGATGACACAGCTGATGAGCAAGGATGTGCTGTACGAGCCGCTCAAGGAGCTGCACGATAAGGTTCGTCTCTCTTCCTCTGCGCGTCCTGTTCTCTGCTTGTCGCTGTCCTTTCTGCTGATCGTGTGCCGCTCGCGCAGTTCCCAGATTACCTCGCGGAGAACTCGGCCAAATTATCGACAGCGGATAAGGACCGGTACGAGCGGCAATACTCGTGCGTCCAACAGATCGTCGAGGTGTTCGAAGACCCGTCCTACTCGGACGAAGACGCGCAAAAGGGGACTCGGATCGTCACCCTCATGAACGAGGTAAACGGGCAACCTCTCCTTTTCTTCCCGTCTTACCCGTCGGCTAACGGGGGTTTTTTTTCGCGAAAGATGCAATCTCATGGCTCGCCGCCGCCGGAGATCATGGGCCCCCTCCCGCCCGGTCTCGACGTCGGCCCCGACGGCTTGCCAAAGCTGCCAGATGGGTGCACGATAGCGTGAACCGACCTCGCTAGTTTCGCTCGTGACAGCCCCTCCTATCCACGACACTTCGCAATGTACCCCTCCAACCACGAAAGAGTCTATGTATCACAAGAATAGGAATACAGATCGATCCCCTCTGAGTTTCCAGCCTAGAGAATACCAAGATTATGTGCGAGCATGCGTATGTTACAGGTAGTGATGATGCGCATTAACAGTGTGGTGCAGCCTATGCGTATGCTTCAATGATGTAGGAGTAGCGGTGTGCAGGGTGGTACAAGAAATTAAAGATGTGATGGTCTCAGTGCGTCCCACTGCTGGATTCACTATACACGACCGGACGAGCGCGCGACCTCTTGGATCTCCCATCCGTTGTGACTTGGTGGCGGAGGATCTCGTGGACGATGAAGATCGTAGTTGAATATTCGCCTCCCGATGAGGTGCGCTGCAGGGGGCGGTGACGGTGCGACGACGTCGTGCGAAGTATGGTGCATGTGCAGAGGCGGCGATGGATCGGTGGCGGTGAACGGTAGTCCCGGTGGTGGAGGGTGGTCCGGAGGCGAGTTGGGCGGCGGTGGTGATGGGAGGTCATGACGGTCCAAGTTCCGATCTCGGTCGAGGGCGTCCCGGTGCGCGACGCCGGATTTGAGCTGGAGGGTGAACTGCGAAGGGTTGCTGAAATAGGCATGGATAACTGGGTTTAGCTTGGGCCGGGGGAAGAGATGATAGGCGCGTACGGAGGCATAGAAATGTGGGAGGTGAATTGCAGGGTCGGGCCCGTCTCCTGGGTGTCCACGACGACGTTGTCGGCATTGGCGTTGGCGAAGGTCGGGATGCGTCGGTCTTGAGCGTTCGACGCGATCAGGTGCGTCGTGATGCGGCACGAGGCGATGACGCAGACGATGAGCGAGGGGCCGGTGAGCATTACGTCCATGATGGCTATCAAGAATGGGATGAGCGTCAGGGTGGAGGTATGAGACAAGAGGAATAGGTGTACGCACGGCTCAGCCTCATGAATGCGAAGACCTGCTGGTAGTGAGTGGGCAGCTAACGGAGGGAGGGTTTGGGAACGTACCATGGGGATGAGATTCGAGACGCAGGAGATGAGGAAGAAGCCGACGCCTTGGCGATACAGCGTACGGGGGAGGCTGTCCTCCATCTTCGTCAGGCTGCCCTCCATCTTCGCAAGGGCGGCGATGCTGGCGACCATGACGACAAAGTCGTACGCCAGCGCTGAATAGTGGAACTATGCGTGAGCGAGGGATGGAAGAACGATGCGGTGGGGGAACGCACTGTAAGCGTAGATGATCCCGAGCATGTGTCCGTTCGTGCTCGAGATCGTGCAGCTTGGGGCGGAGTCTGTAATGTCCGAGTCGATGATCCTGAAGGCTACATGACGTCCAGGTCTAAGAGGATGCCCGAGTGAAAGTGAGGACGTCGTACAATTGATTAGCAGTCCCCAGTGACCGATGCAAATGGCGACGAGCGCTGCTATGGCGAGGGAGGCATGCGGCATCTGTTTCCAGATATACACACTAGCGACATGAGGATGTTCGTGATTGAAGGACGGAGTGGTCGGACGTCGGACTCACGCGCGAATCATCAAGTTCATGGATGCGCATCCGGTTCCTAGCGATGCCATGGCCTATGCGAATGGTCAATGGTAGGGTATATAACGTGATGTGACTGAAGCGTGCCTCGACCGCAGCAGCAGCGGCTAATGCCAGGGACACATATCAGAACTGGAAGCTGGAGCTATAGCCAAAGGGTACGCACCTTGGCAATTGAGGTCGGGTGCGTCATGATGATCGACAATTTGGCTACGGTGGACGCGAAGTTTGCTTCCGAGGACGACGACAGCGAGCTGGCGGGATGACGCACCCCAGGAGTAGGAAGACCAACGCCGAGTACCGCGCGAGGAAATATGACACCTGTAAATGAGAATCGCGTTGTTCCCGGGTATAGCCAAGCTACTAGACAAAGTACTCACATACGGCCACCTGAACGGCGTCCTCCCCCGCAACAGCCACCACTCAAACCACAGCGTATGCACATAATCCCATCTGCAGAGTGGAGGAGGAGGCGAGGCAAGGGATAGTACATAGTGATCGAGGTTAGCGACAGCGCTCTGAGAGGTTGACAGCCAGAAATTCGCACAGGTAGACCCCCATGAACACCGATGACAGGCCGCGGAGCACGGCGCCCTCGAGGACCAGCGCCTCCAGCGTCGTCCACTGCATCACCGCCGCGCGCCGGCCGCGCCAGTCACGGAGAGGGGAGGGGAAACGACAGCGGGGGCGGCTTGCGCCAGGATGGTATGTAGGAACGTGGAGAAGCGAGGCGGGGCGGGAGTAGCGGGGCTGATATGTAGCCCTTGGGGCTTGGGATATTCCTACCTTCTACCTATCCTGTCTGCATCTTATTCTTATGTCCATCGAATTCTCTTCCACTTCCGGATCTCCGTCGTCGCACGATCCAAGTGCGCGCGGCTCGCTTAGAGTTAGGCTACGCGCAATTTACCTCTCTCGTAAAGGCCAGGCGCTTGCGTCTTCTCTAGGTCTTCTCATATGTTCAACTCAATCACTGGGTCATTTGGATCGATATCTCTTCTGGTCGGCGGCACCATGCATGGTCTTGATTCTTAGTTATATATACCCATAGCGACGCGTAAGCCTACGCCGTCGATAAGGACGCACCAAGTGCCAGAGGGAATGGCAAATCGCGAGTGTATGTATTGGGATTCACGATCTGATGGGAAGAAACGCGATCTCATGAACCATGAGAATGAGCGAACAAATGAAATAAAGACTATCAAGTTCTGAAAGCGACCCCTTTGGCGAGGGTTTTCGTCCATAGTGATACATTGCATGATACCATGCCGAGCACATCGCAGGGATGGGAGGGATGCATGGGTATCATCGAGGGTCTCACGGACACAACACGGCGCCGAATGAGCATGTATGTAACAGTGCCGCGATGATCCTCGGACGGTATGGCATGGCGGAGAGCGCGGGGTTATCGTGGACCTTCGGGCCCGGAGTTTGTACGGCACGTCGCTCTCACCAGATGTCGACGACAGCAAGCGAAAGCGCTGTACCATGCGTCCAGATACTCTCGGCTGCGGTTCGGCGGGCAAGAGGGAGATGGACAGAAATGACGGGGTGGCGTTCGCTCCATGATCCGCCGGCAGGCTAGCCTTCAAGACTGTACGTATTCTTCTCCAGCTTGACAGACGTGAGTCGTCGAGGGAAAAGAAGATCAGGTATGGACAAGGGCGCACTTCTGTCTCTAGCTCTCTCCGGACGCGGTATTCTTCGTCGGCTTTGATGACGACGTGGAAGTCGTCGAGGTCTTCGATGATGAAGTGCCAACGCTCGTTCATGGTGAGCAAAATTTGCTTCACAGCCGAGTCACTGCCAGGATGAGACTAAGGTTAACACACGCCGTCTTGGAGAGACTGAAGGAATTGTGGCGCACCATGTCAGGAGGACACCTACGGCAAACAACATACGGTTAAGACAAAATTTCTCTGCCGACCATGGAGGTGCATACCTTTGATAGCTTTCATGGCCGAGAATGCCTAGCGTAGCGCCCCTCCTTGAAAAGCTGCAGACCTCGGATTGGAGTGGGGCGATAGCCTCGGTAGGTGCGCTTCGAGCGCCACGATCGCAGCGGGTTGCAAGAGCTGTGCGTGGGAACATTAGACGACTTTCACGAACACGCAGACTCCGTTTCTGTCGGACGCCAACCATCTTGTATCAAGCACCAAGGCCGGCATCACTTCGCGGGATGGGCAAGCGTTGCCAGCTCACAGACACTTTCTTGGAAATGTCTGGGCTACAGCTTGGGCGGGACGATGTAAATTTTAGCAAGGTACGATGGACGCCGAGCAGCTGATGTTGCGCTGAAAAAAGACATAAGAATGGTTCGTTGCACCAATGCCCGTTACCTCGATAAGACGACGTCTATCTTCCAAAACAATTGAGCTGTTCAGGTGCCGGCAATTTCGTTACAGTTTCAACCGGCGAGTCGCGCGATCGCTCGGACCAGATGGGCGCGTTCATGTGAGTACGTAAATAACTCGTGTTGCACCGCTCGCCTTGTTCTTCATCCAAGAGCAGTGGTTCTCGTTTCACGAATACCTTCCCGCCGGGGCTTCCTTTGACTATCCTGACTCTCCTCTGACTCGCTCGGGCACCGGACGTGAGTCAGAGGAGGCCAGAAATCTCACGGGTTGCGTTGCGCACGGACATCTCAGGTTGTGACCGCTGGCGTCGGGAGTTTTGCAACTGACGATCCGTCGCGGAGACCGTGATTTGGATAGATGTTAGCTATCTGCAGACTCCTGTGGTATACTGAGCTGCTGTATGCAGCGCCCGGAACTGCCCTTGAAAGTAGGCAAACTGCGTGCTGCAGTCTTCGGGAGGCGCTGTTCCATCATCGTCCTCAGACACGCGCTTGGACCGGTAATAGAAACCATCCAACTTTACGCGGGAGAACGGAGAGTAGATTGAATACCAGACAGGGTGTCGTGCATACACTGCACAGCACAATCTCAACTGCGGCCCGTGGATCCTGGAGATGATCTAGCGAGATGCTGGGGCCCGCGTCACTTGTTTGGCACTACTGACTCACTCACCTCTATAAATCCGTGCTACGCCTCTCAGACTCATTTGTATCCCTCCCTGCCACGCACTCATGACAAATTTTGTGGCTGATACAGACAACTTGCCGGCGTACCGGCCCACCTCTCATCCCGTCCGACCGCTGTCTGAGAGCTCGTTCCACCTGTCCACCAAGGGCAGGCCCTGGGCGACATTGAAACTCTCCAGCAGAGCCGCGGATGGCCCCCCCGTTGTCCATGAAGGAGACGGCATCTCCGGATCTGTCGCCGTAGATTTATCCTCTGGTGAATCTCTTGTCGGCGTCGTGGTGACGGTGAGCATCATTGTTACGCTGCTTTCTATCTCTGACCGTCTTGAAACGGTGACGGTGTAGCTTACCGGAAGGCTGGACAGCATAGTGTCCGGGCAACATACATTTTTGTCAGAAACCAAAACTCTCGGCTCGTCGGACGCGACGTTGACGCGCTGTTCGTCGGACGGTTCGGGGTCGTCCTTCGGTTCGACGGTCCTCAAGCCAGGAGCAGCGAGCACCAAACTCCGCGGACAGCTATCCATGCCGTTCTCATTCGAACTTCCTCGTACCGTCGAGCTGTCCGCACAAATGCGGGGGAAGTCGCCATCGTCGTCGTTCAAACTTCCGCCGTCGTTCAACGAGGTTCAATCGTCTTTCAGCATCAAATATCACATATCCGTTCGTCTTCGCAAGGGCATATTGAGATTTGATTCCATGTACGTCGTCATTCACGCTGGTATTCGTATTCTTCAGCTCAATATCGAATCATCAAAGATTGAGCACGCCGATACTCTTTGTCCCCAGCTTACGTCCAGACCCTCCGTCTTTGTTCCGTCAGTTGGCGTTGTCGAATCAAATCGATCTGCACGGCGTCGAGGGAGACCCAGAAGGTTGGATCTCGTTTGAGCCGATCAAGATGAAGGGCAAGCTATTCAATAGCCGAGAGGTCGCGGTGAACCTAAAGGTCCGTAATCATTCAATATTCCAGCGTGTTGTCAGGCCAACGTTGTCTCGTTACATTTCCGTATCAGCTATCGCTCGCGCGTCCGGTACGCTTACTACCGTTTACATTTCTCATAAATCTCGTACTGATCTAGCACTTGTCTCATGATCAGCTTTGCTACGTCCGTGGTCATCATTTGCAGATGATGCTGCAAATATCGTCAGACGACTCGCAAGCTTTAGAGCTCTTGTCCAATCCTTCGGCGCATAACGTCGGTCTGCTCCGGAATGCGCATGATCCTGGAAGCAATCCGAACACTCCGGTGGCATCCCATGCACGTCCTCTTGGGTACACCACATGGCGTCGGTTTGTCGAGCCCAACAACAATGGCGACCCCGTCAATTCGCGTACGCTCTGCGGAGAGTTTACGCTGCCCGAGGACATTGCTCCTACGATGATATTCGGCGCGTACAGAATCACGGTACGTATTCATGCTGCACCGATCGTATCTCGTGTGCTAATTGTGCTTCTTAGTATCTCGTCGTGATGTATCCGCCAAAAATATCTGGCTTCGTACCGCTCAGAGACAGATATCTCCTCTCCGAATCTGTAAAGGTTGCTACCCTCCCTCCTTCCGCAGATAGTGCGACTACGACCGCAGGGCTTTCTTTACCTCCAACATATAACCGATTGCCCGGTTCCTGAATGCACAGTTTTGACACATCGATGTTCCTCGAGTCCGACTGCGGATCGAGTGAATAAACTCCGGCGTCACATACATCAAAAGTTCTGATAGAGTAAAGATAATCCTTGTAATAGTATAATGAATGGCGGATAGGTTTTTGTGGACCCGGCGTCGTGACTCCGAGGCTGTATAGAGGCGCTTGTCAGTGTCACTGATTCTGCCATCAATGCACAAATGCACGTGATGCGGGCTGTGCACGCGTTTGCCTTTGCTCGTTGCGGCGCGCGCTGAGGTCGTCTTCACCGACGATGTCAGCGATACTTCGCTCATCGTTCGCAGCATCCGGATCGTTCTCTCCGCGATCTCTCTCGAGTATACCACCTGCTGCTCAAAACTACGAACCACTCGTCAAAGCTGTACTCCGACATCGCCTCACGCGGCATGTCTTCCTTCACTCTGCGCTGTGCTCCTTGGTCGCCTCTGCCATATGGTTGTCCTGGTTGAAGACCGGACTGCGACCTGTCATCACAGGAGGGTGGGTAGCATACATACCTGAGTCTTCGACCTTGCTACTTGCGGCGTTGACGTGGGCTGGCGGTGTCCTGCCTCTCATCATTTTCCGACGGTGGTCATTGACAGGTGAGTCCTTAACCAAGATCGCGCGTCAATGAAGCTCACTGTTCCATTAGCCGCAGCCTCTATTGCGCCATCACCATCTCAGACTGTACGCAACGCACTTGCAAAACCCACTACGTTGTATGGGTTCGCCACCTACACCGCAAGTTCGGCGTGCATATTCCTCCTCCACATTATTGCCGCGAAATTGGCCCAGGATAATGATCCGCAGCTGTCGGTATTTGTGAAGTCGAAGTACGTCACTTGGTTTGGTTCATAGCTTCTCCCGCTGACCGTATGCTTCGTCAGGAAGCATCCGTACTACCTCAATGGCCGATTCTTGTACACCCTCCTATTCTCCGTCTACCTCGGGGCTGCGTTCCTTCTTCGCAACCTCATGTTGGATCGCTTCGCGCTAAGGTCGAAGGCATCACCGAGCTTTGTATGTATCGGTAGCCACTCTGTCATCTTGAAGCCATTCACCTAACCCTTGCCTCTTTGCACTAGGTGGACAGGACTCAACCAGCCAGTGCCCGTGTAGTCCTCGCTGGCATCCTCGCTCTGAAAGCGGCAGTGTTTACGCTGATTGCGGCGGCGACATATGCGTTCATCTTTGCGCTATCACGGGCTTTCGTCATACCAATCGTCCTGAGGATACCACTGCTCGGCCAATTTCTGCGTCCTTTCCTAGGATACGTTATCTCAAGACGGAGCGAGTGGACTTTTGTCCTCCCTTTGCGGAATCTGGGCTTGCTGTTCAGGACATCTGCCCTCGGATTCTCAACCGTCGTCTTATGGGAAGTCGCGGAGACCCTGTTTGATGACATTGTTGCTGAGGTGAGTTCGCCGCGTTGCATTCATGTCCTGGTGTACACGCCATACTGACGACAACTGGTTTTCCACCTAGCCGATTACCGTCTATCAATTAACGGCTGATCCCGCGTTGGCGTTGGTCTCAGGAATCACGTCCACCGATCCCGCCGGTTACTTCCGTCGCTTTGCGTACGCAGAACTGCAGCAATTGGCGCAAGATGATTCGACCGCGGCGAGCGCGAAACGAACGGCGCTGTTCGCGGACCAGAAGTACAATCCGAGCATGTGGGCCGTGCTGTGCCGCGAGAGCCTCCTCCTGCTCGGCCGAGACTACCAGCACCTTCTCCGACGAGGAAAGCCTCCTCTACCCCCGCCCGCCGCACCTCCCGCCGCGAAATCCGTCGCCCCCAGGGCACCGGGCACGCCGCTGAAGAAGGGCCCGATATTCAAGAGCACCCAGGAGAGCCCGATCCGGAAGGTGGTGGAAAGCCTCGCGAGCGACGGAACGATGAGCCAGGCGGTCGAGGAGACGGAACAGAACCTGCATCTTCCGGATCTCTTCAGGAGCGTGAGGAGCTCGGAGCTCGTGAAGGGCCCCGCGGATAGCTTTGCGGTAGTCAAGGAGAAGGTGGAGACGGTTAAAGTGCCCGACGTGAGATCCGTCGTAACGACTGCAAAGGGCAAGGGGAAGGAGGTGCTGAGAAGCAACGTGCCGGCGTGGGCCGTGGAGCTCGGGGACGAGGTATACGACTGGTGGGCTCGAGATAGGGCGAGTAAACTGGTGGAACGTTCGCTACCAAATCGAGAACTGGACGCGATCGTCGTCGAAGGTATGTTTCGCACTTATGCTTCGGCGACTTGATGACACTCAGCCACGTTACAGTGCTTTCCTACCTGGTGTGCGCGTCACTTAAGGAAGATCGCTATGGTGTCGTCCAACGCGATATACCTCGCATTCTCGAGGCGTTTGTCTCCCTCCTGACTGCGATAGAAGAATACCACGCTGAGATAACGAAGACGTACGCCCCGCCTGCATTATCTCCAGAAGAGGAGGCGGCACTACCCCTGAACCAACTTCGGGAACGTGACGCACAAGCGCAGGAGGTAGCTAAAGCGAGTGAGCATATGGCAGTGGTATCTGATGGTCAGTTGTTGTCGCCCCCATTGTGCTCTGCCTTTGTCTGACCGACGTTACAGCCCTCAAGGATGGCTTGCTGAGAGTCGTGCGGACGTTTGGAGAAAAGCTGTCTGCGTTCAAGTTTCCGCCGCGGATAGCCAGGAAGCTGCAGGGTTTCGCTGATTACAGTTAGGTTGATCTGCCATAGCCAACAATGATCATTGTACATGTACTCAGCAATTTTGGGGCCCGAGTTCTAGGAGCGATACGCGTCTGGTCCGACTTCAGGGTGCTATTCTGTCGTTCTACCGTCTGTCACACGTCAAGGTAGCGTGCTTCGAGCTACACCGACTCTCCGCATTGGCTGCTTCTTGCGTGGACATATGTCAGCATGTCAGTTTGGAAAGTCAAAAATTCGGGAAGATACGTTCTCCGGATGTGCATAAGTATCCGCACAGGACAAGTTTACCTCCCCCATGTTCGGGGCGCGCACATAACTATCGATTCACCTCAATTCACTCGTTAACACGCACACTTACTACTCTCTTTTCTTGAGTCTATGGTTCTCGAACCTTTACAACCTTCGACGCGGACATGAATCGCAACCCGTTCAGCCCCGTCCGGCGGCTGCAGCCTCTACTCAATTTCCTCAAGCCGAAGACCGCCCCGCACCACGCCGTTCCGGCCACCCCGCCTCACGCTCGCGGCCACAAGCGCAGCCGCACCGAAGGCCTGCCTGCCCGCGCCTGCCGCACTCCGCCGCACCGCGTCGCCCTGCAGCACCTCGACACCTCGCGCGACGCGATCGTGATCACCGCGCTCGCCGCTTTCCCGTTCTGCTGCCACGAGGACCTGGTCACGATGGCCCGCGCGCAACTCGTCGACGTCGCGCTCGCGCTCAACGCGAGCTTGCCTGGCCCCATGCAAATCGATGTGAACCCGGCGCGGGGTGAAGGCGCCATCCGGCGGGCGATCGAGGTGGTCGTCGGGCTGAGGGAGAAGGAAGCTCTTCCAGAACGAGCTAGGGAACGCGGGGCGGGCAAGGGCGGCGTTCGTGGGCCGCCGATAGCGGCGAGGAGCGTCAAGCATGGGCACGGGCGAACGCAATCGCTGGATGTGGAGGCTCTGGCGCGTATCGAATCGCAAGGCTTGAAGATAAGGCCGCCACGCACGCCGCAGAGCGCGGAGTCTCCGCCCGACAGGAAGCGCAAGCGGACGCGCGTAGGAGGAGCCCAGACGGGCTTGGCAATATACACCGCGGCGAGCGGACCGGGAGACAGCGCGCGGCTACACATCCTTGCGGAAGCGGAGGAAGACGCGGACATGGACGACGGCGGGGAAGGGACCGGTATTTGGGATCTTGGAGAGGTCAGGCCGGTGAAGAGGCAGCGGAGCGAGGGTGAGCGGCAGTGGGAGAGAGTGCGGGAGGGCGAGACGACGCCGACGCCAGCGCCGCGTCAGGCGCGACCTCGCAAAGACGCGCTCCGAAGCGGCGCCCACCGCCGCACGATGTCGCAGCCCATCTTCGTTGCGTCTGTTGCAGGCGACGCCAAGCTCTCGCTGGAGGCCCTGAAGACCGGGGCAGATCGCACGTTCGTAGGATCGGCGATGGGTAGTCGGATTCGGCCCAAATCGCGTATGGGACTGACGTCGACCCCGAAGATGGGACACGCTCGGTCGTCGTCCGTCCACGTCAAGAAGAAGTCCGTGCCGGCGACGTATGGGCTACACGCCCGCGAGCCTGCAACGTGGCGGGCCCAGCGGTCCCCTTGGAGGATGGGCAGTTCCAGTCCTGGGCAACAGGCGGACGAGGCCGCCCCCTACCCAAGCGACGATTCAGACATCTTCGAGCGCGGCAGGGAGCTAGCGTTGTTGGCCGCAGAGGCGCAACGTCTGTTGGCTGGCCTGGAAGAAATGAGAATGTCAACTGCGATGGATCAGGGCGGAGCGCGTTCGCGTTCTGACTCGGACGCGAGCATGTCGTAGCCGTAACGGGGTCGCCATTTACTGGGTTTTGGTCTACGTCAATACTTTGGGTTTCATGGTATCCGTCTCTCACTCCTTCTGTGGTATGTACAAGTTTGCGCGCTCGAGCCGCCGTCTGCCTATACCAGATCCGTAGCCTGGCTCACAAACCGAAAAGCAAGGAACGACTGCGATTTACACGGATACTCAGCAAGCTCGATCTTCCACGTGGCCCTCTTTACCTCCTCCCCAGATGTATCGTGGAGTGGTTCAGCTGCCTTGAGCCAGAAAACGTCTCAGGCAGCGACGAATGCCCATGTGTATGCACCTTGCTACCGATTACAAATAACCCGCACGCAATTGCTCCGCTTTTTCCCTCTCCTTTTCCTTAGTCTGTCTCTTGGTCCAGGCCCATTTGACCGTGTCCGAGCACTGGCCGTCCACGATGAATCCATTGAGCTCGAGCCTGTGGGATTGTGCCAGGATGGCGTTGACGTAGAACTCGCTCGCGTGCACGGAACGCAGGTGGAGCGTTTTGAGCGAGGAGAAACCCACGTACGGCTTGGGCTCCCCGTTGATCTGTGTCTCCCCCCGCACCGCCTGGGCGCCCAAGAGGGCTTCGAACACGGCCGTGGAATTGACTTGCCGGTCGGCTTCGAGGCCCTCGAGAACTAGAGTCTGGACATGCGGGGCGGCGAAGAGCGAGATGAACCGCAGCGCTTGGATGTCGGACGAGTAGCCGATCCTGAGGTGTCGCAGGCGAGGGAGGAGGACCGTGCGGGGCGCGCGCTCGGCGCGCGAGAGGTCGCCGTCGAGTCGAAGGACCTCGAGCGTGTCGGAGCAGGCGGATAGGACGCCGATCAGCTGGTCGCCGGAGGGCATCTCCTCTTCGTAAAGCCCGGTAATTTTCAGCTCGCGGAGCCCGCGGAAGGTATCGAGCGCGTTCCAGTAGACGCTGTTGGCGTTCCAGTGAGTGCTATTATTGACGCTCCAGCGAGGGCTGTCGGCGTGCCATTGAGCGTTGTTGCTGATCCAGTGGACGCTGTTGGAAGTCATCTGCGCGGGATGGTGGGAGAGGGAGGATGGGCGCGGGCAAGGGCAAGGGCAAGGAACGGGAGCGACGAATAGGTTACGGCGACTTACTCTTCAGCTCGGGACTATAGAGAAACTCGGTACATTGTGGCCCTTCCAAGCTCTCGGCCACATGGTGTGACGGATTATGTGCGAGCTGGAGACAAGGCCACAGCCGCAAGGACAGCAGCGGCGCGTGGCATAGACCCACTGTGTGGCTTTGGCACCAAGGATGTCGATAGACAAAGGGCAGCAAGGTCCACACGAGAAGGCAATGCAAGTCGTTCAGTGTTAAAGGAGTTTCAACGTCTTGAAAGTTGGCAGGGAAGATAGGTATATAGTCAGGTCGACAAGTTATTGGGACTACCGACGGTTCTAAGGGCGGCGATCAGCAGCGCATTCCCTAGGGTGGTATCAATATTCCGCGATTCTTTCCCTTTGCTTGGTCCCGTATTCCCATTCCTTATGCACCGCGCGGACCACCTCCGAGCAGTCCTCCGCGACAAAGTTCTCGAGCCTCAGGCATGACATCAAGACGAGCATCAACTCGGTTTGGGCCGAGTGCACGAAGCGTAGGTGGAGCGTTTTGAGCGAGGACAGGGACAGATACGGGACGGTGGTCCACCAGGACGCGGACGCCGAACTGCTGTCGGACTTGTACAAGTGATCGAAGACGTTCGTCGAGTCGACGGGCGGCGCGCCGGGCCGGACGACGCGGTGGCCTTCGAGGAACAGCGCTTGGAGATGGGGGGCTGATATGAGCGAGAGGGTGCGGAGAGCGGCGGTGCCGGAGGCGAAGCCGAGGTGGAGGTCGTGTAGGAGCGGGAGCCAGACCGTCAGAGATGGGAATTCTGGTGGCGATACGTCGATCCGGAGGACTTGGAGGGTCGAGGCGCAGGCGTCGAGGATGCGGAGAAGCTGGTCGCTGGAGGGACGGCGGTCGTGGGGGATGTCCGTGATACGGAGCGCTTGTAAGCCCTCGAAGTGGGCGAGCGGGGCGTTCCAGTTGGCAGCGCCGTGGATCCTGAGTGTTTTCGGCTCCGCGGGCGTCGAAATGCGCTGGTACCCGTCCTGTCCATGGGCAATCGGATCAGTGTCCCCCGTCACCATCTATGAGACAAGAATGTTGCGAACCGGGCGAGTGGCGGGCGTAGATTGTCCGCGATAGAAAATGTTTCCGAAATTCATTTTGCGCTGACTCGAAGCAGAGGCTCAAAGACAGATACAGGCAGGGATGAATTTTGGTACGGTGATTGAGTTGTTGGTTGCGATTCCACCCGGAGATTGTGCTGGCAAAGACCAAGATATAAGTACTGTCTGCGCATTGTGTGCCTCTTCTCTTTTGTCGGCCGCGCAGTGTGTGGCCCTTTGTGATCTCGCGCCAACCTGAGACAAGGCTCGCCGAGGTATGGCAGCATATCGAGTGCGCAGATGCATCAGAGAGACAATGGCAGTCGGGGCCTGTTGAGTATGTTACGCACAGGGATGAACTTGCAAGGCCAAGTCCGTTCAGAAAAGTACTGAAGCCTGAGGGGGCCACAGCCTGCGTACAATGCAACGGACAGCAGACGTTCAGGCTCGGGGACAGAAGCGAGTCAGGAGCTGAAATGAGGGTTGCCTTGTCATCCCGTATCCCAAGGGTCTTAGCTGCATTGTACGTGTACGGTCAGCAGATGAACGATGTCAGAAAGATCCGGGAGATGATGTTGCATCGTGAGTGTTGTGGACTGAGGGAAGAGACGATGGCCGGCCGGCAGAGCGGCCGCGTTCGCGGAGTCGGTCGGACCTCCGAACTCGTGACATTGAGCATGCACAAAGATGGTGTCGCCCCTATTGTATGGCCTCTGCCCATGATCCGTTCCTCGACCTCCTAAATCAATCCATTCCGCGGCTCTCTCAGCCTTAGGAACAGCATCACAGGTCAGACCAGACATCCACAATTGCAGTCAATCTAGATACCACAGCCCACGTTCCTCTTGTCGTCCCGTCGCCGTTCCGATAATCCGATACTTACGCCGCGGACTTGACTTTGTCTTACCAACCCATCCATCGCACTATCTTTCGAAACGTCTCTGCTCCTATCTACGATGTATAGGAGATTAGGAGATGGCTCACGCTCCGGTGTTCTATCCGCGCTCGAGAACTCGCGCCACTCTCATGAACGAGACCCAAGTATAGCCGGGAATCCAGAACCGAGACCCCACTGCATGCATGCGTGCGACCGGTTTCTATTCAGCAACGCTCCAGAGGTTAACGTTTCCGGCAGGCATGGACGGGAGCATATCCGTGGCGGGTCGATCACCGGGTCTCAGGACGAACGTGGTTACGTGCCTAAATCCGTGTTCGCCGCTTTTGGGGTTGGGGATGGGAATACCGCGCATTTCACTCACTGGGGGAGGGGGGTTCATTTCAGGCCCGCGCCGATATATTATGAAGCTCCGTAATGGTTCGAGATTGCTGTAAGCCTATAGCGCCCTCCCCAGTGTCGAGAGCTCCTTCATCTTCTCCTCCCTCCGTAATGGACCTGTGCGCCGTCATCGCGCACCTGCTCGACCTCGTGCTCTTCTGCCTCCTCTCCTATGCCGCGTCTCGATCTCCACTACGCACCGTGTTCGGCCTTATATGTTGCGCGATCGTAGCCGTCGTCTTCGTCGTGCTCGCCAAGCAGCGTTCGTCACGGCACGCACGGAGTACCGCTACGATATCTACCTCTGCGCCCACGCGTCCGCGGGTGAACATGCGAGTTCTTCCTTCACTTGCTCAGAGAGTGAGATGTTGATACAGCGCTCGTCTAGCAGTAATACACGACGATCCTCCATGCCATCCATCCTGAAACGCCTCGAGCTCCCTCCACGGACGGTGCTCTACGACTACCTTGGCCTCGTAGCGGACACAAAGACCACACCGCGCACCGCACGGGCGAAATCAGACCCGGACGTGATCCTTAGGCGTCGGCCCAGTCGCGCGGCCTTCTCGTCATGTTGAACGAACCCCGTCACGAACTTGCCACATCTCGTACGCGCGCAGTTATCGTTGCTCACCTCAATCGCGACGCTCACCTTCTCCCAGTTATCTCACGTTACTTATCCTATTCTAATCGCCATATTGTATCAATAGAAGGTGTACGCGAATGCCGTGAGGGGCGCGGCGCTCTTTCTCTTGGGATGTTATGATTGTATGATAATCGGGACATTGGTCGTTTCGCAGTCGCTACTGCTCGGACGTGAGGCTGCTCAATGCGTATTTATCGGCAGAGAGAGAGGGCTGCAGCAAAAGAGAATTTGAGCAAAGCCGATCTTCCTTATCTTATCATCTTACGCGCTCGAGATCTCGCGCTTCGCCTGTGACCTTCACCACCTTCAGTTCCACTTTCATATCCGCACCGCTCATACACTGCCGACTACACGAACCATCTCATGGCCTCACGAGCCCCGCAAGTAACGCTCGAGCAAGCGCAAAAGATCGTCGACCACCACCGAGGCGAGCACACACCTATCACCTCGTTCGAAGAGGTCACAGAGCTCGGCGACATCACGTACGTATTACATCCTCCGCCAACCTCTCCGGACTCCCTAGCACACCCCAATCGCGGCATTCCCCCGCTCAACACGCGATATAAACACAGGTGCCCCACGACGTCGATATACACCATCCACACCTCCTCCCCCTCCCCCTCCCCCTCCTCAGAACCCACCGCAGGAACGGCGCACTCGTACGTGCTCAAAGCCTCCCCGCCCCGTCCCTCGCCCGCGCCCGACATCCTCGCCGGCAACCCGCTGTCCGCCGAGCTCGCCCTCCTCCACCAGCTCGCGACCCGCCTGCCCCCCTCCGTCCCCGTCCCCCGCGCGCTCGCCCACTCCTCGTCCTGCTCTCAGCTCGTGCCGTTCGAGTTCCTGCTCCTCTCCCATCCTTCCCCTCCCTCTCCCCCAACTTCCCAAACCACGAAGACCAAGACCGGGAAGACCGAGCTGCGCACGCTCGCCTCCCTCCGCCGCGCCGGCGCGCTCTCCGCGCGCCACGCCGTCCTGCTCGACCTCCGCCTCGGGACGTACCTCAAAGCGCTGCACGCGCTCGACCACGATTTCTTCGGCTTGCCGGACACGCCCGCGGCCGAGCAGGCGTACAGCTGGCAGGAGGCGGTCACGCTCATGCTCGAGGAGGCGCTCGCCGCGTTGGAGGAGGAGGAGGAGGAGGAGGAGGAGGAGGAAAAGGACGGGAGGATCGACGTCGGGAGCGTCAGGAAGAGCCTCGGGCGCGCGATCGGGTTCTATCTGTTCGACGACTGCGAGTGGCCGGCGTTCGTCGGGTTCGGGGCGGGGGCCGAGTCGGTGCTCGTCGCGCTTGGGGAGGAAGGGGAGGAAGGGGGGGAGGGGGAGGAGGAGGAGCCGGAGATCAGGGGTGTCTTGAGCTACGGGCTGGGGAACGCGGTGTGGGGCGATCCGCTGGCGGAGGCGTGGTTCGTCGACCCGAGCGAGGCGCTGTTGGAGGGGTATGGAGGGAGCCCGGTGGTGTTCCCGAGGCAGAGGACGAAGAGGGTGTGGTATACGCTGCTCGGGGCGTTGGTCGCGCTCGTGCAGGCTAAGCGGGGGAAAGGCCAGGGAGAGAGGGCGGAGAGGGCGCGGAGGACGGCGAGGGAGTGCGTGGAGGTGTTGAAAGACGCGCCGTGTTATTAGCTCTGTAGAAAGCAGCATACGTGAGGCTCCGTCGATGCGAGGAGAGAAGGGGAAGGAGAGGGAACGTACTAGCCGGCGATAGGCGTCGACGCCGCGGACCCCGCGACGGACGAGCTCGGCGGCTCGCCCATCATGACCTCCAGCTCCTCCTCGTCGTTCTCGCTGTCGCTGTCGCTCCCGCTGCCCTCGCTCTCCCCGCCCTCGGCGGCGGGCGTCGCGCTCGTGTCCGCGTCCCCCATCGCGTCCCGGGCGGCGACGCGCGGGTCCCACTCGAGCTCCTCCGGCTCCTCCTGCTCGACCTGCACGCGCGAGCGCCAGTCGTACTTGTCGCGGAGCATGTCGACGGCGCGGATGGCGCGCTCGGCGCGCGCGTCGTGTTCGGCCGCGAGCTGGGCGCATTCGCGCAGGACGGCGTCGTAGGTCGTCCGTGCGGCGTTGGGGGGAGAGGGGAGGAGGACGCCGAGCGAGCCGCGGGTGGTGAGGTGCGCGGCGAGACGGCGGACGGTCGCGTTTTCGAGCGCGAGGACGTGCGGGGTTTGCTGTTTGCGGAGGAGGGGGAGGATCTCGGCGTCGAGCTGGGCGTCGGGCATGCCGACGGAGGGGTACAGCACGAGGTTTTCGAGGACGTTCGAGGTCTGGGTGTGACGTGAGGTCGGGAAGGAGGACTGGGAGGAGGAGGAGAGGGCGGCGGGGAGGAGCGAGTTGGAGAAGTTGTGGGTCTGGGAGAGGAGGATGTTGTATTTGGAGAGCAGGTCGGGCCAGGGGGGGAGCGCGTTCTGCCCGTTTTGGTCGATCGCCGCACGGAGCTGGTCGATGGAGTCGATGATCTGCGTCGCTTTGAACCGGAGGGACTCGAGCGAGGCGACGGGCAGCTGCGACGGGTCGAAGGCGAGCTTGGGCTGGCCGTCGTTGGCTGGGGCACCGCCGCCGGGTGCGAGCGCGTTGGGTTGAGAGAGGACGTTCATATTCGCGCCTCAAGCTTAAGTCTGGTATCGTTTTCGTTCAGGCGTTATGAGGAGAAGCGTTAGATTGATTTTATTGTGGTCGCAAGCCGAGGTCAAGAGGCGAAGCGCCCAAGCTTAGAGTTGAGATAGACGCTCGTGCATCACGTGGTGAAGATTAGGCGCTCGCTCCGAACGAGCCCTTGCCGAGCCTCCGCGATCGATTCCCGCTGGTGCAAGAAGAATAGATCGGTGGGAATGAATGGCTTCGAGGCATCGCAGATTCTCTTACACGGCGGAAGGCGCAACATTAGTTCTCGTCAACCTCTGAGCGTCATTGCAGTAACACGAAAGAGCCGTCCGTTCCCCCGAGGTAATCATCACATCGATCCGAGCCGAATCTACGAGCAAGGTCAGCGATCCAACGAAAGTAAGCCCTGGCAATCTCCCTCTCCCGATCTCGCGCATTCCAACGATATCAATCGCGCCATCCTACGATACCACAAACGCCCTTCGATTCCGCGCCTCGGGTCGTTCCTCCCACACGTACGCGCGGCTCCATGTGCATCTTCTGTTGGCTTGGGTCTCCCGGCTGTCCGGCTTTGCCTCCGCCGCGACGATAATCCATGTCGCGCATTGCTAACCCGCTGAGCAAATCCGGCCCATACCAGTCACGTGAGTGCATGTATAAGATAGGCGGAGCGCGGGCCAGAGTCCGCGATCGCTGCCCCAGCGATATCTTTGATCTCTTTCCCTCCCTCACAACAACCCTCCGCATTCCTCGTCCTACTCTCAAAGTCAAAGAAATGGCCTCCATCAAAGTCGGCGACACGATCCCGCCCGCGACGTTCACCTACATTCCCTACTCGCCCGAGCTCGACGACGCAGTCAGTACCTTCTTCGTACCTCTAAAGTCTTGCCGCGGCGAGCCCCTGATGTGGATGAGGACCTGACCGAAAGCGCTTGGCCAACTGGCCGTTGATGCAGCTCGCGTGCGGTGTGCCGTCCAAGCTCTCGACCGACGCCTGGAAGGGCAAGAAGGTCGTCCTCTTCTCCGTCCCCGGCGCTTTCACCGTACGTTTCCAATCCGTTCCCTATCCGACCTGCGTTGACATCTCCATCTTCTGCCCCCATCTGCTTCCCCCATCACTCCGGCCTCCGCGAACTGGGATCCGTTATCTATATCACGGCGTCGTTATCTTATCGGGCCGGGGCAACCGTATTCTCGATCTTTTCTGCGCCAGCCGACCTGCCACCAGCAGCACCTCCCGGGTTACATCAAGCGGTACGACGAGCTGAAGGCGAAGGGCGTCGACGTCGTCGCGGTCGTCGCCGCGAACGACGCCTTCGTGCTCAGCGGCTGGGCGCGCGTCGAGGGTCTCAAAGATAAGGTAAGCGCATTACGCTCCTCACACGCCCTATCCCTTCCCCTCCCCCCCCTTTCCCTTTCGTCTTGGCGATGCTACCCATCGCTTACACGACATCGTGATAGATCCTCGCGCTCTCCGACACGGACGCGCAGTGGTCCGCCTCCCTCGGCCTCTCGACCGACCTTTCCAAGCTCGGCCTCGGCGTGCGCACCAGCCGGTACGCGCTCGTCATCGACGACCTCAAGGTCACCTACATCGGCGTACGTTCCCTTTCCCCCATCCCTGCCTTTCCCACCCTATCCTACGATTCGCTCACGGTTATTGTTGGTCGATGGATCCAGGTCGAGCCCGCGCCGGGCGTGACCGTGTCCGGCGCCGACGCCGTGCTCGAGAGCCTGTGACGGTTTCCGAGTAAACGGGTCTCCTCTCCGCTTCGGAATGTACTGTAGAATGTCTCCTCCCCCCCCCGCCCCCGGCGCCCCCTTTCCCCCTGCATACCGGCTCGCGCTGTGAATTATGTCGATAAATAAATATGGACGCTTCCTTCGTTTTACACACGCCCTCCTTGGGCACGTTCGTGCGATTGTGATTCTGAAGGGGGGGGTTGGTGCCGGTATGGCGTGGGAAATGGAGCCCCGACCGCCGTCTTGGCGGCGCAGCTGCTGGTGTCCCACCATCGTTTGCAGACGAAACGTTCGTCCGTCTTGTTCTCCACCCGCCCGCCCTCTGGATCTCTCGTCTCTCTCTCTCTCTCTCGCCCCTTTTCTGTCGTTTTCAAGCGACGTTTTGCCATTTGTCCGGGGTTCGTCGAATCAAAAGTCACAAAGTCGAAAGCAAGACCACACCAGTCGGAGAGACACATGCCCGCACGCGCGCCGGATTTCGAGGGGTCCCCGTATCGTGCGCCCGACGGCGCGGTGCGGCGCTTCATCTGGCGCCGCAAGATGTGGGCCGAGGCGACGTTCGCGTTGTCGATGCTCGAGCCATGGGAGAAGGTCGTCGTCTGTGAGTTAAGAACTAAAAGAGTGACTTTGTCCACATGTCCCCCTTCCCCCCTCCCCTATGCAAGCATAGCTTTTTCACTCTCGCTCTTTTTTTTCTTTGCGAAAAGATGAGATGGGGGGGAGGTTGACTAAGGGTTTTTTTTCACGTATGGTGCAGGGTCGATCTTTCTCGGCGTCGCGGTGCTGTTCCTCTGCGGCTTGTACCAGTACCTCCCGCACCACCTCGACTTCCTGCGTCGGCGGGCGATGTACTACTTCCTTGGCGAGGAGTCTGGGGAGAGCGTGTCGTGGCTCACGGCGGGCGCGAGTTGGGCGGGATCTGGGGGCAAGGAGTTGTGAGCTGGCTGTTATTGAACCACTGTTGAACATGCACGTTAGTTAGAGTGAGCGCTCGCGGTTCTTTTCCCAGCCTTCCACTCGCGGTAGCTGACGAAGGCGGACAGGTACAGGATGGGGGACATATCACACGATTACAAATTACCAATCCACCTTAATGACCTTCGCGACGTCGCTCGTAGGATGAGTCTCTGTTGTTTCTTTTCATCCTCGCCTTCTTTGCTTGGGCGATCTTACTGGTTTACGCTTGTCGACACGAACCGGTTTCTCTCCCTCTCTCTTTGATCGAATGGAACTCCGATTATCCCCTGTTGGTACCGCATGAGCTCTAGCCGGGGTTCTGGCTGGCCTGACATGGGTCTTAGTCGGTGTCGGTGAGTAATGCCGATCCACTTGTCGTCGCATGTATCACTTGTCCACGCTCCCGGGCTGTCCCTATTCTTAGCGTCGTCTCCTGCGCCGGTCAACCAAACTGCTCGCCGCCGATGACTTGCTATGGAAGGTTAAGCGCCGTGTCGACGCTGTTCGTCTACCCTCACGGCATCTCTCGCAGCCTCGATGCCCTTTCCGGACGAATAGAAGCAGACCGGTTATGTAATCCCGGCCGCGGCCCGGCGCTCGGCACGCGGCATATCCCCCGTCCCCTCCCCGGGCCCGGTCTGTTTGTCATCGGCATCCCCTTACTGGCGTTCAAATATACGTCGTCGGGGACGTCAGGGATGCCTATTTCTTATATATATTTTACCTAGGGCGTCCCTGTCGCCCGCACGTCTTCTATCCTCTCCATCGACCCCCGACGACCGAAAGTGCTGAGGCGCTATGCACGGCCGCGCTCCCCTACGCTTTGAAGACTCGCCGTACCGTCCCCCCGAGGGCGCGCTGCAGCGGTTCGTGTGGCGCCGCAAGATATGGATCGAGGTCACGTTTGGGCTCTCCGTGCTCGAGCCTTGGGAGAAGGCGCTCGTCTGTGCGTGTTCTTTGATCTTTTTTTTTTTGCTCGTGGGCGCGGTGGGCTAAGCTGGCTTGGACTGGTGCAGGGAGCGTTTTCGCGCTGATGACCGTCCTGTTCGTGACCGGGTTCTACCGGCTGATGCCGCAACACCTCGATCTCGTCCACAGGCGGACCGTGTATTATGTGACGGGCGACGGCGTCGTGAGCTAGGCGCGGGAGTGGAAGCGAGAACGCGGGCATCTGAATGCTATGAAATAGGCCTCGCCTCTCCGTGGTGAGCGTGCGCCTGAGTTGACACATGCGAGGGATCGTGCTGACGATCGCGGCGGCTTCTCTTCCCGGAAGAAACGAATGTGCACCTGTATTATCACTATTTCTGTCGCATCCCGTCCCATTTACCTATGATTTCAGTGGGGCGCCAGCTTTTCGTCCCCTTGTATAATTCTGCACACGTCTATATGATAAGACTCGATACACCGCTGATGACCCTCCTCGACGACTGTCAACGCTGACGCCCTTGTGAGCGTCGATGCAAAGCCGGGGCGATGGGCTAAAGGACGTGAATACGAGCGAGATGCCTTCCGTTGAGTTTCGTTTCCAGTGTGACTACTTATCCACGAGGACGTATGAAACGCTTCCTACCCGGTGTATGCGGTACCTTAAGCATGCATCCTGCATGAATAGACCAGTACCGCTTCCAGGAGACCAGGCGGCGAGATGGGTGACCGAGAAACTACTGGCGTGCGGCCACGACGTATACTTGGTGCGATGTTTCAGTTTACCTTTCGGTGATAGTTTTCTGCGAGTGCGCCCCGAATTTAACGGCCTTATACTCGGAGCTAGAGGAAGAGAGTTGCGGGAGTAGAAACGATGGAATGTTCACAAACAGACGCCGAAGAGAGGTATTGCTATTTTTCGATCAATGGCGTCAGCGCCGCGTTACTGCCCCAAACTGCCTTCTTGTCTACGTCGACGTCGACCTCGGTGTGTGCTCTCATCCATGCCCTCGTCGACTCCGGAACATGGCGTAGAAGGGCAAACTGCTTCGGCGCCTTGATGATACACTCGTTTTGCCCCTCTGAACTGGCTGAGTGCGCAAGCGACGACGCGCTTGCAGACGCCGCCGTGCGCGCGTGCTTTGGTAACGACGACTAGCTCAGAATCTGTCCACAGAACGCTTCTTGCGGTTCTTACAAGCTCTTTCGGGACTTTCTTGTCGATGATGTTGTACACCGGGACTTATTGGACGGCGAACTCGCCCAACTTGCTCCCGTAAGTCCGCAGCTGGAGCGGAACGCCACAGGCGCAGGGATCAGAAGGCACTCCTCTTCGCTGCGAGGGGCACGGGATATCGACGAGAAGTGGATATTCCTCGCGTATGAGCGCTACATCACAGCGTTGGCTGCTGACGGCGCATGATGGGCAGAAATACTGTGCTTGGTGGTTTCCTGGGCGCGATCCGCCGGCCAGCATCGCATGTACTGCGAGGCAATATACCTTCCGCTCGGAGCGGGGTGGGGAGTTCTGCAAATTACAGTGAATGGTAGTGCTATGAACGCCGGATGGCGCTCGAAAATATGCTTTTCATCGCAGCGTTCTCACCGTCAAGTTCTTCGGTTGCGTACCTGGGCTGGCGTCCTCTGGACTCTCCCTCGAGTCCATCATGCAAATGCTTGCTATGGAATGTCTGGCTGTACCATGACCGCCATCTGATCCTTTCCATCGATACCGCAGTGTTGCGTTTGACGCCCTAGACACCACGGGAACTATCCTCAGGTGTTTGTTTCCGGTCTTCAATCCCTACGGTCTGTCCCGCTATCCCGAGGAACAGGGATTACAGGTAAGATACTGCCCTGGCTGCCGTTTCTATTGTAAATCCCAGTCGGGGTATGCGGATGTTAACACACGTGCGGGTGAACAACATACCGAGCGTCCTCAGCGATTGCGCGCGCACGATCGATCACTCACATGAATGGTAATGGAGAATTGGGCGATATCTGCCGTAAGTACCCGGACCATCGTGTGCTGTTCGTCGAAAGCTCACGGATACCGGCGTCAGTCTCTGAATACTACAACGCTCCATCACGAGCAATGTTTCCGACGAGTACGAAGCCATCTCGCGATCCTGCGACTAACACCTCTGCATGGACCGTTCTGCGCGCAAGCTATACTGTTCTCGGTTCCGATCCGGGCTTCCGCTCATCCATAGGCCACCGCGCAGCAACGCGGCTTAGACGCTGGGTCTTTTATTTGCACGCCGTCCTTCCGCGTCAAAGGTATATAAGGGGTCTGCATTGGGTGTACAACTACCAGGTCCTCAGCCTTCTACTGCACATTCAACATCAACATGCAGCTCAAGCTCTTGACCGCTGTCGCTGGTGCCGCTGCGTAAGCCTGTATCGTCCCTAGCGCATGTTCGCAAGAATACTAACTCAGGTGTATCTTAGCGCCGCGGTTGTGTCCGCCCAGCAGTTCCAAAACGAACGCTTCACTTGGTTTGAGCCTGGACTCGGTAAGAAATTCACTCGCGATCGAATGGGTGAGGCTCAAACATACTCTCGCAGGTGCATGCGGTCAAAACAACGGCCCTAACGATTTCGTGAGTCTTATGTAACGACGCTATCCTCCGCTGTTTAACTGTAATCTCTCAGATCGTTGCTCTCAATGCCGACGTACGAGCGCCTGCCTTTTACGCTTTACATTTTCTCACTCTGATTTACAGCAATACGATGGTGGAGCTCACTGCTTCCAGACTATTACGATCACGGCCCTCGGCAAGACGACCACTGCTCAGATCGTCGACGAGGTGAGAGTAAATCTCAGCCGTCTGCGCTCTTCTAACCCAAGCAACCTGCTCATAGTGCCCCGGATGCCCCTTCGGCGGTTTGGACCTGTCTCCCGGCTTGTTCGAGTTCTTCGCCCCTCTCAGCGAGGGCGTGATCACTGGTGGCTGGTCCTTTGACTAAACTGATTTGTTATGGATATTTATGTACGGTAGAGGGCTTCTTCAACAGGAGCAAGTAGGGGGGTTGTAGTTCTGAATTCGAATTCATATGGCTATGACGATCTGTTGAAGCAAGCGTAAGTTTTACGAGGTCGGCCGGCCTTTCTGCAGATCAGGTGTTCCGCTTCTCGCAATAATAGCACGCTCCAAGCTACGTGCTGATGATGTGGGCCTTGCAAGCAATCCGTGCGCAAGGCGCATACGCAGTGTTCAAGTTCAAACAGTACAATTATCATTGGAAGAAATAATTCGGACGATGACGTAAGATGTATGTACCGAGATCTTCGTCGTAATTCTCTTCGTCCCCTTCCTGGTCTTTGTCTTCTGTCACGTCTTCGTTATCCTCACACTCCTCATAACCATCATCCTCGTCCTCGTTCTCGTTCTCTTGCTGACAGCATGAGAAAATATGATCTTCGGTCCGACACACAGTAGCATCAATGGACGTTGGCCGTACTTGATACCAGCCTTGCTGTCGGGGCGGCCGTTCGGCCTCCGGGGGTTGCCACCTGTTACGGTAGTAATTGTCCTGGACGGCAATGCGAATCGCAGCCGCAGCTCCGTGGGCTCTCTTGAGCCTCTGGAGAAATCTGAGGCGGCCAGGCGCTCCCCGGTCCTCATCATCCGGGCCCGGGAGAACACAAGCGATGCGGGCGAGTAGCGTCTCTTTCAGCAGTGCTTCGCTCGCCGTGGATGAGGCCGAATGTCCATGGCATTCCAGCGCTTGGAGGCAGGGGAGTGGCAGCGAATAAAGCCATTGAAGATCGTCTTGGCGCCCTGATTTATTCACCATGGCATTATCCGGGAGAATGGTCGCCACGAGCGCTTCAAGCAAGGGGATCGAGCAGTGGGTGAGTTGGATGCATGACAACGTGCGACACGCAGACAAGAAAGCGCCAAATATGACAGCGTCCGCCACGTGAACGTGTTCCAGGTCCAAGATCTGAAGGGATGGGAGTCTGAGGGTACGCTGCACATCGGGTGGATCACTTGCGCTCTCTTGACTGAGGTACTCGAACAAGTCCGAGGAGTCCATTGGGGGATATCCGTACGTGGACTCGTAATCCACGAGACTGAGTTGCGTTAATCGCGGGGCAGACAGGAGCGAGAATAGAGATATCGCGTGCGGGCTGTCGAGGAAGCCGATCTTCAGAATCCTGAGGCGAGGGAGAGAGACTCGCTCTGAGCTGAACGGACCTGACACTCCTCCTCCTATTCGCAGATCGTGCAACGAGTGAGAACAGTTGGCCAGAATTCTGCTGAGGTCAACGCCGGTAGGTCGGTGATCGAATGGGATGTGCGTAATGCAGAGTTTCACCAAGTTGCGCACGTTGAGCGTGCTCCAGGAAACCGCCAAGCAGTCGAGCTCCAGATACCGAAGAGAGACGAAGCGCTCAGCGGTTTCGAAAACGCTCTTCATCGTAGTTGACTGGTATTCGGGTGGTAAGAATCTCTGACCGTCCAAAACAGCGTGGCGCATAGGCCCCTGAGCGATTGATAGAAGTTCCAAACATGGAAAGCCGCCGGGGTGGGTCTGCAGATATTCGAGCAGTCGCCAGACGTGTTCCCAGCTCCTGGTCAGGAATTCCAGGCTGCGAATGCGGCGTGAAACCGGCACGAGCGTTTCCGAGAAGAATGCTTGCGTTTCAAGACGTCCCCATTCGTTCTTACCGAAAACAGGAAAGAACGGTGCGGCGAGGTTGGCGTTGATGCGAAGAGGTATAGACGGACCCGAGCGGGCTATACATAGATCTCCCCGAGCACGTTGAAGGGTGTATGATGTGGTGGTGTCGAACACGACGTTTGACCACAGAAGCGGAGAAGAGTATACAACCTCTCGCCACCGACGACACACCCGAGAGAGGGTGAGCCGCGTTTTATCCAGTGAGCGATTAGGTACCGAAAGCACGGCCTCCAAGAAGATATGGCATAGGATCTCGTTCGGGAGCCCATGTATGTGCCAACGTGTGCTGATGCGTCCCTTGCAGCGGGAGCACATATTCTCTCTATAGCACTCAAGTGTTCGCTTGGTAGATGTAACAATGGTGAGGTGACAGTCCAATTTCACAGTACTGCAGAGGGATGTACCTGGTCCATGTTCGGGTAATAAACCACAGCGGATAAGAGCACGATTTGAGCAGACGCCGCGCGTCACAGCGATGGTCAACAATGGTCTATGCACTAAGCAATTCGGAGCACCGGCAGGTGGCAAGCTATGAGTGGGGTAAGGGAACGAACCTAACGCGACACGACCTTTTTTATTATCCTGAAGTACTGTGGCCCCTGTGCGTCCTGCCGAGACTGTGGCCTCCGCCGCGCCGGCGGTAAGGATCGGGGCGGCCTCACGGAATCCACTCTGCATAACTTTCGTTGCGCAGTAGCGCGAATGTCCGCGGTGCAGATTCCGAGGGGTGGTATGTTGACCCATCACGAATACTAGTCGCGTGTTGGAGGTGCGTAGGCTCCGGCCCGGGCGAGTTCCATCGAAGTATGGGTACTTATACCGTGGCCCGCCCGGTTTTGGCACGGTGCAATCGCCGATGAAGCTCAGTGAGCGGATGCGTGTGAGTGAGGCCGAGAGATCTGCGAGTGGTACCAAGCCCTCGGCAACCGGCGCTCGTGGGTTCGCCGACTATGAACCTCTCCTACCTTGCGATATTCAACCTTTCACTCAACAGCGCCAAGGAGCGATGTAGCAACGATGACATTAATGAGGCTCCGCCCAAGCCGAGTAATATAGTAGACAATCAAGGCCGTGCGCGCGTCGGGGGCCAAACGTTAGCTTAAGCCTTTACCACCACCCCTCGCGCTTCTCCGCCTCCTTCCGATTCTCGGGCTCCCTCGCCCGCCTCTTCGCGCTGCGCAGCCTGACCCGCCGCTTGGAGTACCACTCCCAGGCGAGGCGGACGACGGCGCCGTCGGCGTCGTACGGGGTCGGGATCTCCGAGTAGTTCGGGCGCGCGGTCGGGTGCCGGACGTAGATGGCGGAGCAGGCGAGGAAGGAGACCTCGATGTAGGCCGGGACGAAGATGAAGGGGGAGGCGTAGGGGGGCAGGGTGAAGGGCGTGAGCGACTCGGCGGCGGCGGCGGCTTCGGCGCGTTTGGCGAGCTTGGCGGCGTATTTGGAGGGGTGGGAGGGGGCGGAGGAGGAGGGGTGGGTGCTGTCTGAGGCGCCGGACTCGGACTCGGATTCGGGTTCGGATGAGGGTTGGGCTTCGGCTGAGGATTGTGGTGAGGTCTCGTCCGGCGAGGTGTCGGTCTCGGTGGCGGAGGCGGAGGCTTCATCGGTGGTTTCGTCGGTAGACGCCTTGTCATCGGCCCTGGGATGTTTCTCGTCGATGGGAGCTGCGGGCGCGGGTTGTAGGAACCGGATGGCGGCCGGGTTGACGGTGACCATGTCGCCCGGGGCGATGCGGGTATTGGGGTTCGTATGCTGTCAATCGAGTGTCGGGGAGCAGGTCGCAACGGGAGAGAGCGGTGTGTGTGAGAAAGAGGGGGGGGGGGAGAGTGAGACGTACCTTTTTGCCGTTGAGCTTGACGTCACCGTGGATGACCATCCGTCGGGCTTCGTACACGCTGTGCGCGAGGCAGGCGCGGAAGATGAAGACGTCCACGCGGCGCTCGACGTCGCTGAACATGAGCGAGGCGACGGGCGGGACTTCGTCGCCCTCCTCGGCGAGCGCCGAGTCTCGCTCGGCATCCCGTTCCCGGGCCGCTTTGCTCAGACCGCCCTCGCGTCGGGCGAAGAGCGATAGGCTTTTCGTGTCGTCCAACAGGTTACCTGCTCATACGAAGGGAGACGTCAGCGGATCCGGCCGTGTCTTTGGGAAAGGATTTTCAGGTGGAACCTTTGGGGCCGGTTGCGGCGGTCCTCTTGGCGGGCCGCACGTCGGGCAGGGTTTGTGGGAGATAGTAGCGCTTGAATATCTTCTCGTTTATGAAGTCGCCGTGGTAGGCGCGGACGAGCGCCTTGGACACCCAGCGCTGCTTGAAGAGCGAGGTCTCGAGCTGCTGGTGAAACTGAATCTCCTTCGAGCGGCCGCCGATGGAGCGCAGCCAGAGGTTGTAGAGGTTGCGCGGGTGCCAGCTCTGTGCGAGAACGTCCGAAGGTCAGTAGGTGGCGGAGTGGGGGGGCAGGTCGTGGCGGGACTTGCCATGCGCGGCATGCATCGCTGCGAGGAAAGGATGTTGGCGTCCCTCATCCTTGCCGGTTGGAGACGCGGAGACCGAGACGACGGTGTTGTGGAGGGACCCTGGACGAGGACGGCAGCGGCGGTGGCGGACGAGGACGAGCCCGGAAAAGTTGAGCGCGTGGCGCGCGGTCACGAGCGACAACGCGCGACTCGCCTCCGACGACCGCAGGGATGGGCTCGAGAGCGGACACTTATACGCCCGGGGCCCGCGTCAGCACGCGCAAGTCGACGCTCAGGCTCTCGGAGAGGGAGTACGAGAAGGTGCGTCGTGGTACGGCACTCGTGCAACCAGACAATATTGATGAAGGGCGTCAGATCACTGGCACCATCGCCTCTGTGAGACGGCACCGACAACGGATCGAAGATGGAATCGAGGACTCGACCGAGAGCGATGCTCGGGATATTCGACGGAAGAGACCAGGGAACGGTATGCTCACATCCGCGCGCATGATCCTGGTCTGCTCATGGCGCGATTTTTCCGACCAGATCGCAACGAGCCCTCTTTCATCGCGGAAACGAGCTTTGTACGCGCACCCCTCAACTCGCGCGTGGACGTACACGTCAGCGGCGCGTCATCCTCCTCGAAATCGAAAGGAAAGGGTAAGGAGAGGGAGGAGAGTCTCGCTGGTTTACCCCTGGAGATACAGGAGGCGTTGATACTGGAGGATCTGTTGTACGTGCTGATGGTACGCGCCCTCGCTTGTCGTCGTGTTCCGGACTCATTGGGAACTTGCAGGGCATAGAAGGAACCTATATCACCCTTCCGCCGGATTATTCCATAGACGAAGACGATCCTCTCCAGGGAATACACTACGTCGTATCGACAACACTCGGTATGTCCGTGTTCTTCCGTCCCTTTTCCACATACTCAACAACAGAGCCCCAGACCCTTCATTACGCGATCTTGTCGAACGCATACTTCCGCTGGGCACATACTATACCGCCATCTCGTCCTTTGTGGAAGCACGCTCGCATCTTGATCATGGCCTGGTCAACCACGCGCTCTGCGCATCTATCCGCTCCATGCTCAAGGTACCTACCCCTTACCCTCATAGAAAACTCTGTCTGATGCCGTAATTGCCCGCGCAGGACTACCTGACGCTCCTCACCCAACTCGAGCACGCCTTCACCTCCTCGCCCACCTTCTCCCTCCAAAAACTCTGGTTCTACGTACATCCCACCACGCACACCCTCTCCCTCCTCTACACGCTCATCACCGACCTCGCCACCGCCGCCGCCTCCCCCGACGGCGACGGCGCCTCCTCCTCCTCCTCGTCTTCCTCCGAAGACGAAGACGACGCGCTCGGGCTCGGCGGCGCCAAGCTCAAAGCCGTCCTCTCCGAGATCGCCGGCACCGCCGACTCGGGCATCGCCGTCAAAGGCGGCGAGGTCCTCGCCGTCCTCCACGACCGGCTCGAGCACACCGCGGGCGACCCCGCCGCGCGCACGCTGTACGGCACCCTCCTCCGCGACGCGGGCCGGCCGTACGTCGGGATGCTGCGCACGTGGGTGAGCAGCGGGAAGCTGAGCGACCCCTACGACGAGTTTTGCGTGAAGGAGAGCGCGTTCATCGACCGCGGCACGCTCGAGGTGGACTATACGGACGAGTATTGGGAGAGGCGGTATACGCTCAGGGACGGGTCGACGCTGGCGGCGCCGTCGAGGAGGCAGGCGGGGGTGCCGCCGCCGCGCGCGGGGAGCGGGAGGTTGCCGGGCGGGGCGTGCGTGCCGCCGCTGTTGGAGGCGTGGAAGCATAAGGTGCTGCTGGCGGGGAAGTATCTGAACGTGATCAGGGAGTGCGGGATCGGGATCGGGCGGGAGGGGCTGGGCGGCGAGACCGAGGGTGGTGCGGACGGGGATCTGTCGATGGACGACGAAAGGTCGGTCTCTTCTTTAGCGTCCTCGTGCGTGCGCTCGTTCGAGACGTGTTTTCTTACGATGTTTTGTGTGGGACAGGTTGTACAAGTTCATCGAGGCCGCGTATACGCATGCGAACCGGACGCTGCTGCAGTTACTCCTGCGCGACCAGTACTTGCTCCCGCGCTTGCGCTCGCTCAAGCGCTTCTTCTTCCTCTCCCAGTCGTCCTTCCTCACCCACTTCCTCGACCTCGCGCACTCCGAGCTCCGCAAGTCGGCCCGGTCCGCGAGCCTCGTCAAGCTCCAGAGCCTGCTCGAGCTCAGCCTCAACACCGGCGGTGAGGGCGGGAAGGGCGAGGGCGAAAACGCGTCGTTCAGAGACGACGTGCGGGTGTCCATCGCTGGCAGCGGTCTGTACGAGTGGTTGTTGAAGGTGGTGAGCGTGACGGGCGTGGTGCCCGGCGGAGGGGAGGAGGGGGCGGACGGGGGCGGGATCGACGCGGCGCATCAGGAGGACCATAGGAGAGAGAGGGAGAAGGACGACAAGAAGCAGATCCTAGGTCGGTGCCCCGTCGCCGCTTCCGGCCCTGACTTGGTCTGACGAACTACGTTTGCGGCAGCCATCGACGCGCTGGCGCTGGATTACAACGTCAAGTTCCCGCTCTCGCTCGTCGTCTCGCGCAAGACGATCCTGCGCTACCAGCTCATCTTCCGCTTCCTGCTGCACCTCAAGCACGTCGAGCAGTCGCTCGCCGCGATGTGGATCGAGCAGAAGACGCTCCCGTGGCGGAAGATGCCGCCGAGCGCACCGGGCGCGGACCGGCCCGGCGGCGACTTCGAGGCGTGGCGGCTGCGCGTGTTCCTGCTCCGGGCGCGGATGCTGAGCTTCGTGCAGCAGATCCTCGCGTTCGCGACGTTCGAGGTGCTCGAGCCCAACTGGCGCGCGCTCGAGAAGAAGCTCGAGAAGGTGAACACGGTCGACCAGCTGTTGAAGGACCACGTCGATTTCTTGGACACGTGCCTGAAGGAGTGCATGCTGACGTCGGCGAAGTTGCTGAAGGTGCGTTTGAGCTCTCTCCTTTCTTGGCCTCCGCTGCTGGCACGGCTGAGGCGGGTTTGTCGGGCACAAAGGCGTATTCGCGGCTGATCGTCACGTGCTCGACGTTCGCGCTGTACGCGGCGTCGTTCACCAAGTCGGCGAACCAGGCGCTCGCTGCTGCTGAGAGCGCGGAGGGAGACCCGGCGATGGAGAAGCGCTGGGACTTCCTGAGCAAGTTCGAGAGGAACTTCGATCACTGGTCCGTCTTTTTCCCCATCCTTAGTCGCGCGGGTGGTGTTTTGAGAGGCATTCGGCAGGTTCAAGGTCCATCTCGACTGCGTTCAGTTCTACGCCTCCAGCGAGAACGTGTCTCTTTTGCCTCTGGTGGTCCGTCTGAGTAGCATCAGGAAAGCGACTTGACATTCTCTGATTTCTGCTTTCGTTGAGGGATATGGAATTTGTATTGTTGTCGCTGATGCCCATGTATATTTGTAAGTTGACTCCTCGCACATGCTGTTTCGTCGTGCTGACGAGACTTTTCCGGTAGGTCATATTGTGATCCTTTCCGAATATATCCGATAGCATGATGTGTGCTCGTTCATGAGCTTCACTATGAGCGCCCCTTCGTCGTCCGCCTGTGAACGTGTCGGATGCCTATCCTTCCTACATCTGTGATCGTCGTCGCCACGCTCGTGATGTTGGCCCCAGTGTAAGTCGGGTCTTTCATTTTGTGGTGGTCACTGTGCTCACCGATCCCGCAGATTATGCTGGATTTTCGCGCATATATTCGGCCATCGACACGTGCGCTTTCGTCCCGAATTGGTCAGTCGTTCACCATTTCCGGTAATGCTGACTCCCAATAGAAGCCAGAGCGGGGAGACGTTTCTCTATAAATACTGCCCGCGTCGCTCAGGAACTCGACCGACCCTCTCTTCTGACTCCCGTTGTCCTAGTTCAACAGCAGAAGCTGTAGAACATGGACTCGGTGCAAACAGACTCCACGCGTGTATGCGTCCGGGGCCCGCATACATCGATCCACAGTGTCCTTCCAGCTGAGATCAAGCGCCATATCGTCGAGGACTGTGGCCTCGGGCCAATGGATCTCTTCCAGCTGTCCCATGTCGACCAAACGTTTCGATCCATCGCCGCGAATGACGCGCTTTATGCCACATGGGCTGCAGTGAGCGTTTCGTTGCCTTCATCTTGCGTAAGCTAACGATGTCCGACGCGGACGTTTGTAGCCTCTGCGCCCGGTGCTTACGCTACACAATTCCCGAAGTCGTATCACGGTTAAGAACGTCTCGGACAGGCACGTCCATGGTTTAATATGCCGCTTTCAGGATCGTTGATGGAAACCCTCCGTTAGGGCTCTCGTCATTCTCTGCATGCGAGAGAAATGCTCTCGTTGCCATGAACGTCTTACGAGCATTGTGTTCATACCGGCCATAGCGGTGAGAATGGTCATGATCAAGGCCGAGCGTACCTGACGATATCTTGGTTTCTCTGTCTTTGCCGGCTCTTCGAACAGCGTATCTGCGCACGGTGCTTAGGAGCTCATAACGCATACAGGGCATTGCCTGTGCACCTTGCTACGCATATATTCTGCCTAGGTGCAGAGGACCTGAAGGACCTACCCTGCGTGTGCGTCGTTAAGCCAAGCCGCTCCCGATCGTTCATGTCAACTGGTGGCTAGCGAGATTGTCCGTCTTGACGGGCCCAAGGAATTCAGAATGAATGCCACGCTTGTCCTGGATTTGGAAGTTCGATCTGTGTGAGACTTTGAAACTGTTCGTTCTCGTTCGGTTTTAATGGCTGACGGTGACTTTTATCAGAGCGTTGAAAAAGCACGGTGATAAATCGCTGCGGAAGATGCGACGCGCATTGCGTTCTGTCCTCGATGATCAGCCACCGCCCAATGGATACGAACTCACTGTCGCCGATGTTCAATCGGGGCGGGCTCCGTTTTACGTCGCCATCCCGAAGCTGAGCACGGCTATACGCGACTTCTACGATCCTGAAATGGAACGTATCACTCGTCACGCTTGCGCTATTTCCTTCGGGTGCGATATCATCCCCACATCCGGCTCTCGAGACGTTCTCATGTTTCAATTAAGGTGGCTGAGATTGAAGGAGGGTGGCCCACAGCTCCAGCCCCGAGCTACGTGCGGCATATGCCTCAGATGGAAATTGAGTTCCAGTAGCTGGCGTCGGGGGGAGCTGTAAGCCGCCAACGCGAATCGCTTTGATATGGTTTATTGATTGCGCATGCAGCCCACTGAACGATCTCATCGGATGGGAAGGCTGCGAAGACAGGTTTTTCGACTCCGACGAGCACCTGGTGCACATTCGAACTCACCTGGACCGACGATCCTTGCCGTGCTACCCGACATGCTCGCTCGTGAAGCCATCTCCGGATTACGTGCCACCGGTAGGGACCACCGACTTGGGAGACTGTCCGATATGCGCGCATCGGCGTGCTGTGGACAGTTACTTTGCGAACCCACAGGGAGTCTTTTTAGACGACGATGGTGAAGATGATGACGACGATGACGATTCTGGATGGGAGACCATCTCCGACGCCGACGACGATTAGGATGTTTTTTACGTGTCTCGTACATGAACTATCGATGCTCATGCTTCCAATATACCAAGTACTGCTGCGTACGTGAGATGTTGTTGCACTAGAAAGAGAAACATTGAGCACGCGGCTTGACTCGGACCTGCGGGAATACTTATCATGAGAGCATTATGTTTGTGAGTCTGCTATTCACCTCCTCCATTATGTGACCAACTCGATTGCATCCCAATATATTGGTTTAAATTCTTCGAATATGCGTATCGCTCTTTATCGGTTCGGGAAGCCCTTTGTTCCAGCACAGCACGGTCGGATTGGGAACAGATGAGCCTCGATGCATGGTGCATCGAGGCGGATATATATAGGCGGATGGCATGCGTGCTCGAGAACGTCGCGATCCCCTGTTTCTCTCCCCGATCTTGAATCCACGCCACTCGTTACCGTTATCGCGCCGGATTCTACTCGATGCCTGCGGAGGACGCAGCTACGGCCGGTATGCACTCTTTGCCTGTCGAGATCAAGCAGATGATCGTGGAGGACTATGACTTCGGACCGTTGGACCTTTTCAGTCTGTCCCGTGTGGATCAGACGTTTCGGTCCATCGCCGGGGAAGACGGTCTCTACGAACGATGGACCTCTGTAAGAGTCTTGTTATGCTCCGGTTGCCCGGCCAGGACGACTTTGCTTTCGCACAGGATCTGTACAGATACAATCCAGATCTGGGGCGTTCTACACTCTCCCGAAGGTCTGTCGTTTGAAAAAAAAATGTGAAGAAGATCTGTAGTGACACGCGTCTATGGAACTCTAGAGCACTCGTCGTGCTATCGCTGCGACGAAGATGTTGTGATTGTAATCGAAGAATGGCAGGCTTGTTGTATGTTCCAGCCATGAAGGTACTTGATCGCTCGTCATCAGTTGCATGACAGCTGATACATCTGCCTGCTACTGAACAGAAGCTCTGTGCTCACTGTATGGCGGCCAATGACGCCTACCGGACGATACCGGTTCACGTGGCGGAGTGGATATATTCTTTCAAGGAGGACGACTGCGACTTGATTATCATGACTACGTATGACTTGGCCTACTTCGTGTAACGTCGGCGATTGAACGCTTGTTTACAGGCGGGTATCACACCCCAAGAACGGCAGACGCTTCGACGCTGCTGTTATGTTGGAAGCGGATGCTCAGTCAATGTAGGTTCCCTGCATTTCATGGCCGTTCAAGGCCGTCTATGAAGCTAAATGGTGTCAGCGCTCGGGAAAAGCATGGAGAGGTCGTGTTGGCGGAGATGCGACGTGCCCTCGAATCAATCCTGGCACGCGAAGGACCGGACGAGTCGTCCAAGAGGGTCGTCAACAAAGCGAATCTACCACCCAAGTTGCAACCAGACATCGGAAAGGAGTTTCCAGTGCGCTTTCCTAGCCCCAAGCTAGTGGAAGAGATCCGATTCTTCTTTGACCGTGATATGGAATACAAAGTGCGATGGAATAGCATAGCACATCTCGGGTAACGATTATTTGATTGTCGCCTAGTTCATGCCTCACGCTCGTTTGATAGCTGGCTAAACGTCTATGAGTCTGGGCGAACCAGCGTTTGGCCAAGATCCGTGTGTCCGATCTGTAGGAGGTGGAGGAAACTATGCCATGAGAACGGAAAACGAATGTAAGACTGCGCCGTGTTGCGTGCCCACAGGACGCTGATGCACACGCCGACAGAAGCACCAGCGAGGACTCAGGCAAGGAACTTCCCCGCTGGGCGTACGTCACGGACCTAAGATACGGCTCCGATGAGGAGGAGGAGCACTTGACCGATCACGCCATCCGTGACTCCGCTATGCACTGCGATGAACTGTCTTGTCCGAACGCCTGGCTTCCCGGAAAACGTCGTCTGGTCGTAGCAAGCCCCCGAGTTTGCGCGACCTGCCTACACCGTCGCGCCGTGCGCGATCACAGGGATAATCCCGATGCGTTAGAGCAAGAAGATACGTCATACGAAGATGGCGGTCATGAGGACTTGCCAAAAGAAGAGCCCGATACACATTTGCAGTAACCGCAGCGATTTTTTCCTGTGTCATATTCTCATGGGATGGAGCGACGCACTATGGATCTTATGAGGTTTCCTGTCAGCGTCAGGCGTCTATATATAGAATATAACGTACCAAACTGGCGTGTACTATCTTGTTTAGTCGCAATCCTTAGGGGCACAGGGAACGCTCTTGCGCCATCAATTTGAACCGTGGTCTGAGGATAGATATCGCGCTGAAACCACACACCATCACGGTGAGACACTGGAATATGGATTACGGCAGCCCGAGCGGATCGACAAGAAAATGCCAGACAACCTGATGTAAATCAAGGCATGAACCAATATACCAAGTGAACGACTAGCATGAAGTGAGAACGAGATACAGGCTCGAAGTAACATAGGAATCCTGAAGGAGATTGATTACACACAGTGAATCAGATGAAAAGTAAGTCGCCACACAATACGTACGTAACACGCAACATTATATGAGCTTTTCTTGCGGCGCCATCTTCGACTCTACATTTGTCTTTGTTGGCGTCTTTCGAAGGGCGATATCGCTCGGCAGTTGGTCTTGATCCTTCCGATGACACTGTCTTGCGCACAGCCAACAGGGCTCGCAATCCACCGGCGTCGGCGTCGGGCGCGGTCGTGATGGGAGGAAGCGAGGTCGGCGGCCATGCATGGGATAGTCGTTTCTACATCAGGAAAAACCTCCTTCAGTAATGGCCGCTTATAAGCAGTAATTGTCGTCCCTAAGTGAATTAGCGCAGTTAGTGGGATTTTTTACCCCCCTCGCTAATTAATGCTTGCTTTGTAGTTGTAAGTACTGAAGTCTGGCTTACGGTGCGCTCAGGACCCACTATCCCTCACTTGAGATCACTAACTGGACAATAATGCGCATCTCTTATATCAGGCATTAGTCGCCATTATACCGGCTTCACAGAACATAAGCACAATGGAGTAGGCCAAAATCCATGGATTATCATTATTATGATGTCTACGGCAGTTAACAATGCTAGAGATAGAGAGACCCCTACGAAGGACTTCTAGCATTATTTACATAGGCGCCATCACTCACTGTGGTTGTGCGCGACGTTGACGTGCCCTTGGGTGTCTCCAAGACCTGGAATAAGGCTTCTATCGTCATTACATGATGCGCGAATGAGATACACTTGCGCCGTGACAAATCCTCACAGCGATGTGCTGTTGAAATGCAGGATCAGTGGTAATGTTCATGGCATCGGCAATTGCAAGGATGACAACACTCAGGGGCAGCAATGTGATGATAGATGCCAGTGTCGATAATAGAGTCAAAACCAAGTCGTCACGCGCGCGAACCATCTAATACAAGCGATAGTTAGCGATCCTGGAAGGTCTAGGCTATCAGCATGCGCTGAACGGATACGCACATATCCTGTCATTCGTTATCATCAACCACTCCAGGCTATTCATCAGTCTCCCTTAACGGCGGCGGCGTCGATCAAAACCTGACTTCATGAACGAGTACGGTGTTCTTTGTGCCCTGCCGTCGAGAACGGTGACTCGCGTAGAACGACGTGGGGCTGAGCCAGTCAGTTGCATCTAAACAACAGTTTGCGAGCCATGTGGAATTCTTCGTGCCGTGCCGTCGAGAGTGGTGGCTACTCGAGCTATATCAAGTTGGCGGGCATCGTCAGATATGGCATCATGTATGTAAACCACTTACTTTCGATCTGTTGCCAATGCACCGAGACCGATTCACCGTGGGCAGACAGGCAAGCAGCAGCTTACTGTATACCGAGTTTGCGTCAGATGTGGTAGTCACTGTCGCCGGTGTGATTCAAGACGACATTCCCTGGCTAGAGGTAGAGGTGACCCGCTATTTGTTGTAAGCATCTCGGCAAGCATTACTGATAGCATAGCACCATGAATTGAAGAGACCTAGCGTAAAATGGAGCGGGAAAGAGTGAATGCGCTCAAAGGCGAGTTGCCAGCGTGTCATTTCCCAGGAGCACGTGGCAGTGATTGTGCATCCCAATTTGGATGCCATCTCGCTAGGTCGGATTGCGCTTCAGAATCAAAGCTTCGACATTCCACCTCTCGTTGGTGAATGATGCTATGCATAGTGCTCGCCCCAAAGTGCCCCGTCTGTACACGACTAATTGGTTACATATATGCCATATCTGACTATGCCCGCCAGTTTGATGTATCTCGAGTAGCTACCGTTCTCGACGGCATGGCATATCACACGAAGAACTCCATTTCCGCTCACGAGCTGTCGTTCCGATGTACGGGACTAATTCTTTCTGATGTCGCTCCACTCCAGATACTACCCTCGATGGGCCGGCAGGAAGAATGGCTTACTCTTCCACAAACAATGCATGCAACGCGGCGGCCGGGTCGCCAATCCGGCTTGTATGCAAGCTCATGCTGCTCCACAATGTTAATTACAAACCAACAGATCGTGGGCTAAGCATGAAGACCACCGCGTTCCTGCACTCACGACTATGTGATACGGTGTACTCTACATAATCATCAACTCATTACTATGCATGTTAGATAAATAGCGTGAATCACACTCGGTGCTATAAGATCATGTATCCCACGACAGCTGACATTAGCAACGATTAGTGACTCTTACCAGGTAGTGAGTATATAAGTGTGTTTAGCACGACCTGCACGCGATGGTCACTAAATTAGTGACGGTTATTGACTGAGGTTTTTCCTGATGTACGGGGTGGCTGAGGTCCCTCAGCCCATCGCATTGCTCTGGCGGTCCAGTAAGACCAACGGTCCCCGAGTCATAGATGAGTCATAATTTCACATCTTCAATGAAGATACGGAGGAGGCAAGGCGCTGTGGGTATGCTGCACCGCTTGAGGGTCCGCAACGACCTCGAGCGGTTGAGTCGCGAGTCGCGAGTAGGAGTTGGGCGCAAATCCGGTGACGATCGGCGTGTCCATCACGATGTAATACTAAGGGATAGTTCGGATGAATACTATGGCGCGAATACGAACAGTCCAGCAGCGCGCACCAATATTTTGTAGGGTCCAAAGCGCACGGTAGGTACCGCGTCGCTGGGCAGCCGCAGTTCGCTGTAGAGAATCCGCTCGTGTTCGTCCGGGTGCTCGTTACCAGGCTCGACGAACGGTTTCCAGCAGGCTTTGACAACCCGTCGGTTGTATTGGTAATGTGCGGTGCTGTTGGGTACGCCCTGGTCGTTACTGTACTGGATTTGAATCGAGACGGAAGGAGCGCAGGGGCGAGAGAGAAGAGCCAATGCTTGCAAATCATCCGATCGAAGCCGTAGCATTAGAGATATGGTGGCACCCCTGGAACAACAAAGCTTGGTTTCCCGCGTCAGCCAGGAGAAAGTACGGGAGCGAGGGAGCGTAAAGACGTACAGGTCGAGCAACCGACAGCTATTTCACGATACACATTTCATCAGCGCCAGTAAGCGCAAGGCATCGAGAGCAACTTACCATACATTCAACGCCTATATCTCGTCGCCCGAAGGCTCGTCCACGCACGGTGGCAGGAGGAAGTGACCTCCACCCTTCAGGGTCACCCTCGACGCCAAGTAGCGGCATATGTCCCAGGTTCGCCAGCTCCCGGAGGGGAGACGGTGCCTCTTGGTGCGTGATGGGCAAATACAAGATCGGCACGTTCAGTCTGCCTGGCGTGTTAGGACACGCGTTGACGTTCCACTCAAGTCGACTCACGAGGAATCCAGTTGCAATCGAGGTCGGCACACGCGAAGAACGAGTTTGTACGAGAAGTTGAAACGCGCCCCGCTTTCGTTCGAAGAAGGCGGAAGACGACATGTATGGGTGCGCTGAGAGAGGTGGCTCCGAACGTCAACGGTCTCCGGGAGCGCGAAACTGAATGGCAGCGAGAAATCCCCAGTGAGCTTGCGACGCGGGCTGAACATCCGGGAGCTAATAGACGATATTGTAGTAACAGAGTCGCGCCTCGAGAGTTCGGATTGCGGACATAGAAGCGTTTTGGTCATGTTCAGAAATGTGTGTCGACCGGATACCACGTCACCCTCGACGCGACCTATCAGCTATGAACGATACACATTAGCTCGGGGGCAGGTATGGCCGCTGGTGCTTCGCGCACCGCAATCGTGACCGCTGTTATGTCCGCGCAGCGGATGTTGAGCTCCACTCGTCCGGAGATTTCATCGCCCTCGTGGACTACCGGTGATCCCTCCGACGAGCGACTCGACACGCGAAGCGTGGCCCAAGGAATTCCGTCCTTGGCGGTGAGATGGAACTCTCGTTCTGAGGGCTCGTACGAGTCATCAACGGCTTCGGGGCTGTGACTGCGCTGATATGCGTAGTCGGGGAGAGACTCCATCGGGAAGGAGAACGAGATGGTCATGGAAGTGTAGGTTGAGTCAAGTACGCGCTGATGCAGTTGGATACTTAGTATGAGCCCTTCACGACCAGAGATTGATCGACGGCGGTCTCGCAGGCGAAGTTCCCATCTATATATTCTGTCCAGTAGATACGCTGTTACAAAACCCACGTTTTTCGAGTCATTCCGGCTACCAATGAGGTGATAGGGCCGCCGTTAGTTCCAAACGTACAAACAAGAGAGGCGAATTGGTGAAGTAAGCAACTCGCGACGAGAACGCGAGGATCCAGAACGAGATTGCGATGCCGTCGGCTCGTGCGAAAGCGCCTCCAAGCGTCATTGGACACCGCCTGACCCCACGGTGGTCGCCCATCACGGTCGCGCCATTGGTACAACCTCCCCCTGTGTTCGGTCTTGTTTCGGTCGCCGGCTTAATAAACGTTGTCGACAGAGCATGTGCAGCCCGATAGGCCGGAACCTGCAAGAACTAGTATACCGTCGATCGTTGAGCGTGACTCCATGGGCGCTTACTGCTTGCATATGCGAGCAAGGCACCACTTCGCATCTCCAACGGAGTTCCGAGCTTGGAATTCCGCTTGATCCGGATCCGGATTGCACTGAGACGCCGTGAAGCCCAGAATATTCCTCGGTGTTCACAGCCCGTACTGCAAACACCAAAGCAGTCGCGTACTCAACTCCTGGGTTTTCAAATAACATCGCACAAGAAGGTACTCAAAACACGTCATAGTACGTATACACAAATAGGGTCGTGTCCCTCGCATAAGCGCCCAGTTCGGGCAACATTTCCGACATCCGTGACTCCCAGTTGCATGTCGGATGTACCACACGGCGAGCGGGCCCCTGCGGGCCCGCATTCAAAGCATCGATACCCCAGTTCCTGAGTCCAGGTCTTGCGAAGCCTCTTGTACGCGCGGGCGCAAGATCAGAACGAAACAGTGAAATGCGTTTTACTTGAGAGACTTGCGTACGTCAAACGAGCACACCGCAATAGGCTCAGATGCAACAACCTATGCATCTGGATACTCGATAAAATTGGTCGTGCCAGTACGATCTGAAGGTTATTGATAAGTCCTATTCGCTCGTCAACGCGTTAGCGTTTGAATTCAACCTTTGGCCGAAACTGGGCAGAAAAGCGATGGAACCAGGATCCCACGCCACTCAGGACAGCCGTCGGATGTGCTGGCCACACGGCTCAACGGGCTCTTGCCTCCATTCACGCTCAGATCCTTCCTATATTGCGGCTTTTGCGACGAATTCCACCTCCGTTAACCTTGATATCATATTGATTGGTACCACTTCCGTTAAAGTTGCTTTGGCCCTGAGATCCCCGTCAACACTACCACGAATGGCGGAGCTCTTGAACGTGATCTTCGCACTCGCCGCCATCTTCTTCGCGTTCCGATGGCTTACGTCTGGTCCCGATGATCCTGCTCGGGCTGCGCTTGGGTTCAAGCCTAGAAAGGTCACGGATGAAATGGCACGTCTCACTGAGCGTTCAACGCGTCGTCGCACTGACCATAAACAGGTAGACAGGGTAGCCGACATATACCCCGACATCCCACGAGATAACATCCGCTACGATCTCCTACGGACTGGCGATGTCGCTGTAACATCAGAGAAGATCCTCACCAAGGGCTACCTTGATGCGGTTCGTCCCCTGCGTTGAAGGCCCATATTCTTACCTTGACCGTTCCTGTTTTTCTCCTTTCTTCCTATATAGCCTCCATCTGCATACTACGAGTTATATCCCAGAGGCCCCGAATCATCTTCCGCACCTCACGCCCAACCCTCCTCCACAGACAAGGGCAAATCTCCCGCGCCTCCCAAGGCAGAATCCCTCATCAGTCGGTACCACCTTGAAGACAGACTCGCGTCTGCCTCCACAGGTAGGGCGTTTCCCGGTCATACTCCGAATTCCATCATTGACCCTCTTTCTTATTCTCAGTAGTGGTGCAATCTCCGACCGACGTCGCTGGGAAGGCTACATGGGAAGATACGCCGGAGAAGCGGGAAGCGAGTCTGAGGGAGCGTAAAGCGCAGATGATCCTCGCGGCGAGGCAGTGAGTGTCCATCCTTCGTGTTTGCTCAATCGGTCCCTGACACCCTACCGTACTCGTCAACAGACGCCTCCTGGCTCAACAGCAGCAACAGCAGTCAGCCGCTCCGTCAGCGTCCTCGAGCTCGTAGCGTCGACGTTCGCCTGCATCCTGCGGCCTCCACGGCGTAGCGTCTATTAACTGTGGAAGGGAAACACCAGCGTACCGCATGTTCGTCTGGAAGCATGAACGCGTGCTTTTGTGATGGAGATAGCAATCCAAGGATGCTACTCATGTTCTGTATTTTCTTGGGTGTATTCCATCAAGTTTCCGGCCATAAATCTCCAAGGCATCAGGAACGACTCGTCTGGGTCGAACAAAACTTTCAATGGCGCGGGTCGAGCACGGATCCGGTGTGAATCGGAGCGATTTGTCCATTCTCGCTCTCTCATATCTCTGCGTACTGAAGTAACTGTCTGACTTGGCTGACAAGAGATGTTTCAACAGTCGGACTCGCTACGATTATTCGAGGATCAAGGACGCTCATCACATGATCATTGAACCCCTTCGACCGGTGCGGTACCCTATTCCTTCAGCCCATCTTGAGTCCTTTACCAATACTCGACGCTATCCGCAGCCTTCGATTCATGGAAAAGAGCGTATAAAAAGGCCAAGAGCCCCCTCGTTACCTACCAACCTAACGGGCCTTAACCCACTCTGATTTACCATGTCGTACGCTAGCTCTGAGAGCGTCGGTACCACTGACACGAACCCCTGGCTCGAAGTCGGCGGCACGGAGTCGTTCTGGAACCGTATGGCAGAGAAGTATCCGTCGGCGACCGCGTCTATCGGCCCGGGAAACCCCATGTCGGGCACCGTTCCGCGCCTCCTCGAGGCGATGCAGTTGCTCGGCCCCGATGCCGCTACGTACGGGAAGAAGCTCAAGGTCCTCGACGTCGCATGCGGGACGGGCGTGGTACCGATGCTGCTCGCTATGCACTACAATCTCAAGGAACCGAAGGTGGAGGTGGAGGTCGTCGCCGCCGACTTCTCGGCTGATATGGTGGCACATGCCGTAAAGGCAATGCAAGATGGCGGATGGAAAGGTGTCAAGGTCGAGCAGATGGACGCGCAGGTAGTCTTCGGACATGAGTAAATGAATGTCGACGCTGATGAAGCATCGATAGAATCTTACATATCCTGACAACGCTTGGACGCACATTACGTGCTCTTTCGGGGCGTGAGTGGAGATGTCGTTCTGAAAATTTGAATATCTTTGTGGCTGATGGGCGTCGTAGGATGATCTTTCCAGAGCCAGACCTCTTCTTCGAGGCTGCTCACCGCACTCTTGCACCCGGGGGTTTGCTCGGATTTACGGTCTGGAAGTCCGTTGGATGGGCTGTGCTCATCCCCGCCATCATCAAGCGCATCCGCCCTTCGGATCCTTACGGCCAGCAGCCGTTCCGGGCGTGGAGGTACAGATGGGAGCACGCAGACTTCATCGAGTCCATCTTGGCCCGGCACAGTTTCGTAGGCGTAAACATCGAGAAGATGGAGGCGACCCTGCGGGCGCCGAACCTCGACATGCTGAAGAAGGGTATGTTGTCCTCGGTCGCCGAAGAGATCGTGAAGGATTGGAACGAGGAAGAGAAGGCGCAGTGGGGAGACGCAGTGAATGAGGCGGCGAAGGAGGTGCTTGAAGCGCAGGAGGACGGGAGTGTGAGTATACCGATGGTGGCTTGGATTGTGACTGCTAGGAAGGATTAGCGGTACTACTTATGCGGGGTGATACGTGGCGGATGCGACTGAGCACATCATCAGTACTGGACGTAACAACAGACTAAGATACTCCGGCACGGGCTTGACTGGTTGCAATAAAGGGACCAGTACATGGTATCCATATGTTCTGTGTATGGCTACTAGTGATACAACCGTGCAGAGGCACGAACTACTAAAAACATCCCAAGCGAGCATCGGACAACGTGAAATAGAAGCAGAAGCATCGAGCGGTGATAATTTCCGTTGTAAAGTCACGTCTAATGGGAACCAAGGACATGCGTCGGATACAGAACAACAAGCGTCGAGCGATGAAAGACGTCGTCCACGACAAATAGGAAGAGATAACCACAAACACTAGTTCCAGAGCGATGAGTGCGCCGAGCGTCGAGCGAGCGCGCGTGCCGTACCGAGCAGCACGTAATCAACCGACAACAAAGACGATCCAAGATGACGATGAAGGTGAAAGGGATGATAATGCGTAAGCCGACAGAGTGCGGACTTGCGGGATATACACATAAGTATACAGTTCTCCGTTCGTGTCTTGTTCGCTCTTAAAGCACAGAGCGTCTTCTGTCATAAGCGAGGACAACGTCTAAAAGTTCAGAGGGAGAACACCCTGCCATTGGCCATATCAGCCGCCGCGACAACCGAGTCAAATAAGCACTCACTCTTCGTGAACCTCGACACCTCCGACCATCTTGGTCACCTCCGCGTCCAAAGCGCCCACCGCGCTCCGCACCTCCGCGCCCATCTCCCTCGGGCCGCACACGCCGACAACAAGCCCACAGGGACCCATCACCGCACTTTCACCCGCGGCGTCCTTCCTCATCGCCCGGTCCTCCCGCGCCTTGACAGACCCCGTGCGATCCGCGACCGACTCGATGATCTTGGCCAGTTTCGGCCGGCCGGGGGAGAGGGTGACGCCGGGCGGGAGGTACATCCGCGCGAGCTCGGTCGAGGTCGAGGCAGACGCGCGGGTGTAGAACACGTCCACCTTCACGTGCGGGTTGGTCTTGCTCGGCGCGGACGATTGCGAGTCGAGCGCGAGCGCGGAGAACAGCGGGAGGAGCGGCGTGATGCTCGCTATGCCATGGAGTGTCAGTCCGTGCTTCATCGAGTCGGAAAAAAAAAGAGGGGACATACAGGGATCTTGAACTACCCATACGAGTCTGACAACGCCGCAGCGTGCTCGGCCACGCCGAGCCTCGCTGACCGCCGCCCGCGCACAACCGAGAGCGTACGTGATCCCGCTCCCGCCCGCTACGAACAGCGCGCCGTCGAAGCTGGGGTACAGCGTGTGCCCAGGGCCGCCGTACGGGCCCTCGACCATCACGGTCACGTTCCTGCCCGCATCGCCCACGACGCCGACGCCCTTCTCCTCCGCGTCGCCGGCGTCCTTCGCGGGCGAGTACGCGGCGGACGACGCGAGGGCGTACAGCTTGCGCGTCCAGTTGCCGGCCTGCTTGACGGTGAGCACGAGGCCCTCGCCCGCCGGATCGCGCGCGACGGACTGGATCGTGAACGGGTGCGCCTCCGCCCACGCGAACGGCCCGAGGCCGAGCGAGAGCACGCGCAGGCGGACGTGCTGCCCCGGGCGCCAGCCGGCGTTCAGCCCGCGCACCTCGACGCGGGTGCTGCCCATCTCGGGCAGGGCGCGGATCGTCGCGGTCGCGAGCCGGGTCTTGAGCGCGCGGACGAGGCGGTCGGAGGCGTACATGATGGCCGCGATCGCGGCGTAGATCGCGAGCTTGGACGCGTGGTTGGCGAGCGCGACGAGGATGACGACGAAGCCGATCTGGAATCAACATACGTGCGGTTTTTTTTAGCTTAGGAATTTCAATGATGGAACGCGTATAAGCGGACACTGACCGTGTGGTACACCCTGAAGACCTCGTACCCATTGCGCCTGACGATGCTCGCGCTCGTGAGCAGCATCACATCCGCCCACACGAGCCCCACGAGGCCCCACACGACCCACCCCTTCGCGAGCTCCTCGCGCACCGTCCCGTTCAACGCCCACTTGTACGCGTACCCGGCCGCGTGTACGTTGACGAGCAAGATGACGGCGCGGCCGGCGACGCGGTGGAGGTAGTTGAGATTGGTGTAGGACGCGGCGGCGCCGAGCAGGAGCCCCGCGGGCGAGTTCTTGAGCGCGAGGAAGGCGACGAGCGGGAGCTGCGAGGCGGCGAGGTAGCCGCACCGGATCGGGTCCGTGAACGGCTCGGAGCCGTGGAAGACGGCGTAGATGAGGGTGACGAGGTAGATCAGCGGTGGGAGGAGCGAGCCGACGGTGTACGAGGTGCCGAGGAAGGAGGCACGCAGGAGCCGGGCGAGCCGTGGGACATGCGTCGAGTGAGCAGGGAAGTGAGGTGGAACGTGGCGCTCGTCGTAGGCGGTCCGGGACGGGGAGGAGGCGGGTGTGGTGGTAGAGTAGGAGGAGGCGGAGGTAGGCGAGCGGACGAGGTGGGCGTGAGAGTCGTCCGAGGCGGCGGGGCCGGTGGGCGAAACGGGGAGGAAGGATTCACCACCTTGCGCGCGTCGGGGGCGCGCGAGGACTTGTCGGGAGCCTTGCGATCCGGAGCGGTGGTGCAAGGGGGCGGTCGTCGTCGTGACGCGGTGCAGGACCGTACCGGCCAACCACTCCGGGGCGTGGCAGAAGCGGGTGATCAACCTGTGTGCGGGGTGTCAGTGTGAGTGACGTGAGATGATGCGGGGGTGAGGCGGGGGATAGGTTGGAGACGGGTGACACGTACCGGGGCAGGGCGTAGAGGACGAAGACGCCGAAGACGGAGAGGAAGAAGATGTCGATGTGGGCGACGAAGGTGGCCGTCGGGTCCGGGGGAGATTTGGCAGCGATCGACGCTGCACCGGTCGAGCTTGCGGTCGATGTGGAGTTGGCCGACATGGTGACGTTCGTGCTCGTCGTGCGTGTGATCTTGACTGTTGATTTTGCTGTTGTGGTTGTGGTTGGATATATGCGTGGATGTATGCGTTGGGGAGGTACTTGTAAAGAGCGAGGGGGGTCGCTGTCCTTGGTGTCTTTGTAGGCTTGACTCGGCTTGCTTCTCGGTTCTAGAGTGAATTCGGGGTACGTCGATAGTGTCGCAGTAAAAGGACAATGAGCAGTCCAGACACGAGGCGGATGACGCCAGACAAGAATGGAGCGACCAAAGGAGCGACAGTCGGCCAGGCGGCCGGAACACACGAGGCGCGGGCGGAGGGGAAGGAGGAGGGAGGAGGGAGGAGGGAGGAGGGAGGGATGAAAACCGCGTGTGCTCGGGCGAACCAACCTCCGCCTTCGGTCCGTTTTGAACTCTTCCCACCCGACGGCGTCAAATCGCCTTACCTGCTCTTTTCCCATGGTCGTCCGACGAGCTATCTCTCTGATGACGGCGGTGCCTAGCAGGACCTGATTCATTCTGATATGCCTCTATGCATAGGATCACTAAAAACATATATTACTTTCCATCAGGCCCAGCCCGAGTGAGGCGCACAATGGCCGCTGTTGCGATAGTTTGTTCGGGTCAATGGAGTTCAACAAATACGGCTGATGGTCGTCGATCAACTCGCCGAACCTCGAGAACGAGCGAATGGCTTTGAGTTTGTGATAGGATGCAACTGTGTTGAGCTCAGCGAGAGTCCGAGGAGCGTGATTCCCGATCGCCCATTGGCCAAGACTGGAAGGTGAATCAGGTCCCGACGGCAGCGGATTCAGATCGCCGGAACCTGCCGATCCTATTCACACCCCCCCCCAGCCACGAAAGTATATTCACTCTTGGCGCCCGAGAGATCTGGAGATGAAGCAATAAGTAGTTGCTGCCCAGCCTAGATTAGCCGTGTGCGTGTCCGTCTGTGCAGAATGAGATGACGAATGTTCGCGATGAGGCATCAAATACAGTGAAACCCATTGAGCGCCGCGTAGCATCAGTGAATCTCGTTATGTTCGTTCATCTATAGTGTATCTTTGAATGGCTAGGCAAACAACACCCGGGCTCTCACAGCTAGTTGGCCCGACTCGGTGAGACCACTTGCGTAACGAGCGTGAGTAGATGTAAGTAGAATACTGTAGAACGCCCTCAATTAGCGTGGTCTATCGTAGATCGGCGTAGCATCTGCTTATACCGACTCACTCGAGGACCCACCGATTAGAATATAAACAGCGCTTTCGCGCTGATCGAGCTCTCGGAGCTCCCGTGTATGACTTAGATAGTAATCGTTGGTTCTATGGTATGCTTCATTGTATGAAACATCTTTAGAATAGTTGGATACTTATTGAATGAACGATCCTCTTACTCAAACTGAAGGCCTCACCGACTGATTCAATTGAGAACCTATCTCTTATCTGATCGGTGACGTGTTTACAGTGTAAAGGCACTGGTTGATGCACTCAAAACCGGCAGGCTCCTACACTTCGCACATGCCACATTCTCTTTCTTTTGACCACCTACAACTATGTAAGCTACTACTTCCAGATTACACAAATTTTTTCGGATGAAATCTGGGCGGAAGTGAGCAATGACGGTTGATCCGCCCAGGGGAGGCCTGGCACGCAGAAAACGTTCGTTGATGCAGTGGCAGTGCTCCCGGCAACTGATGCAGCCATCACATCGGGTCACACCGTCGTTTTATGCCGGTAAGCTCTCACACGCTCCCAAGGCGCGTCGTGCGTTGGTGCATCACCCTCCGCTCTTCAGGATAGGCTCTGAGTTGCTACCCGCCACAGATGATCCTATGTCACTAATGAAAACTGCACCCAAGATATAAAACAATGCATTGGTGCTTTGTGGAGGTTATCCAATTGTAATTGGAAGCGAAACAGGATGCACATCTTGTGGTACATACTCAAAACAGCCTGTTCGCGAAAGTGAACGATTTTTGGAAAATCAGAGTGCTTCGATTCGTTAGAAAACTCGGATCTAGTATATTCAAGCATGAATCTACCCCATGATTTAATCTCGGAACTCTCAGACACTTCCTTCGTGTGGAATTGTCGTTTGCATCAAGGAGTGCGGCTGCATCAAGCAGTGCCTTTACACTGTAGATTACTCCGCCACACCCACGCCTCCGACGACTTGCCTAAAAAAAAAAACTCCGCAGGTGCTTGTTATACAGCCATACGCTGCTTGAGAACCTTTGCACGTCCAATCGGAGGTCACTAAGCTGCTCTTGCGTGAGCAGCCTGAAACGCACTTGAGCGTCTCTCTCCTTCTTCGATAGCTCCCAATCGCCATGCAGTGTGGCTCGCTTCAGCGCCTTCTGGTGCCTCTGGAAATCATTAAGGATACTCTCCAGGTCGCGACGAATCGGACTGAGTGACCGCAGCAACAGCAACAGGATTGCGTTGTCTTTGGGGTGACAGGGTGAACGCGCGAATCAGCACAAGCGAGAGCAATGACGTACGACGAGGACGGCCTGATCTGGTCAGAAATGTGCGCCGGACACAGCAGCAGACGTCGAGGATATCACCGTAGACGTTGGCCAGCGCATATTGAACATAGACCTGGCCGACGTAGAGCTTGGTGGCGTAATCCTGAAAGAAGCTCAGGTCACCGGCGATACGTTCGAGGGTTTCCGTGATCGTCTGGAAATATCGAGGGGCACGCTGGGCAACCTGCACCTGCGGTGAGTTGAGAGATACACAAGATAAGTTACGGACGTACGGCGATGATGAATCGTAAGCCACCCCATACGAGGGCTGCAACATCCGGATGCGAGGATACGAGAGTATCGACGGTCGCGAAGAACCGTTGCAACCCTTGGAGGACCGCGCCCAGGCGGTCTATGCAGCGCCGGGCAAGACTCCCTTCTTTATGAGCGCGATCGATGCGCTGGAGGTCGAGAATGAGCTCTCCAAGGGAGCAGGACTGGAAGCATGCTAGCTCTTCGGGAGTGAACTTGTCGTAACGTCGCTGGAGGGCGATAAGGAAAGCATCGTTGACTTCAACATGGACCGCGACGTCGGCCATGGTGGGTTCGACGAGGCAGAATGAAGAGGCTGGACAGAGCGGACAAGTGGCAGCGGCAGTAGACCAGCACAAGCTGTCGCCAAGGGCAAGCCATAAAGAGGCTATCGGCGCCTATGAAGCTGTATCGATATCGGCGGCTTGTACGACGAACCATGGTCATTTGCCAACAAGTCCTCTGTATGCGTTTACGCCATGTGAGCACTCGTTGCTCAAAGATTCTCTATAGGGCGTTGGCGTGTCAATGAGATTGATACACTTTGACAAACACAATACCAGGCTCGATAATGTGTGGTATATTCCATGCTGTTCCGTACTATCAATCGAGAAAATGGTATCGAGTAATTCACAAGGCAGTCGAGGACAATTTGCAGCTCGAGCAAGATCGTCGTCGTCGTCGTTGTAGCGAAAGACTTGAAGAGCGTGCTACGTCGACTCCCACTGGTTCGCAGATACCGGGAATCGCCGAGCCATTTCGGGACGATCTTCCTGAAGGTCTGTTACTACACCAGTCGAATAATACTGTACAGGTATACTATATTTCTTGTACGACTCTCCTTTGCATTATTTCACGAAGGCGGGAACACAAATTTGTTGTTGAAGAACGTGCTCTCCCCGCCCCGGATCAATCCCTCCACCGCCGCCAGGCTCCTCTCGTCCTGCACCTGCGTCGCCACGATCGTCGGGATCGCAAAAAGCTTCAACGCCTCCTTCGCATTCGTCATCCCCAACGCGCTGTTCTTCTTCCCTGTGAACGGGAACACGTCCGGCCCGCGTTTATCAGGCGAGTTGATGTTCACCCTCCCCTCGTGCATCGCGAGGGCGTCCACGACGCGTGCCAGCTTCCTGGGGTCATACCCGAACACGGCCGACTGTAGCCCATACTTGGAGCTCGCGACCCACTCGAGCGGCTCCTCGACGTCGTCGAACACGGCAACGGGCGACACAGGCCCGAACTGCTCTTCGCTCCAGAGTTTCATCTCCTTGGTCACCGGGCCCACGACCGTCGGGCTCGCGAGGGACCGAGCGAACCGGCCCCCGTTCTTGTTCAGTATGTGCGCCCCGTGCTTCAGCGCGTCCTCTACGAAGTCCCGGATCCCGTCCGGCTTGCCGTCCTCGCACAGCGGCGTGATCTTCACCCCGTCCTCCCACGGCATCCCGATCTTCATCGCGTCGACCTCCGCCGCGAACTTGGGCACGAACTCGGCGGCGATCGAGCGGTGAACCCAGACGAGCTTCATCGCAGTGCAGCGCTGGCCGTTGAAGGAGAACGCGCCGGAGGCACAATGCTTGGCCGCCAGAGCGACGTCCGCGTCTTCCAGCAGGATGGCGCAGTCCTGTCAGACATTCGATTAGCCGAACATTCCGGCCATGGAACCGTGCATGTGTACGTGCCTTTGAGTCCATCTGCGCCAGCACGTGTAGACGGTGAGGCTCGGGGTGCGTTTTGATGAGCGCGCTTGCACTGGTACTGCGCCCGATGAACGCCAGGTAATCGATGCCGCCGCTTTCCATGAGCGGCGTCATGATCTCCCGCCCCGATCCGGAGAGGATGTTGATGACGCCAGGAGGGAAGTGCTTCTCGAACAGCTCGAGCGTCGGGAAGTGTGGCGAAGCGCCATTACGCGGGATGCGGACGATGACCGTGTTGCCCGCCGTAAGCGCCGGGATGAAAGTCGTGTAGCATTCGTTCATGGGATAGTTGAAAGGCCTGTAGAACGATACGGAGTCAGAGGAACGAACTTGCTGCATGCATATATGCATGGTAGGCGGGAGTCGATACTGACCCTGATGCAAGAACCACGCCGACAGGCATATGCCGTATCTGCGCTGCAACACCGGCGCTAACTTCGAATTTTGTCTCGCTGTTGTACAATTTGATAGCCTCGTCGATCGTCTGCTTGATGAAGTCTGCGGTGTAAGACATGAGTTTGAGAAACGCTCCACAACGAGCGAAACGAGCCTACCGATGGTCCGGTCAATCTCGTCCTCCGCGTCTTTCCTACTCTTGCAGATATCCCACATCAGGAGCTCGACCATCTGTTCCTTGGCCGCCTTGTAATCCAGCAGAAATCCATGCATCGCCTTCACCCGTTCCTGGATGGTCGCTCGAGGCCACGCTCCGAGCCCCCTTCCCCACGCGTCCTGCGCAGCCTTCAACGCTTCGAGCGCGACGTCCTTGTCACATCGCGCAAACTCGGAGATGACGACGCGTTCGGCTCCGGCGTAGATCGCGGTGGCGATCTTGGTGGTGGACTTCGTGAACGTTTTGACCTCGCCGTTGACGACTAAGGAACAGCAGTTCGGGATTAATCAATATGAAGAAACAAGCTAGTGGGACTAACGTACGATATTGGTTGCCTTTGTACGATGGCACATGAGGTAGTTTCTCCTTCGAGGAAGGGAAGAGCGCTTCCAGCTCCTTGCAATCGGTTACGATCTGGTCGTTGTTCGCAGGCTTGAAGGCCTCGGCGCTCATGGTGGTTGGCGATGGCGATACGAAAACGAATACCGGGTAGTGCAGGGTCGAATCGCAGGTTATATACGCCCGTGTAAAGTATTGTTAAACCCGTGGGTGTCCAACTCCATCTTCAACGTTCGTCGATGTCAGCATCCGGTGGGTCGACGTCAGCCGACAGCGTCGGGGAGAAACGACATAGCGGCGGGCCATATATTTCGCCACAGTATATTCCCTAGTGGTTTCCGACAGCGTTTGACTTCACGGTCTCTGTGCGTCTCGTTGAGCAATGTCGGTGAACATCCACGGCGCAGGCAAGAAGATGGAGGAAGGGCATGCTTGGAGGAGCCGGGTACCCCCGCGGCTCAGTTTAGCCGGTCTGGCCAGCACGAGAGACGAGCCAGCTCCGAACCACTGGTTACTTCTGTTCTACACGAACTCTACACTACGCTCTGGGACCTTCGAGGCTGCTTGTTCGACAATATATGCACGATCGTGGCGACCATACCGTCATTTCACGCATGCACCAACAAGGGCAGATTAGGCTGCGCTGCGATCATGCCAATGGCTTCAATTTGAACCCGGTGTTACTGGTCGTCCGGGCGCTATAGGTGCTCTGAGCACTCGGCATCTTATCAGGCTGACGGGTCTGCTATTTTCCAGCTTCGCGCTGTGGCCGGACTATGTGCTCTTCGAAATCTGTCAGCTTTGCGATCCCTGACCCTTGCCTTACCCCCTTCATCGCGCGAGCTGCCGATGGCAAGTTCCGTGCTATAGCATCGCTGCGACCCGAAGGCACCCTACAGTGGCAAAAGCGGAGCAACTGGAGCCGCAGCATGGCGCCATCAGGCGTGGACGGCGTAGATAAGCTGCTGGGCGCCAATTTGTACAGCTTACCGGCGTCGACGGGCGTCTAAGAAGGCGCGGAAGCAAACGTGCCGGGGCGTGCGGGTCGATAGATTCGGCGATATACCAGGCACTGATGAAATCAATCAGGACGCACTTCTCCGTGTCCCCGCAATCTCGCTCTCACAGTCCACGAGAACGGCTACCCAACCGGCTACTTCGCCACTACGATGTCTCTGACGCAGCGGCTGCGTCCTCGACGATGGAGGAGCTGGTCAGGCACCACAAGAAGGTCACGCTGATGAATTCCATCTGCCGGAAACAAACTCTAGCTGTGCTGACGCCGTCGGCGGCGATACGAGCCTGACGAAGAAGCACGCCAACGGCGCAATTGCTTTCAGCAACCCTCCGCTGCGCCCGTCTTGGTGATATGTCTCTGCACCTCGACTGCGCCATCTGTTCTAGAAGCCTGACGACATGCTCTCATAGAGGCATACGTAGTCCCAGGTGGCCTTCGAACATTGAGGGTATCATGGATGCTGTAGAACTCATGTCCCCCAAGTGGATGCTCCTCGCACCGATATGCTGAAGGTCAGCCTCCGGGGGGGGGGGGGCACATCAGCGCCTATTGAATCGCCATCACTCTGTGTCAGGGTGAGGCCGAGGCGGCAGCCGGGCTCTCAAATCCTCTATATGTATCCGGAGAAACAAAGCACCCAAGTCATTCGTCGGATTCGCCTCCCCCCTTTTCGTCCTGCGCTTATCTCTACATTGACGGGGCGAAAGCGACTTTCTCCCTGCATCGTCGTCATTGCATTGATCACGACAGACATGGGGAAGAAGGTACTTCCCTGCTGTGGAGTCCGGTCCCGGCCAAAGCCGCCGCCGAAGAGATTGGTCGGATGCGCCCCTGCTCGATGGACGCTGTCAATCCTTGCTTACCATTTACTCTGCCTTAGACTTTTGAAATTTGATGGACATTCCATGGCAAGATCGCGCGCATAGCTGTTCGCCGAGGAATAAGATGACAGTCGCATAGCGTAAGGACCGCGTTGCATCATTTTTGACCGGGCGACCCTGGCTCACACTGCGTGCATAGCGCCTCGGGGTTTGCGAGCGAGTCGAACGATTGTGCAAGAGCCATGAAAGGGGACACTACAGCACAAGACCGCCGCCAAGCGACCCAATGTTTCTCGAGTTCCTGGGACAGTCACCGAACGGTCGAGTCTATCGAGTCTATGGCGGGCTCTTGGTCCAGCTTTCTCGCGGGCGGATCCCTGGCATTACGGCCTTTTATCCGCAGAACGACGAAGTTCAGATACCTCTGCACGCGCATGATTACCCGTATCCTTGTTGGACTTGGTGTCATGAAGAGCGAAAATCGCGCGATACGCCAGTGAGTGACATATCGCTATTGCTATCGATCTTCGGAGTATTCTGATCGTGCATATGCAGTCCGTACGTCATGCGTGTCGTCCTGTATCTATAGCACCTAAGGAATGCCCGGATTCATGCATTATTCTGCGTCGTGGAGGCCTTTCGCGTCGCTTAACTCGAATTTATCACGCTACATAGCACCTCGTTGCTGCTAAACTCCCGAATGCTCGCCTCTTCGCGTCCGGCGCCTCGGATTGTAATTTATATCCGCGTGGTCAAACGAGGCGGCCACCGTCCCCCAATAACATTTTTTTTTTGTAACTGCGCGCTCGTTTCAGCGGAGTCAGGCAACTCGCAGCCCTCGTCTCTCAACAGCCTGCTGTCTCGGACTCGGACCGTCCATTCTCAAGTCCAAACCGTGTTTTGTCGCGCTCTGAAGGGTCAAGACCAAGGATCAAGTGACCGTCCTATCGCAGGAAAAGAAAGAGGGAGCCTAGAACACGCACCGTGTCTGTCTCTCTGCTCGATCCTCTGATACATCTTGTCGCAGCGTCGACAATCGAATTTGATCCTGTGGTGAACGCCTTCGACGTGGCGTCTCACGCCGCTCCGACGACTGAGGCGGGCGTGGCACACATGACATCGAAATGTGCTCTTCTGCCCCGGATTGACATCTAGAATAAAAGCCGGCGGAACATCAGGAAAAACCGGATTTGCTAAATGCCTCCTTGAACGTAGTAAAACGTGCTCATTTTAGTGGCTTTGAGGGTTTCGGTACCCAATAAGCGACTCTTTCGGTAGTCCGATTTTTCCTGATGAAAAGCCGGGAGGTAGGATGCGTGAGGGGAAAGGAAAAAACATATCGTACCCGCCTGAGATGCGTCGTCGTCGGGGTCGTATGCAGGAACTCACGATGCTGGCGAGCGGTTCGTACGTACGCGACGAAGCGGCGGTTAAAACGTGGGCGTGCGGGGGAAGAAGCGGTGCGATATGAAACGCGCTGCAAGTTGGGTAGAGAGCCTAGCTCAAGAGTTTGAGGATGCTCAGGCACCCCTCTAGAGCGTGTACTTACTCTACAGAGGTATGAATGGAGTGTTACGTGTGACTCCGTTAGTGCACATGGAGCGGATACAGAGGGAGGAGTGGGATGGATGTACAGGCGATTGGAGACAGTGGTTGGCAACCGCATCGCACGGACTTGGGCGCCATTGCGACGAGAACGGCGACGGGTGCCATTATGCTTTACCGGCTCATGTACGCGAGCGCGTACGTACAGATTCACCAGAGGCAAAACGCCCGAACGGAATGTATCGACACGGGAACTCAGGTAACGTTCTCGACCGCCCGATCCGATAAGCGCTGTGCGGACGGGCAAAGTATGTAAACGTGAGCTAAGGACGTGAATCGAAAATACGGGTTCAGGCTTGCTCGCTAACTCCGATGAGGCCCAGCGTGGCCCCGTGCGTCATTTCAGAACGTGAACTCGACAAGGACCATTGAGGTCAGGCTCCGCAGGTACGTGTGTAGTCGAGGGTCGTGCGACGCATGGATATGGAGACCAAGGATCATTCGCATGCCATATCACAACCAAGTCGAAGAGACACGGGCGGCTGCGCGGTGAAGTCGTGCGCGTATATAATCTCGGGAGCAGATCGTTCGCCTTGCCCGCGTAAGTGAGTATTGTCGACGAATCCAGAATCTGAGCGGAAAACGGGCCATCAGCGGTGCGGGGTGCCGCTGTCGAGTGAGGCCTAGGGGGACTGATCCTCGCCGGGGAGACTCGGTGGGGCTGCCACCAATCGGATGGTCTAGGGAGTTCGCCGCAACAAATCGGAACGACACGGTTTTTGTAAAGATATCCATATCGTGATCGGACAAAGTGGACGATCATGAGCGAGGGCGGATCTCCTGACCAATGAGCATCGAGGACGGATGCATACCGTCGGGTAGTTGGAACCAGTAGGCAGCGAGCATGAGCAGGTGCATGGATTGTGCGGATAGGAGTTTGAGGATTGTGGAGGATCCTCTCGAAGAGGCACAACTTGAACATAGCAGACACACTGATAAACAGAGGTATCCGCCCGCGTATTCTGGCCACACCCTTTCAGTCTCATCTCGTTCTGAACGCGAGGCGTGATTCATTAGCATCGCAAATTGGAGCTCCTCAAACCTCCGTACTACCGCAGACAACGCGAAGGAGCGATGCAGGGTGATCGACGGACGCGCGTATCCAGACCGGTGGGCGGGATCCCATCGGAACGTGAACTACTCCGCACGGGCGAAACGCGCGAAGGAAACGGGGCACCATATCTTGAGAGATCCAACATGATATTTGTGCGCAGCTAGAGCGGACTGCGCGGGGAAAGTTCAGGTGGATGTTCTTGCGAGTTGGACGGGCTCCGGTCCAACCCGCGTTCCGGGCAAAACCAAGAGCACCGCTCGGGCGTTATCGTCATCAAATTTCCCTCCCCCCCTCCGTCCTCCCGACTCCCGAGCCCGCCCTCCCTGATCCCGCCGACACCATGCTCGCCGTCCGAGGTCCGCCCATATCGTCTCTCTCACCGTTCGTCATCGCGAAAACGTTGACGTTGAAGGAACAGCGCGCACCGCGACGCTTCTGATTCGGACCGGGGCCAGCCCGAGCCCGACCGCGACCTCCAAGGCTCTCCGCGTCCAGCCCCGTCGCGCGGTGCTCTCTTCCCCTCACGCTCAGCGTCCACGGTTCTTGTCCGACTCTGCGGCCACGGAGGGTGCCGCTCCTCCCCCAGTGCGTTCCTGCCGTTTCGCGCCGTTGATATCCCACCCGTTCTCACGCGCCGATCTATGATCTTCCTCTCCCCTCTCGTGCAAATAAACCACGACTTAATCGCGTCTGCGCATGCTTCTCCACGTCCACGAAAAAAACGCGAAACGAACCGACCGCATGAACTCGAGTGCAGCCTCCACCGCCGATCGTGTCGCGCTGGCGTCACTTCCTCCAGACCGTCGGACGCGTCACGCTCATCACCATCGTCGCCGGCACCGGCACGTTCTACTACCTCGCCTACAAGGACCGCACCCCCGGCCCTCAGTTGCCGTTCGATCCGGAGAAGAAGACCCTCGTCGTCCTCGGGACCGGATGGGGCGCCACGAGCCTGCTCAAGAGCATGGACACGACCGATTACAACGTGGTACGTAAAAAAATCCTAGTTTTTTCTTCCCCAAATACGCGCGTGCCCGTTTGCTTTTTTCTCCCCGTTTTGACGGTAGATATCTTAGATCGTCGTGAGCCCGAAGAACTTCTTCCTCTTCACCCCCTTGCTTCCGAGCGTGGCGGTCGGAACGCTGAACCCTAAATCCATCATCCAACGTACGTCTTCCGCGCCACGACCCCGTTACGAGAGTTCCCGCCTGACGGCGCTCGCCTGCGTTTCCACAGCCATTCGCCACATCACCCGCCATAAGCAGCGAACCGTGAACTTTATCGAAGCCGAGGCGCAAGAGGTCGACCCCTTCAAAAAGACCGTCACGCTCTCCGGTGCGTCCCTCTCTCTCCGCGGCATTTTATGCGCATATTTATTGACCCCCGCGCCGAGTTAGATCTCTCCGGCGTGAAGGGCGAAGTATCGACGACGACGATCAACTACGACTACCTCGTGTACGCCGTCGGCGCCGAGACGCAGACGTTCAACATCCCCGGCGTGAAAGAGCACGCGTGCTTCATGAAGGAGCTCCACGATGCCGAGAAGGCGCAGGACCGCTTCATCGACTGCATCGAGTCGGCCGCGTTCCCCGGGCAGACCGAGGCCGAGAAGGACCGGCTGTTGCACATGGTGAGGCCCACAAATACCGGATACGACGGACCCCCCCGCGGCGTGTTCCGATATTATGCGCATTTCACTCAACTCGAAAATCCGTTCGTGTTTTAGATCGTGGTCGGCGGTGGGCCCACCGGCGTCGAGCTCTCCGGCGAGCTGCACGACTTCCTCGTCGAGGACCTCAGGAACTGGTACCCGGACCTCGCCCCGCGCATGAAGATCTCGCTCATCGAGGCCCTGCCCTCGGTCCTGCCCACGTTCTCCAAGCAGCTGATCGACTACACCGTGTCGACGTTCAAGGAGGCGAACATCGACGTGCTGACGAAGACGATGGTGAAGGAGATCCGCGAGCGGAGCGTGGTCGTGAAGACGCCGGAGGGCACGGACGAGGAGATCCCGTGCGGCGTCGTCGTGTGGGCGGGCGGGAACAAGCCGCGCAAGGTGTCGACGGATCTGATGGCCAAGTTCCCCGAGGCGCAGACTAACCGCAATCACGAACCGGCGTCAGCCACGCGAGAGATCCTGCGGGGGGGGGGGGGGGGGGGGGGGGGGGGGGGGGGGATCGAAGGGAAGGGGAAGGAAGAAGGAGCGACGAAAGACGCACCGTCGACGACGATCCCGCGTTATCTAGATCAGCTGAGGATGAAGGGCACCGACGGCATCTTCGCGATCGGCGACTGCACCTCGACCTCGTACGCGCCCACGGCCCAGGTCGCGTCGCAGGAGGGCGCCTACCTCGCGCGCGTGCTCGCCCAGGTCGCCAAGCGCGACCAGGCCCTCGCCGAGCTCCAGAAGCTCGAGGCCACCGCCACCGCGCCCGAGGCGGAGAAGGAGAAGGAGAAGCTGAAGCGCCAGGCGGAGAAGCTGGAGAAGATCCGGCCGTTCCATTACTCGCACCAGGGCTCGCTCGCGTACATCGGCAGCGACCGCGCGATCGCGGATCTCTCGGTCTGGCAGCGCACGGTGAGTCTCTCTTCCTTTCTCTCTTTTTTTTCTCCGTCTCTGCGCGAAGGCGAGTAAAAAAAGGGAAGGGGATCTGACGTTTTTTTTTTCTGTCTCTTTGTGATGTCAAGTTCTCGAGCGGAGGCGCGTGGACGTACCTCTTCTGGCGGAGCGTGTACCTCAGCACGCTCTTCTCGCTCCGCAACCGGACGCTCGTCGCGACGGACTGGCTCAAGGTCAAGCTCTTTGGACGGTGCGTGTCCCCCCACCCATCCATGACCTGCGGTCCTGGCTTTTTCTCGACGAGCTGATCTCATTTATCGCGACAGTGACGTCTCGCGCGAGTGAACCTGGTCGTTTCGTTCTCTTTTTTCCCACCTGCGTTAAAAAACGCATTGCGTTTCGCTCATAGACGTCTCGAGTTCGTGGTTATATAGACGGCCGTGGCATAGACGATAGAATGGGCCGCGCGTTCCCGCGATACCGTAGCGTACAGTATTTAGTCTCATATACGGGCACTTGAATAATCACCAACCGTCGATATTACGTCGGCGGCTTAGCTGGGCAGACTCGGATCCAGGCACGGACCATGGAAAGCACGATCGCGAAGAGGGGAAAAAAAAACCATATGGGAAAAAAATCAGGATCATATCATATCGGCCACGGTCTAGGAGTATACATTGCGTATGGAGGGAAGAATCGCTGCAGTGAGGTGCACCCGCCCCGTGCTTTCTTTCGTCTTCTGGGACGCGCTCGCGGGCGAATCACTGTGCGGACCCGTCTGCGACCGGCTCTTCGCTCGCCTGGTCCTTCGCGACGTGCTCGATGCGGCCGTCGTGGTAGCGCACCGTCACGCTCCCGTCCTAGTAGCATGATTCAGAGCGACTTTATGAAACAAAGGGGAGGACGTGGCACGTACGGGGTTGCCAAAGTACGCGGCGCGCGCCATGTGGCAGAAGAGGCCGACTTCGACGACGCCGGTGAGCATCTTGATGCTCTGCAGGAGCTATAGCACGAAAAAAATCGGGGGAAAAAAAACGACCATCAGCCCGTTTCCATTCGACTCCAAAGTGGGTTGGGGGGTGGGGTTTCAAGAAATGGAAAAAAAAATCCGTTTACCTTGTACGGTTCGCGCATGATCTCCTCGGGGAAGGGCGCGTCGATGATGAAGTTGCCGTTGTCGGACACGACGGGCCCGGCTTTGGCTTTGGCCATGCGGAGGGATGCTTGGGGCGAGCCGAGGGTGTGGAGGTTGTAGAGGAGCTTGGCGTAGGCGAAGGGCGCGACTTCGATCGGCACGCCGGCTTTGAACTGCGGTAACGCGAACCCAACCCAACCCCAAGGAAAGTTGTTGAGTCACACGTCGTAAGAAGGGCAGAGAGGGCGGGCGGGGTAAATAACGCACGTTGCGACCCAGGATGTCCGAGTTTTTGCGATAGTCGGCGACGAGGATGAACCTGCTCGGTCCGTGGAGGGTCATTGAAGACAAGGTCAGGGGGAGGGGGGAAGGGGAGGACGCACGTCTCGGCCGCCTCGGCGATGACCTTCTCTCGCAGATGGCACGCGCCGCCGCCCTTGACGCAGTTGAGGTCCTTGTCGACCTCGTCCGCGCCGTCAAAGGTGACGTCGATCTGCGGGTATTGGTCGACGTCGCCGAGGAGGAGTTTGGAGGTGACGATGAGCTCTTTCGATTGGAAGCCTTGGCGTTTTGCCATATCGGTAATCACGTTTTAGGCGAGGTTTGAGGAATGGAAAACGAGGACGGACCGCTCGGTATGAACACCCGCCCCTTGTTTGCCTCGACGCCCTGCATGACTATCCGTTCCACGACATATGGTACGGTCGAGCCTGCGCCCATCCGCATGAGCACCCTGCTCTTCTGGAATCGTATCGCATTTGGCGCACCTGATCCGATACCGATCACCTGCAATGCAGCACCGAGGTCAGTTCGAATCGCGGAGCGCACATAGGATATAGGGACATGAAATCAGACTTTATGTTCGGGCCTCAGATGCCTGTCGACGGCGGTGAACGCCGCGAGCTTCTTGGCGGCCTCGATCAGGCCCGCCTTGTCCTCCTCCGCCTTCAGCGCGCTCGCCTTCGCCGCGTTCACGATCGCTTCGCGCACGAACCCGAGTCCCCACGCGACGGAGAGGGAGAAGGAAAAGGAGGAGGGAGAGAGCATCGTCAGCGTCTGGCGGCGGGCGGGCGTGCAAAAACATAACTGCCGGAGAGAGAAAGGAAGGGGGGGGGGGGGGGGGAGAAAGGAAGGGGTGGTATTTGCACCCCGTGAAATCTGCATGAGGGGGACTGAAGGGGTCGTGAACGCCCACCTGGTGCGCGGAGCACGATGGGCGGCTCCACGACGGGGATGGCGGCGTTGGTGACCTCGGAGAGCGGGGACGCGCCCGGCGGGAGGGCCTGGGGCGGGAGGCTGGCGCGGGGCGATCTGAGCGCACACATCGTTCGAGATCATGAGCGACCGAGGGGGGCCCGTGGCCGGAGCGCAGCTGGTCGGACCTACTCCAGGTGTGGGGTGACGCCCGGTAACGGCATCCTGCTTGCTGATCGAGCGTAATGGAACGGAGAGAGAGCGGGCGACGGCCGGTGGACTCGGAGCGCGGGCAGGCGATGTGGCAGGATCCACGGCATGCACAGTCAACCGACGAGTTTCTATAGGAGCTACTCCGGACTATCCCCTCCGCGCCGGCAGGCCCGGGAATCTCGAAGCCGAAGGGCAATCTAGTCATCTCTCTCAAGAAGTCGCGACTCTACTTACCCCGTAAGGCAGGCACCGTGTGTCCTTACGGTCTTCATCACACAGAACTTACACAGGACGATGCGAACGCCCGACTGATTGTGAGCTCGTCGCGTATACAACGTGCGTATGATAAAACAAGAACGCCGGTTTTTCATTGGAGGAGGGAGGGAAAAGGTTGAACTTTGCCCCGCCCCTTTGGAACTTACGAATCCGCCGTGTACTTCGCCCATACCGCCTCCGCGACCGGGCGCCTCGGACACCTCCTCCCCGTCCACATCTCGAACTGCTCGTACCCCTGCTCGAGCAGCACGTCCACGCCCACCGCCGTCTTCCACCGCTCCCCGCCCTGCCGCCGCGCGAGCGCGAGCAGCGGCGTCTCCGCGGGCCTGTACGCCATCTCGATCACCACCCCGCCCTCCTCCCGCTCGAAGATCGCGCTCGGCAAAAACTCCGCGTCCCTCGCCGCCGGATCGAGCGTCGTCGCCGACGCGGGCACGGTGCCAACGACGACCCCCGGCGCCGCGGCCGACCACCGCCCGAGCACGTCCACGACCCCGATCTCGGTCTCGGCCTCGGTCCCCGCAAACTCGAACCCGCGAGCGACCGCCTCCGCCCGCGCCCGCGTGCGATTGTAGACGTACACCGTCTTCACGCCCAAGCCGCGCAGCGCGTAGATCGCCGCGCGCGCCGTGCCCCCGGCGCCGATCACGAGCCCGGCCTCGGGCACGGCCGCGCCCGCGAGCCGCGCCCGCACGCACGCCCGGATCCCGAGCCAGTCCGTGTTGTCGCCGAACAGGTACCGCGTCCCGTCCGGCCGCGCGCGGGCGACGACCGTGTTCACCGCCCCGATCGCCTTCGCGTGCTCCGACAGCTCGTCGAGCTCCGCCATGATATCGCGCTTGAACGGGATCGTCACCGACGCCCCGCCAAAGTCCGCCGCGCGCATCGCAGCCCTCACCTCCTCCTCGTCCACCGTCGCCGTCTGCAAAAGCGCGTACCGGTGCGGGAGCCCCAGGACGGCGAAGCCGGTGTTGTGTAGCACGGGCGAGGGCGAGTGCGCGATCGGGTTCCCGAGCAGGTAGAACCGCCGCGCGGGGAGCTGCCCGAGCAGGTGCAGCGCCGTCTGCACCTGGGCGAACGTCAGCTGGCCCGGCGCCGCGCGGCTGGGCAGCAACGCGTGCGTCACGGGGCTGAACGAGCTCCATCCGCCGAGCACGCGCGACATCTGTCCCTCCGTGCCCATGTTGAGCGCGATGATCGGCTTCGCGCCCGGCGCCGCGCTCCGCCTCGCCACAAAGTCGTGCAGCGCAAAGTTGTCCTCCAAGGTCTCGGCGAACCCGACGAGCTTGACGATATCGCCCAGCGCGTGCGCCCTGTCGTGCTTCCGCAGCGTGTCGACCGCGGACCACGTCATGTTCCCGCTGAAGTCGTGCCAGGACGCGATGATCTGCGAGTGGCCCTTGCGCGTTGCCAGGTCGCGGATACGATCCTCCGACCACGAAATTTCGACGTCCACGTACTCGGCCGCGAGCCGCAGCGCGAGGTCCGCGAGCTCGAACGCCTCCTTTTCGGCGTCATCCGGGAAGGCGCCACCCTGAGACGCGGTCCGCACCGTGAACACAACAGGCAGCGACGTCGCTCTACGGAGCGCGGCGAGCTGGTCCGCGACGTATGCCACGGGCGGAATATAGCCCGGCTGCGCGGAGCCGATGTCCTGCGGGCGTCGAAGTAGATCCACGCGTAGCTCGACAGCGTCCACGCCTTCCGTGAGCGCGTCCATGTGCGCCAGCGCGGGCGTCACGTCCGGGTACGTCAGCGAGAGGAAGTAAAGCCTATGATCCTTGCTCGCGGGCGGGGCCAAGTTCGGGCGCTGACCCGTGACGTGGTTGAAGAACCGGTCGACCTCCGCCCGGAGCCCATCCGAAGGAAGGTTCCGCAGCTCCGTCGCCGGCTTGGTGAGCGATCCGGTGTGGTTGATGAACTCGTAGTTGCAGCACTCTGCGAAAAGCGGCTTGCGGCGCGCGTACACGTCCGTGATCGGCTCGCCGTACTGCGGACGCGCGGACTCCTGCGTCAGGTACTCGACCACCTCGTCGATGTCGCGCACGATGTGCACCACCGGGCCGACCTTCTTGTACGCCTTGAGCACCTCGCACGCCGCGGGCGTCTCCACTATTCCACCGCCGAGGCTCAGCACGTGGCCACTGGGGTACTTTTGGAGAAGGAGCTGGAGGACCTCCGTCTCCGCGGCACGGAACGCGGGCCAGCCCTTCTCGTGCACGAACTCGCGCACGCCCTGGCCGAAGTGCTGCGTGAAGTAGACGTCGGCGTCGATGCACGGCCAGCCGAGCGTCTTGGCGGCGAGCTCGCCGATGTAGGTCTTGCCTGTGCCGCGCATGCCGATGATCACCACGGAGGGCGCTGGCTGGGGTGAAGGCGTGCCACTGTTGGCGACCGAGGTGTGCGCGGTTTCCGCCGCGAGGTCTACGCCCTCCACCTGCAAGCCGATCTGTGATGGCACCAGAAAAACCCGTCAGGGATATTTCTCAACATTGCACAGGCGGGTCGCTCACCTTGTTCTGGAGGTCGTCCCACCAATTCGGCCAGGTCTTCTCGACGCATCGCTTCTCCTCCAGTACGGTGTCGCGCACGACGGAACCAAGCACGCTGAACGCCATCGCGACGCGGTGGTCATCATAGCAGTGCACGCTCACGCCCTCGCGTAGTTCTGGGAGCGGACGGCCGTACACCTCCAGCCCGTCATCTAGCTCCTTAGTTTCTACGCCAAACTTCGCTATGATGCGAACGTTCGTCGGTGTCTGTCCTGGTTCAACAGACGAGCAGACTCACCGAGCTGGTCGATCATCGCCCGGATTCGGTTGCACTCTTTCACCCTCTGGTTCGCGATTCCCACAATTCTGGTCGTCGTGTCCCTGCTCCCATCCCCCAGCTTCCTCCCGCTCAGCGGTGGCTTGACGGCGACGGCGGCCAACACGCTCGCCGTCAAAAACGCGTCGGTCATCGGCTCCATGTCAACCAGTCCCAGCGCGTGCAGCTCGCCGACCGGCGGACCGGTCACCGTCGTCTCGCTCTCCGTCTGCACCACGGTGCATCCCATCGGTTCCAAGACCTCCTTCGCGAAACGCGCGTCGCCTTGCAGCGACGCAGAGCCGATGTTTGCGATCGTGCACGTCGTGCCCGTGATCGCGGCGATCGCGAGCGGGTACGTCGCGCTGCTTGCGTCGCTCTCGATCGCGTACGCCTCCGGGTTCGCGTACACGCCCTTCGGGATCTCGTACACGTCTAGCAACTTCCCGGACGCGTCGGAGAGACGCCGGACGACGACACCGAAGGTACGCATCATGGCGATCGTCATGTCGATGTACGGCTGGCTGATCACCTGCCCGCCCGTCAGCTCGAGCGTGACAGCCTCCTGCGCGTACGGCGCGCAGAGCAAAATCGAGGAGACGTATTGACTCGACACCGACGCCGCCAGCTGGATCCGGCCGCCCTTGAGCCCAGCGGGCGCTATAGAGAGCGGCAGGCAGCCCGTGCTCTCCTTATAGTCGATCGTGCTACCGTTCGCGCGCAGGGCGTCAACCAGAGGACCGATGGGCCGCTGCTTCATGCGCGCGTTGCCAGTGATGACGGTAGTAAGGTCGGACGCGGCCGACGATGAGACGAGCGTGCAGACGGTGGTGAGGAAGCGCGCAGCGGTACCCGCATTGCCGAGGTAAAGCTCTTTGCCCTTGGGCGGAACGGAGAGTGATCCGGCGCCGCCTTCGACCACGAGTGTCTCTCCACCATCCTCCCAGCTGAATTTCGCACCCTGTGAGGCGGCATATGTAAGATGAGCAATCGTTTTAGGGACCAGAACAAACAGAATGAATCACCTTCAATTCCTGAAGAGCAGCCATCATCACCTGCGTATCGTCTGAGTGCAGAAGGTTCCGCAGCCGACACGTGCCCCGCCCCAACGCCGCCAGCACGAGCGCGCGATTCGAAATGCTCTTGGATCCCGGCGTCGCCATCTGCACCGGGTCATGCGCCGGGCGCGCCGGGACCACCTTCGCGGCGTCGCACAGGATCTTCGCGATCACGTCGTCCTTGACGGCCGTCGCCTTTTCCTCGTAGGTCTTGCCGATGCGGGACAGGAGCACGATCCGCTTCTCGTTCCCGGCGTTCTTCTTGTCGATGCGCATGATGTCGAGCAGTCGCGAGACGCTCAGGCCTCGTGCGGCGGGTATGGAGGTGATGCGCGGGTCGCTCAGCGATACGGGAAGGTTGTACGCCTTCAGGCACCGCGTCAACCGGCCTACCGCCACTTGGCCCAGGACGCCCAACGAGCGCGCAACCTCCGCCTCCAGGATCATGCCGACGCTGACGCATTCACCGTGCAGCGCGGCGGGTGTGAGCACGGCCTCGATTGCGTGCCCGATCGTATGCCCGAAATTGACGAGGTTGCGCAGACCGGTCTCGCGCTCGTCGACGGTGACGATGTGCGCCTTGACGCCGATCGAGCCTTTGATGACGGACAACAGGAGGTTTTGGGCCTCGGAGCGCGTGGCGAGCGTGCGTCCGGCGAAGTGGGAAGAGGGCGTCTGGATGGCGGCGAAGATTTCGGAGGGGCGCGATTCGAGGAGGTCAAAGTCCGACTCGGACCAGATGGCGGCTGTCTAGAAGTTTCGTGTATGAGCGCTCGTGTAAACTGTATAGAAGATTGAGGAGTGTAAACAAGCGCACCTTGACGACTTCAGCCATGCCGTTCGAGAACTCGCGTGCAGGCAACGTTTCGAGGAAGGCAGCGTCGATGAAGATGAATTCAGGCTGCCAGAAGGCACCGATGAGGTTCTTCCCGTGCGGGGTGTCGATTGCGGTCTTGCCGCCCACTGAGGAATCGACCATAGCTAGGAGCGTGGTCGGGATTTGGACGAATCGAACTCCTCGCATGCTGGGGTAAAATCGTCAATGGCCCACCCTCTCCACGGGTTTCACGAAGGACGAACTCACAAGGTAGCCGCGACAAAGCCGACCAAGTCGCCTATCACCCCTCCTCCGAGCGCGAGAAGAACGGTATCTCTCGTGCACTTCTGCGCCAGCAGAAAGTCTTCGATTTCCGCCTTGCCCTCCCGGCTTTTCGAGCCTTCACCCGGGGGGATTACATGGCTTAGAAACCGCGTTTTGCCAGCCAATCCGCGATCCTTGATCTGGGCATCAAACTCCGAGAGGAAAGATGACAGGAAGAGAGGCGCGATGTGCGAGTCGGTGAGGAGAACGTAAGTTGACGAGGGCAGAGAGGCCAAGACGGTGGAGGCGATGTGAGGGACGAGGTGGAAGCCACAGTGGATGGAGGCCTTGCCGAGAATGGAGACCGTCTCGATGTCGGCGTCCGCCATCGTCGTCGTCGTCGTCGCTGCGGCTGCTGGCGTTGAGCGGCGCACCGGCGTAATGGTGGGCGGCTTTCAGAGAAACGATTGTGTTCGGATGGATATCGGTCTTACGAGACCCTTATAATTCTGCCCGAGTCATCCGGGCTTTTCGTTATCTCTGCATGCTACTGAATCTGGAATGTATTGAACCGTACAGTAGTATATGCTGAATTTGTCCCTATGCATTGGCCGTTAACGTCGGACTCTTTACGTTCAGCAACAGCCGCAAAATTTGAAACAACCTTTTTGCGATGTCCGACGCAAGCGCAGTGGCTATGCAGATTTTCATCTTTTTCATTGACGTTGACCGGCGTTGAGTCGCGTACTCGCGGTCCAATTCTGTGGGTAACAGCTTGGGTGGTTGTCGTGCGTTTCCGAGGGTGTAGGAAACCCCTTTACGAAAGGTGAGTAACAGGCTCATGTCCATGTCAATTCGCCTTCTTGCTATCCGCTATGATGAGGAAAAGGGGTCGTATAGTACATCACGTACAGGACGAAAACCTTATTATGTACCAATTGTTCCTACTGAGCCCTCTTTTCGGTCGTCCGAGTCTGCAACCCAACGCTGATTAACGCTTTGCTCTTAACAGGTGGTCCTGCCGGTGGCTGTTCGAAATTGGAGTCGGAGGCGACATTTTCGCGTCGAATTCGCGACGGTCCGATGTCTATTACGCGCGGGACGATGTGCGCTCACGTTTTGGAATAGTGTAGTCAATCCATTTACATGCACACCCGATGTTCTGAGAGAAATATGAGCACCTGCGTATACCCGACAGGGGCGGAATCAGCACGACCACGCACTGGACGTACTACTTGAAGCAGATGATTCATTCCTCCCTGGATACCTGGATATGACCAGATCTGAGCGCCCGGCCGCTTCTCGTAGTCCGTCCAACTCATCGAACGTCATGCTCCTGTCATTTATGAGGTAAAGTTTCAACATGCCATCCGACGCTCTGTTCCTCTCGCTCAGCAGCGTCGCAAGGTGCTCCAGCAGCTCGCCCGAGGGTTCGCAATCCTCTAGATTGATTTGCAGCCACCGCATCTTTGGGAGTAGGGAGCCTCCTTCGGCTTCAGGCGTGAGCGCTGGTATGACGGCCTCGCACGCCTCCAGCGACCGCAGGGTGAGGTCCGTTACAGCCGCGCAGTGCGTGATGAGCCGCACGACGGGATCTTCGAGTTCGTCCTCGGACAGCCAAAATTCGAGCGCCTCCACCCCGTAAGGGCATATCCTGCCGATGATCTCGCCGTGGACAGACGACCACAGTCCCGGAAGAGAGATGCTGATGAGAGGCGCGGCCCAGAATTGATCGGTGTAAGGTGTGCGGGTCGAGTATGCATCCAGCACACATGTGTCTGCGTCCGAGACACACGACGAACGGGTGGATCCCCGTCGCGGTCTGCAGTGTGATGGCCGAGGAAATCTGCCAGCGATGCGAAGTCGCATAGCTGCGTGGTGTGATGGAGTTGGAGTGATACGGTGGTTGAGGGCGGGATTCTGATGTAAGGCAATAATCCGCATATGATCGGGCCAGGCGCGGACAGTTCCATCAAGACCAGCTGGTCAAGTACGGCCATATCACGAACCCGCTTCACAGGTTGCGGTGCGAGTCGCCTGGACCTCGAAGGCTGAGCCTCAACCAACAAAAACTGCAGTGTAGGCATTGCTGCCAGCGCCGTGATGAACTGGTGCACTTCGGGGAATCCATCAGAAGGCAAGGAGCGGATTTCGAGATGAATCAAGCTTTGAGCTAGAGAGAAGTGGCCGATTACATTCCAGTTCACCGAGATACGGTGGAGGCGAAGTCTGCGAAGCTGAGGAGCGCACAATCCCAAGAGTTTGTCAGGGAGCCGGCCCGGGGAACTTGAGGCGGCCCGCCCCAACTCTAGCTTGAAATCGGTGAGAAGAGGGGCGGGAAGCGAGAGTGGCTCCGCATGTCTATTCAGGTCCTCTGCGTCCTTGAGCCACATGTCAAGCGCTTGTACACGGTTCATATGGCGAAGGGATGTGGTTATGGTTGCGGGGGTAAGGTCCATCTCCATAGTGTGTATAGACAGCGGTGCTTGTCTAGACCTCAAGAGGAAAGTCTCGGTCAATTCCAGTGTGGTGCGGGGAATGACAGACCAAAGAGACGGTGTACAGAGGGATATATCTCGCCAGCATTTGCATACTTGCGAGAATGCAAATCTGGACGGAAATGTGCAGCGTTTGGCTTCTTCGTCATCCACGGAAAGGCACAGGGAGAAAATTATCGACAGGATTTCCGGAGGAAGTCGGGAGACCGACGGAGAATGTGCGGGTCCCTGTTTCACATGATGGTATGAGGAACTACTACTTTGTCGCGATGAATTCTCAACTTTGTTAGCATTTTGTTCTTGTTTCTCCATCTCGAGTCGTTGTGAGCAAGGATTCATGGGTGATGTACTGTATGCCAGTACTCAATGCGATGAACGACAAGGTGTTGACGTTGTTTTTCACTCACACCTCAGACTGCATCCTTTGAGTTATCAATCACAAAGGCGAGTGCTCTCTTGAAATGCAATTTTCGAGTTGGCCGACGTGTAATTGTCATCAATGGCAGCTGCAGGATCCCCAGCGACGGCCTTACGTGGACGCTCAAGTGAGCACGTGTCTGACGTAATCATGCTGGCACGATCACTGTCAGGTTGTTGTGTCTTCAATCACTAACCACGTCGACCGCAATCGCTCCGTTTCTGTGACTCTGTGACTTCACGATGGAGAGGAGGCGATTAAGCTTCAACCCGCATTCTCACTCTGGATCGCTTGAACGCCGCACCAGACGTGACACATATCATTTTCAGACCGTCGGTCTGAGGGCAACGTCCGACTGCCAGTGCTCTAGGAATACCGCGGCCGTGGCATTTGCAAAGTCTTTCGGCTTGACATGTATTAGCAGTGACATAAATGGCCATGAAATTGGTGGCTATTGTACCAGAGGGCATCCTTGCCATGACACGTCTTGTCCACCACTGGCGCTCGGTATCCGAAGAGCGCCGACATAAGTACATAGATGACGTTCGATGATCGCGCCGTATTCACTGCTCCCTCCTTTCTTGTCTAGATGTTTCACCTGCTCTGAAGAGCTCCTCACACCAGCAAACCTAGGACACCGTGCAAATGCTGCACATAATCTCTAATCAGTCGTCGTTGAATGGAACGTGTACGAAACTCTACTCACCTCCATCATTGTGGCAATTCTGATTGCTGTCTCGTACGTAGGCCGGTCGCCACCGTATCGTCCGTCGCTCGGGAGGAGTATTGCCGGCCCTCTTGTGCGCCAACCTCAAGTACCAGGTCATGGTTATGTCCGAAAATCCCGCAGACCAACGCGCGGACAAGTCGCAGATACTGTCCCTCTCCGATCCGTTTTGGGCGGTGAATGGCGGTAGAACATCGTGACGGCCTTGACGCCAAAAGCAGTCAATACGGGCACTGGCATCAAGAGCGCAACGATAGTGAAGGTACCTTCTCGTTGTGCGCCGCACGACTGGCCTTTGTATTCCGCTACATGGCTTGACGCTCTTTGCCATGATGCGCTGGGACGTCGAATAACCGGGAATTTTCACGCTACGGAGGGATTTGATAGTGGCGAAGGTAAACCGCGAGCGAACAATGAACAGGACGATGGTGCTCAGCATACGGCGCATCTGTGCGCTCTCTTTAATACTGTTCTCCATTGCCCCGCCTTTCTGACCGCTCATCTAACAGTTGTAGTGCGCGGCCCATGCGCGGGAAGTTGCATGCAGCTTTTGCTTGTGTGGACGAACCAGCGTCGACTCGTGGAATTAATGAGAAGATGTGGTGGCTCCTAAGCAAGCTTGTTGTGTGAGTTTACGAAGGCTCCACTCTCGATCTTGTTGAAGAGCCGAGCATCGTGGAGGATCGATTTGGCTTAAATTCTCCCTGGCTGGACGGGCGGCCACAAGCTGATTGCACATCCTGGTAGATTCCGCCGGGCCACAACAGTGTCAAGGTGGCCCCTACATTCACATTGGCACGCGCCTGGGTCTATTCTAAGGAACCTTGCCGTGCCGGACTGTCCGTCATTATTCCCTACCCTCACCCGGTGCGGCCACCGTACGGTGTTTCAAAGACCTCGCCAGAGCTTCACCGCTTGATCGTGCGCCGTTGATGATTCCTCTGCCATTGTGCGCAAACCGCCTTATTTCTCAATCGATCCGTTCTCTCGCAGTGCACCCTGTGATGTCGAATGAAACAAGCAAAGCGAGCCGCTTATCCGATAAGGAACGGAAGCTGTGGATGTGTGCAATGTAAAGCTCTGCGTGCAGTGGCCCCCACCTGTGGACCGTGTCCTCAACCAAGTCAAATCAAGCTCGAACACATCCACGCCCTCCCCTCGTGAATGCATTGGCATCGGACTAAACGTTCAATTTCTGTGTTTTCGTTGCTATTGCCGCAGCAAATGCCTATTCAGGGGTGCTCGACAAAGATCTGTCGGTTAATTCGAGAGTCATGCGAGGAACCGTGGTCCAGAGAGCCGGCGTGCCGAGTGCGACCTCTCGCAGGTGACTGCACATCTGAAAGAACGCATGGCTGGACAGAAACCAAAACTAACTGGCCGGCGGGATGCATAGACAGAAGATCGCGGACACAGTTTCCCGAGGAAGTCGGAATATATGCGCGCTCTCAGAGAATTTGAAACTACTTGGTGCGTCATGGAGACAACCTGTTGCGGCTCAACTCCGAGTTTGCTTCCGCCTTGATCTGGTTCGTCGGTTGCAGGCTGACACCACGAGGAGTTGACGGACCATATACTCCGGTTGGGACCGCTGCCTTCGGTTGAGGTGCATGAGAGTAAAAATATGTATACTATCACTTACGTTTCCGACCACATCGCGATGATAGGCACGATCTTGGGACGTGAGCGACTAGTCGATTTCGCGCATATGTATAAATCACCGATCGCTTAAGTAGAGTATAATGTACCGTGACTCCGCAAGGGATACGTGAAAGGTGCTAGCTTCAGAAAATAAGCAGTAAACAGCAGTAAACAGAGATGTATGTAGGGTGGTAGAAGACAAAGGAACGTGTTGGCTCGCTGACTCGCGATAGGCTGCAGCACCCTGCTACTGCAATGGCATGAAACACGCGAGTACCTACGGTCTGATACCTTTCATGTTCCGAGATTCAAGCTTCGAGGTCCGAAGTCAGGCTTGTTACAGCACCCGTGTCTTGGTTTCGAAGTGAGGACATGTCCATACGAATGCAAATTATTAGAGCGACGATACATATACAATGCCATCATACAACGTGAGCAATGCTCGCGTATCAAAGGTGAAGGACATGACTCAAGATGACTATAGCACGACGCCGAGAGATCGTTTATGTTTTGAAGATGATGATTAGGATAAGCAGGATGAGAATGATGCCTGCGATGGTATATGTTGAACCTGGGAAAGGATCAATGGTGGCAATGGCAGAGAGAAAAGCAAGCTTACCGTTGCCCTTGACGCCCTTCGCAAACTTGTTGAGCTTTCTTCGTGCAGTCGACAGACGGTCGGATGTCCGATCGAGTTCGTGATCCAGTGATTCAAGAAGGCCCTGTTCGCGTCGGCCGTCAGACTGGCATCACCTCCCAAAGAAATTAGAAAGCACAACGAACATGATGGGTATCTAGCTCGTCGTTGATCTGCAGTGACAGATCCCTTTGCCGGCCGATGGATCGTGAAAGCGCGTCGAGGTGATCATCCTGGTCTACTTGCATTCCTCAGTCAGGACATGGTAAACATGCGCGAGCCTGGATACGTACGGGCCATCAACTGACTCTGCTCCTGCAATAGCATGTCCGTGCCCTGCTCTTCCTCCGGCCCGCGCTCAGGATCATCACTGTACGGCGCAAAATTGCCGCCCGAGATGCCGAGCGTCTCTCTTGCCTTGCGTGGTATCCCCATCGGGGACGATGAGCGGGAGGACGAAGAGGCCACAGCTTCCTGCTCTACCGGCGTCTCGTCTACCAGTCTGCACAAATACACAGCACGGGTCAACCTCATGCAGGGGAGCAATCACACATTCTGAATATAACACACGGCAAGAGACCCTCTTTCTCCACATCCACGTCCTTGTCCACCATACCACACATGCGGCCGTATTGAGCGCGCAAGAGCTCTACAGCTTCGCTTCGGCCATCTCGCTCCTCCAACTGCAGCACGCCCTCCCTGAGCTGCCTCAGGTTCCGCGTAATCTGTGGAAGATGGAGGGTGTTCGGCTTCGCGTTCGTCGCATTGAGCGTGAAGGTGCTCAAGCGCTGGCGTTCAAGAAGCAACGAGAGCGTCTGGGTGGAAAGCGCGGTAAGCTTGGCAAGGAGATTACTGGAGCTTGCGTCCATCGCGCGTCCTCTGGGGTTACAGCTTCAGACCAAGAAGAAGAAGCCAAGGTGGGCTTTATTGGTAAACGGGCAAGGGGAGAAACGAACGAAGCAACCGGTCGCCAAGCCAGGGTGTGCGAAGCGGGCGCAGTGGTAAGGTTAGGGTTAGATTCACCCGAACTCTGTTTTCTCGGGTCCGTCTTCGAGCTCATCGTCTTGCAGCAGCATCGTCGGGAAAGCCTCATTGTCCGCTCTTCCTGCCACTCTTCGAATACTTGGACTTTCCGAAGTCCAGAAAATTGACAAGGAAATCAACATGGAGGGGCAGCAACAGCGGCTCGCGCTCTGGGCGGCCGAGGAGGAACTCGGCAATGATGACCTCGATATGCAGGACTCCCTCGCCCTCGCGCAGGCTCAGCAGGCGCTTTACGCACAACAAATGCTAGCGGAAGAGTCGTTTAACGAGACAGCTCTGCTTGCTATGCAGCAGCAGATAATGCAGCAGGCCGCGCTCGCGAGCATTCCGGACGTAGTGAAGCGTGTGCGTTCTGATCTCATCTTCATTCTCATTGAATCCAGGACGCCTGCTTGGGATGTCATCATACTAACTGATCTGGATTTATAGTTCATCGTACACTTCCATCAGGCTGTCCTGGACAACAACCTCGCAGAGATTACTGCAGCGTACGAGAGCGGATGGAACAGGCTCACTGAAAAGTTCTACGCCAAGACGGAGTGGCCAGAGGCTGAAGTGATCGCGCCTCTCGTGAACGATGGCATGTATTTCAGAAGATAGATTCATTTGTATCGCTCACGTTGTTGGCCCTGATAGACCAAATATTCCTGATCCTTTATCGCGAACTTTACTACCGTCACGTCTATTCGCGCCTGCAACCCAACATTGACGACCGATTCCATTCGTACGAAAACAGCTGCGAACTGTTCAACTACCTCCTCAGTAAGCACCGTCTCTTTCTCATTCCGACCATGCGGCTGATTGGGCTTACGACATGAAGACTCAACCACCCCCGTTGCCCTTCAACTCCCAGAGCAATGGCTCTGGGATATCATCGACGAATTTATCTACCAGTTCCAGTCGTTCTGTGTCTGGCGGTCGAAGCCGAAGAACAAAACCGAGGACGAACTCATCATGCTTTCCGAAGGCGGTCAGGTACGTCCACCCTTCTTCCCGTCGGAAGTCTCGTGAACGATGCTAACGGAATGACCTTTGACTGCAGCAAGTATGGAGCTCGTACAGCGTGCTTAACGTCCTCTACTCCCTTATCCAAAAGTCGAAGATCAACGAGCACGTCGCCGCCGTTCAGGAGGGCAAATCGGCCGCTGAAATTGCGTATGTACTATCAACCGCAACTACCTTACCCGGCACTTAACGACCTTGGTAGTGAGATCGTAGGAGAGTACGGCTCCAAGCCACTCTACAAGATGCTCGGCTACTTCAGTCTCATCGGCCTCCTCCGGGTGCACACTCTCCTTGGTGACTTCACTCTCGCGCTGAAGATCCTTGACGACATTGAACTGACCCAAAAGGTCCGCGCCGACTGCCTACCATCAATATTAAGACTGACGATACTCTGATTACCACAGTCCCCGTTTACCAGAGTGACCGCATGCCACGTCACGACGTACTACTACGTCGGCTTCTGCTACATCATGCTCCGCCGGTACCCGGACGCGATCCGTACATTCGTCTCTATCCTCAACTTCAACATGCGCATGCGACAATACCACACCCGGAGTTACCAATACGACCAGGTAGAATCCCCCGAAACCCACGTTGGCTCTGCATACTCATGCTCGCGGTACAGATTAACAAAACGGCGGACAGGATGTACGCTCTCTTCGCGGTTTGCAACGCGCTCTCGCCCTCGCGCCTGGACGACAACATCGCGAACATCGCTAAGGAGCGCTACGGCGAGCAGTTCGCCAAGATGTCGCGCGGGTGAGCCCCTGAACCAGCTACCGTCGCATTGAGGAGCGATTGACATGAATGTGGCAGGGAGGAAGGCCTGCCGGCGTTCGAGGAGCTCTTCCTGTACGCCTGCCCCAAATTTATCAGTGCGAACCCGCCCGCGTACGAGGACCCGGATGCACTCCAGGCGTACGTCGACGATCCGCCGCCCGAGCCCGCGCAGCGCCATCTCGCTTCCTTCCTCGCGGATGTGAAGGTTCAGGCGACGGTGCCGACGCTGCGCAGCTTCCTCAAGCTCTACACGAGCATCGATGCGCGCAAGCTTTCCAGGTATGTGCCGAATCCTGTCCGTCCTTCTAAAATTGGAGCTAACGAGCGTTGACTACAGCTTCCTGGATACTGATGAGGAGGAGATGGTGCAGCAGATGATGGTTCTCAAGCAAGCGAGCCGGAGCGTGAGCAAGGTCGGCAACGCGGTTGACGGCGGACTCATGGACGGCGAGACGATCTCCACTTCCGACCTCGACTTCGTCATTGACGACGTACGTCCTGCCCTCACTCGCTATCACCCGTCTGCACCGGCGCTGACCACTCGCCGTAGAATATGGTGCACATCGTCGAATCCACAGTGGGCCGCCGATACGCTGGCTGGTTCATTCGGAACGCCGAGCACGCGCAGCGTGTGCTGGACACGCTACAGGTAAGCCCGCTGCCCGGACCTCCCAAACCGCCCGGTGCCCAGGCAGCGGCGGCGGCAGGCGGCCCGCCCGCCCCGACGGCTTCAGAGCCCGCTCCCGCTCCCGCAAAACCGAAGGTTGCATGGGGTGGCGTCAAGGCGGCTTGAATGTTGCGTTTCTTCGGCTAGAGTCCGCGGGAACGCGGTGCGTGCACGATAATGTTGCGTGTGTTGTATTACTCCATGTGTACGCGCTAGCGCTAAATACGTTGTGAATTTGATACACTGGGATGCTTTGATGCAAGGATGCCGACACCGTGTAACAAGACAAGGGAAGAAAAATGGACACCGCAGGCGAGCATGCCCCTTCTACAACCAGCATCGACGCTCCAGACTACAACGGCTCATCTGAAAAAACGAGACGTTGACGTCAAGTCCATCGTCGAATCGGCAGTCTCGAGGGATTCGTCTAGGGTGAATTTCGTCTTGAAGGCAGGGTCATCATCCCTGGGTTTCAGGAACGAGCGTTTTATCGGTTCTGGCGGCAGGATCTTGTTGAGACCCTCGCCATTCCGTATCAGGTCATAGTAGGCACGCAGGCAATCGCGCCGGAAGTCAGTGATCGTGTCCACCGAGATCCTTGCAGCGAGGTTCTGTGGGCACGTTATGAGCGGATAAAGCCATTCGCAGCGAGCTGCAACACATACCTTCGTCCGGATGAAGGGGTCGGCCACGACCAGGAAATGGTTTTCCCATCCATGTGGCTCCCCCTCCCTCTTTGCCCGTCGCTCCACACCGGCCTCCAGCGCCACTCCCCTCTGCTCACCGGTGTCCATCTCCAGCCCCTCATCCGAAACGGGAAGCGCCTGTTTGTTTTTCTTGTGGACACCTGCACTGTCCGTCTCGCGAAGCCTATCGTCATTACCAAAGAATGCGTCCATCTCTGGTGTTGATTGCCTTTGCAGTCCTCCAGTATCGCTTGCAGCCGCCTTTTCAAGTCTCCTGTGGAGAGGCACGGTATGGAATCGTCTGTCGTAGCGATTTGTGATGATGCCTTTCTGAAGCAGCTCCTCGGAGGGCGACCATGACCAGTCTTTATAAATCGAGGTGCGCTGCCGCTCGACAACGCCTCCTTGTCGAACACTCACGAGCTGGTTTCCGTAGTCGAATTCGTCGGCCCAGAATTGGAACCAGCTCTTGAGCGCCTGCGCGGGGGATAGGTAGTGCCGTGGTACCAGATGCCGGCTGCGATTAAAGCGAACGTCGCACTTTATCAGCTCGGTCTTCCGTTTGCGGTACCAGAAGTAATCGCGCGGACCCTCGGGGTGGCTCGGTACGAGATCGCCCTGTAGGTTCGGTAAATTGTGTGTATGCTACAAGAAAGGGCGACACAATCAGCACTCGGACAATAAAATCTCGCGGAAGGTATGTCGCACCTGCAACATGGCAATTGTCATAAGCGTCAGCGTATAGCTGCTGAACGACACCCTGCCGTTCTTGCTGGTAGGATCGTTGTACCCCATCCGACGAGCCCATGCTTTGATTACAACCAAAAGTGGCTTGAGCACCGGCGCAATGTACATATAACGGGCGAGCATTTGGGAGTTTATAAGGCCTAATCGCTCATTGATGCAAATGTCGCATTGGATGCCGGTGTCCGGATCCCGGAACTTCACTGATAAGGAAAGTTATAGACGATCATGGCTTGGGAAGGAGTAATTGCACTCACCTATTGGAACACTAGCAAAGGGAACGGCCTTGATTTCGTCGAATCGATTGCTATGGAGCAATTTTCCCAGCTTCCTACAGTGACGCCATGTTAATTGGCTGGTAAACGACATACAATCGAGCATACGTGGCATTGTATTCGGCTAAGTTACGTGGACACAACCGTTGAATAAGCTTGGAAGTCCCATGAACGTTCGAGGGACTCACGAGGGGTGCTCCTAGACTTCGGGGGTGGCAAACCATTTGGTCTTGCCTCGTCCTTGAGAATACAAGCTCAACACCAGGATAGAGTGACTTCGACGATGGCCACATACCAACATAACGAGGTCAAGGTCGCTATCCCTGGAGCTCACGCCATATATGGTGCTTCCGAAGGGTTTTACGGTCCAGCTAGGCCCAAACTTGCTCCGAATCACATCTTGCACGCGTTTGATGGTTTTGGAGCGTTCGATGTCAACAAACTGGGTAGGTGTATGCGACTGAAAGCAGGCCATGAATGTGAATGCCCTATGCCGGAAGAAAAACTGATTTCCCAAACTCACGTAGTAGTAATCCATCATCTGGTGCGTGAGGTGCGCGGTTCGAGATTCTCGAGAAAGGTCACGAAGAGACCAAATGTGCCCTTTGATCGTTTGGAGTCGGCGCCCACTCCCGTTCCCTCCTGGAAGTGGAAAATCGGGCGTATCACGAAGCGAGCTCGAGCTTGAGACGTCTTCGCTGGAGGCTTCCTTCTTCAAAGCAGTCTGCCACATGAATTCAAGTTTGTTGCTGAGGTCATCCTGCGTCAACGTCGTGATACGTTTGGCGTCGATGGCACTTGTCAGACGTTGTATGCGGTCTTGCTCGGGGAGGGCTGCCTCGTCGTCCACCGCGCCGCGGTTGGCCTCTTCAGCTTCAGGTCTGCTCTTCAAATTTTCCTGAAGTTCCGCTCGACCTCGAGACTTCTGAAGGAGTGGCTGCATGAAGTCCACCCGATCTATGTCGGATTGTCTGAAGGAACTGGAATTGTCGCAATACCGAGCGTCAGAGATGAGATGAACCAAGACAACGTGTACTGACGACGAGACGTCCTTCTCTGATTCCGACTGCTGTGCGGTATGGAAACCCCTCCTGCGTGCGACGCGCCGACGCCTAGGGTCTCTGTGGGCAGCGTTGTCGTGCGCGTCTCGTGCCACTGGAGTATTGCATATGTCTGGTATTCGCTGGTGTCCGAAGCGTATTGTTGTCGTTCCGAAAGCCCGTACACTTGAGTGCATTCGTGCGATGTCCGAGTATTGAAGTAAAGGGCAGGGCGGTGGCAGGACGTTCGCGCGGGACATTCTTTTCGGACTTCGCATTACATTTTGATTAATATATCATAGACTATTAATCTCACTTAAGGACATATATCATCAGATTAACGGTAACAATATACAACAATGTAAGTACGGAGCTGATGTAAGTAGAAAGAAAAACCCAAACAATGAAGCGTAAAATTGGCGAGGAATAATTCACTTGGGGTTTTCGGAAGAGCGCTGCCTTGGCTTGAGGCTACCATGCCCTGCTGCTCCAGAGGAGGGACACCCCACATGAACGGGTGCCTTGAAGTTTGCGAACAACAACCTGCGTCGCGGGATAATCTGCCCCAAGTCCGAAGGTCAGATAGGTGACCTGCCCATCGGGTATTGGGGGGCGTTGGAGCCAAGCGACGGCAGTCGGTACCATACATTTCTGCGGATCAATTCAATGGGGTCCCCTAAGTTTCCAATTTCATTCACTGTGGAGGGTTCTGGAATCTAAGTTTGCGCCTCATGATGGAGGCAAGCGTTTCTCTGCACCAGGGGGTGCATCGAATGATTCCCGAATTCTATCAACGATGGATGGACGTCTGGGGGGACCACGCGCTTCGCGGCTAAGGTGCTCGATATGGCTGGGATCCGAGGGCGTTGCCTGTAAATGGTCCTCGACAAAGGCTAAAATGTCTTCGATTTTGTCCCGGACTTGGGAAAGGTCAACGGGTTTGTAGCTCAAGATCTCTAAGACTTGGTCAGCTCGCTCCTGAAGTGCAGCAAACTCGATTAGCGAGCCAGCATCATCGAGTTCTACTGGAGGCAAAGATGGAGCGCCGATGGAGACCCTCTGAAGATGCATCTCTGAGAGCAAAGTCAGACGAGTGCCTTTTCTAGGCTTTTATTCACGTACCCAGCCACGGTATGCAATATTTGGCACTCCGAACGGAATCATGATAAGCTGCATGCTCGCCTTTCGGATCAATGAGGCCAAGAAGTTGCTGTAGGAATGGTCGCTGGGCTTTATACCTATTCTTTTTGAAAATCTGATCGCGTATTCCAGGAACAGCCATGACCGCGGCGGAATCTAAGGCCCTGCCAATTGCCATCATCGCTGAAAAATTGCCAAGTTTCAAGCAATCCTAGGATGGGCACCACTGTGAGTAGTCGTCGAAAGCGTGCAATTATCCGAGAAGCTGCTTACGTCGGCAGTCTTCACAAACTCGGCGTAAACTCTCGGACAATCATCGACAGTATGCATCAATATCTCCTGCTGACACCATACATGGATCCTATGGTGCGTGTCGAGAGCTTCGTCCACAGGTTCGCGACCGCGGATTCTCTGAAGGTAGGCGATGCATGCACCTGGGGTGAGACGCGCGAATCGATGCCCTTCGAGAACGGTCAACGCAATGGCCAAGTCTGACGTGGGCGGTCTAGCTCCGGAAAGCGGCTTTAGATGGCTGAGCCGGACTTGTTGCATGATGGTAATCTATCTTGCTGTTAGTGGAGCCTATCATGAGTCGGGCCACAAGGACGTACCCTCTTATGGATGGACGAGATCAGCTCCTCCATCACTTGCTCAGAGGCAGATGCTGCCCTCATCTCATAGGCGAACTCTTGGATTTGCGGCAGCAAATCCGCATCGCTGTCTACGTAGTACGAATTGATCCATCTATACAGCACATTTGTGACCCTAAATTCGAAATTAAGTCAGTAATGGGGACCAATGTCAGGATAGAGCATGGCAGTTACCCCTGGTGCACCATTTCCATCGGGAGAGAAGTCTGGTCTCCGGCGCCCCGGAAGTGCCCCTGCAAGATGTTGAACAACTTGGCAGAAGTTGTGAAACTCGGGTACATCGTCAAAAAGATACGTGAATATGCTTCATCTGAGTGAAAGTGAGTCACGATCCGTGGGTTGAGTGTAACATTACCTCTGTGGTCGTACACCAGCTTCGCGACGAGAGCGTTCAGAGTACCTCGTTCCACCCCTCGACCGTCAGGCGTCAACCGGATCTCTCCCGGAGAGGTGATTTTGGGTAGCGGGCTGCTTGGGTCAAGGTCCACGATAGTGCCTGAAGTACTGCTTGTGCCCGAAATCTCTTGTGCGCGATCGTGGCTGGAGGGCAGTTCCAAGTGCCGCGTGAGGTCCGCAGTCTGCGCTACATGTCGGTCTGCATCGAGATTGAGCGGCGTACAACACGCTAGAGGTATGCCTTACGAACCAGCTATGAATCTGTCATGTATACCCCTGATACGCTCTCGAATGGTGGTCATATCTGGCCTGAATTCAGGATTATCATCCCAACAGTCCTGGATCAGCTGCCACATCTCATCAGGCAGCTGAACGTCTTGGGGACGTTCCGGTCGTTCGTGTTCTACCGCCACTCTGATCACTACCTCGGGATCCGTGAGGTTAAGGAACGGCATGTGCCCCACAATGAGCTCGAGACAAGTCATCGCAAAGCTGGCATTTCTTCATGAGTCCACCTAAAATGCGAAATCACGAAATTGCGTACCTATAGACCTACAAGACACGTATAGATTGCGTCAACCTTCTGGAGCACCGGCAGAATAAACAAATCACATACATCGGTGGACGTAGTGAGGTATATCTCAGCGTGTCCATGACGCCTCAGCATCAGCTCCGGAGCGAGCCATCGGTAATTTGTCAAACCAGGCGCGCTTGATGCATTCAGCCTCTGTCCTACCTTGTAAATGCTCAGTGTGACCCTGTGGCGGCGATGTGAGGGCGGTGCTTACCTCTGCAACAATTTTCGACAAACCGAAGTCGGACAGAACAGCCGTTGGTCCATCGGCGGTAACCAATATTAACACATTGGCCTGAGAGATGTGTTACCTAAGTGACGTTAACATAGAGGACTGATACGCACCCCTCGAAGATCGCCGTGAACGATATTCTGAGTGCGGTGTCAATAGACGGCATCTCACGCTGGCCAGCACGCATACCTGGAGGTGCAAATACTCCATTCCTGCGAATATCAATCATGGGTGTTGGGTGCCGGACAGGAGGAGCTGTGCACACCTCGGACCACGTCGCGTAACAATTTAAGCCGATCTACCTTAGGATGTCTGCATATGTATGCTGAAGCATTGCCATCGTCCGTCCATGGGCTGACCTGTCGCGATGTATCAGCCGCATGTCGCTGATGAGGATTGCGGGTACATCACGGAGTAAAGGCAATCGCCTTCGCGGAATATACCATAGAATCGGAGGATGTTGGGATGACTGAGATTGCGCCATATCTCGACCTCGCGCAGGAATTTCTACGAAAGCACGTCGTTAGAGAGAAGCCATCATGACGGTGCCGCAAACGACACAGACATACTCTTTGTGCGGAATTGGAAGAACGGTCAAGGACTTTCGGAAGTTTCAACGCTACCTTCTCCTGCCCGAGCCAGAGTCCTGTCAACAGGAAACCAGATTCGTCGTCAACAACGAAACGAGGTGGATGGAAAAGTTCTCGCACCTGTATATACATCATTGAAGGCACCGTAATCGACAACCTGAGTTGACGTCTTCTGTATCTGGGAAGTGACTGCCGGAAACTCGGTTAAGCATCGAAACACTCGTAACCACCACGAGTACATACGGTCTGCCAGTGGAGGAAGCCTGGAAGTTTTCTCGTGAAGCATATGCAATGCTTGCTGAAGTCTGCTCTCATCCAAGCGTTCTAAGTTTCTGGAGTCCAGCCCCTACATCATTGTGAAACCCGATAAGCCAGCCAGCGATGCAATCGGCGTACCTCCTGGATGGTTCGCATGATGCTCTCTGTGTCGTTGGGGTCACGGACGATGTGGTCCAGATGCTGCGTGTTCTGGAGAATTGTCTGAAGGTTCTCGAGCAGTTCATTTTGATCCCGGCGCCGCTCTTCTCGAAGACGATGCTGTGATTCCACGCTGATGAGACTGACCTCCAACTAGGTTGATTCACGCGTTAATCACCTTCCTGGACAACGTGAACCTGATACTCACGCTGAATTGCTCCAAACAGTGGTCGATTTCCCTCTGGCAGTCATCAATACCCTGCTTAATTCTGTTCTGCTTGACCACACTGTTCATCAGGTTCCAGCTAGCCCATTCCGCCGTCCTCCGTTTCACCCTCTCAATGACACTACATGATCGGTGTTAATTGGTGAGTGTCGACCTCTCAGCAGTACGGCGTACATCATAGCTCCGTCAGCTGCCTCTTGCGCTCGGCTACCTTCCATCCCGGCGAGATTATCGTTCAAGGATGTAAGAAGGTTACCGCATCGACGTGACAGGTATTGGCATTGGCGCTGTTGGATGTCAGGAAATGCGTCCAACATTCTCATCCATCTGGGTACGCACACGATAGACCTTCACATTGTTCGCAAGGTTCTGTATGTACTGGACTGTGGATTGAACGATGTCAGTGATCTCCTCGAATGACAAGCCAGTCGAGAGAAAGGCGGTAAACAGGGGATACCATACCTGTCTGTAGGGCCTGTAGGACAGTGCCGGGGTCAACCATGGATCAAGAGGTTCGAGGCAAGGGTATAGTGTGTCACGGTGGCAGAGATAGCAGGGGAAACGCTCTAGGGAAACGCTCTGTACTTGTGCGGTTTCGGCCCGTAGCCTTGACCTGGCGCATGACTCCGGTCGTTGATGGACAGCCTGGGATATCACGGCTTGTTACACGCGCGATTGATACAGCTCCTGCGCGCATACATATGAGAACTCGGTGCGCGGAACGAGGTTGATAATAATAGCTGAAAACGCTAATAAGATGCTGAAAGGTCCCAACTGGTCGCCTTGAAGACGACTGGTGGAGCAAGAGTCGCCTCGGCGCAGGAGACACGAGCGATTCCGATGATCGATATTTCGCAGTTCAGAGGTGCATCGAACAAGGTTCACTGGCCGAGCGCACGTTCGTCGAAGTATAAAATTGAGCGTGGGATCCAGCAGTGCATTGCGCGGGTACCGTGGTGTGGCAGAAATAACAACGGTTTCAAAGTTCAAAGTATATATACCTGCACTGCCAGTAAGGAATCAAGCACACGAACGGAGAGGCGCGAAGACATACCAGTCAATTCCTACCCAGATCATGTTCTCTACTTCGCTTTCCCAATCCGAATGCCGCTCAAGCCTGACTTTCTTGTAGAACTGCCACTGGTACTGGATGGGAGCGCCTTCAAATTATGCGGGGCCATCGTCCCCAGGCCAGACGTAGCCTTAACGGTACCCTGTTGCGCAGCCGAGGTGGAAGGCGTTCCTGTACTACTCCGCCCGACAGCTGGCGTCAAAGGCGGTACAGAGGCAGGCACGCTGCTTTGAAACGCAACGGACAAGGTGGAGTATGCGTCCGGATCGAAAGTCGGTTTACTGGGCAGAGAAGGATGTGGTGTCATAGATGGTGGTGGCGGGGTCGACGACGATGGCGACGACGACGCTTGCAGCTCTCGCAGTTTCGCTTCCATCTTTGCGATCTTGTTCGACATCCTGTTCCGTGAGATGTTCAGCATCGTTCAATAAGCGGCGACAAAGCTGAATTCCGCACCCTTGTTTCTTCCCGCTTTCTGCGCCCTTTAAGAGGCTCAAGGTCGTTGGCTTATTCATGTCCATCATGCCCTTACGATACTTGTTTCCGCCGACTCCCGAGGAGTACCCATACCCAGAGACGTCATCGAGGGATGCTTGCTGTGCGTACGTCACTGTAATCTTGCGGCCACGGAGCATCTTGTCGTTCGCCCTCTCGAGGGCCTTCGCGGCATCCTGATGAGAGGATAAAAATGTGAGACAAAGGTTCTCGACGGATGGATGGTTCAGCCCCGGATTTCCTGCTTGCGCCAACAGAGGGTTTCGTTGTGTTCAAGCGTAGCACCGCGCAATATCGAGGAAATCCGGGGTCAGAACAGATCAGAAGAATAACGGCTCTGGTCTCACCTCTGTGCTCGCGTACTGCACGAACGCGTACCCGCGTGGTTTGCCCTTCAGCGGCCCGCTCTTATGAAAGAGGAAGTCGAGCTTTGAGATCTTGCCGAACTTCGAAAAGACTTGGATGAGACAGTATCTGAGTAGACAGATCGTAAGCATCTCATCGTTTTGGGATGTGCTATAGCATCTATGCGTACTCGTCAACCGAAGGGTGCAAATTTCCGACGTATATTCTGTCTTTCAACAGTGGTCTTTGCGGTGGCTGCAGCGCAACAACGGTCGACGGGCCGGGTTCGCCTAGAGCAGGATACGATAAAGGAGACGTCTCCTCAAGCGTGGTCGGTTCCCTGGTTGGATTGTCGATCATGTCAAGTGCAGATATTGGTTACACTGAGTGTGGACGATAGTAGGTACAAAGAATGACCTCGACTTCCCGAGGGAGGTGCGTAGAGCACATTCAATGATGCATCAAGCATTTTCAATGTGATTACGCCCCGTCGAGCACACGCCCTCGCGTTATTCGGTACTTAGTATGAATGCCTCAAGCTGATCCGTCTACAATCGCCCTTCGAGTTTCGAGATAGTTTCAAGAAAGATCAATCTACATATACATTGATTTCACGGCAACCAAGCAGCGGTAGCGCTTGAACCAAGTTACTTGCGGGAGACAGTAGCAGATATAAGCCCACTATAACGACGTTAGCACATGCTCTGCATAAGAGCCAGAGCCAGGAAAACGCACCTCGGAGCAGCGATTGGGGTAAAGACTTCGGCCTTGGCGCTATGAAGATGCATGCTCGTGAGCAGATCAGTTCATGCACAGCGTGCGAAGAGACGTACGGGGTCAAGTTGTCCACGCCTATGTAACGCATGTCGACGGGGATATAGTGTTTGTTAGGAAGCGTGTACGTGACGGACTGCACAAAGCTGTTCTCCGCAATGATGCGTTGAGCCATGATATAGAGCGTAGCCTAATTCTCCGTCAGCATGTGTGGCCACCCGGCCGACAAGACCGACAAACCTGGACGCTAGCACTGTCATCCGTAGCGAAAACTTCGAGCGTGATATTGCGAGCTAAGGTAGCGGCATTATCACCATCCTAACTCCTCAACGTCGTGAGTGAGATCTGTACGAGAGCGCATCATGTCGACTCACCCAGATGTCACCGGTTCCCGCAGATTGCAGGTCAAACGCAAGTTTCTTCTCGTCCTTGTATCGCGGATGATGAGCCCATCGAGGATTCCATGGCATTTCGGGAGGTGCATGGACATACCGTAGGAGCTGGGATCGGGATCGGCTTGTACGTGTAGGTCAGGTCGATGGACGTGGAGAAGATACGATCGTTGACCTAATTTCCGGATTCAGCGTGAAGATATTTGAGGACGAAGAAACGGACGCACCTCAACGAGCGTTGTGTATTCATCCCTCACAAAGTTCTCAAAGGCGGAGCCCGTCGTCTTCAATACTGCAAGCTATGGGTTAGCCAGGCACGTTGGACTGGTCAGCCATGACAGCCCGCACCTAACAGACCCTTCAAGCCGCTGGTGACCTTCGCGACTAGTTTATCCTTTCCAGCTGTCGCATCGACCTATCCTCCACAGCGAAGCTCAGAAGGGAGAACTCGGGTAAAGCGCATGCATACTGACCTCTACGCTGACCGTCCTCTTCTCCTCGCCATCTCGGTAGAACGAGTGGGTATGAGCCTTTTCCTTCTCCTTCTCGGGATTGGACGCCGCAGACACAGGGATCCGAGTCCACCGAAGCTACGCAAGACCTTCAGATGAGCATCACGATTTCTAGGATGTCCACAGGACGGACCATTTCAATGTCCACGAAGCTCTTGCTCAAATGAGCGTATTTCGAGACCAGGAAAGTTGCCAGGTGCAGGGCGAAACGCTCCGGGTGCAGGACATGCGGGGAGGTCTTGGCCAAATCTGAACATCGCCACTGGAGGTTAGGGGCGCATAATCCAGACAGAGGTAGCATAACGCCGTACAATATGTGATGTTCTTGATGGAATCGGTGGCCACGACACACGAGTTGTCCGCCTTGGTATAGCTGAGGAAGAGAGTGAGAGGCGGTAACGGCAGTGAGCGGCAGGACCTCAACCTGGTCTCTATTTCGCCCTCCACCAGCGCCCTCACGTTGTACTCGACGACATGATGCCACGCTCCCTCGCGCACTACACGTAAAACGCGTACAAGGTCCTTTCCGTAGCGCGCATGAGTCAAAGTTCCCGGTTCTTGCGACATGTCGGTGACGGCGAGGATTGTGTTCTCGAAAGCTTAGGTAGAATTACTGGCGGCGGGGCTTCAGGAACGGACCCAAGTACCAGAGGCTTATATGTGCTTTCAGACGGGTTCTGGATCAAGCTAGGTTGTCGGAGGCATGGGGTAATTATGCTTCTGCCGCTGAGCCATGATCATGATCATAGATAAGGTCGATCTTGCAGTATCGGCCGAGCGTGTAGAGGACGCAGCACCGCGACCGAAAATCGCGGCTCACGGAGGTACTACTACCGCGGACAGCGATGCCCATCTCCAACGCTTCGAGTGTCAGTATTTGCTACACAACCTAGTGTGCACGCGTGGTCGACGTCAAAAACCTGGTCCCTTGCGCTCCGAACTCGCGCACCACATGTCACCTTGAGAAACCCATCTGGCCCAGCTCCCTTTTCCGACCTTCATGGTCTTTAGCTTCCTTCGGGGCAAGGCCCAGACTGAGAGTCTCCAGCCGCTTGTCCAAAGCCGATCCGCTTTTGATCCCTGCTAGGGACTTCTCGATCTGCACCAGTGCATCCTCGGCGCGAGCATCGTGTTCCACTTCCGGAGGTTTCACAGCACATAGGGTGCGAATGCCGGCGGCGACGGTACGCCACTTCGTCCAGTTGATCATTTCTGCTCCGCCCGATATGGTTGTTGGCGGTAGATCGTGACATGCCTTGGCCAGTCGGTCGAGATGCGAGGCTGCGTCGTTGGTCGTTGGTCAGAGGCGGGGGAACCACATGGAATGCGATTCAAACGCACAGAGCCAAGGTATACAAGCGCCTGCCGCAAGACGCGCGTCCATGTGGTCCGGAAGAATGACTTGGGTCATCGCGTCATATGCTTGACTCTCAGAGCCCGATAAACAGCTCCTCGTATATACAAGGCGCCGCATCTGTGGCGATTCCAGTGCAGAGATTATCGCACCCAAGACCGAAAAGTTTTGCAGCTTCTGGCATTCCTGGATAACCAAGAACAACGTGGGCGTCAGCGGAAAGGGTCAAACACCGACGATAGGAGGTTACCTCTGCGAGCTTGAAGAAACGTCTGAACTCTTCGTCCCTCTTCTTATCGTCGGCTGCTGACAGTATTGCCTGTCGTGCCCAGTCATATAACTTCTTCTCCGTCGTCAGGAACCTCTTCACGTCGTCATTGCCTGATTTGTCAACCAATTGAGCAGAGTAATGTCCGGCGTTGAGCTGGGAGAACAGAGACGCTTGCTTGAAAGTCAAAGCTCGGGCTTGTACGGCATGCGGGCCTTCAGTCTGAGATCCTTTTGGTCGAGACCTGAAGGACAGTAACGACCCCAGAGGGGACGAGGACAATGGAGAGGATTTACCACTATCTGGCGACCGCGACAGCGGCGATGCGGAGGGATGCCGGGACGACGCTGTATCCGAGGTGGGGGCCGTCTATCGAATGCACAGTCAGCTTCCATGACGTTATCCTACGAGTATGTTCACGTACTTGGAGGACGGCTACTCGTCGATTCATCTCGTCGGCAAGATTTTTCAGGTCTGGGTAGGAGCGGGAAGCCTCTCGCGCGAAATCCGCGATTTCCACAAGAAGCGGCGGCTCGGCTTCAGCGTAGTGAGACAGTATCCAGTCCTTGAGGATGGTCAAAGCTCTACGTTCTGATGAGTTATCCGAGCGTACATCCCCCGCAACGAACACATACGCGTATCTTGTCATGCCTAGAGGTAGATATCCGGTTCCATCCCAGAAGGTGGATCTCAGATATCGGAACAGAGCATTGCTCGCACCATGATCATCGTTCCAGAAGGCGCGGTACGTAGCCAGGAACGTCCACCGGAAATCCACATCTGTCCCGTAGACTCAGTTCAGTGCACACTGACGACCGGACCGACGAGGGTACTCATACCTGATACGTCCGCAATCAATTTGATGCACAAACCATCCAATGACCCGTAAGCGATCGTCCCGTCCGGGTTCACGTGCAAAGTGAGAGGCTGACTGCTGGGTGACGGTAAAGATTGCAATGCTAGTGCTCCCATATGCGGAGACTCCATGAGAGGCAGGCTATCCATGCCCTCTGGCGAGCTGCACGGTATGGCCTCTTTGTCGGCCGGGGAAACCGAGATCGAAGGAAACCGCAAGTGGTTCGGTTGACCGTAACCCACCGGAGCCGGCGTAATCGAACTATAAACCCGGGCTTCCTCGGAGAAGTCCGGAAAACTATCATGTTCGGTGGATGGCCTACTTGGTATTTTGATTGGCAATGTGCGGTTGTCTGTTCATCGCGAAGATAGGTCAATAGCAATTACTGATAAAATGTTCGCATACTGGCAGCGACCTGGTGCGATGCAGCGATGACGTGCAACTTTGACTTAATATTGCGAGCAGCTGGGCGCGAGGGTGGATCCTAGAGAGAAGAGCGTATTAAGTCATATCAACTAACATCAAGGAAAAGACAAGATCATCATACCAGATTCCAGCAGTCCTCCATGAGCGTCCAGAGTTGGTCGGAAAGCCATCTCCGCGCTGCCAAAGTGGCAGGTCGGGCAGGTAGCTGCTTGTTCTGGCCAAGAGCAATCACGACTTGGAAGTCGTTCATGTCCGCATATGGCGGCTCCTCGGTTATGAGCTCCAGGCATAGCATGGCGAACGAGAAGACGTCGGTGGCGTTGGACGGGAATACAGGGATCTCGCTGTACATCAGTTCCGGGGCCAGCCATCGATAGTTTGTCAGCCCTAGGCTGGACCTCGCGCCCCGGCTCAGCTGCCGTGAAGAGTTTTAGAGCCAGTTGAAAGGGGACGCCGCGTGAGCGCATACCTCTTGGAGGACCTTGCTGAGACCGAAGTCGCAGAGCTTCGCTTTGCCCTCCCGGTTGATGAGGACATTCGCCTTCAAAGGACGGATAAATTGTTAAGTTGAAAGCCAGATGTATGGGAGAGTCACAGCTCACCGCCCGCAGGTCTCCATGGACAACCTTATGTCATAGTAAGCATGCGAGGATGTCAGGTTGCTCGTGGACAAACCTTCTGAACATGGAGGAATTCCATGCCTACAAGATTCTGCGTGAGAAACGATGCGAATCAGAGTTAAGAACTGCTAACCGGAGGTGACGTCTTCAAGAAGGCCCAGACGATTAGCGTCAGGCGTTCTTTTTATGTACTCCAAACATGGGCCGTTATCCATCCATTGCGACACCTATGGAAAGATAGGTCATGGCTGCCCTAAGACTGGCGCACAAAGGGAGAAAGCATACCGAATATATGAAGTCGCCCTCGAAGGCGATCCCGTAGAACGGCACGATGTCTGGATGTAGAAGACGACTCCATAGCGCAGCCTCTTCCAGGAATCTCTATAAGGAGTACTCAACCATGCATCATGTGGCGCCATCCATTCTCTGACTTACTTCCTTAGCTCGAGGGCTAGCGTTCATTGATCTAGGGAACTTGAGCGCAACCTTCACGTTATCGAGCCAGATCCCTGCAGCACGTGTTAAACCAGGTATGGTCTCTAGCAGTGACGCACGCGCCTTCGTAAACATCGCCATTTCCCCCGCTGAGAACAGCCGGGAATTCGTGTCTCTTGCGGACCTGCCCAGTCACTGTGGCCATCAGCGTGGTTTTTCACGATCACACTCGTGCACATCAAGGCGTACAGTCGAGATTCAGGCCAATGTCGTACAATTTGCGGCGCAAGGGGTGTTCCATCTCAGGAGGTGTAGTTCCATCCTAAAGCAGATTCGGTATTACGCGTTTTGACCTGCTGCGTGCACGTTACTCACCTCCGGGATACCGTGCGTATGAGATGACGGTAATGATGATATAACCTGGGTTTCCTTCGACACTGAGCTACTGGCACTAGGAGTAGCCTGAAAACAACGATGAGACCTTGTTCAAAGTTCCACCGGATGCGATCGACTGCTTACCTCTGGTGATGCATGAGACGTAAGTGACGGAAGCGACAGGGAGGCGTCGTTCTTTTCGCTAGCTCTCCTTAGAGCGCGAAAGCTAGCATTATCCCTCTGAAAGGCTATGGCAAGATCCAGCGCAGTTCCGCCAAACTTGGGCGGTTGAATCTATGAATCATCTCGATTGATGTCTGGGATCGGAAGAGAAAGTAGAGGGGACGAACATGGAAGAGATTTTTGATCTGTTGTAGTGTAAGGAAACTGTCGTCAATCACTCGTTTGGCGTCCGCGCGCCCCGTAAGACTCCGACGATGCCCCCACCCGGCCAAGTCGCGAAGTCCCACGTCGATCTTCTTCAGAGCGCTATGGGAGTGGAAAATCTTTGGTGTGCGATGACCGAGTTTGAGAAGGATATCCTTACACGTCGATCTCCTCTGCAGCATGTCCGGCGCGATGTTCGTCCATAAACCCCCTTGAAGTGTGAAACCCTAACACTGTAGCCGTGCAGGCTTTGCATAACTCCAGCGCGTGGGCCTGGTGCAGGATGAGGATGTGTTATAACCAGCAACAAGATCGCGCGCGCCTTCCATATTTTCAGACTCTGTGCGTGGTTTTCTATACTTTTAACTAGGCTATGTCAGACGAACGCCATAAACGGAGTGTATGCGGTGCACATACGCAACTCCAATGTCGCGCTTGTGATCCCGACCACCTCGTCGGCCACTACGGCATCGTGCAAGATCGCTGCAGACATGACTGACGGAGGGGGGCAGAGCGAGTCAGGTTATGAGGCTGGCGAGGCGGCCGCGCTGTCCAGCAATCGGCTGTACATGTAGACGTGTGCCTGCAATGCACCGGGATGGACTAGTTGCGGGTGACCTGTCCAGATAAGCGCCCGTTGGCGACTGCGGTCCTGCGAATCACAAGACTTGTAGCGCTGATGCACCAGGCAAGACCTCTCCTTTTGTCGCAAGCCGAGTGGCATGGGTGATACGATTGCGATCGCACTAGCTCGAGAGCCGCGCTGAGCCGCGGCGACAGCGCAGTGGTGGCCGCTGTAAAGCTCGCCGGACTCAGGTTAATTAGGTCAGAATTTCACAGGACTTCAAAGAGGTCGACGCCATTATGTACGCGCTATGTTGCAGTTACACCATGCTCGATCGCCTTTCGCCGGAATTGATTATTGAGATTCTGTCTTACGTTGCACTACGGAACATTCATGCAGTTCAGGCCACAAACAGGACACTCGATGCAGTGATACGAAACGAAGCAAATAGGTCTACATTGTACCGGCAGGCTGCGTACTACCATGGCTTGGCGTGCTCGCCGAAGATTCCGCTACCGGACGCTTGTCATGCATACGCTCCTGATTTCATGAGGGGGACAAAAGATTGGCGGGACTTCTGTACGTTAGGTTCCCCCAACTCTCATATGCTGTTGTAACCAAGTACGGGTGTCAGGCATGCGCCGCTTGGACATTGAGAGAAGGTGGTGGGGAGAGCGTCCCTCTGCTGCGAAAACCCTACCGAGATCTACCGGAATCGACGTGCACCGGATCAAGATAGATGCCGATGCCGATTTGGTGATCCTATCTCAAGGACGAAGGACGGATTGGCGACAGAACGGCATCGCTGCCATCCAGATTCAGACTGGTATAACACTCTGGGCTCTTCCTCAGGTAATCTGCAATGGGCATTCCGTCAGCAGATGTTGACGTTGGCGACATTGTGTAGGCGTACACTAACCAATATCCGCACGTAGAATATGATCATGGTTTCCTGGTATTCAACGTACCAAGCGGCCACAAAGACGTATGGAGGCGATCCAACGACTTCCCGAATGACCTTTCACTACGGGAAAACACTGCCAGGCCAGCCTTCGACCAGGAGGAAGTGGCCCAAGAAGCTGCTCATACGTATCGAAATGTATGTCCTGGCGGTTATTTCCAACCTTGGTGTCGACTCTTGATGCCTGAAGACGCCCGGGCTTTCCGCTTTGTCTACCCGACACTGCTCGTCGCGAGCCATACTAGGGCCTACCTCTGGGATATACCTTCTGGCCGTTTGATTCAAACCATCGAGGGCATCCAGGAACTCAACGAAGGCACCCTCCTCGGCGCTATACACTACGTGGAACTGAGCGAGCGGCATGTTTATATTTGTGGCAGGAGTCAACTGCGGGTGTTTTCCCGCGCGGAAAATGGCAAGCTACTCCTCGCAGTTTCATCTGCGCCATGGACGAGCCGCCAGCCCACGTATCAGACTCAGACCATCATCGACTATGGGCCGTCGAATAATGATGAACATGCTGGCGTCCTGGAGCGCATGGCGTTGTCTCCTCCCGTCGTTCAATCGCCTATTTTTCTGTTGCCCGCCATGTTTAACGCAGGTCTGTGCTTCCATGTTAACGACCAACTCATAAACCTCACCTATTCGTGGTACAGCACACGTGTCCCCATGCGGGCGACACCTGGCAATCCTCACCTCAGACTCAAAACTGCTCCTGGTTGAAGATCTCGACCGCGTCTTAACCGGGAATGTAACCTTCGACCAAGCTGTGACCAGTATCGCTCTGGGCTCGGTGACATTTGCAGGAGGCATCTACCTGGCGTACGGGAGAGGGCGCGTGGCTGCCGCGACCGTAGGCTCTCTCTTTGTCGCTTTGTGCCCGCCTTTGGATAACGGATTTTACAGGCATCGGGTGTGTTCGTACTCACGCTGAACGCTCGCCGCTGCTTTGACGGTGATCCCGATGCGTCCTCATCCATGGACCCGACGAGGCCGTCGTTTCCCCACGTTCGGGTTTCCCGTGTGATAGACATTGACGACGTTGGTAACCTCCGGGACATGGGCTGCTTGCAGCTCACAGATCTTGGCGTGTGGTTTGCTTGGGGACTACCATGGAAAGATCTCAATATCCCGGCCGCATCTGAGGTCGACGATGCGGATTCGGATTCGTCGGTTAGCGAGCACGAAACAGGTAGTACGTTCTTTGATGAGGTCAGCATGGATGTCACTAACAATATCTCAACGGAAAAGACGAGGCCGATCCCGTCAAGAGCCGCTTGATGTGGGTCGACATCGGAGCGACGCATATTCCAAACTGAGGCTGTCATGGTACTTCCTGCTTCGTGTGGCACCGTACCGGTACCATCCCTCACAACAACGTCAGTTAACCACCTGTAACGATATCGATTCCCGTTCGAAAACCGTCTCCGTGGTCATTGCCCCGATAGGTTGCCGCGTCTTGTCGCGGAACAATAAATTCGGCAAGAAACTGACGAAGCGATAGTAATGGAGGACATGCCGGGTTTTCAATATTTAAGAGCAGTTGTTCGCGATGCGGGGCAACATGATCTATAACGGACGGTTACGGACATCGATTGGCCAGAAGCCGCTTGCTGTGGATCACTGTCAGAGTCTTCGTGGAGACTCCCTGTGTACTCATTCCCCAAAGTGAAACAGGGGAAGCTATTTCATTAGAACGGCAGAATACTGTCTGGACGGCCTGTGGGTATGGATGATCTCACAGGTCCCTCAGTATCCTTCTACAGGTCTCTTGATTTCTATCCCACACGGATTGCTTGTATTGCCGGGTAACTGATGGTTCACGTCTCCAACCACTCCTGGCCATTTCGTCCGCCTCTCGCGCTGTTCGCTGTGATATAGCGGTCGCCGAACTTCCCGATGAGCTGGGAGACGATAACCAAGACGTGTTGCCTAGTCGCAAGGTTTTCAGCGCTTGTACCTCGCGAATGCCGGACGGCCGTGTGATCACGGCACGGTCATCGTCGATGTAAGTGTAGGCTTGTCTCATGCGACGAGTCGCGAGTATCGGAACCTACACGGGATTAATAAACCAAGCCCGCGAGCAGAAGTGTGCAAACGTACATTGAGTTCCACGGCCAATGCCACACTAGAGCTCGCCTGGTAGTCGTAGTCTACAAGAGGGGCCAGACTCAGTGAAGGAGCATCGCATGGCGATGTTTATGGGGACTTACATCCTCCATCCGGAGCGAAACATGGCACAACGATGTCCGATCCGGCGACGAGCTCGTAGAACTCGCTATAGCGCAAACCGCGATGAATTGTCACCATCCGGCTTAGTTCCGTCGGCACCACGATCTCGCCAGACCCGACTAACAGAAGTTCGAATGGGCTGGACACCGCCGGATCTGGGAGAAATAATCCGTCCACGGCGTGCAGATAGCCCCATGCTCCAGGATCATCTGGCGGAGGGTGATCAGTTACTTGCGGCGAGAGCTCGCCCGGCGCTACACACCTTGTAAAGACGAAATCAGTTCGGCGAAGAACGCTGGGTAGTCACGCCGGTCGGATGCGAAGCTTCCTTGGATGACCGCCCGCGAGAGGACACGGTCTACAGATGGATCCTTTGCAGGCAAATCGGAAATATCTAGTATGGGCACATGGGTATCGATGGGCACGTAACTGAGTCCAGCGCTATATAAGACAGGGTCCGCGCTTTCCGCTCGTTCGTTGAGTTGCTTTCTGAATGTGCGCCCTACACTAATCCGATAGATATCGTTCAGAATACCACATGCAGAAATGAGAACTTCGAGTGATTTCTCACTGTTCGGAGATCGGCAGTAGCCTGATCGCATCGCGTAGAGACCATGCGGGCATGCGGTCTTGCCAATCATGCTGCGCATGGTGCACGATGCAAACTAATTTAAACTTGTGAACGTCGTCCCTCGTGTCCCATGCATCCAAGAGCTCGTCGTGCCAGCGCGGCATGCTAAACGTCAATAAGCCCAAGTTTCGAGGTCGAGACAGATCTAACACAGCTGAACCACTCACTCACTCGATTTCACATGTCCCAAGGATGACTAGGTCAATATCCCCCTTGTGCACGTCCTCGATCAGCTGGTCCGGGTGCAAAATGACGCCCTTGTACAGTTCGAGCCTGTCCGCAACCTCCTCAAACCCGTATAGAAATGGCGGAGCATACACCTGCACGCTAGGCGTATCAACGCCTCCTTCGAAGGCCAAGTGCTGGTCAGCCGCCATGACTTTCTCCAAGGTCCCAACGAGGGCCATGTACACATCGAAGTGGGCGCCGAAAACGGACGCGACGGCGACGCGTTTCCGGCGCTGCGGGACAAGTGCGAGATCATGAACGGGTTCCGTAGAGGGATCTGCCCATGGTCCCACCGGGACCGCAGTACACAACGGCCGCTGGAGGGCAATGTTCGACGCGAAAGTTATCATGGAGTGCCTCGCGCGCTCGTGGAACATCGCGGGTAGCGTGATCAGCACTGTGAGGGCGACCACTGAGCTGATCAGCATCGAACGATGAGAGAGGTGACCCATAGCTAGTGGTAGCGCCAGGAACGTAGGGTCATCGCCCTGCAATCGGAGTATTTGAGCAAGATCGTGGAGTTCGCGATAGCGCCGCGCTTGTGTCAATTCCAATATAGACACGAGAGCGCGCCGAGATCATCGTGCATAGTGTTCCAGGATGATATTGCGATATGCGCGGTGACATAACCGTGGCTTCACGGGCGCTGCCAAGAGACATCCAATGCGATCCAGCACCCAGGAACAGACATCGTTCACAGGCTAGCTCCCGCACCCTCTAAAGGGCGCGCCAGATCAGGGCGAGGATCTCGCATAGGACAGAGTTCAGCATAAGAGCGAGCGCATATGGAAATGGTACTGCGACGCCGCTGAACAAGCACGCCCCGGGCGCTGCGCTACGAACGCGCTACGTGCGACTGGCCCCACAGCGTGGGTGCTCCTCCTTGGCTAGTATATATGTACGGCATGCGCCTACTGCCAGAGAGCGAAGTACGTGGCGGTCCTGCGCACCGATCGCGGGAGGGTCAACATTACCCGGGGCTTGCGAGTTCGGATAGGATTATTCTTTTGTTGGAGGAAGTCCACAGAGCAAGGTCACATACCCTTCGCATTCCATTTTTTAGATGAGATCGGCTCCAGATCTCATAAGCGTTGTGTTTTCAATTGAAGGTTTCGGCAACGCCTTCGAACGTGCAATGGCACCTCGAACGGACGGCAAGGCTCGGCTGGTACTCGCTTTGCGTATTGCACTGCCTGAGATATTGCTGACGTATGCCAGATACCATCGGTTTGAAGGTCGGCAGATATTCTCGTAGACAAGACAAGGCTCCCGTAGTGCAGTGAACGTGTTGGCTATGCAGAGATGTAGTTCGAAAGCGGGTAGGTAGGTAGGTATATTTCCGGCGCGGGCGGGAACGAGATGAAGCGCATCCGCCGTTGTAACCTGTTGTAACCCACCTCCAGTCTTCCAGCGGGCACACCAACCCACTTGGATTGCTACTTATCTCATGGCAGTAAATAAGCTTACTCATCTTATTGCCCAGCTGGCGCGTCCTCGGCGTCGTTAATCCATGAATGCCAGAGGGATACGCGTACCTTCGGCGACTCATCGACGATCTCTATAAAGATGTTCAGATGACGAGTTTGCGATGAACTCAACGTTCATCTTAAACTAAGACAATCGGCGGCATACCATGTCTTCCACCAAACCGTTCCCAACGCGCAAGCTTGCCGGCGAGGATGTGTCTGCTATCGGGTACGGTGCCATGGGCATTGGAAACATAGCATACGGTACCTCGCAGTCCGAGGACGAACGTTTGAAGGTACGATTCCGTCCCACCGTCTTATCGCTACGCGGGCTCACTATCTGGAAAGTTCCTCGACGCGCTTTACGAATCTGGCTGCACGTTCTGGGACACCGCCAACATCTACGGCGACTCGGAAGACCTGATCGGAAAGTGGTTCGCAAAGACGGGGCTGCGCTCGAAAATCTTTTTGGCCACCAAGTTCGGTATCGGCTTCGAGTTCGAGAACGGTGTATGCGGTGCGTGCTCCCATGCGATCGAACAGGATTTAGCTCCATTCATAGCCATTATCATCTCTTTAGGTAAACCGGAGTATGCTCGCCAAAGCTGCGAAACCTCTCTGAAGCGCCTCGGGATCGACACGATTGACCTTTACTACTTACACCGTCCGGACCCCACCGTTCCCATCGAGGAGACCGTCCTTGCCCTGAAAGAACTTGTCAAGTAGGCATACACTCAGCCGTCTCGACCTCGGGTCATCGAAAGCTGACAACGTCCTTATGAATCGCAGGGAAGGCAAAGTACGGCACATCGGTCTTTCTGAGCCCTCTGCCGCGACACTTCGACGTGCGCACGCGATACACCCAATTGCGGCTGTCCAGGGTGAGAGTCATGAGCACCTGGCTCGTGGGCAAGCGTCACTGAGAACTCATTTGCTGCAGTCGAATACTCTCCGTTCACACTCGACATCGAGGATCCCAAGATCAACCTCCTCGCCACTGCTCGTGAACTTGGCGTGAAGATCATCGCATACTCGCCGATCGGGCGGGGCCTCCTGACCGGACGCTACGTGAGCATGACCGACAGCTTCTCTTGACTATTTCATGTCTCTGACCTGTGTCCCGAGGTAGAAATCCCCCGATGACTTCGAGGAAGGTGACTTCCGTAAAATTGTCGCGCGCTACTCCGCCGAGAACTTCCCCAACATCCTCCGGCTCGTCGACGGCCTCGCGGAGATCGGGAAGCGACACGGCGCGACCGCCGGGCAGGTTGCGCTTGCGTGGCTGCTTGCGCAAGGCGAGGACGTGATCCCCATCCCCGGAACAACCCAACTCAAGGTGGGTTTGGTGTGCTTTGCGCTGCTTGCGATCGATGACAGACAGTCATTGACACGCTTCCTCCCAGTATCTCAAAGAGAACCTTGGAGCAGTCGATGTCAAGCTTACGCCGGAAGAGGTCAAGGAGGTCAAGGAAATCGCGCATAAGGCGGACGCGACGCAGGGCGATCGATACCCTCCTTTCATGATGAAGGCCCTCTTCGCGGACACGCCAGAGTGGAAGGGCGCGGCGTAGTGACGATTTGAGTCGAGGATGAAGCATCGATGAAGGATGGGACTTTGTAGTCGAACAGATGCGCGAAATCGAACGTGCACACGTATATTCTTCTTCTGGCGAGCAACCCTATAGCGATGGATGCAACCGTGAATGCATATGATACCGATGCGACTTCACCGCTGATCTGCGGAGTGAAATATAAATATGACATGCCACGTGGGTAAGATGGTGGTCACCATCGCAGTCGCCATGCCTTCCCCATCCATCAGTCCGCACCGCTCGTAATAATACCCCTTCCATACCCTCGGTTGACCCAGTGTTTATTCCTTGCGCTTCTCCATTGACGTCCTCCAGGCTTGCTTGCTCGGACGCGGCTTTATACCGTGCTCATTCTGTGTACACTCTTTGCTCATAACATTCTTTCATTCTCGGATTCGGGCTCGGCATGATCTCCTCGTTTGGAAAGAAGCGTTACTACGCGTATGGTTCGTCAAATCTGCTAGTACTGCTCTGCCTCTGAGAATAACATGTTATACGCGGACGTAGCGGCGACTTTGCTGGTGGACATCATCGTCCTCGCTCTCTCTGCACGGGTGAACGAGTTCCAGGAGTTCTTCTGTACGTGGTCCATTGCTGGCAGCGACACGAGGGACTCCAAGCTCACGATTTCTTGTCTAGTCGTGGCCGATAAATTCCCTTTGATCATGTCCATCATCACCCTCGTCACCCTGACCTTCACGTATGCCCTGCCAGTTGCCGTCCTTTGTCCACCTTGGGTTAACCCTATGAATAGCATCCTCCTCGACGCCTCCCGCGAGAACTCCTTCTTTGGTCGCGCTCCATTCCAACTTTCCTGGCTCTTCATCCTCAGCGTGTTTTGGCTCGGTGCGTCCGAACTTCGTCTTAGACCTCACATGCCATTAACCGCAGTGTCTCCCAGCTTTCAACGCGTTCTCGACCTCTCGCTGGCGCCACGTTCCCCTTCAGTGCGATGCCATCCCCGCTGGGTTCGCATCGGAAAAGGCTTGGTGCAAGGATCTTCAGGCGCTCAAGTCCTTCGTCTGGGTGGAGTGGCTTCTCCGTGAGTGACCTCCCCCAACCACTGTTCATGGTCTCTAATTACGCCCACGTCGCTGATTGTATGTTCCCCTAAACAGTCTTCCTCAACTTCGCCTTGACCCTTCGCTACACCATCTCCCAGTCCACGCACGGCCTGAAGCACGTGTGGAGCACGTCGCTCTCGCGTTACACTCCCCAATCCGGCATGGAGCACGCCTTCGACGACCGCATGAGCTATGGACAGCCATCGGGCTACTACTGAGCGAAATCGATAGCGGTTTGAATAAGATGGAGGGAGCCGAAGTTGTCGGCGAAGATCTCCACCCATGGGTTGTGGAACGATACCCTTTCCTCCGTACTGTCTCGCAATTTTGTATTCTTAGCGTTACGGTGTATACCACTTCCCCGCTGGAAGGGCATTTTCCGTGTTATGATGTCCCCAAAGCGCGCGCGTACGCAACAACAGGCCCTCCAGCTCACCGGTATCATTGCGTCGTCCGGCACAGCCACCTTCATCCTGGTTTCGTCTTTCGGCGAGAGCTGCGGCTGAGGTTATACGGGACCTTACCATCTCGGCTTTGCTTGCCTTTGATACCTGTAACGTGCGCCCAAGATGTCGAACCGGCCGCTGAACGATGAGGAGGTTATCAACGAGATGAACAAGATGGTACGCTGCTGTCCCTATTCATCGCGCCGCAGCCTGGCGCTGCGTGCCTGCTCGCAACCTTCTGTGGGCGATGTGAAACGTGTAGACCAGGCTGAACTGCGATTGTATGTAGGTGGCCTTCATCAGGCAGGAGGCTCAAGAAAAGGCGCGCGAGATCAAAGTCAAGGCCGACGAGGAATTCGCGATCGAGAAGGTCTGACGGTGCATAATCGTTCCGCCCTCCACTTCGTGCTCACGGAGATATGCACAGGCCAAGCTCGTGAAGCAAGAACAACAGGCCATCGACGCACAATACGAGAAGAAGCGCAAGGGTGCCGAGGTTGCACAGAAGATGTGCGTCGCATTCACGGCTGTATCCTCTCCGACCGGGACTTTGCTGACGGTCTTGAAATATAGCGCGCAGTCGAACCTGACGAACAAGTCACGGCTAAAGATTTTGCACAAGCACGAGGAGCACGTCCAGGATCTGTTCGCCACCGCTCGGGAAGAGCTCGTCAAGCTGTCTCAAGGTAACGTCTCCATCATTCAAGCCGTTTCTATCCTCTAATGGCATCGATGGCACAGACAGCGGCCGCTATCAACAATTCCTCGAGGGCGTGATCGTTCAGGGATACCTCCAGCTGCTTGAGCCCGACGTTACAGTTATCGCCAGGGAGAAGGTGACGTTCATTGCCTGCTTTCGGTGCTTCCACCCATGAATCTGCCTTCTAGGATATCGAGACGGTGAAAACGGCTGCATCAAATGCGGCTGAGCAATACAAGGAGATCAGTGGAAGGGAGGTCAAGTTCGAGGTTGAGGGCGGTTTGGGGAACGAGAGGTAAGGGCAACCTTTGCCCAACATCTTCTTCTGAAGCTCACGGCTGACCGACACCCTCGCCTATCTTGTACAGTGCCGGTGGCGTCAAGCTTATCTCTGGCACCCGGCGGATCACGCTCGACAACACGCTCGATGAGAGGCTCAGGCTCCTCGAAGATCGCGTACGTTCCTCCACCTCACATCCTAACGGTTCGGATGATTTTCTTCTGCAACGCTGATATATCGTGTGCTTCAGATGCTCCCCGAGATCAGAGCAGACCTCTTCGGCCCGAACCCGAACCGCAAGTTCTACACATGAGTGAATCGACGGAGAACTCCATAACGCATACCTTAATCACTCGACGTGTATACTCGACATGAACGGCGGACAATGATGCCACGTATTGAACTTGTTAACGGCATCACGCGGTGGACACGGATGGCTGGATGAATCATACCGTGTCGATCTGAACACCCGATGGCCGTATGTCTATTGCTGCGTCAGAACGATCGCGATCGGTATGTACGCTGAGGGCATTTGGGTCACGTCCGCTGTGCCGTTCGTTGATTCGCAAATGAGTCCGTGGTTATTTGTTGCCATATTGATACACAAGAAATCACAGGAATCTCTGGTACATATCCTATGATTGTTTCCACGTCACATCGATCGCCCTCGCCCACCACTACCTTCAGATCAATTCATATCACAGCACCTTAACTTTCGCACCGCTGCTCGTTCTGAACGATTTCAGAGTCTTTCCCCCATACACGATCCGCACGTTCCGCGGCGTCACGCCCCCGTCCACCGTGACGTTCGCGTGGGTGAGCTTTCCGCCTGACCACGCAAAGTCGAACGTGATCCCGCCGCGGAGGCGGGCGCCAGTGATCGAACCCGTAGGCCAAGCGCTCGGGAGCGCGGGAAGGAGCGTGACGACGAGGGTGGCGTTGGCCGTCGGAACGTCGGGCGCTTGAATGAGCGCATTCTGAAAGAGGTGATCGATGTCAACCTCGAGAGGACGTTGTGGGAGAAGAGACCACGTATGACGCACCAGTACGGCGGCGGGGTAGCCGAGGTTGGCGTCGATCTGGAAGATCGGGTCGGGGTCGGCGGGATCGTACAGGCTGAACAGGTTCGGCCCAAAGTCCTCCGAAAGCGCGTACTTTTTTTCCCCCACCCGCTCGTCAACGATCCGCAAAACGAGCGACAGATGACGGACCGAACGGGACGCTCACCGTCAGCTCGTGATAAAACCCGGTCGCGTTGCCGAGCTGTGCCCACGCCGCGGCGCGCCAGACCTTCTCCCAGCCCGCGTCCGCGTCCGGGCCCGTGCCGTTCCCGCGATGGATGAGCGACGTCGTCGCGGCGGCGATCACCTCGTCCTTCGTGTAGTTCGCCTGGTCGGCGTAGGACGCGACGGCGTAGCCCGGGTAGAGTCCGATCAGGTGCGAGAGGTGGCGGTGGGTATCCGTCGGCGAGTCCATGTCGACCTTCCACTCTTGGAGCTGGCCCCAGGACCCGACGTGGACGCCCTTGTCCATCTGCGCCTTCTTCGCCTTGACCTCTGCGGCACGATCCGTCGTCGGTCGTTAGCTGGCGCCAAGGCCGAGATCGTGTTGGGGGAAACACCCACCGGCGAGGAAGGCGGCGTCCGTGTCACCGGACGCGGGCCACCCCTTCTCGATCGCGTTGAGCAACATCCAAATGAGCTGCTGCGAATGCGCGCAACCGAGGGTGATGGGCAGCTGCTCGGGCGAATTGCAGGGCGCGACGACGAGCGTCGAGTCGTTGAAGTGCGCGTCCGGAATGAGCTTGCCGAGGTGGAACCGCGCGACGCCCTATTGTAGTCGACAAAACGAGCGCGGTGTGTTAGGAGCGCGGCTGGCGGCGCGGGAAGGCGGGAAAGGGAGCGCGTACCTTCAGGAGCGGGTAGCCCTGGCTCCGGAACCAGGCCACGTCGTGCGTGTAGTCGAAGTGGTCCCAAACGTGGAGCATCTAGGAACGGACGCGCCGTTGAGTACTAACCATCTCGCCTGTCGGGCTGAGCGTACCATCCACGCGTTAGACTCTGCACAGTACAGATCGCTATCAGCCTATCGGCGACGCGACGACAAGTCCGCGATGCACCCGCTCACCTGGGTAATTCGCCCACTGCGCGCTGCCCGTGCCGCCGGCCTTCATCCCGGTATGCCCAAAGATCTACCCGTGCAAATAGACAGTCGTCAGCTACAGGACGCTATCATGAACCCTACACGGTGTACGTTGGCTCACGTTCATCTCGTTGTGAGTGACCCATCCGGTCAGGTTGTACAGCACGTTGGCCGTGTACGCCCCGCGCGGAGCCCACGTTTTCTGTTGCGGGAGACAAAGTGCATTAGCATATACTAAAACGACCGAGCACGCAAAAACAAAAAAAATAAAAAATGTTTACCTCCATGTAGTCCCACAGGCTCTGGGTCACGTCTAGGTTGGTCATCTCCGCCGCCCAGTAGTTCATCTGCACGTTGATATTCGCGTCTAGCGGGACAAGAAACAGACGCGCATCAGCATCCTTCCTCCGAGTGCTCCAAGACGCGCCAGCGACGTACGATAATCTACGGGGGGGAAAGGGCACACCGTCCCAAGTCAGCACCCAGGTCGCCGCATCAAGGGCAGGCCCCCCAAAAAAAACGCACCGGCCGACCAGGCGCTCGCGTACCCGTTCGCCCATTTTCCCTGGAGGTTGGCGGGCAACGACCCGCGGGCGCTCGACAGGAGCATGTACCGCCCCAGGTTGAACGCGAGCCACTCGAGGTACGGGTTCCCCGCGTCCACCGCGTACGCCGCGCGCAGCTCGTCCGTCGGCGTGCCCAGGTCCGACGCGCCCCACCCCGCGCCCAGGCGGAGCGCGAACTTGGAGATGGAGCCGGCGAAGTCGGCCGTGTGCGTGTTCAGCGCGGACGAGAAGGAGGAGGAGGGAGAGGAGGAGGAGGAGGAGGAAGGGGAGGGGAGGAGGGCGAGGAGGGCGGGGTGCGGGTCCGCGCCGGCGAAGGAGAAGCCGTGTGCGGCGTCGCCCGCGGAAAAGTCGTAATTCGTGCCGCCGACCCAGGTGAACCACGCCTCGGAGGCGCCGTGCACGGTGATCGTCGCGTTCTGGCCCGGGCCTGGCTCCGAGATTTTTTTATTAGCTTGCGCCCACCGCTCAGAACGCTATATGTGGGACCGTCCTTACCTTGAGTAGAGGCGGTGGACGAGACGGGGACGGACGAGCAGCTGACGGTGGGGTTGGAGCCGCCGGCGGTTTGGACGCGGACGAGCAGCTCGTAGAGCATCCCCGGCGCGCTCACGAGCCCGCGCACGCGCAGCGTGCCGTCGTCCTCGCACGTCACGTTCGGCAGGAGCGGCACGTCGCTCTCGGAGTAGTTCGACCACGCGAGCGTCAAGGTCGGGAGCGCCGCTTTCGTCTTCTTCGATGTGGAGGAGGCGGAGAGGTGTTGCACGCACGCGCGGGCGGGGTGCGAGCAGAACGTCTGCCGGGAGAACGCCGTGCCGTTCACGGTGAAGGTGCTGTGCGCGACGCCGGCGTCCATGTCGAGCCAGCGCGCGTAATCGGTGTAGGCGGCGGAGGGAAGGTCGAGCGTCGCGAGGAGGTAGCCGGCGCCGGCGTAAGACCCGTATGCGCCTGCGTCGGTCTGCAGTTCGCTGATTTCTGTGCAGGGTCAGCACGAGCTGGGGGTGCGGAGGATCCGAATGAGGGGAGTGACCTTGGATGGTGCCCGTGGGCGACTGCATGATCTCTTGCCGGTAGGTCTGCATCCATTGGGACAGCTCGGCGGTGTCGTTCGGGAAGTCGTTCCCGCCGTTATACGTCTAAGAGAGGGCGAATTTCGTGAGCGGATGGGAGCGACTCGAGGCGGATGTAGTAATGCGGTCGCTTACGGGATCGGCGAAGGGTCCGCCCGACCAGAGCGACTCTATGTTCAGCTGGACGGCTTCCTGTGCGACACCGCCGTTGACCATCGCTGCATGCATATACACGCCCTCGTCAGCTCCGTCCCAGTAGGTTACGGTAAAAAAAACGGAAGAGCTCACCGGCTAGGTACCCGTTTCCGACGGGGAGCCATTCGCGGCCCCAGGCGACGCCGGGCGTCGTGAACCACAGGCCGTTTCCCGAGCTCGGGAACCCGGCTGGCGCGGCCCCGGCGCGCGATTCGGAGAGGGCGAGGGCGGCGGTGGTGAGCGCACTGAGACGGCGCCAGAGCATGTCGAACCCGCTCGTCCAGTCGTAGATCTTGGTGAGACAAGGAGGGGGAGAACGAGAACGAGAAGGAGACGGTCCGATACGTGGAGCGTATTAGCGAAGAGATTCCTTATAAGAGGCGACGATGCCCCCGAGCACGGCGGAGGAAATGCGATGGATGGATGGGCCATGATGGAACGACGTACGAATGTGATCAGCTCGCGGGCGGCAGCCACGGGCAGCGGCGGGTGCGGAGGCCACATGACGCGAACCCTGTGCGGTCCTTTGACTGCAGCGTTCGGCGCAGACCCGAGGCGGCCAACTCAATTGACCCGAAGAGGCTCCAGCGCGAGGCGAGGCGGCCCGTCGGTCGTATTCGAGGCGACGGCGTGACCAGCGGCCAAGTGCGGGGGTGGCGGTGTGGGTGTTCGCCCTCGGATGGAGGTCGCGCCTCCAAGTCGGGCTGTAGCTTTGCAATTTGGTTCGAGCAGCATCGCTATTGAACTCGATTGGGTACGCTATTCTCGCTATGAGTTTACAGATTCTTATGTGTTTTTGTCGTTTCACATCCTTCGCTCATCACCGGTCACCGGTTGTTCTCACCCCACGGCGCCCCCGTGCAGTTGAACCCGACCGGGTCCACGACGCTGTCGCACAGATACTGGCTCGGCGCCGTATTGTTCACCGTGTCCAGTATATCGATGATCCCCTCGATCCTCATCCCCGTACACGGGCTCGCCGCGCTGCACCGCAACGACCCCACGACGTCGCTCACCGCCGTGCCCGTCCCAGTTCCGGAGCGTGAAAGTCGCGGAGGTGGAACGGCGGCCGTGTCGCAGTTGCCCCTGCGCCCCCCGTTGTACGACGTGCACTGCGTGAATCCCGAAAACGCCGGACGCGTTGTGAAGGGCAAAGTCGGAGAAGGTGACGTTGGCCGCGTAGCCGAGGCCGCCGCCGCCGCCGTTGGGCGGGTAGCCGGTCGAGACGCCCGTCCAGGTCTTGACGTACGCGCCGTAGCGCATGTGGTGGATCGAGATGTTCCGCGCCGTCACGTTCTCGATCGTCTCGAACGCGCCCTCTGTTTTTTTTACAGATCGTGTGTCTCAGCACGGCTGTCCGTTCTTCTTTGAAAAACCGGGGGCGGGGAGTGGCACTGACCGTACTGCCCGATGCTGCCGATGGCGACGCCGAGACCGGTGTAGAACGCGCAGTCCTCGATGAGGATGTTCGTGCTATTCGCCTTCATCGCGATCGAGTCGTCGCCGTTGTCGACGATCCATCGCCGGAACGTCACGTTGTTCACATATACCGTGTCCACGCCATCCGTCTGCACCCAAAACGTGAGCGAGGCCGTAGAAGCCGCCTCACGACGAAGAAACTCACGTTGAGAGACGAAAAGTCAAACCCGACGGCCTGCTTCGCGTCCGTGCTGTTGACGTAAATATCCTCGAGCAGGACGTTCTCCGAATGGATGATCGTCGTCGTCCTGTCCTCTCGCCCGTCAGCGTCTCCCGTACCCCACCATGCCCCAAGAAAGCCACCACTACCCCAAACACTCTCCACATCTGCGCTCTGCACGAACCGCACGCCTCTTCACCGCCGCGTTCTCGATCCCCGTGAACGTGATCTGGTGCGGCCTCCCGGGATTAGTTATTCGTCCCGTTCACGAAAGTCGTACCAGACCTGGCCGTTTGCCCGTCCAGCGTGCCGTTACCCGTGTCCGTCCACGGTCACGTTCTCCCCGCCCGAACAGCCACGCCGAGGGACTGGGTTCTGGTTACCCGGACGGGCAGGGAGTGGGGCGAGCCAGTACCGGGATGTCCGTGTCCCAGAGCAGGGTTCCGCGGAGGGTTCGACGTGGACGTTTGGACAGCCCGGGGGTGTTTCATGACGGACCGGACGGGGTAGGGTGCGCGTTGAGGAAGAGGACGGTGCGCGGGCGCGAGGAGGACGGGTTGTGCCCCCGCATCGGCGGAAGGTGGAGAGGATGGCGGGTGCGGCGTCGTGTTCCGTGAGGAGGTAGGGGCACGACGCAGGCGGGGTCGGGCGCTTGCCCGCCGTGGTGGGAGGCGGCGTGAGGCGGCCAGGCGAAGAGCGCCGTCGCCGTCGCCCACGCTGCAAATAGCGTTCTGAGCATCGTTCTCTCGAGTCGGCTGGTCTAGAGCTGAATAAAGAAAGGGTAAGTATGGGAGTCGAAGCCTGACGAAGAGGTATCGTGGGCTCGCCTTTTGCGAATTTATATACCCCCCCTCAGCATTGGATGGAACCTCTTGGCCCGATGACATTATGGGTCGGAACACCGGACCCGTTGTCCGTATCGCCCGTCATACTTCTCGTCATCTCCCGACGTCGGCGAGCGTGCCGCGAACGTGCGCGGAGGATCCTGGGGGTACGCGAGACCGGGTCAAGTGTGCGGGGAAGCAGGTCGCATTGAATGGATTTGGCGCGGTCCGGAAGGTCCGAGCTTGCGTCCGAATGGCTGTGTCGCGTTTTGAGTTTGGGCGCTTATGACGACGTTTCGCCTCGAGACGGTGTGTCGAATGCACCATGCGCGTCCATGGATCCGATCGGTTTGTTCAAGTTGAAGAGCTGGATCGTCCTGTTTGGTATAGTACCGGCGACCACGGATGCTGCAGTTTTTGCTGGAGAGAGAGCGGGGAGAACGACGGGGAGGACGTTACGCGCCAGGCAACAGCGATACCTATATCACGATTCGCAAAGATGGGGGTTATTGAATGACGGCCGCACGGCATAGAGCTTGATGGGCAAGTATAGAACGTTGGTGACTGGGCAAGGTGCTGCAGCGAATTCGAGCGCAACGGGAGAGGCTAACCTAGTGTTGCCGCAAGTCAAGCTGAGTCGAGCCGAGTCGACAAAATTGCAATAACTTGATTATCAAGTTACGACAAGCCAATTTGTGAGTTCAGCTTGCGAGTCGGCGGACAGTTTCCCACCCTGCGACCGGACCTAGCGGCGACATTGAGCTGTGGCAAGTCAATGTTTGGCACCCTGACAATCAAGCCGTTCAGCCAAGGCCACGTTTTCATCGTGTGAACCAATTCTCTGCATGGACCAATCGGTAGTGTCGCTGAACGTGGGATAACAGCAGTGCCAACTCGCAAGCTCACGCAAGTCCAACTCGAGGCCCACAAGCCAAGTTGAGTTGTCGTTTTTGCAAGTTGAGTTGAGTTGGAATTGACTTCAACTCAACTTGGCGGCAACACTAGGCTAACCGATGCGTAACCCTAACCCGAACATTGCGCCACGTCTATCCCTGACCACCACCAGTGGATAGTCAGCGCTCTTCGAGGAATGAGTCCATTTCGGTTCGAGACTCGCGACTCTGCTCGGTCCGTTCGAGGAAATCTACGTGCCAGAGCATCTGAACCTGATAACAGGCCCCGAGCACAGCTGATAACTTGACCTTCATCTACGCTTCTTGTGGCTGCCGCAGCGCATGGTTGGCGCGTCTTCTTGACTTCCCGACCTTATGCCCGCGATTCTTGTTTGTCTCATACAGAGGAACGGCAACTCAACACTGGTCAACCTCAATGGTCTCGGTGCTTTAAACCTCGGCGATGAACCTATCTATATCCGCGGATGGGGTCACGACGACGAGCGGTCTTGATGCAATGAAACCAACCTAACCTTCCAGCTGCTCATCCCCTTCATGGGCGGAGCCTTATCGGCGTTATCCATGCGTCGCCTGGGTCGAAAAATCCCATGCCCGATCCAGTGAAATCGACCGCATACGTCAGAGGGTTTCCCCCTTCCAAGGGCAGTATGACACCCCGGCCCTCGGCCTCTCCGGGTGCCTTCGTATGTCCGTTTTTCAACCCTTATCTGAGGTCTATTTTGATTGATGGTTGGGATGTAGGCCGGCCCCGCGTATTTCCGGGGAACCGGGTCTCATGCCTTCCCTTTCCTCCATAGCTTCCACCGGAACTGAATCATCCATATCGGACTTTGAGAAGCGATTGGAGAGCCTCTCCCGTGCTAGGGTTTTGTTGGCCGTTGCCCCCGAGCTCAACGTCTCGTGACGGCTTCACCGCCAGCTCGACCCCTCGAATCAAGTATAGCTCTCGGTGGAATGCCCGATAAGGTTCGCATTGAAGGACTACCGACGAGGATGAGCCGCGGCTTCACGTCGCTGGACGTACGCCGAGGTCTCGACGCGCCTTGGTGCTATTTCTGTTCTCGCAGATCGATACGCACGGCTGTGACCAGATCCCCGACCGGACTTATCCTTGGCTATCGCGCGCACGTCCCCAGTTACGCATCGCTCCCGGAACCCTGCGCGCGCTTCTCCGACCGTCCTTCCCCATTATGCGAGTATCGAGAGACAATCCAATCTTGCCGCTTTCGCGCGCGGCAACATTCACGTCAAAACACATGCGGGCGGGAGGCCTCAGCATCAGAGTTCGCGCAAAAGCCGACCTTCCAAATCCTCTCTTCCTGCACCGGATAGCGCGCGCCTCGCTCATCGATTATACCTCGCCCGAACCCGCGAGCATCCTGCATTCCGACCTTCCGCGCGTGACCCGCCGCCGGCCTTCGACCATGCTGCTCGCGCTGATGCGGCATGGCCACGCTCACGAGATACGGAACGCATCGCGACGTCAAATTCGACGAGATACCAGGGGGGCCGGGTACAAAAGGCTCGCAGTCCGTTCTCCCGCCGACGCAGTGCGAGAGCGAGAGCGCGGTCGCCCCGGACTGAAACCGAGACATCCGCCCGACACCCGACACTTCGACATCGCGACGTCGAACTGACGTTTGACATCCCGTACACCCGAGACACATTGCTCGTGCGCTCGCATCAATTCACTCTACCCTCACCATCTCACTCATCCTATCGCCCTCACCCTAGCCTCCCCTTCCCACCTTATCCACACAGTCTACCATCAGTCTATCCGTCGACTGATTACTGCACCCTCAACGTTCTCGAATCCGACGACAGGCATGGTTTGCACGCGAGCCCTCGTTTGTCTCGGCCTCGCCTTCACGGCAGCGGTGCAAGCTACCGAGGTCATGCGCCGACCGGACAACTACAAGAGCGCGCCTAACGTCTTTCCCACGGAGAACGTCACGCCGCATGTCATCCACAAGCGCGCGACGGCGAAGGTGCAGGCAGCTTACTTCACGAACTGGTGCGTGATCCGCGGTGTCCCCGTTGCCACGAGCTGATCGCGTTCCACCGGAATCCAGGGGGATCTACGGAGCCAATTTCCGTATGTTACCTATTCCACTTTGCCGCGAACTCTGCTGACGGCCTTCAACAGAACCTACGGACATCGTTCCGGAAGACCTCACCCACATCATCTACGCGTTCGCTGATGTCCAGCCGGACACGGGCACGATTGTCCTCACCGACTCGTACGCGGACGAGCAGGTCGGTCCTTCGCTCCATGAAAGACTAGGTCAACGATCTGACCGATCCCGTACTACAGAAACACTTCGACGGCGACAGCTGGGATGACACGGGCAACAACCTCTACGGTTGCCTGAAGCAGCTCTACCTCATCAAGCTCGCGAACCGTAACATCAAGACGCTCCTCTCCATCGGCGGATGGACGTACTCGCAGGACGGCCACTTCTCGTTCGTCACCGACGCCACGAAGCGTGCCACGTTCGTCTCCTCCGCGGTTTCCATGATCCAGAACCTCGGGTTTGACGGCATGTGAGTGGAGGGATCGGATGAACGCGCAGCAGGCATTGGTACTGAGGCGGAGACGGTCTGCGCGCAGTGACATCGACTTTGAATACCCCGCAAACGCTGCCGAGGGACAGGGATTCGCGGATCTCCTGACGTCCCTGCGGTCCGCATTCGATACCCTGGCCACGCAGAACGGTGACACCGTGCCGTATCAGCTTACGGTGAGTATCATAGCCGTCATGGGAGAACGTATTGCCCACGCCACTATCAGGCTGCTGTCGCCGCTGGTCCCGCCAACTATCAATACTACGTCGTCCCTCAGATGGACAAGGCACTCACATACTGGAACCTGATGGTAAGCGTTTACCTACTCGACAGCTAGAAGCTGCCCTCATTTATGAGGTGTCCGCTGCAGGCTTACGATTACTCTGGCTCCTTCTCCAACATCGTGAGCAAGCGCGATTTTGCTGCCCTCCGACCATCAACTCACGTTTTCCACGCAGACCGCTCCTCAAGATAACGTTTACGGTGGTGCCCTCACCGGTTTTAGTACCGACGCGGCCATTCAGTGGTACTTCGCCAACGGGGCTACTCCGTCGAAGATCAACTTGGGCATGCCTCTGTACGGCCACGCCTTCGAGAACACGGCCGGCATGGGCTCTCCATACGACGGCGTACGATTTCACCCGACTGGAGCCCATTAGCCTGATTGCTCACACCCTGATGTAACCTCAGATTGGCCCTGGCTCGATCCAGGCGGGAATCTACAGCTACAAGGACCTGCCCATCGCCGGTGCCCAGGTCTTTGAGAACGTCACGGAGATTAGCAGCTACTCGTACGACAGCAGCAAGAAGGAACTTGTATCGTACGATACTCCCGACATCGTCAAGCTGAAGACCCAGTATGTCATGGACAAAGGCCTTGCGGGCTCCATGGTGAGTGCTTCCCCTCACTTCAGGCATTTTTTCAGTGCGTTGATTGCTTTTCAGTTCTGGGACGTAAGTCGTGTCCGCCAGAACCTGGTCTCTGGTGATGCTGAACTACGGACAGCTCTCGACGGATAAGGTGGGCACCGACTCTTTGGTGGGAACCAGCCACCAGGCCTACAGTGCTCTCGACCAAACTCAGGTACTGTCCCGTCCATCGAGATGATGCCGCGAGCCTGCGCTGATGGTCAATCCATTCATTATCGTAGAATCACATCAAGTGAGACTGTCTTGTTTTTTTCATGAACCACGGGATGGTACTGATCTCTACGCCACCAGCTACCCCGACAGCGAATGGGATAACATCCGTAACAACATGGCCGGGAGCACCACTTCTACTACCGCCGCAACCACCACCGCGCCCGCAACCACCACCGTTGCTCCGACCACCACCACGGCCCAGACCACCACCCCCGCGACCTCCACGACGTCGTCGACGGGCGGATCGCTCACCTGCGCCGGCGTGGCGGCGTGGAACAGCGCGGTCGCCTACACCGGAGGCCAGTCGGTCACGTACGGTGGCTTCCTCTGGACCGCCAAGTGGTGGACTGAAGGCGACACTCGTAAGCGCGGAAATCGAACCCGTGCAATGAAAAAAATATCGACTGATCAACTTTCCAGCTGGTGGGGCCGCCGGCGTCTGGACACAAGGGGTGAGCTGCTGATGGGAGGAGCCACATATTGGACGCATATCAACATGATCTATCCTTGCTGCTTTCCTTGGGTTCCGAGCTCATCATGTATGTACCAACATCGCTAGAATGGACCAAAGGCATAGTCAACCCTCTCGAGGAATGCGCTGTTTACACATGCCCATTTATGCCTTGAGTCCCCCCTAGATGCATACAGCCTGTTGTGCGCCAGGCCCTCACGTCCTGGCCCGAGCATACACGATGATATCCGTGAGAAATGGTCTACAAATACAATGACGAGCAGAATATGACTGAATTCGGGCGTTCGAGCATCTCGGATGCCTTGTCGAACTTTTCTTGGAGCTCGGTGTTCCCGATGACCTTGGCGGCCTGGTTCATCTGGCGCAGCAGCTCCTGTAGGCGCCTGAACACTCGGATCAAGCTGCCTTCGAATTGGTCCGTTAGCTATAAGCAGAACCGGCATTAGTGTGCGTGTCGTAGGGCGATGGCGATCATTCAATCACCTTCAGGATGTCCGAGAACGACGCGCCCCGGCACCACTGCACTACGGCATCCATTAGCTCGACCTTGAAGGAAGAAACGTATTCGTCTTCGACCACGGGAAGCTTGGACTCTTGTGACACTTTAGCTATCCGTCTCGCGATCTCCTGCATGACACGCAACGGCGCGGCCAACTCTTCCTTCAACTTCGTCACTTGTTCGCTCTGAGAAACCACGTCAGCTCTAGTGACGAACAAGGATGGATGGCTCACACCTTTTCAGTGAAGACAAAACAGCTGAGCAGTCCGGCGCACTGCTCAGGAGACAGCGGGTTGAAGACACCGTTGAAGATGAGCTCCGTCAGGAGTAACTCGTCCCCAGTGCTGATCTCGCAAGCAACACGTCCTTTCATGTCCACGATATCGGCCGAGTTCGTGAACCCTAGCCTGCGCAGCACCCGTTTGCGGCACTTGAGCTCCTCCAGTTGCAGCACGTCGTTCGTCGCCTGTATGCGCTTCTTGAGGGCACGTATCCGCTCTCGGGCTTCCTCCTTCTTGGCATACGCCGAGTAGAGCTGGGGTAACCGCGGATCCTTGTGGAGTGGGCTTGAAAACATCTTTTTCTCGAGCGTGTCGATTTTCTGAGCACCGAGCAGACATTAGTTCATGAACAATAACAAGGTGACAAGGTCGTTTACCTTGATGAGTTCCATGAACTTGGCGTCGTCAATCTTCATGTTCTCCACTGGATCCAGCAGCGGGATACCGTCTGGAAACCGCTTCTGCACCTCCAACACGCTTTTCCAAGTGGTCTCCCTTGCCTGAGGCTGGCGTAAGTCCTTTGGTAGGTATATGCGCAAGTGGCTAATCGCGTCGATGGTGCTGAGGAGGACGGGCACAACGAGCGCTTCACTCTTCTCGCCGGATTTACAGGGCCGAATTCCTCCGGGAGTAGAGGTGGTGACGGAGGACTTGTCTTTAGGGAGGGAGGAGGCAGAGCCAGTAGCGCAATTGAGAAGCACGTCCAGGATGTACTGCTCGTGCGGAGGAATTTCTTCGGATTTGGGCATTGGTCGGTTCTGTGAGCGTGATAGCAGTTCAGCATATGGTACACCGGAAGTGACAAACGTCAATTACCTTGGGCGGGAGACGCTTTTGATAGTTTATGATGATTCCCCAACCGAAATCGAGGTCTTTGTGTTTGACCTTGACCAATCGCCCAGGCTGGAGGAATGGTAGACTGTACGTAGGATGCGTGACTACCTCCCGGAAGTCGGCTGACATCTGGTCAAGCTGCTGCCTACACTGGTAGTATTCGGCAATGGCCTTCTCATCCTCCACCACAATTGCGTCTCTCGCTTCTTCTTCCTTCTTCAGTTCTACGGTCGGGGGTTATCATGTAAGATCGATGCTGTACGCCAGGTGTAACTCACGATCTTCCAACATCGGAACACCTGCCTGGTTCTGGAATTGGAAGAAACACCGCTCGAGCATGAACTCCGGGCTGATGCCCTCGACCTTCATCAAGTTCAGCACCATGTTGTACCCCAGATGGAACGCCGAATCGAGCCTGTCGGCCTCGCCTTTGATCATGTTCTTCGCCGCCGCAGGCTCGAGCTTCTCGTCGCACATCATGATGACCACACCGCGATCGTCGAGACCTCGTCGACCCGCGCGACCCGACATTTGGATATACTCTCCAGACGACAAATCCCGAAATTCACGCCCGTCGAACTTGCGTGTTGCGGTGAAAACGACCGTCTTCGCGGGCATGTTCAAGCCGATGGAGAACGTTTCGGTGGCGAAGAGCGCCTTGATCAGACCCTCTTGAAAGAGAATCTCAATCACTTCCTTGAGGATGGGCAACAGGCCTCCGTGATGGATACCGATTCCTCGCTTGAGCAAAGGTAATAAATTGGTGATCTGCGGAAGGGAGCGATCGGCGGGCGCAAGGTTCTCGATGGCGTTATTGAAGATATTTGTCACTAGGTCCTGCTCGTCCTGGGTGTTGAACTCCTGTTTGCTCAGCTGCAGCGCGAGAGCCTCACATTCGCGCTTGCTGAATGCGAAGATGATGACCGGGTTGTAGTTCTTCAGCATGATCATCTTGATGATCTTTGAGATATCCGAAGGCCCTAATCTGCCGGTCAGCGGGTCGCGCCTCTGTTACCTGGCACACCTACGCACCTTTCTTGTCTCCACCTTTCTTCGTCTTTCCCTTCCTGCCTTTTCCGCCACTCTTCGGGTCTGCTGGATCCTCGCCCTGCTTTTCGGCCAACGTGCCCATGGCCTTGCTAAAATTGTCCTCCCTGAACTCGCCTTTCTCGTTCACCACGAGATATATGCCCTCGCCGCCCGCCGGGAATAGGTAGTGTTGTAACGGTGTAGGTCGGAAGTCTGTGTAGACTACGTGACAGGGTTGTTCATGGCTCTTCGCAATCCACTCAGCGAACTGCATCGCATTCGGTATCGTGGCGGATAGGAAAACATATCTAACATGGGTAACACGTCAGGATGATTTATAAATACGAAAACCACGAGGAAAACGCACCGGACGGAGTGCGGAAGTAAGATGATCGTTTCCTCCCAGACGACACCTCGCTCCTTGTCGCGCATATAGTGAATTTCGTCGAAGATGACCCATGCTACTTCACGCATTATCTCGGAGCCACGGTAAAGCATCGAACGCAGAATTTCGGTGGTCATAACAAGACAGGTTGCGGAAGGATTGATGGTCACGTCGCCCGTCATAAGCCCCACGTCCCCAAATTCCGCAAGCATTTCACGGTATTTCTGGTTACTGAGCGCCTATACGCGCGTATTCAAGCTCCGTTCGGATACTAGATTGGGGTCATCGTACGTACCTTTATAGGACTGGTGTATATAACCCTCTGCTTCCTCTCCAAACACTGTGCGATCGCGTACTCGGCAACAACTGTCTTCCCCGCACTAGTGTGGGCCGAGACGAGTACACTCTCGTTTCTCTGTATCGCGTGCACCGAGACCTGCTGGAAAGGATCCAGCGTGAATTTGTAGGTCCGGGCAGGCTTGGCGGGTGGGACATGTTGTGAAATGGGAACGTAGGGATATCCTGGGGGCACAGCAACTTGATGCCTGACCTAGGCACATGTACAACGGATGGTATGAGCTCATGTTGGAGTGAATAGTATTGAGAGTAATTACTTGGTGCCGCAACTCAAGCCGCGATCCCTCCTCAACACTAGCACCCGTCAACCCCGCACTGGCGTCAACCTCGCGCTTCGCCTCCGTCTCGAACTCGTCTACGACCACCGGCTTTGGAGACGCTAGACGTGGTTTTTTCGGCGGTATCTCATGGGCCGTCCGGGATTCCGGTGCATCGCCGTCTAGTTTGCGTTTCGCGCCCCCGTCCGGAGAAGCGATCCGATCAATTTGCATTGCATCGTGCTCGCGTTCCTGCTGCTCCTCAAGATCCTCCTCTACCTCGTCGACTTCAGGCTCCTCAGGAGCTCCGTCCAGAAAAGAAAACAGGTCGTTGGAGTTCATGGCAAGTGGTGGTCCAGAGTAAAGCGCCGAGCTAAAGTCGTGCGGGAAGTTGGTGGAGTATCGGCTCAAATATGTGTGGTTGCGTCTTGGTGCAGTATTTCAACGAATAACAGGACGGTGAGCCCCAAACCAAGAGTTCAGGATCTTCGCTCAGCTTGAATCCAGCGGATTCGAAAACCGGGCGGGTGGCTATGCTACTTTTAGGTCAGGTGCAGTTCGGCGTTCGCCGAGATCCGGTAGCTTCCGGTAGCGAACAACAACCGTTGAACAACGTCGTCCTTGTATTTCGTCGAGTTCATACTTACTTGAGCCCTGGTTCGTTCTCGGCCTTCGTGAGGCAGGGATGGCTCACGGTGACGATTATGGAAACGGTGGCTTTCACATCGGACAAGTGAATCATAATCGCGAGCGATCGACCCCGTCGCTCCCGGTATGCGTCGCTGCATGCGCACAGCTCACAATCCGAAGCTCTCACAGGCCGTGAACGTGTCTGCGCACAATCAGTCTGCAGGAATACACTGCTTGCTCAATTCTACGGCTGTTACCGTGGTCCGTGGTATTGCGTTTCACTAGCTTTCGGCATCGGATTGATCTACGCGTCTTTGTACTGGTCTCCACGCGATTCGTCTCCGGAGCCAGCTCCCGTCGCGGCCTGGTGCTCATCTCGGAAGAAGAAGGCACAGGGACGTTGTGGACTCTTATTGTCCGCCCGAATCTGGACATCGTACGCCTTTCTTGGCGGATCTGCAACGCCAACGACGACCAAGGGCTCGCCGTCTCATACACAGACGCCCACTAATTATGCCGCTCATGGGCGCTTTGTTCATGTAATCACTCATCGGCGTACTTATATCGTAGGAGTCATGATCGACTGGCACTCCTCATATCTCGTCACAACGCTCCTCGCCCCCATGTCTGCAACTCGTCAGGAAAGAATCAATTTCATCGAGGCTCACCGTATTTTCCTTGAAACCATCGATCTCATCGAGGCCAATATCGACATCTGGAAGGTTCGTACGATCCAACCGATGTCCACTCAGCCTCTTTCTGATTGCTCCTTTTTTTTACTTTCCCCAGAGGGTCAGGAATGACCATTCAATCAAAGAACCCAAGATCGCCTCCTCTTATATTCGCATGCCTGACGGTCTACCGAGGGGCCCAGAAACCATTGGAAGAGCTGCATTCTGGGAGATGATTGCCCGCCCCGAGGCCCCATACTGGCATCGCGTGGAGTCGCTTCAGCCTGCTTCGCCGCAGTACCGTTGCGAACGGGACCGCGGTATCTTCCGACATGTTGCTCGTCACGCGCACAGTCTCTTCCGGCACTACGGCGATAGAGGTCAGGAAAGCCAAAAGAATAACCAGCTAGCGCTTATGGCGGCGGCGGCGGCGACCTATGGATTGATGATTTGGCGTGACAAGGTGGATGCGCAGCCCGAGCGCGCGTATTGGAGAGGGACTGACGAGGAGGTGCGGGACTTGGCTCGTGAGTTGTGGGAAATCGAGGCCGCGGTGAATGAAGATGCGGATGCGGATGAGGATGAGGATGCGGATGAGGATGAGGATGAGGATGAGGATGAGGATGAGGATGAGGATGAGGATGAGGACGAGGATGAGGACGAGGACGAGGAAGAGGAAGAGGGAGAGGGAGAGGATGGTAGCAGCACGGATGAGGATGAGGATGCGGATGTAGATGTGGATGAAGATGAGGATAAGGGTGCTGTAGGTGAAGAGTACGGGCTGAGAGATGGTCAACAACGTGAGGAGTGGTCGAGCTACATGGACGTCGGGCCCATCTGTGTGCAGCCTGCCGCCGCACTGTACTATCAGTAGATACGTATATTCATTACCAAGTACTTAGTCTACCGTATTTAGATCACTCGATCGTAATTATAATTGACTCCTGCTGCTTAGATCTTGTGTCCAACACACAATTCACCTCATTGACGCGTCTACGCGGGCCCTCGCGTCATGAACCGAGGGTGGCTAGTTCTTGTCGCCGCATTTGGCAGTGTTTGTCTCGGCCGGGCCCTTCTGCTTCCGAAGTCGTCAACGCAGCTGTTTTCATCGATGTATGGAGACGCGGCTCAGACGATGTTCAGTCACTTATCAGCTTCAGGATCTGCTCATGAACTCCGATGATGTCGCGCGCTGTTAGTCATGGCGATAAGCAACCCAAGTTGACAACGCAGCCAGGACCTGCTTCGAGGGACAAATCGGTATGTAGTCAGTTTATACCCGACGTACAAGCCATATACCCGCCGCATACTGAGGCAGTTATCCAGACGCAGATATGCAAGCTCTATGGGATTTGGGCCATCCGTGGTGCTTTCGCTCCACGATGCTCTCGCGTTATGCGGCCAAGCCCGAATCCCTCTTTGTTCGCCTGGAAAGGAATCGGGACGTGCGTCTCGGCTGGTCATAGATACTCTGTGGGTCCATGTTGCACCGTCGCGCACACAAACTACAGCATCATACGCTCCTTGTTCACCCATGGCTCTTCGTCACGCACGCGAGCCGTAGCGTTGACAAGTTCCTTGTTCAGTGCAGGCCTTAAGTACCGCGACTGTTCAGGACAGGTATGAAGTTCGAAGCCATAGAATCTGCCGGTACCGTTCTGCCTCTGCTGCCGTGATGACGTACAACGCTCGTATCAACGACGCAGATTGTATACAAATCTTCATGGAGTCCATGCGAGACCTGGAAGACCGTGTCGAGGAGATAGTGAGTGACGCCGCCCTGCGCCGTATTTGGCAAGTACCAATCACGTTTTAAGCCGCTATGGGACGAATATCTCGCCAAGGATCACGAAGAAGCTGCAAGGTTCTTCCAACTAACATGGAACGCCAAAGGCGTGGATCCAGAGGATATAGGCATGGCCGTCGTATGGGACATGCTTGCGGGCCTCGACGAACCGCCTTGGCGAGCTCTCGTCAACGGAGAAAGGCATCTCTACGCAGACATTGCCTATCAAACTAAGGAGCGCTGGTTGTCCCATGCCGATGTCGCGTATAGGACACTCGAAGATCTCTGCGAGGCACTTCAGGCCGCTGCAGCCTCAACCTCCGCATTCCTTCTCTGGCACCGCCAACTCCGTATCCTTCCGTACCCTCCTCTTTCAACCCCGCGGGCAGAGGCCGGTAGGCCGGTAAGAGTATTACCTACTTGCTTTGAAGCAGCATACGATCCATTCTCCTGCCATATAGGAATTCCGAGATCACGCTGATTACGACTACCTCTGCCACGTTCTCAATAGTATCGACAACGATGCTGTCCAGTATGCAGTGAGTGCTACTCGTTTGATGACCGCTTGCGCAAGCATTGAACCATCTTCGATAGCGTGTGCCACAGTGGGATACATGTTATGCCCAATTAATCGAGAGGGTTTCCTCGATGCTTTCCAAGCCGAAGCGCTCCTTTGGGTCACAAGATATAGCAGCAGCCGTCGTATGGCGCGCGCTCGTTAGCGAGAACGCGCCTCTATGGAGGCAAGCTCAACGCTTGAACCTGGTGGCTTGGCCCGGATCCATATACCACGACGAGCGTCGCAAGATCTTACACGGGCTTACGGCGAGGACGCTGCATGTATTCAGCGAGTGCGAGGGGACAGACAAGATGTGGAATCGTTACTACAAAACCTTAGATGAGGTTGCGTACATGGCGTATTCCTATCTGCGGAAGGAGGGCAAAGTACCTTCTACCCCGACTTGCGCCGATTTCTGTGGGACATACGACGACATCAACGTTGCTACGAAGAACAGAGATCAGAAGAGGAGGATGGAGGATGTTCCGGACTCCAATCGCGCGATCAAGAGGAGATTCATTGCGGGTGATTGAAGACTCCTTTTATGATATCCGATGCACGCTAACGCATTATATCGGACAGTACCTCCTCAAGTCGAACATTCTTCGCAAGATTGGAACGCGTACCATGGCGTGGTCGCTCGAGGTCCTGCGCAGGTCAGGCATGTCGCGCGGTTGACGATATGACGTCAGCTGAGAGTGCATATGAACGATACTCTACGTCCAACGAAGACCGAATTCCTGGTATGATCATTCCCGATACCAGGACGAATAGTGATACCACATTGTACATTGCTAGCTTACGTTGTACATCGGTTTGCCCAGGTCAAGCTGCCTGACCCTCGATGTCCCTACCGATATCCTATATACCATGTGTATACGTACCTATCCTGATCGTTATGAACACGGCTTGAAATTGTTAAATCAAATGTATTCAGCTCGTATGCAAGCTCTTTGCGAGATGCATAGTCTTCATAAACGCGCCTTCCTTTTCCCCGTGCGGATATTCGCAGGGGAACTACCCGCAACCGGCAGCCCATGAGGTATTCCTTAGGTGCTTACTACGAGTACAAGAGGGTGCAGTATTATCCGAATGGACGAGGAAAGTGGGACGCAATGTGGATTGAACGTACTAGGTACGAGTGAAGCCATGTAGGGGAATAAATGACGTGGAACACAAAGCGGATGGGCGGTCGGAGGAGGGGATTGAAGCTGAACATAGCTAAGATGAGGGGTTTCTAAAATTAGCGATGCAAGGGACGATGTGGCGAGGGATGCGATGAAAACCAGCGAGACAGCAAAGCGCGAGCAACAACACGAAGACATGGAGGCAGGTAGGGTATGACAGTCCGTTCGGGCTGATGGGATCGAGTGGAGGCGAGGGACGAGAGGTCTTCGGCAACTTGCTCGGGCCTCAGTCACCTAAGATGTTGGGCGGCGATTGGACGCGCATGACAGTGCATACAAGACCCGCTCAGGAGCGAAACGGGAGTGTCTGGGCTGTGGCAGCGTGCCGCAAGAACCAGGAACGCGTCGCATTCCGTCTACCCACGTCAACGGTGTGGAGGCAGGATGACAGACTCGCAGGTTCCTAACACTCATACATCGACGTAGATGAGTATGGGCTCCCCGACACCTTCGATCTCGGGGATGACGCATTTGAGATCGAACGCCTTCGCAAGCACGATCTTGAAGATCTTCTGTACATTGATTGACGCCGAGGTTGAACAGAAGATCAGTGATGCATGCATCGCCTTCGCGAACCGTTTCGCCTGAAGGGTACGAGTTAGTGATCGTAACATAATCAGAGGAAGATGAGACATGCCTGCTTCGTGATTTCCTCCTGCTCATCTCGCGGGAAGGTAGCGAAGGTGTCGAACTTGGTACCAATGAGGAAGGGGATGGCCGTCTGCAGTTTCGATGATATGAGCAACGTGTATACAGCAATCAAGGAAACGCGTACCTTATTGAAGCCTCGTGCCTGCCTATACCACTCCTTCACCGAGTTGAGCGTCGACTTCCGCGATAGGTCAAACATGAAAAGGATCGCCACCGCGTCATTGCACACGAGTGGTAGCATGTTCACGAATTCGCGCTGGCCTCCGAGATCCCATATCGAGAACGTGATCGTCGTTCGCCGCACGCTGATGGTCTTCTCCATGAAGTTCACGCCTGTATGGCGTGAGCTAGTCGATAGGAGTGAGGACGAAAAATGCGCATACCAAGTGTTTGAATATAATCCTCGTCGAAGCTTCCCTCCACATACTTCACCATTAAGCTCGTCTTCCCGATTTGCGAATCGCCTACCATCCCCACTTTGATCACCACGCTGCTGCTACACGAACATGTAATCAAAACGTGCGACGTTGGTACCAGTGCGATGTGCGTACTTATTCTTATCATCGGCAGTATCTACAGCCTGTCCGTTCTGCGCGGCGGTCGATGACCCAGCTGCATTAGATGAAGACGCCAACGCGGACATGCTCAAGGCGAGGTGCTCGACTAGTCGTCTTCGACCGGTAGTACTCTGGGCGCTTCAAAACAAGCTTCAAGTCGCGCCTCAGTCGCGTTGATTAGAAGCCGTTACGTGGGAGGACCTTGTCCCTGGGACGAGTAATTGGAAGATATGAAGAGATGAAGGGGGTAAAGAAAGGACGCGTTTTGGCTCGCTGGCCGCTCAGGGATGCCCTATAAAGCTCTGACGGCGCGCTCGGTGACGAGCGGGCCTTTTGCAGTGGCAGAACAGACCCGCGGCTACCAGCGAGTGAAGGCGAGGAGAGGCTTGCTGGGCGCCTCTGCCACATGTGCCCCGATGAGCACGTGGCAAGGATATTCGTATTTTCGACAGTCGAGGCGAGGCGCTGGTCCTCCACTGTTGTGCACCGCGTCCACATCCTCCATGCCCGTCCACACCATCGCTGAGAGACGCGCCCTGGTGCCGAAGCCCGATAAGCATAGGAAGCAGAACGCTATCTCCAGATGATTCAGATGAAACTTGGAAGTCTTCTTGAAGCTATACCCCCGACTATGACTTCAGCTCGGTCAGCAAGAGGCTGATTGCCATACAGAATGTTCTTCATTCAAACAAGCTCATGGTATGCTTGTTTTCATCCTGGTATATACGGAACCGGTCTCAATGTCGCCTCAGACAGGTGCTCCGTTGCAATACCAAAAGTCGGACATAGATCGGTTCATCCTCGCCGTCGGTCGTAAGCTTCGTCTGAGTCCTTCGTCGCGTTGCGATCCGGCAATATGAGGAATCCGAGGCACGCGACTGGATCCCGGGAACCGCATTAGGACACCGACTTTTTCTCCCCGCTACACATCAGTCCTTTAACCTCGGGGATTTTCGATAGTAGCTTGACTTAGGCTTAAATGTGGTCACGCGTGGTAGGTACATCCCGACGTGCTTCCGCTAGTACGACGACTCAGCGGTACGCGTTCCTAGGTTTCTACTCAGACATCATGTTGTCTGGTCTGAGAGACTCCGAGGTTTCTCGGCTTCACCACATGAGTGCGAAATGATGCAGTGGTCCTGCTCCGGATGTCGGGGGTTCCGAATCGTCTTTAAAAGCGAAGTGGTGGCGGGGATTTGTTCTTGACAAACCCATCCTTCTGCTCATTCCGCGTCACTATGCTTGGACGGCTGTTAGTCGGCCTGCTACCCCTTGTAGGCTCTGGTACGCCGGCGGTTCCTTCCCCGGTATCTTCATATTGATTTCTGCCGCTTCATAGTCCTCGCGCAGACGAGTACCTCCTTCACCGATCCGAACAATGGCATCACCTTCCAAGGTCTCCAGGAGCCCGTCCACGGCGTGAGCTATGGCTTCGTCTTCCCGGAAAGCACCACCGGCGACGAATTTATTGGCGAAATTTTGGCGCCCGTGGACGCGAAATGGATAGGCCTCGCTCTCGGCGGTGCCATGGCTGGCGATCTGTTGCTCGTAGCGTGGCCCAACGGCAACTCCATCGTGAGCTCCACGCGGTACACCACGTACGTGCTTCCCGTCTGCATATGCATATAGCCTCGTTCTGACGCTGTTCGCCAGCGGCTATGTCCAGCCTACCGAATACGACGGCCCTATCCTCACGACCTTGCCATACACGACGGTGAACTCCACGCATTGGAAATGGGTGTACAGGTGCCAAAATTGCACGAGCTGGTCTGGCGGCAGTATCACGCAAACCTCTGTCTCTGTCTTCGCTTGGGCTTACTCCGACGTTGGCGTCGACGACCCGTCGGACCCTCAAAGCACGTTCGATGAGCATACCGATTGTACGGATGTCCTGTGCTTGATGTTTTCGATACCCGCTCATCACCTGTTCTAGTCGGCTTCTGGGGCGAAAACGTAGCGAACGCTCACAGCGCCAACTACGACACGTACCTCAGCGGCGGAACGGTCACGACCGGACCCACTTCCACCAGCTCCCCCACGTCTACCTCGACGACGACGACGACGACTACCCCAACCGTCACCGCTGTAAGCCACACCGCGATGGTCGCATCCAGATGCTTACCGCTCGATTCCTCCAGACGCCTTACGACTATATCATCGTCGGAGCTGGGTACGGAGGTATCATCGCTGCAGACCGCCTCTCCGAAGCCGGAAAGAAGGTACTCCTCATCGAACGTGGTGGGCCGTCTACGGCAGAGACCGGCGGAAACTACGTTGCTCCTTGGGTAGCAGCCGCCGGCAAGAACTTCACCAAATTCGATATTCCAGGCCAGTTCGAGTCACTGTTCACAGACAGTAACCCCTTCTGGTGGTGCAAAGGTGCGTAACTCTTGAAAGAACCACATTGTTTTGCGGATCTTTACTGCTGCTTTCAGATATCACAACCTTCGCTGGGTGCCTCCTTGGCGGCGGGGCTTCCATCAACGGTGCTCTTTATTGGTATCCGATGGACGCCGACTTCAGTACGACGTTAGGTTGGCCTAGCTCTTGGTCAAACCACGCTCCATACACAGCGAAGATGACTGCTCGCCTGCCAAGCACAGACCACCCATCGCCTGACGGCAAGCGTTACCTCGAGCAGACGTCCGTGCTCGTCGGAGAGATGCTCAACACGCAAGGTTTCACGAACCTGACCATCAACGATCATCCTAACCAGAAGGACCACGCTTATGGCTACGCTGCCTTCGACGTATGTTTGATTGTACAGCCTAATCTTGTCCGCCTTCGGCTAACCGATCTTTTCCCTTCAGTTCGTCAATGGTAAGCGTGGCGGACCCGTTGCGACGTATCTGCAGACGGCGCTTCCTCGGTCGAACTTCAAGCTCGTCCTCAACACATTGGTCACCAACTTAGTTCGCAATGGCTCCCAGATCACCGGTGTGCAGACCAACGACACGTCGCTCGGTCCCAACGGCATCATTCCGCTCACCCCCAAAGGGCGTGTCATCCTCTCTGCCGGCTCCTTCGGCACACCCCGTATCCTCTTCCAGAGCGGCATCGGTCCCTCGGATATGATCGCTGTCGTACAAGGCAACGCGGATGCCGCATCGCGCCTGCCTCCCTCCTCGGATTTCATCAACCTCCCCCAACTTGGCTACAACGTCCAGGACAACCCGTCGATCAACTTGGTGTTCACCCACCCCAGCGTAGACTCCTACGACAACTGGGCCGATGTCTGGACTGGCCCCCCACAAGCAGACCAACAGGCCTATCTCAGCAGCCAGACTGGTATCCTCGCCGGCGCTTCGCCTAAGCTGAACTTCTGGCGCGCGTACACTGGCTCCGACCAGAAGACTCGCTATTCTCAGGGAACCGTCCGTCCTGGCGCCGCATCGGTTACCACCGTGTATCCGTACAACGTCAGTCAGATCTGGACGATCACCGTATACCTCTCCCAGGGTATCACCTCTCGCGGCCGCGTTGGGATCGACGCTGCCCTTCGTGGCACCCCGCTCGTGAACCCCTGGTTCACCGACCCGATCGACAAGCAGGTGCTTATACAAGCCCTCAACGATATCGCTCCCTTGGCTCCGAAAGGTGAGACTACGGCGATCATTGGACTTCGTGAGCGCAAAGCCAACTAAACCCATAACGCAGTCGGCGCGACGCTTATTACCCCTGACAATACGACAACTATCGAGGACTACGTTAACAACTACGATCCGGGCTCGCTGAATTCGAACCACTGGGTCGGCTCAGCTAGGATTGCTAGCGACTCGTCCACCGGTGTTGTTGACCAAAACACGAAGGTGTTCAACACGAACAACCTGGTGAGCATTCCTCTCATGAATCGTGATCACGTTTTCTGACATCGTTCCAGTTCATTCTCGACGCATCGATCATTCCTTCATTACCGGTCGGCAACCCACACGGAGTGTTAATGAGTGCGATGGAGCAAGGTGTGGTGAGGATTCTTGCGCTGGCGGGAGGGCCATGAGCGAGCGATACCAAGCTATTACTCGTATCGTATCGCTGGGTTCATCTGTACTTTTAGTTAGTCAACAACCACAAAAGCATCGTTCGTACTTCAGCTGTGCGCGACTTTGGCTACGCACTGCGGGTTTCAGCAGCACGTACAAATTCGCCGAATATCCACCCTCATCCCATTCGAAAGCTGTGCAACGCAACAGCGCGTTTGGACCACGTCACATCCAGATTCCGCTGGCTGCCCCGCATCCTTATAATACTACCGTTCACTTTCTCCTTTTCGCTGGATCGTACATTCCTTTGACCACCCGGACACCTCTGGCATGCAGCCCCGCTCAAGACCTGCGGGAAACCGCGCCTTGTCCATTATACGCTACGTGATACGCCAACGCACGTTCCAGCTGGTATCCGGTTTCCTATTGCTATGTTTCATCTATCTCTACCTGTTTGCCGGCGGGTCCAGCACCTACACTCCACCGCATACCGGGCACGACGATGCGGATCCGACGAGGAACACCATACATGCTAGCATCATAGTGCCGACGTATCATGAACGGGACAACATCCGACCGCTAGTCACCAGAACCTTCGCTGCACTCACCCAACCCACTGTGACGGAGATTGTCATTGTGGACGACAACTCGAGGGACGGGACTGTGGAGGAGGTGGAGAAGCTGCGGGAGGAGGGCTACAACGTACGAATAATCGTACGGACGGATGCGAAGGGCCTATCGTCCGCGGTGCTGAAGGGCTTCGAGGAAGCGAGGGGAGGCAGCTTGGTGGTAATGGACGCAGACCTACAACACCCACCGGAAGCCGTGCAACGTGTCATCGACGCACTGGACGATCCGACCACTCCATTCGCACTCGGAACGCGATATGGTCCAGGAACCCATATGAGCGAGAACTGGCCTATATATCGCCGGATTATCTCCTGGGGAGCTCGAATCCTCTCTCGGCCCCTCACGACTGCAAGTGACCCTATGACGGGTTTCTTTGGCATCAGGAAAGAATTTGTGAGTCCTGTTACCCGTGTCGACGTCACAAGTCTCCCAGCAGACATTATGCACGATGCGGGCGTACCTACGGCACCCGTTGACCGCCTTCATACCTGGCATAGCCTTATCCGCAGCACACTCGCTGATACCTCCATAGTTCCTTCGCACCGCTCCCATCAACCCCACAGGATTCAAGATTGCCCTCGAATTGCTACTGAAAGTACCACTGCCGCCCAATGGCATCGCTGAGGTGCCGTACGACTTTGGCACAAGGACAGTGGGCGAATGTAAGTAGTTACATACTTCATACAGCGCCAGGATTTGCTTGCTCAGTTGCTCCCCAGCAAAACTTTCCTCCAAAGTCATTCTGCGATATGTCGGCCAGCTAATCAGCTTATACTACTGGTCATGGGGTCTCATCTTCCCCATCGTCTCCGGGCTCATCGTTGGCTGCGGCATTGTGACGTGCATGTTTGCTTACGACGTATGGTAGGTGCAGGATCCCAGCCCCCTGGGACATAATACAGGGCTATATCTCATCCTATTCTCTAGGCAAGAGCGCCGATTGAGAGCGCGATACAGCCGAAGGATGAAGCTCAAGTCGGAGGTGTGAAGCTTTTCATTTCTTGCTTCTTCTTTCTACAGCCATGCATCCCTGCTTTCTCATTCATACTGTAACCCTGCTGTGCGAATGGACGGTCTCATTGGTTGTGCTTTCTGTTTTGCCTGTAGAGAGCGAGGGCCCGATAGAAGGCGAATAAAACGAATGCATGACCGACCCCAACAATCAAGCCTGCGAATTCACGGTCGACACGCTCATGAGATAGCGTCCACACATTGACGAAGCTAGCACGCAGAAGACGAACACGGGCGGACATGAGTCTCAAGTTGCGAGTGGGGACGTGCGCCAAAAGCGGAAGGGTCTTCGCAGGGATACCACATAGTTATTATTCTATATAATTTATTTCACGCAATGTTTGGAACGCATGTTCTACCCGTCACGAACTGAAGGGCTGGATCTCAAGCGCTAGCAGTACTGCCTGAGACGGAATACAATGCACGCGAGTATGGTTGTAAGTAGTCGACGTTTCGTGGCGAGAAGTGTCTGGTACCGTGAGACCCTATGACATAAACTTGCAAGCCACCTGCACATTCCGCCTGTACGCTCACGATCTCCGCATCTTCAAGACCACTCCCAATACAAAATGGCCGCTCAACGAGGTGCGTGCCGTCGTTGCAGAGACACATGCCACAATTCTGACGCTAACATGTCTTGTTCTATCCAGGTTCGTACTGATTCTCGATCCCTCGACAATATATGCTCACTTGACCAGGTGGAGGCGCTTCCGGCAACAAGTACCGCATGACCCTGGGTCTGCCCACCGGCGCCGTGCTCAACTGCGCGGACAACAGCGGAGCCAAGTCGCTCTTCGTCATTGAGCCGTTCGGGACTGGCGCGCACTTGAACAGGTTGCCCGATGCTGGTGTTGGCGACATGGTTGTCGCGTCTGTGAAGAAGGGAAAGCCTGAGCTCAGGAAAAAGAGTGAGCTTCGATCCTTTGTCGTGTTTCATCCTTCAGTGTGGAGGGCGTCGGATGTCGGGAAGCGGGCGAGGAGGGAGGAAGATTGGCCGGTTAAGCCAGCGCGGTTGAAAATGTGGCTGATGGTATACGGCGCTTGTGTTGATGGATACGGACGGGGCTCTCGTTTAATATCGTCCCTCACTACTTCTGATACTGATTGTTTGTCTACTCTAGCCATGCCCGCCGTCGTCGTCCGCCAACGCAAGGCCTGGCGCCGGCGAGATGGCGTCTTCCTCTACTTCGAGGACAACGCCGGTGTCATCGTTAACCCCAAGGGTGAAATGAAAGGATCTGCTATCACCGGGCCTGTGGCGAAGGAATGCGTGAGTGATCTCTCGTCTCACCCGCCGTTGTTACTCTACCCTCGTCTGCTACCTGTTTGTTTGTCAAGTTCGGACCGCTAACTATACCATATCCTGTTCACAGGCCGACCTGTGGCCGCGTATTGCATCAAACGCGGGCACAGTCGTATAAACCGTTGTTTTGCTATCCTCTTCTTCTCTACTGTATTCATGGCATGCTCTACGATTCCACTGCATATGACATGCGTTTCACGATGGGACATTCACATTGCTTCGATGGGAATCGCTCATATCGCACTCGGCCCAGTCGATGTATTGCATCGGCAATGGTAACATGATCGGCTCGAGGCTGCGAAAGACAAGATCTGCTACGGCAATGGTTTCTCACAAGCCTATCCACCGCAGAACGTCTCCGGCGACGTTAGCCATGATCCCCTTCCACTCCTTTGCACCGGGTTCATTGCTCGCAGAATGCGCGAGTTCGAAGGGTATCCCTGCGTCACCGCTGGTGCTCACTCCTGGGACAAGAGGGAATTCGCCTAGAACGGGAATTCCGAGCCCTAATACGGTTTGGCGGAAATGTTCGGGAGAGCCGAAAAGTGGGTGATGAGTCGAGCAAGAGGGACATATGAAGTGTGACTGGTTAAGTACTACTCCGGCTACCTAGACGTACATTTGGAGTCAGTAGCAACATCGGCGTGAGGTACAATTCCTCACCGGTACGGACACCTTGCGGAACATTGCAATCCCCTTGCGAACGTCGGATAAAGCAACGTCCTGCGGGGTGGATACAATGACCGAACCTGTTACCAGATATCAGTCATGAAGTGTCTCTGCATAGCGCGTATATGCATACCGTCCACCTGCACAAGCTGGCCCAATGTCAATGGGACATCACCGGTCCCCGGAGGCATATCCACCACCAGGACGTCCAGTCCGGGCCCATGCGTATGCGCTTCGTTTCCCGCGTCCGCCCGCCAGTCCACATCGAAAAGGAGCTGTTGGACGGCCTTTTGCACCATCAGTCCACGCCAGACGATAGCTGTATCCTCAGACGTGTCTCCTGACGGAGACCTCGGCAGGAGGAACCCCATGGACATGCATGCTAGACCATGATTCACCATAGGTATCAGGGCCCCACCTACGCAAACCGACTACATGAGCGATAGTCCTTGAGTCGTGAACAGTAATACGGACCAGCGGTCAAATGAGGTTCTTCACTGCGCTCGAGTCCCATGAGCTTGGGTACCGACGGTCCAAAGATATCGAGGTCTAGGATGCCGACTCGCAGTCGAGCCTGCTGCGTCGAGGGTCGATGTAATGCAAGCGCCATGGCGAGATTTACTGGACCAATTGTCAACTTCCCTGAGTTGTCTCTTACGAGGGCGATGTATACCTGCCAATGTGCTTTTCCCAACGCCTCCTTTGCCACTAGCCACCACCACCACTTTTCGTACATGGGGTATAGCCCGTTTTTGGATGGGACCTCCGCGTCGAGGTATCTGAGGCGCGCCCGGCCCTGCGGACTTGCGCGGCAATCCCTGGGAGAAGCTGAGCCCTCGTTCAGAAAATACGCAGGAGGGGCAAGCCTACTAAAGGGTTTTCATGTCGAAGCCAGACGGAGGTGGTGAACAGGCGATGTTGGAGTCGCGTCCAAGTCATCCTGCTCAATCCTGCGCTCGCGCCCTTCTTGACTCGCGCGGCCTCCTGCTGCAGCCGTCAATCCCCTCTTCACCTGCTACATTCACCACGCAATGATCACTCGAATACTGGCCTTTTACACCCTCCAGCAATCACTCCGTCAATTAACTCGATTATCTGCGTTATACTGAGTACCTAGTCAATGTTCGGAGAGGAAGTGTCGGAGAGCCCGCGCGCTCCCTCGCCTTGGAACAACCTGGTGGCCACCCCTCCCGCCTCTTCGCCGCACCTGAAAGCAATAACTGGCGGGGAACTCACGCGGATACCCAAACTGATTCCGGAGGTCGAAGAAGGGAATGTGGAATATAAGTTAAAGCTCTGTACGTCAAAGATCCCCGTCATCAACGAACTCAGCGCTAAACCTCGTATATCCATATATAAGTGAATCCGACAGCTGCGCGCTTTGCGCGACTCGTCACGCAGCTTAAGTGGAGGCTCCTTGAAGGCGGCGGCCAAGCATATTACGAACTCGGTGCGCACAAAACTTTGGTTCGGAATCTCTTTGAATGATACTCATGTCGCCGCTTAGGGGTTGCGGACTCGGGAATGCTCGTGGGTCTCTCCCGCGCCGATCTAGAGGCGTCATTAGAGACGCTTGAAATGATGGCGGGCGAGATTGGTGCGAGCGTCATCGTCGTAAAAGAGGTTGAGGTGCCGCGTGCCATGGTCGAGATCGCGGAGAAGCTGGCTTTGCGCGAGCGCGACGACTCGGGTACCAGCGTGGAGGACGATGGCTGGACTATGATGCGCATGGGTAGCTGGGAGAGCCGCGCCAAGAAGAAGTCCGGCGGTTCGCCACTGCTCGAGGCCGCTTCATCGTGGACGCCGGGATCAGAACCCGAGTCGGAGGAGGATGTTGTCTATGGTTCAGCCAGCCTTGCGACTATCAAACCGGGAGATTTCGATACGCTGCCTACACTACGACTCGAGCCTCCCCCGGAGAATGGTGATGCGAATCCCCTATTCTCGATGGATCCAGAATTGGAGGCGACCTCGTCGGAGGTAGACCTTAGCTCCTCTGATGTCGACTCGGACGCGCCTTCGTCTCGGCAGTTCGACATCGACCTTGCCATAGCATCGGTGTTCAAGCCTCGGCCGATCCGTCGCCGTGTTCAGGGCACGGACGTTCAACAGGGTTCGAGGCGAGGCAAGGACAAGGACAGGCCAGCGAAAGTCAAACGTAGGGGCGCGCCGCCTTCGTTAGTGGACTCCTCGACATCCTCCGACCCTAAAGCTCCGCCCACGAAAGCCGAGGCTAAGGCGCTGAAACGTCGAGCCGCGCGGGACAAGCGTAGAGACGAACGGCGCAAGGCGCTGCTTGGTCAGAACGGTGACGTTGTCGATACGCAGGACGCAGTCGGTCCTGCGGCCATTGCGGACACGACGTCATCCGCCAATGCTGCAGACGATCATGCTATACTCGTTCCAGAACCGATGGTAGATCCTGTTGCGTCGGAGGCACCCTCCCTTGCGGCCCGACTTGACGGTCTGCACGTCTCACATGAGGATGCGCCGATTTTGCCGACCAGTGATCGCTCACCGAGCTCGATCGACGATGGCAACAAGGAAGACAAGGAAAGCGACCGTAACAGCGGTGGCAGTGGTTGCGAAGCTCCCGCCGGCAGCAACGTCAGGGCTTTGAGACACCCCGTTGCAGCAGCATATGAGCCGCGATTGATCGTGGAGGCGCTCGTAGTGCGTAAAATGTCTCTGGAGGAGGGGTTCCTGGATTTTGAAGGCTTCGAGGTCGTATGATACTTGTTTGTAACTACGGCCCTCCTGTCGCAGTTGGGCGTTTATACTCACCGTTGCACGCGCTGAGTGCATGACCGCTCATTTCACTCTGCCGATATCCGAGTGCGTGATATCTGAAAGCTTGACTGAGCTTCAAATGGATTGGGAATATGTCTCGGAAGCCGCCTCAACCCGAACGGTCGCACAGTTTGATGAACGTGGGAAGGGGGCGAGCGGACATGACTTCTCCCGCACTCAGGTCCCGTCGAAGAATGATCAAATCGCATCCAACAAAAGCCCCACATGCCAGCCTCTTTATGCTCCGAACCTCCATGTCTGCGCTACTTTAAGCAACCCTTAGGACACCCTCGTCCAGCTTCTACGCCCTTCTCCGCCTGCCCAAATATCGTGGAAGAGGCAGGCTTGCTTTGTTCCCGGGGATGCTTGCTCGTTGACCCAGCACGTACGCTACGGAACATCTGAGGTGGTGTGGCGACCGAGGCAAACGAGCCACAGCATCGCACATAGTTAGCAAGCATTTCCCGTTCTTATCATCTTGCCGGGGGCATGGAGACCGACGTGTCGGGCTCTTCCCGCGCGTTGTCTTCACGTTACGGCATAGAGGGCCAGCAATCCCCTGCAAATTCGGATGATCTGGCCGACTTGATTCAAGCTGTATCCGACTCGAGGATCGTCTCGTATTCGCTTGCTGCCTCCATCGCTTGGCTCTTGTATGACATATTCATCACGTTTCCACAAGAGGTTAGCGGCGTCTCTTGTATACATATCCCAACACGCTGACAGCGTGCTCGCGCCATTTAGTTGACTCTCATTTGGAGGTAGTCCTAATTATATCCGAAGACTCTTCATCGTATCTTATGATCTGTTGAAGGCGGAAGATGACGGCTCACAAAGCCCTGTACATTGTCACGAGATACTATACCCTGTTGATACTCTTGTGCGCGCACTTTCTCTCCCCCGGGGTTTCGATCTGACAAACGATATGCCATAGAATATGTTTCAAATGTACGCCCTGCCTAACAATAAACCGAGTCCACGTCTGACCCTAATACCAGACTCAGTCGACATTCATGTGAAGACGCGGGTAAGTCCCCCTGTACTGAGATGTGCGACGAACGATTGATCGCGCCTACGTCTTTTTAGACGAGATTGTAAACCTATTTCCATGTCGTGAAACGCAAGCATGGGTCTGACATGAGGATCAAATCAGTTGTCATGTATATGTTTGGTTCGAAGGCTTCCATACCTCAGTCTTCCCGCTCGCCGCGGGCGACCTCATGCTTGCCATGCGGGTCGCAGCCTTATACCGGCACAACGTTAAAGGTCTGTGTACGATCTTTACACTGTTTTTCTGCTGCCCGCTGATAGCTGATAAACATGACAGTGCGGCTGCTGATCGCCTACCTATACCTATGTGAGTGAGCAAGCCGACAAACTACCGAGCCCATCTGAGCTAAATCGCATGCCGCGCTAGCCACCGTATCCGTGCGTCATCCCTTCGATTGCTGCCGTAGACTGGTCCGTCTGAAATGTGTACCAAGGCCTCGATATTCGCGTGGGCGTATAATCTATCGACGGTGCACCCGTTGGCGGTACCGCCGGAGGTTCCTATTCCCGGCTGTGTCATCACCGCGCCGAAACACTTGTTTGCCGCGGTCGGATGCAGGTGAGGAGTCTTTCGCAGCATACCTTGCGTTGCTCTGGCAACCAACAGCATCCCACAGCATATGGAACATTATCACAGCGTGTGAGCCGGTTCGGTCTACCCTGTTGTGTGCGCTCCATTCTGACGCTCGCTTGCTCGGGGAAGGTATGTTGGTCGGCATGACCTTTTACAAGACGCATCAGAACGAAAACGCGAGTCTCGGGTTGAGCTATCGCGACCGACGGAGATTGATGCCCAACCTGGCGCTCATGGCACGGGATGGGCTTATCTGGTTTACGGTGTACGCATGTTCTGCTATGGCGAGACGTAGGGTCGTACTAATACATGCACTCTTTCTCTCTCTTCGCAGGGTCATATGTGTGTTTCTTTGTTCATATCCGAAAAGGTGATACCCACCCCGGTACAGGTGTGCTCGGCTGCACCGTCGCCGTGATGTTCGTGTGGCGGACCAGAACGCTCTCCGGGATCTATTTTGGGTAGGGTTTCTCCGTCTACTTTTCCTGCCGACCGGTTTCGTAGCTCATGTTGTCCGAACGTTCAGGTTCCTGCTGAACTCGTACGCGACCGCGGTCAGTGTGACTCTGTTACCCTGCCCGCTCGGATATCAGACGAACTGAAACGACGGCGTCTTTCTCTCCCCTCCCAGTCGTGCCGGTTGCTCCTTAACCTGAGAGGTTCCATCTGGGGCGCGCCTGGCGTACCGTCCGACGTCGATGTGGACCTAGAAGACGTCCCGCTGCCGACGGACCCCGCCAGCCGACGGTGGTTGGATATGCCGCACCCGGAGTTGGATTCACACGAGGGAGCGCAGGGGAGCGGGACGGGGACGCCGATGCCGAGCAGCGCGTCGAGCGCGCCTGGCGAATTCGAGCTCCCTGCGCTGGACGTGGGTCGGAGAGCAGACGCTTGGAGTATAGAACTGCAGAATAGATGAAAGAAACGAGACTCGCAGGGGGTCGGGAAAAAGTGAGCGGAAAAACGTGCATGATAAATAAAAGGTGGGCGAGCCCGCCCTCGTCGCGGAAAGTAATTACCGCCCACGTTGTGTCTTGGGAGATCTCTCGGAGCCGTGCCGATCTTTTTCATCTCTGAACCATGTTTTCTCACTATTCTGTCCAAAAGTGTTACTCGTACATCACTCCGTGCCCTATTGGCCCCCAACCCCCCCCCCCTTTACCTCATCCTCTTCCCCCTTGCTCTTCCCCTGGTCGGAACCCGGCGACAGCTCAGTTACCGGTAGCGCCGTTGTTGTTGCCAAACGAGTTCTGCGGGTTGGAGAAGCCGTAGTAACCGTTGAACGTCGCGGGCGCGGCGGCGGTCGGGCTCCTGACCATGTTCGTCGTCGGCATGTGGACCGCCTCGTCCTCGTCGAGCTGGGCGACGTAGCTCGAAGCGATGATGCACCCGTCTACGCGTTGAAAAAAACAAAAACGAATGGTATTCAGCATGAGCGCGGGCAGGGAATGGGTAAAAAAGCGCGGGAAAAAGTAAAGGGTAATAACACGCACAGAGTTCCAGGAGCCAGACGACGACGAGGACGGCGACGACGGCGGCCTTGGTCTGGTGCGTCGCGCCGGATCCTGTGGCGTCCTTGAAGAGGTGGTAGAGGAAGAAGGCGCCGGTGCCGATGGTGAAGCCCCAGTGGATCCAGAGCGCCTGGGCGTAGATGCCGACGAGGGCGCGCTTGCGCGCGGCGGCGCCGGCGAAGCCGAGCGCGGAGACGAGGGCGAGGAGGGTGTAGAGCACCGTTTGGGCGATGAGCGCGCCGCGCTGTTGGGGCGAGAGGGCGGCGGGGCGCTGGTGGACGTGCGCGAGGGTGATCCAGCCGAGGACGGCGATGGCGCCGCCGATGAGGACGCCGAAGGTGCTGGAGGGGGGGTGGAGGTTAGCGGGTGGGACGATGTGTGTGTGTGGGCTGGGGGAGAGAGAGGGAACGTACGTCATGGCGAACACCCCGAGGCGGACGGGCAGGCAGCAGAGGAACTTGTGGTTGCGGTAGCCCATCTTGGCGGGGGGGAGAAGCGGGTTAACGAAAGGAAGGGCGGGGTTGGGGCACGAGCGTGAGCGGGGTTTTCGAAGAACGTTGAAAACGGAAACGAGGCGGAGAGAACGCGGAAAGAGCGAGAAAACGTGAAGCAGTATGGTCAGAGACGTCAAGGAGGCGCAGCCTGAGGGACCGTGGCTCGAGCTCGACGGGCTTTATGGTGCAGCGTTGGGTGCCCCGGTTGATGGGCCATCAGGCCATGCCGATCTGGGTCTCCAGGTAGGTTCCGCTTGGCTACCGGATGGACCTATCTGCCATGGTATGCATGACGATTCCGTTGTTCTTGGTAGCCACGAGCGGGCATTGTAGGTTGTCTGTAAGTAGCTTTTGAGAGGGAAAAGATGAACGCCGGCGCTAAAACAGATCGTCAATGCGCGGAACCAAAATCAGGACAGAGAGCAGGGATGGGCACCGCCACCAGACGTGGTGATGACGTCCTGGGTCGCATGCATCCTGTGCGGTGCGCAGAGCCAGCCCTCTCTCTCCCTCTATCGCGTTCCTCCACGTCTTCCCTCCTCCGCGTATACCCCCCGCCATGAAGGTGTACTCGCTCTCTGTCATCCTGGCGCCGCCATCGGGCCCATCCACGATCCTCAGCCAGGGCACGGACCTCTCCCAGTTCTCGTTCTACCAGAAGGGCTCGGTCGCCGAGTTTATGAACTTCATGTCCAAGACCGTCGCCGAGCGGACGCCGCAGGGGCAGCGGCAGAGCATACAGGAGAACAACTACACCGCGCACGTGTACAACCGCGGCGGCGCGGAGCAGCTCGCAGGTACCGATGCTTTGAACAGAGAGAGAGAGAGGCTAAAATGACGGTTGTTTGTGTTGTTGTTGTATAATCAGCGGTGATCATCACGGATATGGAGTACCCCGTCCGGCCGGCGTTCTCGCTGCTGTCGAAGGTGCTGGATGACTTCATCGCGAAGGTGCCCCAGTCGGCGTTCGGGAACCCGAGCGCGATCTCCTTCCCGGAGATCACGGCGTACGTGCAGAAGTACCAGGACCCGCGACAGGCGGACAGCATCATGCGCGTGCAGCAGGAGCTGGACGAGACGAAGATCGTCTTGGTGCGTCTCTCTCTCTTCGTAGTTATCGCGGCGCTTCCGACGACCGACGTTCCGGGATTTACATGTGTTTTTTGGATATGCGTGTAGCATAAGACGATCGAGTCGGTGCTGGCGCGGGGCGAGAAGCTCGACAACCTCGTGGACCGGTCGAACGCGCTCTCCGCGCAGAGCAAGATGTTCTACAAGACGGCGAAGAAGGTGAGCAAAGTGCCTCCGCTTCGCGTCGTGTCCGTCTTGTTTCGCGATCGAGACCGCTTCTGACCCGCTTTCCCGTGCCCCTCTTAGCAAAACTCGTGCTGCGTGATCATGTAGAGCTTCCCTGCCGCGACGGCGTCTTTTTCCAATTGGGGGGAGGGGGCGTCGAGAACTGCTGCCTTCGTGCCGTTTTTTACTTATTTGGGTAGAGGCACCGCGCGTCCTTCGGCGGCTTCCCATCCCGCGCACCTTTCGGACTCCAGCCCTGACACGGCGCAGTTGTACCGCCGAGGGTAGACATTGTATATACTCTGTATACGCAACACATACAACGCACATCGCGATGCGCCCGCGAGATCTAGACATGGGGCTTCGATGATTGTGCTCTGCAAAGGCTACGAGCATCGTCCAAGGAGGCTGATTCCGCGCTCGATGGCCATAAGCAGTCAAATGAGGCGGTTGATTCCGCGCGCGCATCATTGCCCTCAGATCACCGCACGCTCGTTATCTGACGGCGCCTATCTGACGGCGGGGAGCCACGGCGTATTGCTTGACAGGCCTTGGCTATGAATTACTGTAATGGAACCCGCTTTGCTCTCAGGAACAGGAGGTCGCAGATTGCCATCCTCCGATGACGGCTAGAAGTGCGCGTACTGCCTGACACCGCAATCGCCATCGAGCTATATATCCCTCCTCACGCCCCGCCTCGTGCAGATAAAATCAATCGTGATTCATCGCCGTCTGCCCAACTCCACTCACATCCGACCGACCATGTCCAGCCCCAACCTCGTCTCCGGCGTGCTCAAGGGCCTCGGCGACGTCACCGGCAACCTCCACAAGAGCTTCGAGCCGTACGACACCGACGGCGCGCGCCCCGTCCCGGGCCCGCTCACCCGCCACATCGACGACCTCGCGCAGATCGCCGAGCGCGGCTCCGCGTTCACCCCCGCAGACCTGGTGCGCATCCCTCTGGCGCGCGCGCACGTCGCGTTGCTGATTCCGCGATCTTGCGTCGTTAGCCGGCGTACGTCGACGCGGTGAAGAACCTCAACGGCGTCGGCCTCGATGACCGCAAGCTCCTCCTAGAAAAGCTCGTCACGCTCATGTCCCGCCTCCCCGACGGCAACCTGTTCGGCAAGAAGCTCCAGGACTTTGTACGTCGCGCCTCCGCTTCCTCGACGAGAACGCGGCTTTGTGACTTCCCGTCCCCTCGCAGTTCATCGACACGCTCTACAACGACCTCCCGCACCCGCCCGCCGGCTACCTCTCCCTCCCCGCCGCCGGCTACGGCGCAACGGCGCTCCCGCCCCAGCGCGTCCCGTACGCCTACCGCTCCGCCGACGGCTCCAACTACAACCCCCTCTTCCCGGACATGGGCAAGGCCGGCACGCCCTACGCGCGCTCCGTCCCGTCCAAGATCACCGTCCCGCGCTCGGCGCTCCCCGACCCCGGCCTCGTCTTCGACACCCTCCTCGCCCGCCAAAAGTTCACCCCGCACCCGGGCGGCATCTCCTCCCTCTTCTTCGCGCTCGCCAACCTCATCATCCACTCGTGCTTCCACACCAACGCCCGCGACTGGACGATCAACGACGCCTCCTCCTACCTCGACCTCAGCCCGCTCTACGGCTCGTCCGACGCCGAGCTGGACCAGATCCGCACGCACGACGGCTCGGGCCGCATCCACCCGGACACGTTCATGGACAGCCGGATCCTGTTCATGCCGCCCTCGACGAACGCGCTGCTCGTCCTCTTCAACCGGAACCACAACTGGATCGCGTCCAAGATCCTCGCCATCGACGAGTGGGGCAAGTACGCCCCGCCCGCGAGCCTCGCCGACGCCGCCGCGGCCGCGAAGCGGGAGGCGCAGGACGCCGAGATCTTCCACCGCGCGCGGCTCGTCAACACCGGCTTCTTCATGCAGGCCATCCTCCGCGACTACGTCGGCGCCATCCTCGGCTGCGTCCGCGACGGCTCCGCCTGGCGCCTCGACCCGCTCGCCGCCTTCCGCGACCTCTCGCACGAGGTCTCCCCGCGCGGCGAGGGCAACGTCGTCTCGCTCGAGTTCAACCTGCTCTACCGCTGGCACGCGACGTCCTCCGCGCAGGACACCCAGTGGACGGAGGCCGAGTTTGGGAAGCTGTTCGACGGCAAGGATTTCAGGACGATCACCGTCGACGACTTCCGCCGCGCGGCGATGACCAAGCTCGACCCGCGCAAGCTGCCGCCGTTCACCGAGTGGACGTTCAACGGGCTCGAGCGCGGCGCGGACGGAAGGTTCGCGGACGACGATCTCGCCAAGATCTTGCAGGCGAGTGGGGATTGGGTTTTGTGAACGAGGAATCGGGGGCGGTTGCTGACGAATAAAAAAATAAAAAATTGGGATACAGGATGCGACGGAGTGGCCCGCGGGCGCCTTCGGAGCGCAAGGAATCCCGGACGTGCTCCGCGTGGTGGAGATGCTGGGGATCGCGCAGTCGAGGACGTGGGGCGCGTGCAGTGTAAGCGTCCGGATTGCCGTCGTCCGCTTTTTTGCTCACGCCCCGCGCTAATACGCCAGATGAACGAGTTCCGCGAGTTCATGGGCCTCAAGCCGTATTCGACATTTGCCGAGTGGAATCCCGATCCGGCCGTTCACGTAAGTTCCCCCCTCCCCCCCCGCGCGAGGCGTTCGTCGAGTATGAGGTTCCCCCTGACGTGATCGTTCACAGAAAGCGGCAGAGGCGTTGTACCACCACATCGACAACCTCGAACTTCATGTGAGCCAGCTCTATGTCACTCGGGTGGTCGGTGATCTGGGTACTGAGTCTCGCTTTGACAGGTCGGCATTCAAGGTTCGTCCGTGCTGCGCTTTTCGCGCTGTGTCGACTGATCGAAACTGGTTCAGCCGAGCAAACGAAGGACCCTATGCCCGGCGCCGGCCTCTGCCCGGGGTACACCATCTCTCGTGCGATCCTGTCCGACGCCGTCTGCCTGACACGAGGAGATCGGTTCCTCACAGTTGACTTTACTCGTACATGCGCTCATCCTACTCGTCGTCGGCCAATGCTGACCCGTTCCGCCCAGCCTTCAACCTCACGTCGTGGGGATACCAGCACTGCCAAGCCGACGGCGACGACGGCTCGTACGGCGGCACCCTCGCAAAGATGCTGTTCGCTCTCCTGCCCGAGCACTACCCCGCCGGCTCCGCTTACGGGTGAGTGCGCGACCGGCTGGTAAACGCTCCTTACCGACGGCCGCTCGTTCCGTTCCAGTCACTTCCCGTTCATGGTGCCGGAGACCATGCGCGGCTTCATGAAGGACCGCAACGACCCGGACGTCGACAAGTACACTTGGTCGCGCCCGTCGGTCCCCGTCCCGACGGCCGTCGTCGACACGTACGACGGCGCCAAGCTCGTGCTCGGCAACCCGCGGCTGTTCGCGTCGACGTACGAGCGGCACCTGTTCAACGTCGCCGGGACGTCGTCCGAGGCGGCCGCGCTCGTGAACTCCGTCCTGACGTCGGACGATATGACGCAGCAGTGGAAGCGCTCGGCGTACGTCACCGCGGTGTCGCTGATCCAGAGGAAAACTTTCGAGCAGGTCAAGTCGACGGCCCGCTATGTGGACGTGGTGAAGGACGTGATCAACTTGGTGCCCGTGCACCTCATCGCGAACGAGCTAGTGCGTGTTCACTGCCTCCGTCGCCTCCTGCTGTGCTGAACGAACGCCCTAGGTCGGTCTGCCCATGAAGACCGAGGATAACCCCCACGGAGTCTACAGGGAAGACCAGGTACGATTATCTCCCGACGATCCATCGTGCGCCGTCCCCATCTCAACCTCCGAACAGCTGTACGATCAATTTGCGGAGGTCTGCAAGTGAGTGACTTGGCTGGTTGTATGTAGAAACTGCCTGTTGACGCTGGACCCAGTTACGTCTTCGTCGACGCCGACAACTTCGTCGATTGGAGGTTGCGCGAGCACTCGATCGCGACTCTGAAGGACGTCCTGGACTACGCCAAGGGGCACTTCACCAAACTCACCAAGGGTCTCGTAAGTTCTTGCCCAGTGCATCGCGATAGACTGTCACTAATCATCGGAGCAGCTATCTTTCGGCGGCCTTTCCGATACCGTCGTTCAATACGTCGCGGGGCGCAACGATAACTCGGAGCGGTTCCTCCGGAAGCTTCTGGATGGTCGCCGGGGCCTGTCGGACGACAGCCTGGCCGCAGGCCTTGCGAGCATCGTAGCCACCGCCGCTCACTTCTCCGCCGCCTTGGCGAACGTGGTGGACTTTTACCTTGATGATGGCCAGCGCGAGGCGCGGGACGACATCGTCCGGCTCGCGAACGTGCACAGCGTCCAGGCAGACCATCAGCTCCTTCAATACGCGCTGGAGGCGCTCCGCCTCAAACCCGCGGTCGCCGCCGTCTACCGGACCGCTTCGGCGAATGGCCAGGTCGGGACCACGTCCGTGCAGCCGGGGCAGAAGGTCTTCGTTAACGTGACGAAGGCAAATCAGGAGGTGCGGGCGTCGCGTTCTTGTTCGCGGCATGGATGGCTCATCCGGCGGTTCCAGGCTTCGCACGGTCAAGAGCCAGGAATCTTCGACGTCGGCGAGCATGGGTAAGGCACGATCTTGTCTTGTTCATTTACGAGTACTCAGTATATCCTAGCTTCATGAGCCAGAAATTCTTCGAAGTCGTGAGTGACAGTCGTTCTGGCGGTCGCACCAGGGATGTTTACCGAGACCTCACAGGCCGCTCCGTCCGTCCTGCGGGCCGTGTTCAGGCTCCCGCAACTGAAACGTGCGCCAGGGCTTTCGGGCGTTCTGAACAGGCGAGTCTTCCATCGCCGTACGGGCGCCGAGCATGTAATTGACTATAGCCCTAGCTTCACCGAGACCGTTTATGATACGCAGATCACGTCGTACATCAACAGCAAGGGCGAGACCACTCCCTTCCCGCCGTCGCTGGTGGTTCATTACTCGTTGTAGCAGCTGCAGACCGGAAACAATGTACAGTATTATCACATATAATGCTACCCTTGACTCTGGACCACCAACTGGAACATAGAGAACGACATCCCCTACGAAGACGACTCACCTTCACGCTGTTGAGATACTCCGAATCGCGTGTCCTCCGCGATCGTCAAATATAGCGGGGACACTAACATATTGCCTTCAGAATCATCTGGGCACCACGCATCAGTGAACACGAATTGAACTCGCATTCGGCATGTGTTCTCACAGAAGTCCTTGACAGGCCTCGTCAATCGGTTGAAGCCATATCATCGTTCCGTCTGTCGCAACAATGACAGAGACGATGCTGTACTACACTCTACTGTTCGGAAAATCCGTTCAGGCGCGGGAGGCATTCTAGATCTTCCCCCTCATCCCAAACCGCAATCACATGGACTTGACATCCTCATAAGCTCTCCGGTGTACTGATCAAGTACATGTGATTCGTCGCCTGAATTTCGAGATATCGTCGTACCTAGCGCGTACGGCGAGCCCAAAAATCACGTTATTGAAGACGGAGCGGTAACAAAATATCCCGCCCGGCAATCGACAGATGTTGCATAGGATGTTTATCCATCGGCTGCGGTCCGTAGACGCTCGCATGACCAAAAGCCGACGACGCACTGAACACGCCGCAAGTCCAACAACTTCCGGCGGACGGCCTGCAGAGACCCTTGACCAACTACTTAGCAAGTCCTAAATATGCTACCGATCCGGTTTCGGACTGGCGTGATGGCTCCTTCACGCCACCCAGACATACTTGGCCGCCGAATCCCAGTGGTACTAATACTTCGCATGTGTCGAATCGGCGATCATCAAGTTTCGATCGTCTCGCCTGACGCAACATCGATACGAGGCATCGAGCACGTTATAAGTCGGCCGGGCAAGACCTTGGAAGTCGGAACGCGTGGTTGGAACGTTCTTGGTCCGTTTTGACTGCGTTCGAAAGCTGCATAGCTAAGATGAACAGCACGCACCAGCCATCGCATCCGGGCTTGTTCCGCGTTTGTTTCGTTCCCGGCGAGTATCGTTCGTACCTGCAATCAGAAAAGGTGCGATATTCATCTTTTTTTCAAACGTCGCCTGGTCCAACCATCTTACTATGGGTGACTCCAGAATCTCAAACCAGGGGATGTGGTCACGTACCTGCGCGGACTCACCAAAGGCGCAAAGGCTTATTCGTCCGTGCAATGCGGACCAGGGCCGGAAGACCACGTCGAGCTCAATTCCGACCTGCTTTACAGTGAGTGCAGCATTCGTCTCTAGAAGGACGACAGTGCACGACACTTATTTGCCGTCCAGTGAACCACTCTTGCGATCCAAGTGTCGTCGTAGATCTTTCTTCAAAAGATCCTTCCTTGTGGCAGATACGCGCAATAAAGCACATCAACGCGGGCGATCCCCGTAAGCCACATATCTGTCAGACACAAAAGCTCGCTGATGTGTTGCTTACCACTTCCCACTAGTAACGTTTTTCTACCCTAGCACGGAGTGGGTCATGGCTCAACCATTCGAATGCAACTGTGGATCACCGGTTCGTCCAGCTGAGCCGTGACCATAGCACACTGACTAAAGGCATCACCAACAGAATTGCCTAGGTCGTGTCGAGGGTGCATTCAGCTTGTCCAAAGCTCAGCTCAAAGACCGAGGATTCATCAACCCTTGGATTTGGGATCTAAAACTTAGCAACGCATGATGATATACCTATCAAGACGCTCAGGGTCAAGAGACTCACGATGAAGTCACCTTCACTCCTTACTGGCGGGTATGTGCATGCACGCGATGTTGGGGCACGAGATATACCTTCCGTGAATGACAGAGCATCTATATGATTGGGGGTGTACCAAGTAGATCAATTATATGAATATCTATTGAACCTTCTTTTCGGTCTCAGCAGCAGCAGCTTTGGCTGCCTCCTCTGCCTTGACCTTTTCCTGCACCGCTCTCCTTTGCTCCCGCCGTTCGCGACCCCGGGTGACAAGCGGCTTCGGCTCAAGATCTGCGAAGAAATACTTGCAGACCTTTTCAATGATATAACAGCCAACGAAGTCAAGGGCCATCGACACGGAGAGCCTGAATTTGAACTGTGGCGGATATTCAGCAATGCATACCGCCATAAACCAAGTGTTGCTTACGAAGCCTGGCATCTCCACAATCTGCAACCAGCGGTTGAGTTCCGGCATGAAGTCGGTAGCACCAGAGACCGCCACGGATTGGGCACCGACCAAGCCCCAATACAGGTACTTGTTCTCCCGGATACTCTCGCGGAATGGGCGACCCTTGGATTGCGCATTAGCGATTTGACAATCATTCGGGCTGCAGGGAGCCGTACCTGGTAGTTGATGGCAAAGGTGGATACTTGCTGTGACAGACCGAGGAGGTAAATGGCAGTGTTGAGAAGGCTGGGCTCGAATTTGGCATCAAGGTCGATAGGACCACGCCTGTGGGAGTAAATTCTCAGAATGTTAACGGTTAACGGAGCTTCATTGTGTACTGACTCTTCATTACTGTGAGCGAGATTTGTGATGTATACCATCGTCACGATATGCAGAGCAAATTGCAGCAAGACCGAGAGCAACACGTAGAAGTTGAAAATGTTCCCTAAAGGACGCTCCCGGGATAATTTCTCAACGGGCTGGGCAAGCAGAGTCAGGGCTGCTATTGTGGGGATGATGGACGGTGTACCTTAGCTCGTGAGATGCACAAGAAGCATACCGACATTAACATGCCAGTGATGGTGACCTGGTAGTCCCCATACTTGATGCCATCAAGATACTGCACGCTGAGACTGTAGGCAGTGATGAGACAGTTCAGGGCAAGAATCTTGTACATCTGAATCGTGGCCACAAGGGTGCAGCGGCCCTGCCGGATGATACTAGTAACTGGAATAGGGTAAGATAACTAAGTCGAAGCTGAAAACGAAGCCGGGTCTTACTGGCAGAGACGTTGGAGAGCTTGGACGTGAAGGGTGCAGCACAGCTGGCGTCACCCAACTTGATCTTGGGTACATCTTCCTCGTCCATCTCCGACATCTTTTCCGTGAGCGCGCTCAGGTCGAACTAGTTTTAAGCATTCAGTGGTAGGTAGTATCCCTCTGATGAACGGCGAACGGACTCTTTCCGCAGGATTTCTCTGTCTCGCTACCTGAAGGTCCTGCGCGACCTGCTGCTGCGTCTGTACGAGCTCGGGGAATGCCTGAGCGAGCGCGGGCGGCACCGGTGGCGGCGGTTGATTGAACCGCTGTGTCAGCTTCAGTTGGCTCTCGTACACCTTCTTCATGCGTAACAGCCGTTGATGCTCCGCAATCTTCTGCAGATCCTCCGGAGTGCCGTCCAAGAGCGCAACACCGATATGCGCCTGCTTGAGAGCACCGACGTCGTTCGTTCCGTCACCAGCCATAAGCGTTGTGTATCCGAGCACACGGAGGGTGTTGAGTATTAGCTCCTTCTGCGAGGGAGATACACGCGCGTATACCCATGTATTCTGGACCAGCTGATGCAAGCTCTCCTCGCGATTCTCGTATTGTTTGAGCGCTGGGCCAGTAATGCAGACATCGTACTCGTCAAAGAGGGAGGTGTCCAGCGGTTCAGCAGGGTTGACGGGGACGCTCTTGCTATCATCCACGGTACGCCATACCAGGTCTGGGCAAGGGTTAGCGAAGAAGCTCGAAAAGGCACCGGCAAACTCACCTGATTCGCTGGCAGCGTTTTCTTTCAGGTCGAGGATAAGCGCGTCCCGATCCACAATCTCAACATCCTTCGCTACATGAACCGCAGTGAGAGGGTTATCACCAGTGATCATGATGCACTGCAAAATAATTCATCAGATTCTGAGAACCAACGGCTGGGGGAGCCACGCACGCGATGTGACGAATCCGCGAGCATCTGCAGGGCTTGCACAGCATCCGCCTTAAGTGGGCAATGGAATACCAAGAAGCCAGCGAACGTCAACCCGTTCTCTACTTGATCCCGAGGCAACTTGTTGATCTTCTCTACGCTCATGCTATCGCCCTCCTTCACACCGAGAGCGAGCACTCGGCTCCCTCGGCGGGTGAACCACTTGAAAGTATCGTCGTAACCCTCTGGCACCTTACTCAACATACCCTTGATCGTTTCCGGCGCGCCTTTCACTGCGATAAGGGTGCGCCCGTTTGGAAGCGACGAAACCGTCGACATGCGCTTCAAAGCCGAGGAGAACTGGAAACGGCGCCTGATGCGGATAGCGGCAGACGTGTTCGTAGCAGCCTCCGGGGAGACCGTGTCGCCTATATACACAAGCGATGGACATGAGTTAGGTAGAAGGGACAAGAGGACCACTGCTTACCTTTGTCGACCTTCCATTTGAGCGCTTCCAGTGTTGTCTTCTCCATCGGGTCACCCACGACCGTTCCATCATCCAGCCTCACAAGCGCGTGCGCGGCGGCCAAGCACAGGGTGGTTTCCTTGGTCGTTTCCTTGACGTCTACAAGCTTCAAGGGGTCCTTCACGCTGATTCACGGCACACTTATCAGCACCTATGTAGATCAACGATAGCAACGCGTGAAGACCTACTCGACGCCAGCGACACCCTCAACGACCAAGTTCTCGGCAGTGATCGTGCCAGTCTTGTCAAAGCAACACACATCTACGCGGCCAGCGAACGGAATTCTGAACGGTTCCGTGCAGAATATAGCTAAAGCATGGCATGTCAGTCCCCATTGACCCACGAGCGGAGTGACACGACCTACCGAACTTAGAAAGCGCCACGAGGGACGCATTCACGGCAAGCGATAGCTCCATCGGCAACTCGGGCGGCACGACACTGGTTACAATCAACACGCAGTCCAACAACAGCTTGCTCTTCTTCAGCCCGCGTTCGATACCTGGACACATCACTTGTCATCATAGCATCTCGGAAGCCCAATGTCATGTACGGACCTTTAACCCAGACATACCAGCTGGCGGCAATGGCGAAGATAAGCAAGAATCCGATGAAGAGGAACGACTCCAGGTTGTTTGCGGACACGCGTTCAGTAGAGAAAATCATCGTGCGCACGAGCTGGCCCTGCGCCGTACCAAAACCAGTCCGGAGCACAACGCCGAGGCAACCACCGTCGGGAGTATCGCCTGCGCATCCGTAATGAGCTCGGGCACTCGAAGACGCGAGACGAGGCCTGTATGCACGAGCAAACGCACCTCCGGGAGTAGCCTGGAGCACCTTCGTGCCAGAGAACAGGACAGCATTGCGATGCTGGCCATCCACGTCGAGCTTCTCGTCTCCTTCCAGCAGCTGTATCGATTCCTTGAGTAGGGGCGTGGACTCGCCGGAGAGCATGGCCTCATTGACGATGCAGGAGCCCTTGACGAGGAGAATATCGGCAGGAACCGAAGTCTCGTTCTGCTGGCGAACTGCGATGGCCATGTCAGACGTCGTGGTCACATGAGCGGGAGAACTGTGAAGGTGCAACGTACCGATGGAGACAACGTCGCCTGGAAGCAGCTCGTCGGTCTGAACGACAGTCCACTGCGCATTACGCAGGCACTGGATCGGGAAGGGGGTAATGGACATTGTTCGAAACTCTTTGAGCGTGTTGAGGCGCTGCATATATGCGTCAGTCATATACGCGAGCAATCGCACCACGCCGAGCGTACCTGCGTGACGGTCGTGCACTCGAACACGACGAGCATGAACAACGTGAAGAGACTATAGTACCAGTACTCGTCCAGGCACCATAACGCGACGCAGAAGATCTGGAAAACGAAGAACGGCGCGGTCGCGTGCTCGCCGAACAGTTCCAAGAAGCTCGGTACCGGGATATTGAACTCGTTCTTCCCGTACAAGCTCGCGGCGGAGGCAAGCTCGGAGGAAGTCAGGCCCTTCGGCACCTGATATGTCGATAGCGGCGGCTTGCGTGAGGATGGGTAGGGCAGCTTGCCGAAGGTGGTACTCGGCGGCGGGGTTAGGAGGACGTAGGTGTCACGCTGGTAGTTGAACGAGTAGGAGAGCGGGTCCGAGGGGACCTTCTTGACGAGCGAGACGATCTCGCCTTCACCGCGGTGAAGGTTGGGGATGATCCGAATGCAGTCGGCTTGTTCAAGAGATTTAGCCTATAGGAGCAATCGTCAATATGAATGCATTCCCGTGACACGAGCCATGTCCACCCTGGAAGACAAGAGACGAAGAGAGAGCAAAACTTACGGCTTTCGTGGTCACCCATGCCTTCGCACCCGCATTCCAGCGCGTGACCAAGAAGCTGAGGGCGTGTCCAGCACCAAGCAGGACACAGCCCACGAACGTCCACTCTTCACTCTGTATCCAGGTATCATATTTGATGAAATAGGCGTACGCCCAAAGAGGGTAAAGCGCAAGGAATGGGGCAGCGTAGAGGTGTGTCCAGAATGGCAGCGCCACGCGAAGAGACGCAGCGGCAATCTCTGGAGATTCGACGCTGACGGACGCCCTTCAGATAAGAAAACTATCGTCAATCTTCATGTTATCCGGATATACGAAACCCAGAAGACGAGTGATGAGTATGCTATGGACACGTACATGGTGGCGAAACTGGGGCACTTGGAGGCACAACCAGAATATTACAGCCAAAAACTCGGTTTCTGCACGACAAGACGTATCCTCTGTCGGTGCAAAAGACGGAGACAAGACAGACAAGACCGGCAAGACCGGACAGCGAAGCGGAGCGGAAGGAGCTGGCGAAAGCAGACACGCGTAGTGGCTGTGCTATTTTCATCAGAACGAGCGCATCTGCGATTCTCAACCTCCTCCGACTCTTTCAAGGGCTAGGTCAACTACTTAGGGATTGGGCGTTGCGCCAAATGTTGTCCTCCCTAACTTCGGGAACTGGGATATGGAAAATCAACACAACTTGATATTACTGCTACAAGGATGGCGCTAGAATATCACTTCAACGCAGCGCGAACTCAGTGTGCACTCAGACAAGCAACGCAGCAGTCCTAGGTTTTTTTATCCCTCTGACCCACTTTTTGGATAGCACACCTTCTCGGGTCCTTTTCTCTCCTCCCTCTCAACTCGCACCAGGTTAAACAGTGGTCCAACCCAGGCCAAGTCGGGTGATCCGAGGCGGTGCAAGGCAGACACGCCCGACTGACGACTGGCATCAAAACATCCGGATCGGCGATGAAACCATCAACGAAGGGCGGGGACATGGCTGGGATGCAGTCGAAGCTGTCATGAACTAGCAGGATATATATAGCGGCTCGATGGACGCAGCAACCCTAGGCTGCGCCTCCCTTCGTTCTTCACCTCGCCGATTGCTTTCTTGCCGTCCGCCTATACCTTCGTAGCTTTCCCGAGCACCGATACTTGCGCGACAAGCACATCATGGTTTACGTTCGCTCGCAAAAGTTTTGTTGCTGCCTACCCGTCCGCTTCGGGGTGTTTGTAATGACCCTCGCCGGCACGCTTTTCGGTGGCTTCGTTGCGATCGCTGCATGGATTGCGTTCTCCAAGACGAACCAGAATCCCCAAGCCTATGATCAGGACCAGAAGATCGGCATAATTATACAAGCGGTTGCATACACCCTCCTTGCACTCGTCTCTCTCTTTGGGTACGTCCACCAGCACATACGCATAGATCCATGCACTGGCTTATATTTTTTCCCTAGATTTGTGGGCGCATGCGCTCGCTCGCGCGTCCTCGTCACTGTATACTCGATCACCTTGTGGTTCGTCTGGGTCCTTGCCGTCTCCACCGGAATTTTCTTCCTTGCAAAGCTCTGGCATGCCTCGGATCAGGCCTCTGTCGACAAGTGCGTCGCGGGTAGCACAGACGACATCAAGAACACTGTGTGTGACAAGGGCGTTGCGGTAGTCGAAGGTGCCGCCAAGACTGCGGTGACCGTCGTCCTGGCCATTCTATGGCTGATCGAACTTTGTACGTCTCATTCCGTTGCTTTTTATTCGTGGACGTGGACATTGACTGACATGTTTATGCCGTGCAGACGGCTGCGTGATCGCGTCTTCGTATGTCTCGCAGTTGCGCGAGGAGGAGGATGCCGAGTTATCGAAGCCCGTCACCATTGTGCAGCAAGCGGCACCTGCATACCCGGTTGCGACGTACAGCGCACCGTCTCCGGCAAACAACACTTATGCGTTCTCGCAGTACCAGAACTCATACGGTCAGAAAACGGGGTACTAAGTGCGGGGTTCGTGCAGTATTTGTGGGCGTCGGGGTCTTATTCTCGTCGTCTTGCGAGTTGAGTCGTAATATAGCTCGAAAGGATAGGAATGCATGTATCGTAGGATGAAGAAGTAGTAAACGCCTGAGGAAAGGGATCTGCGAGCATTCATTCCCACGCGAATATCGGCCTGTTAGCTTCAAGCGATTGCGCTCATCGCAGAGGGCGACCATCCTCCTTGCATGAGCCTAGGGGCCTTCAGCGTCTTAGTAGCACTCCTATGGATTGTCGTCGGTGTCCACAGGAGATATAATGCTCGTCCCCGGCGTGCACCATCCAATACACCCTTCGCATCTCTCAGTCATCGCTCCTCGAAATATTTAGGTCGGTGGACGGTCCAGCACGGCTTGCTACGCGTTCAGTGCCATACCTCGGCCTTGAACAGGGCTCATGATAGGCTTTCCGAATATTTCGCATCCCGCTCCCGCCTGCGGGTCATTCTCAATGCGGTGTACGATGCAGGGTGCATCTTTTGTGCCGTAGGCCTGGCAACTTCCTTACTCCTGCTGGCCTGGACCTTCTTCACCCTCGCGAAGGGCGTCATTGGCTGGTATCCAGACAGCTCCGCGGTACTGCAAGCTACCGTCCTTCCGAAGCGCGATGCAATGCCTGCGGAACTACCTGGGACCTCGTTCAATACGAACACGCAGTCAATTCTGATCCAACCGCTTGTAAGCTACTCTGTGCATTAGTGTCTTGGGTTGCAGGACTTACAATGACATATAGATACCTGGAGTAACCGTCCCATTATCACATCTTCTCCCCTTATTGTTCTCCCTCTTCCTTTGTCAAATCATACACGAGGCTGGCCATGCAATATCCGCTGCACTGTAAGTCCCTGCGGCGAACTCTTTGGGATGACAATCCCTAAAATCTTTCGCACATAGGGGTGGAGTGTCACTCCACTCCATCGGCGTCTCTCTTTCCTTCGTACTCCCCTCGGCGTTTGTTGCTCTCGACGACGTGGACCTACAGTCGAAGTCATATCGCACGCGCTTGCGCATAGTGAGCGCGGGAGCGTTCCACAACATCACATATTTTGCATTCCTCCTGGCGCTTGGGCATGTGTTCCCTCCGTTGTGGCCTCTCCTAGGCTACGAGGATGTCTCTCGATATGGGAGAGTCGTTCTCGGCGTTGATGAGGTATGCCTTACCACTACAAACAATGCCCCTAGCTCTCACGGAGCCTTCCCCAGGATTCAGTCCTCAAGTACCATACGCCGCCAGGTGCCCTTATCACCGCTTTAGACGATGTTCCCCTCGGCTCCTCCGCCGGGTCTTGGGACGAAGACATCTGGACCTCTTACCTCGTGAATCACCGTTCACCTCCAGGCGAAGTACCGCTAGGCTGGTGTACGCCAGTGGGCTGGCTCTCCAGTGGGTGCAGCGAATGTAGTCTGCGATTGGCCATTCACGTTGTCGTTAGATCAGCCCACATCGTGCTGCAACACCCTCCGGAAACCAGTGGCACCTCCAGAAGCTCAGCTATCTTGTTTCGTCACGTTGGAAGATGCGTCAAAATCCAACATTGACGTCGGCCATTGCCTGGATCCTACCAAAATCATGATCCCTTCGAGTAACCCGGAAACGGACACTCCCGTGATCGAGTCGCGCTGTAGCTCAGCATCTCCTTGTAAAGAAGGGCGGCTATGTCTGCGTCCGAGCGACGCGGAACAGCTCATTCGTCTGACTATAATCCTTCCCGATTGGATCCAGCACTTCGTCGCGGTCAATCCGGACGTATCGAGCACTATTACTCGTTTCAACCTTCCCGAGCACGCAAGGCATAGGAGTACCGTGGTCCTGTGGGACGGCCCCAAAGAAGAGATATACGAGCAGGGTAATCAGCTCGTTAAGAGAGTCAAGAGGGAACTAATTGTCTTCTTGCAGTGCGAGTTGGTAAGGTTCGGCCGCGATGGAGCTTTCTCCCGCTATGGCTGCCCGGCGCATACGCTACATTACTTGAGTGCGTCAAGCCTTACTGATTTCGGCGACTCCTGGGTTTTGACAAAAACTAGATACCTTCGAACGATGACGCTGTCGTTGTACCTGTTCAATCTACTTCCTCTACCATTCCTCGACGGTTCTCAGCTACTCGGACTATTGCTCAGACTCATGCTCACCACGGAACGGCGGAATCAGCTCTTGAACGAGGATGAGGTGATAGAGATGGGCGTGATGGAATCTGGAACGGCCATTCAACGAAAGTCACCAAGATGGTTGACGTCGGAGGCAAAAGTCGGGTCAACACAAAAGATGATAGAACGATCCACAGTAGTGCTGATCTCCGCATGCATCGGATTGGCGATCATCACATGGGTATCACCTAGCCAGTGAATGCATCTCGTACAAGCACAAAGATACCTTCGGCCAAAAGCAGTTGATGTGGCAAGTTCGAGCGTATATTGTGTTGTCATCATGCCGAACATGGATCATTGCATGCATGCGAAGGAATGCGTCCCAAAACATGACATAACATAATTTGCGAGCAAACCGCACTGGCTCGAACACCCCGTTGGCGCAAACGCCAACATCCTCCTCTCGGAGACCGACCGCCCAGATAAAGCCCATGCGAACGCTCATTTCTTCTTCGGCGTTTTCTTGATCTCGTTGACGGTGAGACCTACATACAAAAAGGGCGTCAGAAGAGATCCGGTATATGAATGGCAAACATAGCCAGCAATTTGGAGGTTAATGATATTGCAGCGGGGAAATCATATGATGGGACGAAAACACACCAGGGGGGAAGATTTGCTTCAGCTTCTCCGCCTTCTCGGGGTCGTCCACTGTGAGGGTGTAGAGGTAGCGCGAGCACCGGACCTTGAACTTCGTCAAGACCTTGCCGTTGGGGGTCTTGGGCGGGTTCTTCTTTATCCGCGCAGCTGGTGCAATGACGGATCGAGGTAATTCCAAAGAGACGCGCGCGAGGATGGTTACGATTCGTTAGCAGGTCGTAGCTTTGTCTTTCCACTGTTGTCGCTTACCCCTCGCATCCTTGCGCTTGGCAATCTCGATGAACTGCTTGATATCCCTGATTTCCTTCGGCTGTACACCTTTTATCAGACCACAGGCGAGGAGTAACATCAGCGGTGACTTGCCATGGCGGTTGACTTCACGGGCTCGGCCGTCTGTAGATTTTGGTGGGATGAGGTGAATGAGAGTGTGGGAAACTGTACAGGACCAGCGCGGGCTCGGGAGATTGCCGAACGCGTGTGAATCATCCCATTGTATTGACGATAAATCGCGAGTCGCGAGCACAGAAATAAGTCGTGATTGGTATACTACAATGCTGATACATAAAGTTACGGTCATAACACATAAAGAGCACAAGAAATTGTCCATTCCAAGCATCATCATAACGTTCATGCCGAATACTTAGAAATCCATGTAGATCAGGAGCCGAACTTGCGCGGGGAGCTCATAGGAGAGCCGCGGTCGAGCAAAGAAGATGCAGGTCGGTCCAGCCGGCTTCGCAGGCGCTCGACTTCTCGCTCCAAGCTACGAGAATGGTCAAATTCCAGTCAAGCACTGTTTGTGAGCGACGTACTCGAGAGCCTTCCGCTTGTAATCAGCGGCTTCACGTTCTGCTCTTCGTTGGGCAAGCTGCATCTCGCTCTGAGAGGTTGTCTGGGTATATTTTAATGTCGACGTCGCACAAGCAGAACCCAGTGGTCTTACCAATTCGTTGATGTCATCCCTCAAATTCTGTACCCTCGCCTCATACCCCTTGATCTCGTCCTCGAGCCTCGCTCTCTGTCGATCAGATTCCGCAAGCTGGTATTTGACATCCCTTGTAGCCTGGTCAGCGGTTCGCTGCAGGCGCACGGAATCCGTCTTGTCTCGGGAGGACTGGTTCAGCTGACTGGTAAGCTCCTCGATCCGACTGTCCATGCGGCGAGGAGGGCGTGGGGAACTAGCGAATGACTTCGTCTCCAGGTCGACAATCCGAAGCTTCAGTTCCTTGATCTGTTTGTCCAAGGTTGCCTAAATGTAGAGGCCACGTCAGGTGAAACTCGTGCAATGTAGGAGAGACACGTACATTCTGCTTGTCAAGCTCCGAGTTTTCGACGCGAACTCTGCCTAGTTCAATCTGGCACTCGTTGGCGAATGTCTCCGCCTTCCTCACTCGTTCGTTTGCCATATCGACGCGATCAGTCTGCTGCTCTATACTTCGTTCCAGATCCTGTTTCTCCAGACGAAGTCTCTGCACCTCCTGATCACTGGTCATCCGGCTAGCATCAACGCTGTCCAATTTGATTGCCTCCAGTTCTGCTTGTAGAGCCCGACGAGCCTTTTGAAGAAGCGCACGGTCCGCCTCGGCATCGTTAAGGACAGCACGCATGTCACGAACTTGCGAGTGAAGGTTTACGATTTGATTCTGCTGTTCGCCTTGCGCAGCAACTGAGGATTCGTACGCCTTCGTAAGGTCAGATATCTTTGTCTCCAGTCGATCCTTCTCCTTCTTCCAGGAAGCGCCGTTGAAGACCTCCTCGTCGTAGCGAAGCTGAAGCTCGTCCGCTTCCGAGCGAAGCTTGCGATTGTCCTCCCGAAGACGGCTCAAGCTGTCCCGCTGAGCTTGCATTTCTGTGCAATGGTTAGGGCAAGGTCCACTGGTTACGTTACTACGCTGCGCGATCACTCACCATCACTCAATTTCGCGAACTCAGCTGAGAATAGAAACTAAGTCGCAGCGCATGATCTGATATAACGAATTTACCTTGGTACTCTTTCCGGATACGGTCGATAGCGAAGTCGCGTTCCTCTATGTCTTGTTGGTGCTGTTTGCGTTCGTCTTCGATCTCTTCCATCAAGCGTTGTCTGAGCAATTCCATATCGCCAGACTCGCGGTTTTCATCTTCAAGCTTGTGTTCCAACTCGTTAATCTGACTCTGCAACTCTTCGATGTGGTGATTGGCACGTTTGTTATCTGCCTGTGCATCAGCGACGGCCTTCTCGGCGTCTGACAGAGCACGGCGCGCTGAAATCATCGGTCAGCTGATGCATGCGGGCTTCATTTGCAAAGAGTTACCGAATGCTTCAGCTCGTTGGGCTTTGGCCTTCTCGATCTCAGATTCCTCCAACTTGGCGAGGTACTCTTCAGCCTGTGACTTGTATGAACCGACGGCTTGGTGCAGCTCTATGATGGAGCATGTGAGCAACTATTGCTGGAGGCAGCATCTTCGCGTACCGCCGTGTATCGTCGTGGAAGCGCTTGAAGTAATCTCTAGCTCTTGCAGACGCATTTGGAGACCGCGCTTCAGGGCTATGAAAGGACAGATGATCAGCAACTACCAAGAAGACACTCTGGACTCTGAGAATAACCGACCTGCTTCTTCTTTCTTGTGGGCCAGTTCCGTGTCCAAACGCTCTCTCAAGTCCTCAACTTCAGCCTGAAGCTGCTTTTTGGATTGACTGAGCTCCTGAACCTGACGTCGATGATCTTCCAATTCCATCTGGGCGCTGCGTTGCTGGACGGCCTTCACTGTGGTGTCAGCCAAGGTAACGATCCGACCAAGTTATGAACGCACCAAGGCCTTCCGAGATTCCTCGAGGCGGGCATAGCTTTGCCGCTCCTCCTCCATGGTCGCCTTAAACTTATTCCAGATCGCCTGCACACCATCCGCTTGCGTCAATGTAGCTGAACGCCGCGCTAGCGCTTCATCTTCGAGGAGTTCTTGGAGACGGGCCTTCTCTCGCGAGAGCCGAGCTTGACATCTTTGCAAGTGCGCCTTTGATCCATCGCTGTTCTCCAAATCAGACGTCACCTCCTGAAGAGCCGCTTCCAGATGTTGCCTAACGCGATCCGAAGCCGCCATCTGCACCTCGAGGAGCTGCACCTGTTGGCGTAGCGCCGCGGTCTGCTTATCAGTGATCGCTTGCCGTTCGGGTGTACGAGGTAGATCTGGCTTCGAATCCTTGCGGAGACGTGCGACCCCGTTGGTCTTGGTGGGCGTGGTTGGAGGGAACGAAGGCGTCTTGTTGCCAAGGAACTGATTTGATCGTCGCGTCATCTCGCGCTCCATTTCCTCGTCCGCCAGCTGCAACTCCCGCATCAACCGTGCTCGGAAGGTGTCGTCCTTGGGTCCACCACTGCCCTGGATCAGGCGGCGAATTTCAGCATGTTGACGATCGACATGCTCCTTGATCCTGAATGCCATTGTCCGAGATGCCTCGGAGTCCTCCAGCTGAGCTTCTAGTAGTGCAATACGCTGCTCGTATTCTCGTTGGACCTTCGCCATAGCGTTTGGACTATCGACTTCGTCAGCCAGCCTCGCGAGTTCCGTCTCCAAATTGTCCTTTGACCGCTGAACGATCATGAGTTGCCCGTGGACCTCCTTTGTCTGATTCTGGGCGGACAATAAGTCCGCCTGCAGCTTGCGGACCTGAATTTCTAGCGCTTCGCGTGATCGTTTCTCTTTCTCGGCGTCTGCGAGGGCGCGAGTGGCCCGCTCTTCTTGATCCCGTGCGACCTTCGCCTGAGCCTTCATTTCCAAACGTTCGCGTTCGGTCTCCCGCACCAGATCCTCAGCTTCGCCAGCCAGTTGTTTCCTAGAATTTTCGAGAGAGCGTATATACGCGTCTTTCTCGCGCAATTCCCGGTGTGCCTCCTTCAACTGGTTATCGGTGACGCGCTTCGCTTCCTCCAGTACATGGACATGCTCGACAATGGTTTTGTCTTGCTTGGATTCGAGTTGTTTGATTTGCCACTCGCGATCCTTCAAGTCCTTCAAGGCTTTGTTCAAGTCACGGTCCAGCTTGACTTTGAGGTCCTTGAGGGTGACCAGTTCGTTCTTTTGAGTCGATGTCTTCTTCTCGAGCTGGGTGCGCTTCAACATCTCCGCGTCGAGCTGCTTTTTGGAAGCATCTAACTGGCGTTCCAGAGAAGTTTTGTCGCGTTCCATCTGGAGCATGACATCTTCGAATTCTTGACTCCTGGATTGCAGCGTGGACATTTGTCTCTCCAGAGCCTGTCAAAGTATCTTAGTACGAAGAAGACGAATTCGGTCAGAGCGCTCATCTGCTCACCTCCTTAGCGCGCATGGTGGAAGCAAGCTGGTCGTCGGCTTCGATCTGCCTCGATCGGACGGCCTGTAGATCGGACTCCGCCGCGCGTTTCGACTTCTCTGATTCGGATAGTGCAGTTTCAGCTGCCTTCAAGCGGACCAATGCGTCACGCTCGCGATCCGAGAGGCTTTGATGGCTCTGCTCTAGCATCTTGTAGTCCCTGAGAGCGGTATCGAGCTCCACCTTGAGCTTGGCTTGCCCCTCGATTGCCGAAGATCTCGCCTCGGCAAGATCCTGTTGCAATTGCCGCGTTTGCGACCTCAGGTCAGCAAGTTCAGCGTTCGTACTTTTCTCGACTTCGCTCCTACGAGTCTCTTCGTTCGCTTTCGCGGCCAGCAATGCACGGAGTTCATCAAGCTCCTCTTGTAATTTACCACGGACGGTGGAATCTCGCTGGCGGTCAGCCTTCTCGGCTTCGAGTTCAGCAGCGATAGTTTCAATGTGGCCGTGTAGCTCGATGACATCCTTTTGTGAACGATCGCGCTCCGCTTTCAGTTTATCGAGGTTGGCATTGAGTCGCTCAATGTCCGCCTCCTTCTTCTGGATCATGGTAGAATACTCGGTGGCAGTACGGGCCATCTCGGAGAGCTGCTCTTTCGCCTGCCGTGCATCATGTTCGAGCTTCTCGGACGCATCCTTGATAGTGTCCCTAATGAAAGGCCATCGGTAAGCGCCCCCGTCAATCACAATTGCTGTAAAATTGCTAATACCCACCTAGAGCGAGTTTCGTTTTCTAACTTCTTCCCGAGGTCAGCTATCGTGAGTTCCATGCGCTCTTTTGCACGGGCTAGGTCTTCTTCTCGCTGGAGGACAATATTGCGGAGCTCTTCTTCTACCTTCTGCAGCTCGTCCCGCTCCGCCCGCAACGCGTCGGCTTCACTTTGGGCATGATTCAGGTGTTCAGCAAGTTCGGCCTCGCGTTCAGCCCATTCCTGCTGCTCGCTCTCCATGCGAACGAGATGTTCGGCAGCTTGATCGAATGCCTGTCGAAGAGCCTCGTGCTTCTCCTCGCTCTCTTTCTGGATTTTGAGCGCACGATCTAGTTGCGAGTCCAGCACGTCCAAGTCGGCTTGCAGAGCAGCCACCTCTTCCTCTAGTTCGCCTTCACGTTTCTTGCTGCGCTCAAGCAGAGCATCCTTGTCAACACCGAGGACACGCTCGGCCTCCAGGTCTTCTTCGACCTTCCGCTTCTCGGCTTCTAAACGCATCTTAAGATTCTCGAGGGCCTCGCGCTCTTTCTGATCCCGTTCGGCGCGCTCGCGGGCAAGAACTAGCTCAAGTTCCTTCTTTCTGAGTTCTTCGTCGTTCCGAGTGGCCGCGAGAAGGGGTCGAACCTAGCGATTAAAGGTCAGCGCGGGTCAGAAAACTGAGCGCGATGTGATGATCGCCTTCGTGTAAAGCTGCCACCATGGCCATTCTCGTAACTCTGCATACTGCCGGGCATTGCGCTGAATCGTACGGGTCGCTATAGCCCTGTTTAGGACCTTCTTCATCTGTCTCCTAGCTGTCCACATGCGAGCAACAGCCTGGAGCCTGGAGAAGACATCGAACAATAGCGCATCCCTTCGTTCCTCCAATTCGGCGAGTACCCCGGCTTTGAAGAAGATCTTGGAGGTACCAATTCGGTAGATGGCCTTGTCCAGCTCCAGAGCATCAACCATTCGGAGACAGGCTTTGCGTCCGTCCATATACCCGCGAGGAATGATGCCTGGGGTTAGTATTTCATAACGCTGACGGAACTCGACAAAGGGTAGCCGATTGGGGTAACCTAGACGGGCGATACGGATGCCCTCCAAAACACCGTTACAACGGAGTTGATCAAGAACGAGTGGTGCGTCAATACGGCCAGGCTTCTTGTTAGGGTTCGGTACGATACAGCGCACAAAGTGAGGTTGGGTTGCTTGCAACTGCGACATCAGGCTAGCAAGTTGCTCCTTGTGTCGCTGGGCGACCGTCCTGAAGGCGCCCTTCTTGATCATGCGCTTCTTGCCGAGGGTGTACATACTAGAAGCCGAGCTACTCGACGCGTTGCCGGATGTCGGGATCGGAGGCAGGTCGCTGTAGTCGGCGAATAGCGATGCCACATATCGCTCTTGCGAAGCGGCCATGACTCTGGTCAAATTGTCATTGAGGGGATCCTTGTTCTTCTCCAGCCAACCGTCTGTTCGATACTCGACCTTGCCTGCATAGTGCTGAACGATGAAGCCCTGTTCGAATCGGGAGGGTTCATACTTGAACCGCCCAGGGTGCACATCTTCACTGTCTTCAGCTCCTGCCCACAGCGAATTGAGCTTGTTTGTGAACGTAAGGTCCGTTGCCTTTGGCATGATACACTCCTCATCAAGGCAGCTGAGGATGCCAATGGTGGAACCGCTCGCCTCGATAAGCTCGATCGTCGGTTGCAAGTCGAGGCCAAAGTTCACATAGTCCCATTCGATGTTCTCCCGAGTGTATTCCTCCTGCTCGAGGACAAACATATGGTGATTGAAAAATTGCTGCAGCTTCTCGTTCGTATAGTTGATCAAGAGTTGTTCGTATCCGTTGGTTTCGAAAATCTCGAAGCCGGCAATATCCAGCACGCCGATGAATGTGCTCTTACTGGACGGCCGATCTAGAGCGCGGTTGATCCTGTCGACGAGCAATCCGAAGGACTTCTCGTAAAGCGTTTTGCATAGTGAACCAATCTCTTCGACCGCTTGCCTACGAGTCCGCGCTTGTGTCACCCACTCACGGCCCGCAAGCACTTTCGGCCGCAGAACCGCCTTGATGAACTCTTGAACCGGAATGCCTAGCAAATGGCAAGCGCGCTCGGCCTGCGAAGGATCCGGCATCAAGGCATCGTCAGCCCGGGTGGCAGCTATGGTGATGTTCCCGAGGTGCAAAATAGCAGCAACTATCCGGAAGAGGTCGAACTGCTCAGCATCCGTGAAGCCAACCACTTCCAGCGCGTTCTAGATAACCAGGAACTCATTAACTACAACAGTTACAACGAGTTGAGTTACTTACCTGTAGCAGCCTCCATTCTTCCCGATCATCAACGCCATCGACTTCGCGCCGGCTCTTGTTAAGATACTCGTAGTCTTCGACATCGCCGTCGAGGAGAAGTGCATCTGGAGATGAAATTTAGCATAAGCGTGATATTGAGATGGACTATACGTACCCTTCAATGACGGATGTGCATCGAAGAGCTGGTAGAAGATGTGGAAACTGCGTTCTGCCTCGCTCCGGACGACCACGCGACTCTTTTCCAAGAGATACCAGTCGATGTTCGCGCCAGCTATGCTCCCATCGGGAGCAAAGCTAATCCTTATAAATTTACCGAATCGACTGGAATTGTTATTCCGCTGCGTTTGTGCATTGCCGAAGGCCTCTAGTATTGGGTTCGCCTGTAGGATCTGGCGTTCGAGGAGGCCGAGCCGTCCTTTGGAGTTCAACGCTGGTGATGATATTGACGTGGCCTTCGAGTGCGCACGGCCGTGTTTGGACTGGAAAGAACCGGAACGCGGGAGTCCGGAAGGAGGAGTCGCTGAGAACGAAGATGACTGGGTAAATGACCCGGCCTGCGAATGCGAAGGGGTAGGCGGATGGGCGTCGGTCGCGATAGCTGCAAGGTACTGGATGACTTTCTTCGTGCTTTCAGTTTTTCCTGCACCGGATTCGCCACTATGATCCTGTTAGTCCCCGAAAGGCATAACGCTATCGGCCACGAACGTGATCAAGATACTCTGGTTCTCTCTTTCTTCACCCATGTTGACCCAAGCGCGCTCTGCAATAGCGAATATATGTGGTGGATTCTCGTCCCGACGTTTGTTCCGGTATTGTTGGACGATGGCGTCCGAGTAAAGCGGAAGGTTCTGGTAAGGATTAATGGCGACTAAGAATAACCCTGAATATGTCTGTTCACGAATTCAGTCCTGAATTCGTAGCGGATGTATAAAGTAACTCACATAGATAGCACCAGATCCATACCTCAGTCTCAGGTTGTGCACGACACTTGCTTCGTTCAGAAATGTGAGGTCCGCGATATCATCGACGCGGTCGAACTTTGGTGGGTTCATCTTGCTTAACGCATACAGGGGTACCCTCCGGATCTAAGCAGAGGGATCAGTGTTCGTTGGCCGCGCAGCGATGTTTCGAACGCACTTCTCCCCCTGCGGCCATGACGATCTCTCCGAATTCGCCATCCTCTTTCACCACCCACCCAGAGAGGTAACCCTCGCGATCATCCGGGACCCATACCCATTTCTTCTCGTTGAATTCCGCCTGAAGGGCTGCAGCGCGGGCGGCCTCCGCGCTCTGAGACAGGCGCGGTGCCGGCATTGCAAATCAGATTCTAGTCGTACAGTCTCCCTCAGAAATATTATGAGTGAAAGTACCCCAGGGTGATCAGTAGAGGAGCCAGGCTGTTGCAGACAATGTAGCCTCGAATCGACTTAGAACACCAGCATAGGAGACGCGTCCGGTTACGCGATCGTGAGAGGTTGATTCGGGTGATAATGCAACCTACGCGTCTCGGTAACCCTAAGATTTCTCACGACTTCTTACCTTTTAACCGATTCAAACCTGCATTACCCAGCCAATAGTGTAGAGGTTGGACCAATCTTTCCATTCTCGTCCATCTCAGCGTTCAGGCTTTCACCATCTGAATAGCTTGTGGTGACGCGTACAGCAACGCATTCAACATGTCGCATTCCAAAACCGTGTTCCTTGCCTTCGATATCTATGGCACGATTCTCGATACATCGGCGATCGCTCCTGCATTGGCGGAACACGCTCAGATCCCACTGGAGAAAGCGAAAGCTGTGACACAGGAATGGCGCAAATATCAGCTTGAGTACGCTACACGGGCTTGAACCGCCCAGCAAGCTTATCTTGTATGCAGGTACACATGGCGCATGAACTCGATGGGTATGGCCAAGTCATGCATTAGCCGTATCTTCTGAGCTCGGCTGTTGCAGAGATATACGAGACTTTCAGAGAAGTGACCCGTAAAGCACTCGTGCATGCCTGCAAGGATGCTGCCATTGAGCTCGACCGTCACGCAATCGAGGCTCTGATGGACGTTTATGATCACTTGCCTGCGTGAGTTCAGACGCAATTCAGACGTCTGGAGTTACCCTACCTGTGGCATGCAAGTCTACTTGACATGTCATAAAACCGCTTCGATCGTATGGCTGAACAGTCATCTAGGTTCTCGGAAAGCTCGAGCGCTTGGAAGGATATCAATGCCATTTCTGGCATAGAGACTCTGATATTCTCGAACGGTTCGAACCTCGTCCAGCTCCATTGTGAATATCAATCATAGTACACCGCAGGTACGCAAGCGATGGTGACCACCGCTCTTCGGCATGCATTCGTGGATCCCTGGCCCAAGGCTTTCTACCTCGTCGACGATGCGGGTTTAAGATTATCGGAGGGGTGAGCAAGGATGCTGGAGGTGGCAGCGCAAACACCAGAGTTGACTCGATATTGCTTTCCAGCGACTCGTTGAAGTCCCAGAAACAACAGAAGAAATACAAGCCGGCGAAAGAGGTCTACGAGCACCTCCTGATCAGCATCGGACAACAAGAAACACGATCAAATGTATGGCTTGTTAGCTGGTGAGATCGATCTCTGACGCTAGCTTTTCGGCTCGTCTCACGTTTCTTCAGCAACCCATTTGATGTTACGGGTGCACTGTCTGTGGGAATGAATGCTATATGGGTCGATCGCGCGGGAGCAGGATGGACCGATCAGCTGTACAGCAGTCGAGGTCCAACGAAAGTGGTAAATGACCTGGATGGTATCGTGCAATACGTCAAGGACTCGCTACTGTAACCGCCAAAAACTCGTGCGCACCTGCGAGGATGAGGGATTCTCGGGTCGAATATGGAATGTCGTAGTCCAGGCGCGGACGGAGTGCAAGGTTGAATGAAGCCGATCACAGAAAACTTGAGATTGAATTTCCAGATCTCAGCCCCGTCTTACCCACGACCGATCCCTGAACACGAAGTACTGCTTACTCTGTTCCGTACTCTCGTTACGATGTCTCCACCCATCCGTCTCGCGCTCTTGGTGTGCGATACTCCTCTTCCTGCTATTGTTGCCCAGCACGGTGACTATCGTGATGTGTTCCGGCGTCTCTTTATCGACTCCCTTCCGCCACACCGCAAGGACGATCTTATACTTGATGCGTACGATGTGGTGAAGGAGATGTCATATCCTCCCCCTGACGAGGAGTACGGCGGCGTTGTGCTCACCGGATCAGGTGAGGAGCCTTTCATCTCGCGATAAAGCATGGCGGTATCGAGTAATACTCAAGCGTAGCGGCCTCTGCATATGAGAACGTGGAATGGATCAATGGGCTGGTCGCATACATGGCCGAACTCATCGAGACAAAACCACAAGTCAAGATCTTCGGCATCTGCTTTGGGCACCAGATAATCTCCCGCGCACTCGGGTCCGATTGCGTTCCCAATGACGGTAAATGGGAAGTCGGAGTCACACCCGTCGAACTCACTGAGACCGGAAAACAACTCTTTGGCGATAAGAGCACTCTAGTCCGTTCCTCTTCGACATGGACTATGCCCATACTCACGGTCGTCCCTCTACAGAATATACACCAGATGCACCGCGATCACGTACCTTCCGTGCCTACTTCATGCCAGCTGCTTGCCACATCATCAATTTGTCTGAACCAGGGCTATATCCGCTACACTCCCGGCTCCGTGTCGAAAGACATTAGAAATATCCAGATTTTTACCCTGCAAGGTCACCCAGAATTTACCGCATCAATATCCAATCTGGTCATCACGGCACGGAGCTCCACGGGAGTGATACCGAAGGATCTGGCAGAGGATGCCGAGAAGAGGAACAAAGAGTTACAGAGTGACGGAGTGTCGGTAGTGGGTAGGGCTATCTGGGCGATACTAGGTGTCGAGTGAACTTCCTTTCGTTGGAGATCAGCCCGTAGATGCCCCGGTAATAATTAGAATACATTATCATGGTTGGAACAAGGTCCTATCACCAGGCCGCGCTATGGCACGCTATTTCCTGAGCTCGCGAGTTGCAATGTACTGCGCGTTCATTCCCATTCACCAAAACATCCGTCCTGCGGGAACGGTAGCATGAGTGTCGGTTTTTGTGGATACGTAAACACAGCAACGCACTTTCGTCTACTTCAATACTGTGCGCGGTATGACGTCGCCAAATGGCGCCTCTTCATTCACGTTGTTGCGTTACAATCGATATGCCACCCGATTTGGCGCAAGCCAGAATTCCCGTCCGCCTTCCTCACACCATCCCAAAGGGCCGAGGTCACACTCCGCGCAGATGAGCAGCTTTATCGGCTTTCGGGGTGCTGTACTGCTTGAAGCCGCCTTCGACGAGCCAACTGGCCGAGAGAAACCGATATTTTCAAACGCCATCGGAGACGGTGTTACTAACCACCACTGAGTGGTCGATCCAGCAGGAGGAAGCGGAAGGAGATGTGGGTTGGGAGACGAAGTCGGTTCTAGCTGTGCTTGATGTCATGAGATCATACACGAACAGAAGTTACATTTATCAGACCTGTATGCTCTCCTTTTCCACTAGGGTAGCCGCGCGTGCCAGAAGTATAGTGCTGCCGCAGCCCGCACGAGGACATACAAGGGCATAAGCGTTTACCAAATCGGAACCAACGGGGACAGAGGTGCCCACGGCTCCTTCGTTGAACGAGTCCAGCAAAGCTGCGGGGGGGCGAGTCCGGCTAGACGATTGTTGCTGCATGAGCGCCGCTAGTATATCGGCTTGGGCTATCGCCGGTTGGCCCAAGGAGGAATCTATTGTGTCTTGTCTCCCCTCGGAGAGCACATGGGTGAGAGGAGAGCGCAAAACCTTTCGCATCTCGAACCATGGTTTTGGACCATGCTGCACTGCGCTTTCACCTACGAACTCAAAACCTGCGGCTTCATACAGGACGCGAAGTTCCTCGTGAGTTATCAAGAGCACGCGCTCGTAGCTGGTCGTGGATTGCAGTCGATCCAGGTAGCTCTGGAGCAGGCGTAATGCAATGCCTTTCTTGCGATGGTTTGGCGCCACGCAGACAGAGTGGATGCAAACCGAGGGCGCGTTAGGCTCATGTTTTGACATCGATTCGTGCGTAAGGGTCGGAAAAGAAGACGCTGTGCTGCAAACATAACCGACCAGCTGCCTCGGGGCTATGTATGCGCCGAGAAAAAGATCTGGAGCGTTCCCTTGACGATACCTACCACAATGCGACGAAGGTTGATCAGCGAATCCGAATCTTCGTGCAATGTAAGTTCAAGCTTTGGATTCACCGGAACGCTTCCAAGGTAGCAGCTTCGTCGGGGGGAAACCCTAAACAGTGACGGGAAATGAGCACACCACCAAGTGCCTCTTTCAGGAGAAAGAATGTACCGTCAAGCTCGATGGCATGCGCTGTGGGGATGTCTTCCTCTGGGAGCAACTCGAAGAATAGATCCATCGATGATGTGGCGCCAGGCGCTCTGATAGATATATCCTGATAGTCGTCCTTGACTGAGAATGGCAGGGTTTTCGGCCGGAGATAGAGGCGAGCGCGTGCAATTTCCACTCAAAGCGCGAGCGGTGACCGGCGAAGGCAAGCTGCGAGATAAAGCAGGCTATCCCACGAGCGCTTCATCATCTCCTTCGCAGCAGCCGGTTGTCTCTCATAATCTCATCGACCCAGACGTCGACCGTTGACCGGTCGACCGCTCGCTTTGTCATTCCCTGTTGCTCCCTCCATACCAGACACCCAACACTGCTGCGATATCGCTCAGCATGTTTGGCAAGACACTGGGATCCAAAAGTGCGCTTCATAACGCCGCACCAGCCATGCCGCTCACCCGATCTGCGCATCGTAGAGTCTAAGGAGTCCAAGGAGAACGGGATGTCCTCGCGGTCGGTGACACCGATCCCTTCCCGCCCGACTACGCCGAAGCCGCAGAATGTACACGGCAATACGTTCCGCTCTGGCACCCTCACCATCCGTATCTTCTCTGGACGTGGGCTTGCATTACCTCCGGGCGTTCAGGTGCCAGAGGTTATCAAGAAGGCTCTCGAGCACCACCCACCTTCAAGGCGTTCCACCAGCAAACGCGAGAGCATGCAGCGCAAGCGGTATTGGTGGTATGTCATCATCAAGGGCCGTATATCCGCTATGTCCGCGACTGACGCTCCGCGACTGCTAGGCTACCCTACGTCGTTCTCGAGTTCGACAACAACCAGATCCTCATTGACGCTGTTGATGGAGATATCGCTAATCCGATCTGGAACTTCCGTGCAGACTTGTGAGCACATAGCCGATGCTATCGAGGGTTGAACACTCGCTAAGCAGCGGGATATAGCGACGTGTCTCGAACGTCAAACGTTTCCATTTCTGCGTATCTTCGCACAGCCCAGTCCCTCCAGGGACAGGATGACATGGGCAATGACTTACTCATCGCTCGCGGCGACATCACACCCTCTCTTGATGGTCACGTCAGTCAACCCTCCCGAATCTGATCATGCCTTGCTTGACGTTGCAGTCAATATCTCAGAACGCATGCGACCAATGGTACGCTGCAACCGCTGGATCTGGTAACTTTCACGTCAAAGTCGACTTCAAGCCTGCGCGCAACGACACGCTCACGATCGAAGCTTTCGACCTTCTCAAGGTCATTGGCAAAGGTTCGTTTGGCAAGGTGATGCAAGTCAGGAAGAAGGACACGCAGCGGGTGTACGCCCTAAAGACCATAAGAAAGGCTCACATCGCCTCTCGCCCGGGTGAAATCACACATATCTTGGCAGAGCGTACAGTCTTGGCCCTGGTCAATAGCCCGTTCATCGTCCCCCTCAAGTTTTCCTTCCAAACGCCGGACAAGCTGTATCTCGTGATGTCTTTCGGTACGCTTATCTGGTCGAACTCTGCGATATCTTTTGACTGACCAGTGAATTAGTGAACGGCGGAGAGCTGTTTTACCACCTTCAAAGAGAGGGCAAATTCGATGAGTATCGGAGCCGGTTCTACGCCGCCGAACTCCTCTGCGCTCTGGAGCATTTGCACAGCTTTAACGTTGTTTACCGGTGGGTTCACTGTGCTGCCTATCTGAGCTTGGCTCACAATCAAAGGCCTCAGGGATCTGAAACCGGAGAACATCCTCCTTGATTATACCGGTCATATTGCTCTGTGCGACTTCGGACTATGCAAGTTGAACATGTCGGAAACCGAGAAGACCAGCAGTAGGCATATCTCTCGTCCTTACTATCTGCAACTCAAGTCTCCCTCAGCTTTCTGTGGCACGCCCGAATATATCGCGCCTGAATTGCTCGAAAGTCAAGGATACACGAAGACTGTCGATTGGTGGACACTCGGCGTCCTCCTGTATGAGATGATGGTTAGTATTGTCATCTTGGAATTTAATCATCCTCTGATGGTCCCTCAATGAAGACCGGTCTCCCGCCTTTCTATGACGAGAATGTCAATGTGATGTACCAGCGCATCCTGTCAGACCCGCTGCACTTCCCACCAGACGTCTCCTCTGATGCGAAAAGTATCATGAGCGGCCTATTGCAGCGCGATCCGGCTCGTCGGTTAGGCGCGAACGGGGCCGAAGATATCAAGCGGCATCCGTTCTTTGCCAAACACATCGACTGGAATCGGCTTCTCGCGAAGAAGATTCAGCCACCATTCAAACCCAGCGTCGAGTCCGTGCTCGATGTGGCCAACTTCGACACCGAATTCACGAACGAGGCCGCTCAAGATTCGGTCGTGGAGGATTCGCATCTCTCGGAGACTGTCCAGGACCAGTTCCGCGGCTTCACATACAACCCGGCGAACGAGCACCTCAGCGAGAGCGTGAATGCCTATAGCCATATGGGTTGAATAGCACGCGTTAGACGCTCCTCCGTCTTACCAATGTGTTCTTCGACCATCGCCGACTCATACCAATACTCAACCCCGTTTCCCGCCTCGCTCTTCCTACCATCGTCCATTTTCGTTCAAAGTCTGTATTTGGTGTATCAGTGGCTCGTTAGTTGCTTTCGTTGGATCATTGAAATACGTTCGTTCAGTTTTTGCGCTGTCCATGTACCAATAACCCATGTATCGAAAAATCGCGGACGGATTCTGCATATATACAGGCATGTTGGCTGCTTCTAACGTATTCTGTTTTGTTCGTCTTAACTATATCAGTTGCGTGACGACCTCAAGCTCGCAATAATGATGCATCCCTGTCCAGCGCGGTAGGTGATTCAATACCAGATGCTATATGGTCCGTACGTTGTGATATCATGCATGCTTAACGCTCAGCAGTCTGCCCGTCTCCACTGCGGCTCGTTAACGTGCGCCAAGCATCCTCTGCCTCCGCTCGGGGCGTTGACACAGATAGATCATGTGGACCCAATAACTCGTAGGAGAATAGTGGAGTACATGACGAAGCACACCACATACGCCCAATATAATGGCCCCAAGGATTCTTGGCCATGCACCAGTAACATGAGATAACACTGAATGGCTATGATAAATATACATGTTCCAGCAGCACGGATGCAGATCCACGTTCTTGGGGTGTACTGGGCGAAGCATTACTTCGGCATTGGCTGGAATATATGTAAGCGGACTCACGCAGCAAAACATGTCAACAGGAAATCCCTCGCAGAAGGAGACAGGCCGATGCCAGTGGGCAGAGGAGGAGTAGTCTCTCCGCCAGACAACTGAGATTTCAGATTTCAACATCTGAGAAGCGAGCAAATCGCCGTGGTCCTCTCTGACCTTCACTTCGACCTCGTGTTGCCCGAGTCCGTCCCACGGTGGTCGACCAGAATACATCTCGAGCACAGTGCACCCGAAGGACCAAATGTCGGCGCCATAGCTATAACCCCGTCCGCCGCTTCGAACCACTTCGGGTGCCATCCAGAATATCGCAAAATCCGGCAGAGAACTCGCGGTTCTTTCTCTTTGGAAATCTCCGAAGCGCTTGCTGGAGGCGAAATCCGATATCTTGCATGTTCCGGTCGAGTCTACCAGGATGTTCGAAGCTTTCAAGTTCTGCGGGAGGTCACGATGATGATCTGGACACTGGGTTATGGATACTCACACAATGTATGACCAAGACTGAATGAAGGTACTGTATGCCCCGGAGGATTTGTTTCGCGAATCCCATCACGAGCGGCTCCTCAAAAATCCCGTAATTCTGGAGGAGGCTGGCAATAGATCCTCCGGGGACGTATTCCAGGAATCTATAGAATACGCACTATGACGGAAAATCGTGGAGAATCAGGTCCTCACATGTTCAACATAGTCGGGGTCTCTTCACTTCCGAGATAGCGTATGACATTGGGATGATGCAAATCCTCGAGAAACTCGCGCTCCCGTTTCAATGCTTGTATCGCGCTAGTGCGGGATGCGTCTTGCGCACCATCGATGGGCATCTCGACCTGTCTCACTACCATAATGTCTCCGCGGACCGTAGATGCAACATACACTCGACCGTGACTGCCCTTGCCGATGAGTTTCCCCCGGGTCCATCTGAGGCTGGCAGCTGCCGATTAGAGTATGGTTGTCATCATTCGAGGAGTTGCGCAAGGCGACTTACACATATCCACGAGTACCGCGATGGCCTGTGGATCAGAGGAGCTTTGGAAAGCACTCGGTCGTGCAGGTCGTTCGTCTTGAATGCGTCGTTAGAGTCGCAGGCATGCGTCATGGCGACTGCAGCTAATATAAAGCTTATCAGGCACATGACAAGTCGCAGATCTCCGGAGAATGCAAAAGCGGGCGCCGATATGCTAGAAGCTGCAATGAGCGCTGTTCGATATATACCAGGCAAGATCATCATGACGCCGGCGAAACGCTAGCGTTTACAATGACGTTGTAGGTACACAGGAACGTGGAGTAGTGTGCGGAGGCAACTTGTGAGCGACTACATTGACAAAATACAGTCACAGTGAAATCTCGGATCGTTGTCGAAATGTCCCAAACGTCTGCTCAAATGCTGTACTGGAGAACTAGAGAACAGACAGAGTGCTGGCAGGTGGCGGTGACCAAGAAATCTGTGCCTCGAGCCACGATGAGCTGAGAGTCTTGCGCCAGATATTGCCGTACTCTCTGCAACGCTAAAACGGATGATCTATCTCAGAATTCTGGTATTCCATCATGCTACAACACGCCAACGAATCGGTATTATAATGCGTTGTAAACAGCAGGCACGCATGAGGTGCAGATACTTCTAACATTTACTCCAGCACCCATTCAAATTCGTGCGTCTACTGCGACGGAGCTATCAAAAGCTTACTTGCTCACCACACGTTCAGTAAGGCATGTCGATACGCGCAGTCGATTGCCCTCTTGGGTACATTTGTTCCCGGACGACCTTTCAGAAAGGCAAGAACTTAGTCACTGTGCTCGCAAGGATGCGAAAGTTTCCCATACCACCGCCGATCCAGCGCCTTGCCAGCTACGGACGGTCTCCTCGACGTCCGCCAAACGTCCGCGTCTAGATCCTCTCCGCGAACATGAGCAGCCCAGCGTGCGCCCCGCATCGACTTCCATTTCTCTCCCGCGCCGTCGTGCAGGATCCATCGGAATTCCTGTCATCCTTTCTGTTTGTGGACCCCGGGCACCCCCTTCGTCTCCTTCGCTTCCCTCATTCATATCGTTCCTGCCCTCACGCGCGTTACACATCGTCCGACGTTCGCATTTGTGGTGCACGCGTACGCACTCACTCCAGCTTGGGAGTACCGGCGAAGATGACATCTACAACCTCCGGACTGCCCTTTCGATGGCATGGGATTGGGCTCAAATGTCGCGGGCATGCTATCAATACGCACGGGCTCTTGTTTCGCGCCTGCTATTACCATCGGGCAAGACATTCTCTCGATTCGGCAGCACTAGTACGCCGTACGCCTCCGCAGCGTCCTCTCAGCAGCGTTATGCTCGGAGTCAGTATATGGGAGCGGGGAAGAGGTCGGTGACGGCACACTTTCTCATCCTCCTCTCCGTCCTTGTCGATACCATCACAGCCATCATGATGTGCAAACCCGACGCCCGTCCATGTGTAGTGGCTAGCCACGGCATCATTTCCTGACAACTCAACAGAGAAGCATCCACAAAGCACCCACCCGACTAGGCTGTCCGTCTCATTTCACCGGCTTTGTCTTATTCGCGGGCGGAACGGTGCGTAAGGGTGGATCCTGCGGAGATACATATACCGGGCACGTCTCCCCGTCAGGACGTTTTTGAACGGGCGATCGTTGCCTTCGAAGCGGACAGCCTCAGTTATTCAGGGACGGTCCCGACGAAGCCGCTTTTTGACAGAGAAGGAAATTGGGACTGATACGCCTTGTCGCCGAGGCCGATTTCTGCTATCCTTATCCCCGACTCACAACGTTTGCAGCTTTACATCTGGCATAGCTGAGGACTAGTGAATGACAATACGTTGCACAACCAGAGTGAACAAGAAAAGTTCGATGAGGTTTAATAAGGTACTACTAGCAAGCATGCAAAAAGGAAAGTCTACGCGATGGGCAGCGGGAGCAGTCGAGGGGAGTGGAGCACACGTAGAGACAGACAGTAGAGACAGTAAAACATATATGCGGATCGAGACGTATGTGTTGGCTGCGGCATCAAGCGCTAGCGTCAGTTTTGTGGTGTGGATGGTATACGATACTATTATGATGTCCGTAGTCCGCGGTAGCGGACTCCTTGGCGATGCCGACGGGCAAGTAACAACTGAACCGAGCGAAACCGACGGGACGAGGAAGATGAGAACGAAAATGCGTGTATGGCAGTGCGAAGCGACGACCGCGTCTAGGACCGAGGCAGGGTGATGATACAGACAAGATGGCGGTCGCGCGTGCGTTCGTGGCGGGCGTTATAAACATTGGGCTTGTAATGTATGCGGTCGGCGGTGGCTCGTGAGTGATGACCGGGGGTATCCGCCGTTTCCGAACCTCGCCCCTCAGGAAGCGTCGTCTCCTCTACTAACATCCCTGGCTCTTGAGCTTCCACATCTTCACCGAGTCGATCCGGAACGAGAGGTCGTCCTCGTTGCTCGGCCACTGCTTGCTCCACGTGCTCTGTGCCGCTGCAAAGTCGTGCATCGCCGTCGAGGAGCCGTCGATCCACATTTTGCCGCCGACACCGTCGGGGAACCAGCCGCTCGTGCCGCCAACGGCGAGGTCAAGGATGAGGTAGAACTCCTGGTCAAACGGAGCGCTCTTCGCGCCGTCCTTCCACGGGTTCGTGATGGCAACGACATTGGCGCCGTCTTGCGCCGTCTTGGGGAAGTTTCCAATGTCGAAGTACGACTTCGTGGACGTCCCGAACTGGAGCATCTTCTTCAGCTTGCTGTCAACGCTCATGCGCATGAAGTCTGGCGTCCATTCGAGCGTGTACGTGTGGAAGTCGGCCGCGAACGATGTCCGCTTGAGCTCCTGCCACCCGAACAAACGTGCCGTCGTCGAGTTCGTCACGCCGTAGTTAAGCGTCGAGCGCACGAAGTTGTCGCCCTGCGAGCCGTACGACGCGTCGTTCCCGCGTGCTTCCATGATGTCGATCTCGCCGCTCAGAGGCCAGGCGCCGTAGATCGACGTGTCCTTGGGCAACATCCAGATGGCGGGCCACAGCCAGTCACTGTCGCCGTGCCTCAGCATCCTCACACGACAAATTCCGGAAATAAACACCACGTACCCACGCGGCAACTTGGCCCGCACCTCAACCTTGCCGTACTTGATACTGTGGCTGTTGATCGTGCTCATCCGGGCCGACTTCACGGGGTTGATGACCGTTTTCGAGTCCTTGTCGCTCGTCACCTCGCAAGCGGACTGGTTCGAGCTCGTGCAGCCGTCAAGCGTGTAGTCCGTTCCGTCGAAGATGGCGTCCGTCCCGATTTCGGCGCTCGTGAGCGTAGGCTTGATGTAAAGCTGCCCATTCTTGATGAAGCTGTTGGCGCTGTCGCCCGTCGTCATCTGGAATTCGCCATTACCGAACCCGCCGAGCTCGATGTCGCGCGTCCAAGTGTTGTCCGTGTCCAAGCTTTCGAAGTTCTCCACCCAGGGGCTGCACAGCTCGTCGTCCGACAGGACCTGAACGCTGTTCCAGCCACGCCAGCAGATAAACGCGGCGAGCGCGGCACCAACGACCAGCATGAGGAACGTGAGCCACCAACTGATGCGACCGAGCTTCTCCTTCTTCGTGATCCACGGCTTTTCCTCCTTCGTGAGCTTCTGCGGAAGCCGGGTCGAAGGTAGAGGTGCGCGGCCCTTCACGGGCGCAAGGCCCAAAGCAGTGGTGGATCCCGAGGAGATACCCAATCCGCCAGAGGCGTACGGGAAAGAGGGCGGCGCCCACAACGAAGACGTCGGGCGTGAAGCGGGGCTGAGGAACGGCGCGCGGAAGGTCTGCACGCTGCCCGTGCGTGGGAGGCTACCTCCACCCTCGGCAAGCTGGGGAGAGGAGAAGGCGGCAGCAGCGGAGTTGCGGTACACCGCCGTACCGTTGCCAGACGCCGAGTGGATGGAAGACGGACGCGAGTTGCTCGGCGAACCGTTCGGCGGACCCGTCATGAACGGCGCATACGGCCTGCTGAGGCTATCGCCCAAGTCGGCCTCGGACGCGTTCTGCTGCAGCTGGCCGTACCCTCCCGGTGCTCCGTTGGCAGAGGGGTATGCGACTCCCGTCGCGGCCGCCGAGGGAGACAGCGGGTTGAAGTTCTGGTTCGAGATGATCGAACCGTGACCACCGTCGGACGAGGTAGCGCGCATACGAAGTGACTCGGTGGATGAGCGACGGGATGGATATCCCGGGACGTGCATTCCTGGGTCGGGGTTGCCAGGGTGCGACTACAAGCAGCAAACGAGCGGGAAGGAGAGGGCATGTCAGTTATGGTAGGTAAACACGCGATTTAGGTAAGGAAGGCGGGAAGCGAGGTAAATATGGAAATTAAATGATATAATAGACTACTCGTGGTAAGCGAGCGCGTCTTATCGGGGTCGAAGCCAACGCTGAATGATCGGTATGAAAGAGCGAATTATGGAAGAGCGAAGGACGAAGAAGGTTGGAGATGGAGGTGGGGAAGATCACGATGCTAACCTGGAAGGGGAACGGGTACGCGCTGGGCGGGGCCCTGCCGCCCCTGCTGGGAGAAACGAGAGGTTCATCGCGAGCCTCGCGCTCACCGCGGGCGTAGAGCTCAGCGGCGGACCACGCGGACGCGTCACGTTCGCGTGGGGTCATGAACGGGTCGGCCGTCGTCGGCGTCGCGGGCAAATCCTGGTTCATGCTTGACCGTCTGCGATGGTGGTTCCTAGCGCGGGCGATGGCCGTGTTGGCGGGGGCGGCTGCGCCCTCCTTGTCCGAATCGGAGCCGGTGTCGGGGGACGTGTCTGTCGAAGAGTACGATCCGCGGTCCTGGGCCGAGCGGGAGGCAATGAAGAAGGGGCGAGGCGGGGAGAGCGGAGGGTAGGACGGCGAGGCGGGCGAGGGCGGCTCGGCTGGGGCAAGAGCATCCCGCTCGCCGGCGGCGGGAGCGGGGCGGTACGAACGACGACGGTCTCCGCGTGCTGCCATCGTTGTGCGTTGGCTCCTGGTCGAGGGGCGGGTGCGGGGACGAGGAGGTGGAGGTGCGAGAGGGGAAAGAGCAGCAGCGACTTGTGCACGAGAGTCGAGGCCCACGCGCCGGTTGGGAAGGCCGGGAGATGGGTTGGTGCTCCAAGTCGGCTGGCCCGTGCGCGCTATCAATTTGAGAAGAAGATCGGGACTGGGACGTCCTTCTTCCCACGCGAGGCACGAAACACGCCGGGCTCTGCCGGCCTCGACCGCCGTACAGTTGCGAAGCGGCGTCCGGAGTCCGTCGTGCGCTCAGTAAATTATCAATGGCCTGCTATCGCCGTCTCTCTTATCGCGTTAGGCTCAACGCTCCTTTCCCTGGTCTTTCGTGCACTCGCGATCCGCATGTCGCCCGTAGTGGCATGTTCTGCGTTTTCTCTCTCTGCGCTGACCATCGCCTCCGCGCGAGCCTGCGCTCAGAGCAGACAACGTCATGACAAGCAGATAGCGTCAGGGGTGGTGATTGGATACGCGCAGAGCGTCGCTTGATCTTAGCGACGGAGGAAATTGTATTACTGTAGAAATCAATTGGACGCTGCAGAACCCCCTAACACCCACTGGTGGCGGTCTGTCACTGAATATGTGGGAGCGCCGTCCGCTGCTGCGTCCCTCGTGTCCTTATAAGGCTTGTTGGTTCGCCTTGACATATTTACGCGACTCGTCCAGGCAACGTCTAGTCGCACGCGCTCGCAAATGCGTTCGCATACCAGCAAATAGGCGCGCGCGACGCGAGGAAGGGCACTGGAAGGGCGCCGATGAACTCGGTCGCGCTCGGCAACGCAGAAAAAGAAGAAATAACATGGGCCTGAGCGTCATCGATGACGTCGAGATTCACAACGTTCTCCCCGTTTTTCTCATGCTCCGTCCACCGTCCTTGGTCGGACGAGCGCGAGTTGTCTCCTTGACGGCACGGACTGCTTTGGATCGATGCTACTGCTGCTGAACTGCGCTCATATTACGAGTTGCCGCTGTTTTCGACTTATCTATGTCGTATACAATGCTCTTAAGGCGGGCCCGCGGTCGTGCAAGATATGCGGCTCACTAGCTTCATATGTCGTAGTCCATGCCGAAATATGCTATGCGCTGTCACTTCCTGCATGCGCGAAGACGAACGCAGAAGTAAACTGTACGATATGAAAGTTCGAACTTTATGCAGCTTCAACAGAGCGGGTTAATCCGTCACCGCAAAGGTCAAACCGCGCAAGATGTGTTTCGGGCAACGGCCATCTCCGCCCAAACTTTCCAAATCGGGCCCCTGTTCCGGGGTCCCTGACAACACGGCACCCCTTCTCCTTTATTACCTAACGCTACGACCCATTCCGGCTCGCAGAGTTGTCACAGATGGGATCGGGAGATGGAGATCGTCACAGCCCGCGCGAGCCCGCGTTGTCACACATATCTTGAGCAACGCGGTTCGCGCGCCCCGGTGTTTGTTGTTCTCGTCCTCTCGCCCTGCTGAGTTTCCGGGGACTCAACAAACCCAGCCCTCCTGCGGCCTCCTTCCCTTCGACTCCCTCCACCCCCTCCGTTCCCCCAGCCCGCTGCACTCGCGAGTCTATCTCGGTAGCCGGGCACTGATTCCGACTAGGATATTCACCCGGTCGTTCCCTCGCTCGCTACACCACCACCGACAGGCCACAGTCGCTTGACCGTCTTCGTATCCACCATGGATTACGGTGCGCCTTCACTTGCTCATTATTCTTCGAACCACTCCCTGATCAATATCTCTCCTCCCTTATCTACCCCATGGCACGGAAAAAAACTTCCTGGCGAACCACAGATCGGTACGACGCCTTCTTGCACCACATCTTCAAGCAGACCCAGGGCGATGCCTGGTTCCGCCCGAACGAGGAAAACCTGACCGGCGGTGTCGCTCTCCGCGTCGCCGACGGCGAGTTCCGCGTGTTCCCGTACGAGAACATCACCCTCGAGCCATTCGAGGCGGCCGTCGCTGCTCTCAACCCCGTCGTCGCGGTCAAGATCCGCAGTGCCGCCGTCCACGCAGCGCTCGCAGAAGTGTGAGTGTCACGTCGAATTTACATTCGAGTACTCCGACTACCCGTTTTGGCGGCGTAACCTTCTCGAACACAACGCTGATAAGGACATCTTTTGGGGCATTAGGACACCGGAAGACAAGTCCATCTATGTCGACGCGAATACCCGGATACAGATCATCGAAACCATGATGCAGCTCCCCCAAGCCGAGAGAGAGCAATGCGGCGCGTTCATCGTCAGTTCCCTTTTTTAATTCCCACGCTTTCTAGTGCCTTTTTTCTGACGGTTGCCCCTTTCTTCCCTCGCACCAACTAACTGGCGTCTGCCCGCCCGCCCTATGTCTCACCTGTCAAACTCTACACAAAAAAACCAACGCTTTCGACTCGGACAAAATGACCTCACCAAATGGCTTGCATCCACCGCACGATAATGGGATGCAAACGAACAGCGAGACGAACGCGTGCTCATCGTCTGGTCCGATTCGCTCGACCAGATCATCCCGACGTGCCACGACTTCGAGGAGCGCCTGATCAAGCTCCTTTGGCGCTCGCGGCCGCACGCGCTCGGCGTTCCTTCCGCTTCTTCTCACCACAACTCGGTCGACGGCTCCGTCTCCGGCCACTCACTGTCCGGCCTCAATGCCGCTCAGGCACCGACGCCCTCCCGCCGCGGCACCCTCGGCTACATGGGCTCCGCGATGGGCTCGAGTGTCTCACTCGGACTCGGCGACCCGGAGAAATCCGCTGGCCTTGGCGAGAAGCGCACGATCACGAAGACGAAGCGGACGTGGTACGGTCGCAAACGCACGGTGGTTGTCGAGGTGGACGAAGAAGACCTCGGTCCGGAGGAACGCCCCGCGCGGCTGTTCTCGCCGTTCTACAACGGCATCGCTGCAGGGCTTGCGCTCGTATTTATGGGCAATGGTGTCGCGACGCTACTCAAAGAGTGGTTGCTTGACGGCGACTTCACGCGCTTCGCGCTGGCCGCGCTCATCCCGTGTCTGTACGCCGTCTCGCTCTTCTTCGCGCTGCAGATCGTGCAGAACCTGTCCATGGCCGTCGGTCCCGTCGCGCAGTACCACGAGAACTCCAAGTACTACTCGGCGAACAAACCCCGGCCGAACAAGGTCGTCGACAACAACCTCCCGCACATCACCATTCAGATGCCCGTGTACAAGGAGTCCCTTCACGAGGTGTTGGCGCCGTCAATCGAGTCGCTCAAGAAGTGCATGCAAACGTATGCCAGGCAGGGCGGAACTTCGACCATCTTCATCAACGACGACGGTCTGCGGGTACTGGACGACGAGGCTCGCGATGAGCGCATCGCCTTCTACGCGAACCACAACATCGGCTGGGTCGCGCGGCCAAAGCACGACGACGCACCCGACGGGTTCAAGCGTGCGGGTCGCTTCAAGAAGGCATCGAACATGAACTACGGCCTCGCGCTCTCGCTCAAGATCGAGAAGCACCTTGAGGCGCTTCAGGCGGAAGAGAAGGCGCGCAACCCCGACGGTCTCCCCGGCGCTCGCATTTCGTCCTCCACCAACCCGCACGATTACCAGTACCCCGGCTTCGGTCTCCAGTACCAGGGCGTCGGTGGCGGCGAGCAGGGGCAGGTCGGTCAGGTCGCGCAACAGTACGAGGACATCGAGGAGAAGGCGCTGCAGATGGCGATCGAGGAGGTGTACGAGAACTCGGGTCGCCGGTTCAGGCCATGGGCGGCGAACGGCAAGTCTTGCCGTGTCGGCGAGCTCATTCTCATCGTCGACTCGGACACCGTCGTCCCCGAAGATTGCTTGCGTGACGCGGCGCGCGAAATGGCGGAGTGCCCGACGGTCGGTGTCATCCAGCACGAGTCGGACGTCATGCAGGTTGCACACCACTACTTCGAGAACGGGATCGCGTACTTCACCCGGCGTATCAATCGTTGCATCTCCTTCACATGTGCCAACGGCGAGGTCGCGCCTTTCGTCGGTCATAACGCGTTCCTCCGGTGGAGGGCGTTGCAAGACGCTGCATTCGTCGACACGGACGGTGTCGAGAAGATCTGGTCCGAGTCCAACGTGTCCGAGGACTTCGACATGGCCCTCCGTTTACAGATGCGCGGCTTCATCATCCGTTGGGCAACGTATTCCAACGGCGGATTCAAGGAGGGTGTCTCACTCACCGTCGACGATGAATTGAACCGCTGGCAAAAGTACTCGTATGGTTGCTCCGAGCTGCTCTTCAACCCCATCATCCAGTGGTGGCGCCGCGGCCCGATTGCCCACCAGATTCATCGGTTCATGTGGTCGAACGCTCCCATGCACTACAAGATATCGATGATGGCGTACATGTTCTCCTACTACGGTATCGCGGCGAGCATGACCATCGGTATCCTCAACTACGTGCTGCTCGGTTTCCAGTTCCCGGTGGACGGATACTACATGCACTCGTTCGAGATCTGGCTCGCGACCACGGTCGTGTTTATCGGCTCGGGCAACGTGGGTTACACACTCCTCGAATACCGTCTCGGGCACAAGGGCATCTTCGAGGGTTTCTTCGAGAACGTGCTCTGGGTACCGTTCTTGTGAGTCTCCCTTGTGAAACGTATCTTCGTGTGGTCCTTAACTGAGTGTACCCTCCAGCTTCTTCTTCTTCGGTGGTCTGGCGATTCCAGTTAGCCAGTCGATCCTCGCCCATCTCTTTTCGTACAACATGACCTGGGCGGCAACGAAGAAGGAAGTCGAGCGCTCAAACTTCTTCAAGGAAGTACCGAAGATCTTGAAGCGGTTCTGGTTCCCTTTCCTGGTCTCGATTGTTGTCATTGCTGGCATGATCATTTGCGCGACGCCGCTTGTACCCATCGAGTGGCGCGTCGACGGCTCCGGGTGGGCCGTCATCTTCCCGCTCGCAATCGTCGCGTCGTGCCATATCCTCGTGCGTACCTGTTTCCCCCTTTTCCCGTGTTTCTCATAACTTACCTCATGTCTATGCAGTTCCCGATCGTGCTCAACCCGTGGTTGCTCAAGTTCTCGTACTAAAACGATCCGCTCGAACTGCTCGCTACGCATGGACTCTGCCACGACCGTGACGTATACCCCACCTCTGTATACCAGCTCGTGGCGCCACTCGCCGCCGTACAAACTGCCGTCGCTCGCTCGCCCCGCTCTTTATATCGCCACCGCTTTGCCGCTACCGACCTAAACCGGTCCTTGCTTCTGTTCATCCAGTGTACCACCGTCTTTACTCGCACACAAGTCTATACGTATGGTTTGCCTCATTTAGAACTATCCTTTCTTAGCGAACACTCGCCATTTGTTATCACGGACCCTCCTCATGAACCAATATTTACAATGTTGTGCACTCTTGAGACGGACACACTCGATGGACACAGTATTCACTCGTCATAGCGCGGCGCTGACGCCTCCCGCCCTCTTCGGCTTTGCACCTTAGACAATTTCTGTCCTTTGTTATGGTACTGTCAAAAACTTTACGTGTCACTCATAGTTTTCTTGGTCGCCTGGGAGACACCCGACGCAGTAATGCCATCTCTTCCTTGCTCCACTTGTCGCCGGGAATGCATCTGGGCTATTCAGTCTTCGCCGGTGATGACGCGTTGCGTCGTTGAAAGGTCCAGGAAGATGAATTGCAGATGAGCCGCGTGGGCGCGAGCGGGCCAGCAGCTGAAATTAGGGCCTCGGCAGCTGCGCAGCAGCGGTTGCGCCAGCCTGCCTAGACCCAGAGACGAGAGTAAGAATATCCTGTGAATTGCTCGCGCTTGTAACTTACGACGGGTCAGAAACTATCCGGTGTGACTGAGTAGCCCACGTAAGATTCCTTTGCATAGAATATAATATGCTTGTGCTTTTTCGGCACCGCTGGCCAGGAAGAGCAGGCGAAGGTGGAGTCGGCAGGGACGCAATTCATGTGGCTCTAGACCGGGAAGGGGAAAAAGTACTCATCCATCTGGGGAGGATCGTTGAATTCTGGCCATCTGAGCGGCAAACAGGAGTACTGTGAGCGCTGACCGGGGTCTTGCTTGCATGGGTGTGGCTATGCACCACCCCGACTCCGAAATCTTTGGCAAACGTTTCTATAAGCCATGCTGAGAGCCAGGGGTGCTACTAGAGGCGTATTCGCTCATACTCGAACCCATGCAACGCAGTTCGCTGGTGCAAGGATAGGTTTGGCGAGAAAAGCAACATTAGCAACAACGTCCAGACACATCCGCAACGTCACCACGCTCGTGTCTTCCGAGACGCGTCCGCTCGTATTCGATGCACAAGATTCGCCCTGTGCTGAACTCGAGCGCGAGCATGCCCGCTTACTACGCGTCATCAAGAAGAAGGCAGAGGAACGGGATGAACTCCAAGCAGCGGTTCGTTTTGCATCAGTCTATACGCGCCCGCTCTCATTGACGTATCCGATCCTATAGCTCACCGAAGACCAGTCTTCGCCGGAAGATGTACCGAAACTCAAGCGCATACGAGAGCTGGAGGGGCTAACCGAAGCTTGGCAAAAATACCTGGAGAAACGCGAGGTTTGTGTCCTCCTTGCCCACGCGCCGTATGAACGAGCGAATAATGTTCTTACACGCAGTAGTACCTCCGCGAGACTGCAAGATTACTCACTGACCCTGATGAGACGATGCGGACGATGGCGGCGGAGGAGCAAGAGGCGCTTCTCAGTTCGCTCATGGAGGACCTCACGGAGACCTTTCCAGGGCTACTCGTACCCAAGTCTGAGACTGCGCAGATGGTTTGTCTACCCGTATAAGCGTTACGTGTATTCCCATGCTAAGACCGGTACAGGGCGCATTGATAGAACTGAAGTCCGGCGTAGGAGGCTCGGAAAGTTCTCTCTTTCTGGCGGAGATCATGCGGATGTATATGCGTCTTGCGGAGCGGATGGCTTCTCCGGGCGGTAAGAGGTGGAAAGCAACACCGGTTGCCGTGAACGAGACGGAAAACGGTGGAGTGAAGGACGCAATCGTGGAAGTCAAAGGCAAGTAATCGTGCCCATATCGTGCGTTCCTTGTCACACGAGCTTATACGACAGTCAGGCGAGGGAGCGTACGATGCGTTGAGATGGGAAAGCGGCGTACACAGGGTCCAGAGAGTGCCGGCTACGGAAGTGAGCGGCCGAGTACACACAAGTACCGTCGCGGTGCTGGTCAGTCTAGACAGAGCCGCTCGTGTGAACCTGACTGTTGACTTCGTTGTCAGGTTATGCCCTTAGCTGACGAGGCCGACACAGTCCAGGAGGACGATTTGTTCCGTATGGAAGATGTAAAAATCGAGGTGATGCGGTCGAGAGGAGCTGGCGGACAGGTTAGGACCGGTCCCGTCCTATCATCTGATCACATCGACGCTGATGCACGCATATAGCACGTTAACAAAACAGAATCCGCTGTAAGGTTGACGCATATTCCGACGGGAATCACCGTATCTATGCAGGACGAGCGTAGCCAACACCAGGTATGTCATCGGAACCTTGTTTGTCGCCTCCTTCGATGCTGAAACCACTGCCTCGTAGAATAAGCGCCGCGCGTTTCAAGTGCTGCGTGGAAGGCTCATGGATCAAAAGCTGATGCGCGATATGCAAGAGCGCAGGGCAACAAGGCGGCATCTGGTCCAAACTATGGACCGGTCAGAAAAGATCAGGACGTATAACTGGGCACAGGTACGTTTCAACTCGCTTCTGCCAGTGTTCACGCTCTTACAAGTTGTGATACCAGGACCGCGTGACAGATCACCGAATCGGCCTCTCTATCAAGAATTTGCCGTCGGTCATGGATGGAGATTCCCTGGAAGACTTCATCGTCGCACTGAAGAAGAATTATCAGGAGGGCCTCATGGAAGATATGTTAGAGGATATATGATTCGCAGCTGTTTGCGTCATGGCCTGCTTTCAACCCCCCGCCCCCCCGGTTAGGACGAGGGTCGTGCTCAGAGACTGGCAAAACTACTTAGACTTTGGTTCACGATGTCATATAATCTAATTTTCTAGTAACTTAATTTCGCTTCTTCTGTGCGCCATTGACGCACGTTGTCAACTTCATCTCGATCATTGGCTGCCCAGCACTTCACTGCCACTGGCTTGCCGGTGCACTTGATCCTTCGAGATGCACTTCGGAAAGAGCTACGCGCAACTACTACAAACTCTTCCGCTCGACCTAAGGGAGAATGCAATCGAATATCGCCAGCTCAAGAAGCTGATCAGGCAGATTGTCGACGAACTCGCCAGCCATGGTCTCAGCCCGGAGGTCCTCCATCAACTTCTTCAGTCCTCGACCGAGCCTACAGACACATCCAAGGGATGCGACGCAGCCAATATCGGGAAGGGGAAAGGCAAAGAAAAGGCTACGGATGCGGACACGCCAACAGTGAAGGAGCTCTCTCAGTTTATGCAAGATGCTAGTTCGAGGAGCTCCGTCAGGGTTCTGTACGAGGTCAACACAGATCACGACAGGATTGAGCCCAGGCTCCGCATTGTCTCCATTGACGAACCATTGAAGATCTCAACGTCCAGCATGCTTGAGGCGGAGTCCCAGCAGCTTTGTTCGGTGGGATCCCCGGCGTCGAATGAAGAGGAAGCCGAGCGTATTCCAAGTACTTCTCTTGTATCGCCGTGAGTGTGGATACATTCCGAAGCTCTCTCCATTGTAATCACAGTTCCCTGATTGTTGATGTTTATTCAATCCAGGCATCATTCTGTATCACACAGAGAAATAATCATCCCTCTCGCCTCCGACTCGGCATTCTTCTCCATGCTCGCTGCCGCTTTACAACAGCTTTCGGCCCACCTAGTTACCCTTCGGGCACAGTTCGAGCAAACCCTACACGAGCTTTCGCGCACCATCTCTGCTGCGGCACGACCCATGTCTGAGGCCGGGCGGACTTCCTTCGTTCCTCATTCTGTCCTCTCCGATCCGACAGAGTCGATGTCATTCACTGCTGCTCCCGCCTACGCATTTTTCCACCATAGTCACGAGGGAAAGTCGGATTTGTATGCGTGGAGGGAGATTTTCCAGCTCTACCTGGACGCTGAGATCTTCGAGTCTACATCCGAAAGAAGTAGAGGCGAGAGAAGCATGGAAGATGCGAGCGAACGATGGCAGGCGTTCGTGGATAGACTGAAGGAGAGACATCTGTTGGACGAGGCATGGCTGGAGGAAAACGGACACCTGAAGCACGGGACTGGGAGACTGCAGCTGAAGGAGAGTCGCAAGGCAATGGTAATGTTCTTACGGATGAACGAAACGTTACTTGACCTGAAAAAGGCACGTGTGCAAGCATTGGGAACGGCCTCCTTTCTCATGATGTTACGTCGCAGTTCCAACACGCCAATGTGGAGGCGCTGCGCAAGATCTTGAAGAAACATAGGAAGAGGACGGCACTACCTCTTCCCGAAGTGCCATTGACAGGACTATGCCCGCCCCGTACCCTACCACCCGGAATGCATAAGGACTCACTCCCTGACATCGACGAACCACCATCCCTTCCAAGCAGTTCAGTCACCGACAGCCAGTCCAGCTCATGGGGTACACTGGTGCTTAGCTCGACCCCGACCACGTTGGCGCCTTACTCCCCCTCGGGCATCGATTTCTCCTCGTCCTCTCAATCGCCATCCTACACCATCATCAGCTCATTCCCAGTACACTCCGCCTCTCTTCCACGGACGCTGGTGCAAGCCATCGGACAGGAGCTGGTACCCATGATCCCACAAGTCAGCGATCACTACTCAATAATCCACGACACCGGAACTGAATTGCTACCGTAGATCGACGACTACACGTGCCTCATATGCACTAGCATCGCTTTCAAGCCGATCAGGCTCAAGTGCGGACACCTGTTCTGCGTTCGGTGAGCAGCATCATGCGACGACATTGAGCAGAACCGTTGACCGGAAATACGGCCCAGATGTCTCGTCAAGATGCAGAAAAGGGGAAAGGGGAATTGTCCAATGTGCCGTGCGCCAACTGTTCTCGACGCTGATCGATGTGCGAATCGTTCAATGCCTTAGGCTGTCTTTTGTCACCGTGTCGTGATACCTCATTTGACTGACTTCCAACCTCCCTACAGCAAATGTGGATTGGGCACTTCTCAACTTCATGAAAGATTGGTTCCCCATCGAGGCGAAGGAGAAGCTGAAGCAGAACGAACGAGAGGCCGCACAAGAGGAGCTACAGGAGTTAGGGTTTAGCCAGGACGCGCCAGGATGCTTGTTGATGTAGGGGCGTAATTGATGTTGCACGATAGAACAACCGGGATAGATATATGAGCAATGATACCGGGTTCTTCGGATAATCTGCGAAGCAGCCAACGCCGCCAGTCCATGAATCAATGACGCGTTGGCGCTGAACACGCGCCACAGACCGTCAACAGAACGTTGAACTTCGACCTGCACGTCCCTTTCAAGATGCAATCTGATCCGCTGTCCGACACTGCTGCCCTTCGGTATCAATATGAATCCGACGAAGAGGAAGATGAGCCATTTCCGCTCGGTAATCCCGCTACACCAGAACAAACTGCCGGTGTCAGCTTCATAGGCTCTGGTGCGAATGAGCACCCTGAGACTGTGCTGAAGACGAACTGAACTCTCGTTGAGACAGTTGACCCGACTGAGCATCTGATCGTCGCGTTTGGAGAAGCGGGGAGGACTTGGGCATCTGGGGCCGACCTAGGCGAGCAAACTGGTGCGATCACTGTGAACAATATACAGGTAGGTCATGGTTTCCATGGACCATGTTGTCTAGTGCTCACTGTTGATTGTCTTGGGCACAGGCTAGCTTCGTATTCGTACCGCGATGGGGGGAGAGGCGGGTGACTGTCATAATATCGGAGCCATCTGGATCTCTGCCTTTATGGGCCATGGCGGACTACGCGAGGCGCATATTGACAATAGTACAACCTAAGAGGTATGGCCCCGATCACTCAGCATGTCTTCCTTCCGGTCAACCTGAACCTGGTCATAGGTTGTCACTACTCGACATATATCCCGTGCATGTGTATGCAGCCTCTGAACCCATCACTATTCACGGAGCACCTATTCGTTACCTCGCCCTGAACAGCCCTTTCGAGCCAGTGTGTTGCCTGTGCCCTATTGCACGTACACCGCTGACAATTTTGTCAACTAGTTGTCAGGTTTTGACGCCTATGAGCCGCCGAATCTCGTGCAATCATCTGCAGCCGCCTTTATGTCGCTCATCGCTAACCCGTGCTTAGTCGGAGGTAGCATCCCCAGCACCCTTCTGCTTTTGCCAGCTACGCATGCAGCCAGTATCCCATCTGAGACTGTGAAAACTACTGGGACCACTTGGATCATCAGTGATTGTCCATGGTCAGAGGAGGCAATGCAAAGTGTGCATCACACCTTGTTTTCTGCAACTGCTGGTATTACTGTGCCCAGGTGGAAATCGGTTGATAAAGCGGGAAGAATAGACAGGGGTGCTGTGAACAACGTGTTTGCTGATTCAAATGATATGTACATTTGAAAGCAAAAACAGACATTATGAGAACAGTTCTTTATGCACAAAGGAAGGGCCTGTTCAGGAGCAGTGATGTACAGCACTGTCACAGCCAGAGCATTTCATTATAAACCACATTTGTACAATTTTCTCTATGATGATTTATAGTTCATCCTCAAATCGCTGTCCAAACATGGTGTGCACTTGCAATAAAATGTAGCAATATATCTATATATAGATATGTTGCTACTTCTCTGCTTAAGATCCAATCTTGACAGAAATTTTGATGATTGATAATGTCATGGCACACCTCCAGTACTCATCTTTTCCTGTTCTCCTTGCACTCCCCAGATGCTCCTTTACCCTTTCAGGTTTCCTAGGAGCCCCCAGATGCTCCTTCGACCTTCTGGGTTTCCTAGGAGCCCCCAGATGCTCCTTCGACCTTCTGGGTTTCCTAGGAGCCCCCAGATGCTCCTTCGACCTTCTGGGTTTCCTAGGAGCCCCCAGACTTTCCTTCTACTCTTTCAGGTCTCCTAGGGCCTCCGCGCATGGTGCAGCCTTCCTAGGCCGTTCCACTGGTCACGTGCTGGGTGCCCGAGGAGCCTCTCTTCTCTTATTGGACCATCCTGTCAGGGTACGTGCTGGACCTCCTAGGAGCAGCGTGGATCCCTCGGGATGGCGGCAGAGATGCTGTTACACAAGGTAGGGAAGCAACTGAGATATCTTCTATACTAAAGACCTAAGTTTACCACACTATAAGACAAAGAGACAACCTGATTGGCTGGCGAGCTCAACTCACGTGAACAGGCCCAATAAGCGATGACATCACATTAGCTCCCCATGCTCCTGCGATCCCATGACCATACACGAAACAGCTGAAAGCATGCCTCAATTACGTCTAGCAACATCAATTCAACAGGTCTAACAGTGCTCTGCACTCTGTCTGAGGCCCCAAAAACTTGATTGACCGAAGTCTCGCTGTGAAAGATGTCGTTGGCGCATATTTTTACCATGGGAAAGTCGGTATTGGATGGCACGGACGACCCTGTTCGACCTCCTCGCTCCTTACCCCTGCGCTCCCATTCAATTGTCTGTTCTACTGCTCTGGGCTCTGGATATCAACTGCGATGATCATGCATAATCCAGGTGAGCTCACCTTGCGTGCATGTGACCAGAATCATTGAGTTGTACGTCTCAGACTCAGAGCTGCCACATCAGCTAACTCAATTGGCTGATACATTGATCCTGCAAAGAGGATGCCAGGCCCCCCACACAATACAACGCACCCTGATTTTCTAGAGATTTCCAGTGAGCCTCACTGCTCTGTGTACATCGTGCAAAACATCTCATGGTTTACTGCACTTCTCTCCCATGCTCACGATGCAGATTGATGGTCCTGTGACACTGCAAAGACGACAGCAATGATGCAAACATGTACACCACCTTCGCAAACAGGAGAACTTCTTGCCCAGACGACACAGGGTGCCGTGGACGGGTTTGCCAGATGTAAGTGAGGCAAATCATACTCGCAATCCTTCTTTTGACTCAAGTGTGTTGCAACAGCACGTCCCATTACAGGACTCTCTCAATACACTATCTTGACCATGGATACGAGCAATATCACCAATCTGCCTTCCAGTCCCTGGTCCTTCAATGTGGCAAAACCATGACCCTGACCTGGACGATGTATTTGGCTGCACAAATGCAGGCCAGCCAGCTCCGCAGATTTCTACGTGAAGACCTGCACACATACCCGCACTCAACAATCCTTCACCATTGCCTGTGCCACCCTTGCTGAGACCTGCTACAAACACCTGGTCTATGGCTCAACAGCAACGGTGCGAGCGTGAACAGCAGGAACACCTGCAATGGGCCACAACACTTCATCAAGACCAACCTCCCCATCCAACTGCTTTACCCACACCTGTGTTGGTGACGCAAAGGCCATGCGCCGCTGTGAGTGAACGGCATGTACTTGCTCAGTGTGCAAGGCGAGAACATGAATGCTGGGAACGAGCGCAGCAGCAGGCTGAGACCACCGACCCGCAGAATAACAATCAAAATGGTGGCATTGCTGTTCTGCTTGGTGTGTTGCCGTGTTGCTGTAGCTGTCATCTGTGTCCAGAAGGAGATTGTTGATGCAGATGCAGGCCAACCCCCACCTCACCCTTTGCCATTGAACGGAGCACACCGAGAACCGACGCAACACCACGTTTGGTCTGTGTCATCCCCACAAAGCCATGTGATCAATGCTCGGTCTATTGCTCCACAGCGACAACGCGAGCGCGAACGGCATGAACACCTGCAACAGCCCAGAACACTGCATCAAGACCAACATCCCCATTTGATTCCTTTACTCACACCCACATCGGTGATGCCAAGGCCACATGCCACCGTAAACGAACAGCGCGTACTTGCTTAGCACGCAAGGCGGGAACGCAAGCACCAGGACCGAGCGCAGCAGCAGGCTGAGAATGCCAACTTGCATAACAATTGCAATTATGGCCCTGCTGTTGCTTTTTGTGTGTAACAATAGCCGTCGCTTATAACCATACACATTGCTGACTTGGATATAGATTCAAACGCAGTTCACCCTTCGCCACTGGCATGACAGAGGTATCAAGAACTGGTGGAGTGCCACGACCTTGAGAGGATTAATATAGTTTTCCCACATTGCGGTGCCTTGCACTGGGCCGACGAACGTCTTTCAACCTCTTCACTCCGATCACCCACATTCAGCATGTGTTGCGACCACGGCAAGGTGCGGGTCCCTCTTGCCCGTGACCCACCTGCTGCCCTCCGCAAGCTCTTTGAAGATACAAGCAAGAGGGGCAAGGAATTCCATGCCAATATCCGACAATACAATGCCGCGCTTGCATTCACGTCACTCGGGGTCAAGATTGACGATACAGTCAACAGCGGCCAAGGGCCGTACGCCTTCTGGATCCACGGGGAACTATATCACCGAATGGGGTCACTACTCCCCGTTCAAGGTCATGTACCATTGTATGCCCAGTTGTATATACACAATCCATCTGCTGCGCTCACTATGCGCATGCAACAGAACCTGAATCTATCGAGGGATACCATGTCATTGCTGCAGGTTGTGTTGGCTGAGCATCACCCTTACTCCCAGGTCTACAAGCAAGCATATGAGATCCTGGCTGAGCAGGGTGACACCGAGGATGTGTCAATCCATCTCTGTGTCAACAAGTCTCGCGATCGACGGCAATATAACCTCCTGACTGTGGACAAAGTTGCAGTGGTCTTACCCGGGGATCGCTCTCATCTGACAGACAGCCATGACATCATCATCTGCAAGGGATCCGGCCCTCTTCAGCGCATCAGCGATGGTCATCCGGCATATGCGTGCCTCCATTATGTCCTGCTGTTTCCTTATGGGACTTCGGGATGGCATTGGGAATTGCGCCTCCATGAGGCGGACCTCCGACCAGGGAGCAAACCTTGCCGGCTGTCGCAGATCTGGTACTATGCTTTCCAATTCCATCCTCACGTCAATGAATACTCCCTTATCCTCCATGCTGGCAGACTGCTACAGCAATTCATTGTTGACATGTGGGCCTCAGCTGATCAAAACCAGCTGAACTACCTGTTGACGCATCAGTCTCAGCTCCACGCTCACCTCTACAGTGGCCTCGCTGATGCCATTGCCAACGGCTTTGACACGAACCTCCACAAGTTGGGTCGCTTGGTCACCCTCCCGTCATCTTACACCAATGGGCCATGGTACATGCAACAGATCTGCCAGGATGCATTGGCAATCAGACGCTATCTCAAGAAGGTCGATCTGTTCATCACAATGACAGTGAATCCTCAATGGGAGGAGATCACACACAAGCTCCTTCCTGGTCAATCTCCAGCAGACCGTCCTGACTTAATCACATGGGTTTTCCAGTTGAAGAAGAAGGTGTTGCTGAAACGTATATTCCACGATGGGATCCTCTGCGAAACCATTGGTCAGGTATGGATGATTGAGTTTCAAAAGTGTGGATTGCCGCATATGCATCTCTTGGTCTTCCTTGCACCGCATTCCTGGCTTTTGACTCCCGAACACGTTGATTCCCTCATCCAAGCTACATGGCCTGATCCAGTGACCGAGCCTCAACTCTTTGCCACCGTCAAGAAGTGCATAGTACATGGACCTTGCAGCGCACTAAACCCCCACTCCCCATGCATGGAAGATGGCAGGTGTACAAAAGGCTATCCAAAAGTGTTTCGGGAGCATACCTCCATCGACCAAGAAGGCTATCCTCAATACCGGAGACCTGATGATGGGCAAGCGTACAACATACATGGGCATATGATCGACAACCGCTGGATCGTACCATATTGTCCTCGACTCTCAGCAGAGTTTGATTGCCATATCAATGTTGAGAGTACTGTCAGCTGTGCGACCCTCAAGTATGTTAACAAGTACATCCACAAGGGTTTCAACACAGCAACCTTAGAAGTGCATCGATGGGATGAGGTCAGATGCTACCTAGACAGCTGCTACGTGTCTGCTATGGAAGGGGTTTGGCATATCATGCAGTTCGATTTGCATGAGAAGTGGCCAAGCATGTACCGCCTGCAGGTTCATCTTCCAGGCCAGCACAATGTGACGTTCAACCCAGATGAAGATCTGGCTGTCGTGCTCAAGCGGGCCTGGAATGAGCACACCATGCTGACAGCATTCTTTAAAGCCAATGCAGACCAAGGCGAGCTGGGTGATCTTGCTCACCGGTATACATACCAGGAGTTCTCTCAACACTTCGTCTGGAACTCAGATGCACAACGCTGGCAAATCCACCAGTGTCAGTTCTCACTTGGTCGGATGTACTTTGTGCCTCCAACTGGAGGTGAGCGGTTCTACCTTAGAACTCTGCTGACAGTTGCTCGAGATGAGTTTCACTCAGGTGCAAATGATATGAATTGCGAGAGTTCAAAAATATTCGTAAGGGCCTACGTCTTTCAAAGATCTCTGTACTGTCAATGGCATACTCTATCCCACCTTCCTGTCATGTGTCGATCCAGACCGATCTACGCCGATCCGCTCCGCCGATCATCACCGATCCGCACCAATCCTCTCCGACCCATTCTCTGACTTCTTCGCCGACACCGGTCCTGCCTTTCCCGTTTTGGCCAAGGGCGGGATAAGTCTATCACATGCACTGGGCCACCGGCAGCTCAATGTCCCGGTGGTTCCAGATATTTGAATGGATTCAACTCCAACTTTCCTGATTCCTGTTCCCTTTGTTTGACATCATAGTTTCCCTTTGTAGACTTTAGTTTCCCGTCGCTTGCGACGGATCCCTTGGTCCGTCCTTTCCACCTCTTCCTTAGATATGTTCCCTTTGTGTTCCATGTGTTATCTCTCATCTCTGTATGTTTCCTTTGTGCGCCAAACGGCACCTCCGATCTCCGCATCTCCGACTTCGCCATTGTTCTATTTTATGTATATAAACCATCGAACTGTACCATAGATAGTCAGTTCAAATATCGACTAAGCTTCATCCTCTCTCTCCTGTGGACTCAGAGCACGTAGTAGCCTAGCGCACAAGCTTAGGCTTGGTCTGCATCCAATCTCAACTTCACTAATGCTTCCGACTTATTGACTCAATGCCGACGTGTCTCTGACTCCTCTCTGACTCTACCTTTGAGTTCCCCTTTCTCTTTTGTTCTATTCTTCATATATACGTTTTGGACTTTGGTCCTCCGACCTTGTTCCCCTTTGTTTGTATCCGATCTTGACAAGAACGAAGGAGCGAATGGTGCTGGCTGCCTCTGGGCTATTACTTTTGACTGTTGCTAGCTGACATCAAGCAAGATTGTGTATTATTGCATAAATTGTAATGTAATGGTGAAGGGTTTGGTCGGTTCTGGGGGAACGAGAGGGAGGGGGGGGAGAAGGGCCCTCCTCACTCACTCTGCCCCATGCTAGTGGGCTTACAAAAGGATCAAACTGATGAGATTGATTCTGGCCTGAATACTAAAGAGGAGATACAATATGGGATCTCAAAGGTGGAGGTTCTGCGTGGGATATCTCCGAGAGGAATACCCCGTGAGGGAGGATCAGCCCTGTTCTGTGCCGACGTAACATAACACAGAGTGATCCAAATCGAATGAGCCCGCATTAGCGTCACAATATGCTGAAGCACCCCGTTGTGTTCTAGGTTCCGGGACTTACAGGCCTCCAACGTGCCGATGACGCTCTGACCAGACAATCAGGTGAAGGCCGCCTAGGTCCTTCAGCAGGGCCAAGCGGAGGCTGAAGTCAATTGCTACCATCTCCGCCCAGCCAATCCTCCTCGCTTCCGACTGCCAGCCCGGTGCAAGTCGCCAGGCATCCCACTCTCTGTTCAGGACAATGCCTATGCCCCACGATGTGGATGCGTCGACCCAGAATTTGCTGTCAGTGAGCTCCCGCACAGACTGGTCTTCAGGGTAGATCTCCAATAGGCAACGTCATCGAGGACTCAGCCATTTGGTGTGTGCCACACAAACACCGATGCCGTTGGTGGAAACCCGGATGCAAATTTTGAAAGCGCTTCTAGTTGTGATCGTCCGTCTGGGACCGCCAGGCTGCAGTGGACAAGGGTCCCCATGACCTGTTTGGCTTCGTGACACATGAACGTACCTCCTGGTACCCATGGTACGAGCTTGATCAAATAACGGGCCCTCTTGTCTTCGGGGATCGAGACCCATTTGAGCTCTAAATCCCAGACAAACCCCAGGTAGCGGAAAATTGGCATGAAGTCTCTTGTCTTCAATGGTTTCCAGGGCCAGCCTAGGTGTTTTGCCAGTTCATAAATCTCCGCTAGGCCGTATGCGTATTCGGGGGCTTGGTCCTCGCCTGAACGCATGGGGTAGCGAGCGAAGGCAAAATCATCTACCCATTTTTTGAGGGTGTCAACGCTGGACTTAAGGTATATCGCTGCCATGCAATCGGCTACCCTACCCCACACCCCCAGGAAGCTCACTGGTCCGAAAGGTGTGCAGGTGTCTATCCAGTATTGGTCCCTCCACTGCACCACAAAGTGCGGTTGCTGCTTGGGGCATATGGGAATGCACCTGAAAGCGGAGTCAACATCCAACGTGGCTACTTGCATATTTGGCAGGGTATCCATGACAAGGACGACCATCTCCGAGAAGGTACCCCATTCGCATGGGAAGGCGCCAGAGTCAATGGCCGTGTTGACTGATGCGATCGCCAGATTGTTGCACGGAAACAAGAAATCTTATATCATTCGTAGTTCTGTGGTTCTGGCCTTTGGTACGGTGCCCAACGGTGAGGTTTGGAATGGTCCTATGAGAGTTTCTAACCTCTCGCGGTTGAAGGGGCCGGAGTAACGATGGGCCACACGTTCTTTCTGAATGTACAGGTCAATAGCGTCCACATTCAACATTGCAGATTTGTGATTAGGTGGAGAATAAGTAGTTTGTACGTGGGCGGGGACACCCATATCGAACCCGATGTGCATACCTAGTGGCATGTCCAAGAAACTATCTAACAAACCAACCAAAGCGAGGAGTACCTCCCATTCATCTGGCCTGAATGGGGTTGTCATGGCCAGCTCCAGTAATGACACAGAGGCTGGCGGAGTGAGCATCTCCGCACAGGGTGCAGCAGTGCTCTCTGTGCACGCAAGTGCCTGAAGTGGTGCAGCCCCTCTGCATGTTGAAGTGGAAGCAATATCGTTTTCCAGTCTTATCTGCATAGCCTCTGTCCTGGGTCCTTGCGATGAACATCGGATTCCCGTTAGCGAGTCTTTGCAAAGCATTCTTTCATGTGGTGGGAGTAGCACCCGCAAAGGAAGCAGCTCCAAAAGGAGCTTGCGTTCTGGTCTGAGGTGCGGTGTTTCGTCAGAAAGAAACTGTGTGCTCTCTGGGCTGACATTGCTGAACCTCCGGCCTCCCGCCTGCGGTTGGACAGCGCAAGCTGGGCCTGCTGGGGTTGCAGCTGCAGGATCCTCCACCTGAGATGGGCGATGTAAAGGTTGTCCCAGATTGCCCTATGATGTTCGTGCAGGTTGATGGGAGTGTTGAGTTGGTGTCTGCGTATTTTGATGTTGTAGGCTAGCCAGACCGGCCACGTGTTTTTGCTGCTAACGCCGCGATGCAGGCAGATGTTCTTGTGGTGAATGAACCAATTCTGATACTCATGAGGGAGGTATTCTTCAAATAGTTGAAGATAGCATTTCCAGGCTTGGAGCCATTCGGCGAACGAGAGTTGTAGCTCTCCTTCTGGCAAGAGCGGCTGTTGGGCAGGGACTAGCCCCCTGGACTCAATCTGCCAGAGGTTGGATAGGTTTGCCGATGTGTCAATGCCTTGCGCCATGCACGCCGCATCGATGAGGTGGTGCAGAGGCACATGCCTCTTATGGCCTCTCTTGAAGATGTCGACAATCTATTGCGGGATCAAGTAGTAGTTTACATCTGCCAAAATGCCGGCAACACACGCTGGCTGGCCTTGTGATGCTACGGGCGTAGGGGGAATGTGGTTTGGTGACGACTTGTCCTTGTGCCGAGCCTGGCGACGGGGTAAGGCCCAAGCCATGTCGAAGGATTGACACGAGCACCCGGCGGACAAGTATGCTGGGCGCGGCTGGTTGCCTCGTTCTTCCTGCCCCCCCCAGTGAAGGGCTCGGTGACTCCGACGAGTATCCTCTCTCCGTGGTCTGACGTTCTGGAGGTTTTGTGAGTCCCGTTGCTGCTAGCAAGGTGCGGGCTCTGGGGAGCCAAGTAAGGAAGGAAGAAGTTTGGGCTAGGCTGTAGCAAGGACGCGAAGCAATGTACATCTGGAAAGAAGGCCAGGGAAGCAAGAAAGCAGGGCACTATTGGATGGGGAGGGACTCAGTAAGGTGTATGCTTACCGGATGATGCTGGGGGAGAGAGAAGTTGAGTTTCCTCCCCTGCCCAGTCAGAATGAGGCGCTTCACCAACAAAGAGAAGACGGAATTCCACCAGGGTCGGGTCCAGGAGGAAGAAGATGAAGACTCAGTGGCAGGGCTTAGCGGCACCGCAAGGACCAAGCTGTCAAGATCGGATACAGACAAGGGATAACGGAGTCGGAGGACCGAA